AGGCGTATTTCGTAATGCGTAGCGCCAATCCGCAATCCAGGTTGGCCATGCCCTCCTTCAGCGCTTCGGGCATGAATATCACAGTTGTATCAATGTGCGTGAAGCAAGCCTGCCGCAATATGCTAGCTCGATAGAGCTGCGTGACAAGATCTTATAGACAGGGCCAGGAACCAGACCGTGTTGAGTCTCGAATTTGTGTGATGGACGCCGATCATCGATTTTTGGTTGATTGCCGTCCTGAAGGGCGAGCCAAGCAAAGTTGAGGGACACGCGGGCGTATCTAAGCTGACGAGCGGACATCGGCTTAGGTGCCCATGCCAGTAACACCCATGTCACCCTCAACTGCTACTTGAAGGGCCACACTTGGGATCAAAGCGGAAACTCAACCAGAAACGATGAAAAAATCAGATGGCCAGAGAGGCTAGCCCGACGGCAAAGCAACCACCCCTGCAACCGGGCCAAGGTACTGTACGACATGGCAGGGGTAGCAGAGATGCGCCCGTCAACTTGCAGACGCACATCCTCGAAAACGAACGAAATCCATCAAAGCTCTTGCGGTCTCTGCTGTTAGTTGGAGCATACCCGAAATTTGAGCAATGGCTCTCGTCGAGTCGCAGTTGGGCAGAAAAGTCGGGCTCGTCTACAGTTCGATAAGGCTGCCAGGACGCCCGCAAGAAATGTAGTGTCTGATACCGGAAGCCTTTGGTATCCCGGTGAAATACGTTGCCAGTTGATGTTGCAGATATCTTTCACCGCCCAGTGATGATTATCTTGTAACGACATGTCGGCGCGACTGAGAACGGGTTTGATGAATCCAAGGTATTTGTCACAGTGGACGTTTTGCCAGCTGTACATCGCAATTACAAGCCCAGGAGAAACGCGATCGATCAACTGCGCCATCCAAAGCGCTGTGAGCATCACTTTGGGAAATTCCCCAATGTATCCGAGGTTGGACAGAATCATACGACGCGGCAGGCACTGCTGCCATGCGAAATGGTGAAAATCTGACATGTTGTGTGGGTGCCTGGCGACCCAGAAACCGAGCTTACTCAACAAGCAGCTAGCCGGGACAGCAGGTGAGGCACGGACAACAAGATGGTTGCGGCGGGGGAACTGACCGCCCGTTCCGAGGTAGCATCGCGGGCGTGCCAGATAGGGAGGGCGCTCTATGTACCTTGCGCATGTGGCATCGGCTTGGCAGTTTCTCCAAGCGATGGCTCGAGAATGAGGCGGCCGTGGGTTGAACCATGCTCACAGTATGCAGCCATACTTTAATACGTGCTTCAGCTATGCACGGGGAAGAGGCCGGTGAATTTCCGTGCTGAACGAGTGTGAATGGGATGAGCTATCATTAGCGGCCGGTGGAAGAGCACAGTTTCCGAGGCTGTCCTGTCTGGCTATGCCATTGGGCTGTCATCGGATGGGTTTCCAGGGGCACCAGCATGGAATTGATATCCGGGGTCCAGAAGACAGGCCAGGCCGGGACCATTGGCATGAATGGGTGTGGACGAGGGGCGAATCGAAATCAGCAAGTCGACCAAAAGGTCGACAGGTGCAGCAAAGTCCATTACTTTGGCTCTGCGTGAGACGAGAAACGAATGTCTTGCAGCATGTCGAACCAAGGTGATGTAATGCAATGCGTCTCATGGTATCGGTGGGATATTGCGATGGACCTTAAGGTTGGTCAGTCTCCACAACCGTAGATACGTTGAACATAGACCAGCTCTGGCCAGCCAGAGGACTGTGACTGAGGGCAATTGGATCGGAACTTTGGAGACCAAAGCTCTATATGATACGGAACGGGTTGGCGGGGGTGTCTGTGTTGTGCATGGTATTCCATGTGGTAGTGATCAGCCCGCGAGCACAAAGAGTTAACGGCGGGCAGATGCAGTGCTGCTGCAGCCTCAACCCTGAAAGTGTTCTGTTTGGTCGGACCTGGGCTCCTGAAGCTGCAGATGCGGATACGGGCTGTTTGAGGGAGCCATTGCACAATGCCAGGCCGGCGAATTGCCCCATCAGTGTGCAGACAGGGCGAGGGGGAACACAGGCTTCCGAGCTTCAAGAAGATGTGGAGATCGATGGTGGATGGTGGCCGCTTGTGTGCCGGCCAGCGGGATGTGATTCCAGACCCACGCCGGCAGAGGCGAAGACGAAGGATGAAGACGAGTGGCGTCCGAGTCGAGGCCCTGGCAAGAAGAACCCAGATCGACTACGAACTAAGACGGTTTAACGCTGCCAGAAAGTGACGGCCGTGTTCCTGAAACTGATGGTAAGGGCCCGATGGTGTGTACCTGACTGTGTGTGTGTGTGAGAGAGCAAGTAGAAATAATGGTACTGATAATGGATGAGGAACGAAACAGGGTATGTAGTCGGCGGAGGGTGTCAGAGGGATGGCTGGGGGATTATGTGAATCAGCAATCCAGCAAAAAGAGGCCGAATAGACATGCCGTGGTTGACAAGAAAGAAGAAACAATTAAGCAGAGAAGTACAATTATTCCGCCGTCCATTGACGCTCACTTCCATGAAGTGAGGTTGGTGAGGTGGCATAGACGGGGGAAAGAGGCATAGGTAGCGGCTACCTCAAGCTTTGCCGCCGTGCGGACGGAAAAAGCGGGTGCCCGTTCGTACCGACTACTACCGAGTGGGTCGATATGGGTCCCCGCAACGGGAGGTTAAAAGCGATGAACCAATCATATAAGACGACATGGGTATCCTTGCTATGCACCTGCTGAACACAAGGCACATGCGGCTCCGGATTGGCCCCATGCAAGTTCCGTAGGCGCCATCACCCTTTCCTCGGCGCGTAGATTGTTCAACCCCGGCTCCCTGTCTCCAGGCCACCGACCCCGACTTCCTCCTCCTCTCTCCTCTCTGTTTCTGTCTCTCCCCTCACCCACCATGCTTCGCCAGCAGCAGGCGCAGCTCCTAGCACTCTCCTCTCCCCCAACCACGCTCTTTTCCTCGCTTCCCGCCGCTCTACCCACGCCGCCCTTCCTTCTGCTAGACTGCTTCCCATGCCATCGATAGGCTCGAGAGCCTATCGATGAGCCCGTCCGAGACTCTTAGCAGCTAACCATCCATGGCCGAGGAGGCGAATCAAGCTTGTCTGTGCCAGGATTCACCATCGTGACCATCGCCGAGAAGAGGGGAGTCGTGCCACTCGTCCCTCCAGTCTCCAAGCTGGACACGCATCCCTCTGTGCACATACCGCGCATTTGGCATTCCACTGCAGCCCTGTAAGGTACCTTTGGCGCCCACCCACTGCTTCAGTACCTAGACCACTGCGTCGATACGGCGAAGCAAGTCAAATCATCAGGGGAAAGCGGAGCTGGAACATCCAAAGCGAGACAGGCTTGTTGGAGAACAGCCGCCGACCAGACGTCACTGCGACTCAAATACCAAACGATGGGGTTCGCTTCTTTATCTGTTGGTTCATTCTGCTTCTTGGTCTCGATGGACTGTTGAACGGGATGACAACCGTTGCAGCAACTGGGGAGTCAAGCTAGGCTGAGCAAGCGAGCGCCGCCTCAGCTCAACCTGATAGGCCAATATTCCTGTCGCCCGCGCGCACACGTACGCACGCAGGACAAGCAAGCATTGCAAGTAGCAGCAGCAGCGGTAGCCAGCCAGCAGCATGCCAGTGGCTGCAAGCAAGACTTTTGCGAGAGAAGAGATGGGCTAGCACTGCGCAACAAGAGGCCCAGAGGCCTAATTATGGCAAAATATTGATGTACTGCCCTGCTCAGACACATTCTGCTTGCCTGGGTGCTCGACAGGTTGCCCAACCAAGCTGCTCATCCTACTCGACCATCTCCACCATGCCATGATCCCCAGTCTTCCTGCTGCATATCCCCCAATTCTGACCCCTCGGCACGCGGTGGCTTGCACCTTACACACCCTGCGCCGTCCCCTTCAACTGGCTTGACAGGGTCCGTCGAAGACAAGCACCCCGGTCTGGTCTCCAGAGCCATGCAGCGCCTTGGCTGTCCAGATGAGCCGGACCGTATCCGCTCCCAGATTCCTCGACCGTTCAGCGAGAAGCTCTAATTTTATGGTCAAGACTGATCGTCCAGTGACAGGTCAGCTCGTCGACTTAGGCGCCATGCTCCATGTTGACTTGACTCTTCCTATTTGGCTCCATCACACCCCGTCCACACCCCCTTCGAGTAGTAACCTCTCTTATTTTCCATCGTCTTTTCGATTCCTTCCCTTTTCTTTTCCCTTTCGTCGTCTGCAAGAAACTCTTTCTAGTGTATACTTGTGTTGCATACTGACAGAGCTTTCCTGCAAGACAAGCGCCGTCACACCCCCTTGAGTAGAGCTTATCCAGTGAGATCCTCTACCCGTCCAACAGACATCGCCTTGAGCAGACAAACCACATCGCTCCACACCCTCCATCTGCGTCTATAGCGTCTTCCTCTCCTCAACACGTCCCGACAGGCTGTAACCGTCTTTAACACGCCGCCTCCCGGACTTTTCTTCTTTCTCCTTTTCCTGTCCTGCCTATATCGGCAACTCGCTGGGAACCTCCCCTAGAAAACCAAGAGAACAACTCCGCGCTGTAAGAGTGACACTGGAGTACAACGGCGCAACCAGCAACAGTAGCACAGCAGCAGGCAAACGATACCGCCATTCTCAAGAGAGCCTACGAAGAACATTCCGCAAGTCTGGAACCCTGAAACGTGGAAGGACAGCCGGTCCGGGAACGGACATTGGAAAGTGCTTCATGTGATAGTTGAAGTGGAAGAGGTGTAGCTTCCCGACTGCCTTTGGTTCGCTACGAAGCAGCCGGACGGAGGTGTGACCGCCGCGGATTGGTGAGTAGGCCTGTCTCACAAAAGTCATTCAGTTGTTTCTCGGCTTAAGAGGGCTTAGAGGTTACCGGTGGACAGGGAACTGCAGCCGTTTCCCTGCCTAAAACTTGCCATTCCCAAATGCAGCTTGCCGACTAACATCGTACCGGGTTCCAGATCGAAATCCAAAAGAGATATAGTGCCATCATGTCCGCCTCCGCGAGAAACCGAACCGCTACCGTCAGCTCTGGGAAGTCGTCGCAAAGGGGTCGGAGCAATGAGATGCAGGATTTCAACATGTCGCAGCCCAATATTATGCGTTACTTCGAGCCATGCGCCGCGACGGCGTCCATGTTCCTGTATGCGCAGGGCTCATCCATCGTCTGCTGCCACCACGACACCCTTACAATCGAGAGGAGGTTTTCGAGACACTCGGACGAGGTTCAGTTACTTGCAGTCGACACCCAGAGCGAGATTGGAGCGGGGAGGCTGGTAGTGAGTTACGATGCTGGGCAGACAGCGATTGTCTGGGATATTATGACAGGCGACGAAGTGGCTCGGTTTGCATCGTATGAGCATCTTACGACTGCCGCTTGGATGCGTAACGGCAACGTTGCTTTTGGTGAGTTTGCATTGGGAGTTCTTCTGCTGAGGCTGCTAACAGATCATAGGCAACACCCAGGGCAACATTATTCTATTCGAGCCTACTACATCAGAACATATTTCTTCAAGAACGATTGACCAGATCGCAGTAACAGCACTCGCACCGGCCGCAGACTGTCGGACATTTGCAATCGGGTAGGCTTGGCAAATACCTCAAGACAGGCAACAGAAAGCTAACCACATATAGTTATCAAAACGGATCTCTGCTGGTCGCAACCCTTCAGCCGCGATTCACCATTCTACACAACCTGGGCACCTCAAGAGCGCCTTCACCCATCGTCACCCTGAACTGGCATGCATCGTCATCTCGACAGAAGTCGGACATGTTGGCGTCCCAAACTCATGATGGCGACCTACGAGTTTGGAGCGTCTCTAAATCATACAGCAGCGACGACCCCGCCAAGGTCGTGAGAATCCTCAAGCGTACCGACAACTATCAAAGCGGACCGAACTGGATGGGCTGGTCAAAGAACGGCCGAATCATTCAGTATTCCGACTCGTACGTCATTTTTTGCCACTTGGACATACGCGCGCGTTTAGAATCCGCACTGACGTTGATCACACTAGGGAAACACTATCGTGGGATGTCCGTACTAAGCACGTTACTTGGGACAGTATCCCGACGCTTGAGCATGTCAGAGGCCTGGCCGTGTACGGCCCCGGTGCCAGCCTATTCACACTCGGAGCCAACAACACGGTTCAGCAGTTCGATCTCAACACCCCGTCAATCATCGTGGCCAACGTCCAGCATCCTGCTAACCTGTTGCCGCCATCACCGCCGGTCTCAATCGAGGAACAGCAAGGGCAAAAGACCTCAACAACAATCGTCACCGACTCTGATGCCACCTCTGGTACAATTGAACTGGGTATCTCCGAGAGCGACGAAGACCACCTATCGCCCTTTGACCGCATCGTCGGCCGGAAGGACACGGACACTCCCAAGGCGCTTGATCCCTATGATGCCGACACAGCAAGCGCAGCCTCTAGCCGCAGCGGGCTCTCTTCGATCTCAAAATCTTCCGGAGGATCTCGGACACCCGGCCGCTACCCTTCGTCAGCTGTCTCACGAGGTATGACTGAAAACACATACATCTCGGCCGGTTCGTCTTTGAGGTCATCCGCTGCGCCGTACCAAGAAAGAGACATGTACTCGATGAGCGGAACCTCGATGATGAGCGGTACCTCAATTTCTTCCTACCGCTCTCGCCGCTCCAGGCCCTCCCGCCTGCGTAATGAGGTTCTGCCAAGCCCAGTTGACAGCAAGGTTCAGGACCTCTTCAAGTACACAAGAAGCCGGCTCAGTGACATTCCTTACAAGCACCCAGTCACCACTGATAACAGCCGCCTGACTAACGACGATCTTCGCAAGCAAATGCTGAACACCATCTTCGGATGGAACAAGGAGATCGAGGATCTGGTCCGGGAGGAGTTGAGCAGACACAACGCTGGCTCACCGGGCCGCATCCTACTGATGAGGTGGCTTGGCGATATTGACGCTGATGTTATGGCAGCGAGTTCAGCCTCCATGACTTCTTCCGACTGGATGTTGCTAGCCCTCAGCGGTATCGGAGGCCAAGCCTCGCAGCACAAGTTGGGTCGAGCTTACGTTCAGAGACTACTGGAGCATGGCGATCTTCACGCTGCGGTTACTATTCTCATTGGAATGGGTGACCACAATGACGCGATCGAGATTTACGTCTCGCACAAGAAGTACATGGAAGCTCTCATTCTGACCTGCCTGTTCTATCCTGCCGTTTGGGAACGACAGTCAGCTATCATTAAGAAATGGGGAGAATGGGCTGTCATGCATGGGCAACAGCAGCTTGCAGTCCGATGGTAAGTTGCTCAAACAAGCAGTATCGTGTAGATCGCTAATCACTAAACAGCTTTGCTTGCACCGGAGCTGAGTCTGATGAGCCTTGGACGTCTCCTTCCGCTGCCCAGATTACCTTCCAGAGCATCAACCAGAACCTCAACGAGAGCATTCCCGAAGTGCTGTCGCCACCATTGTCGCCCCCCGGCATCAACCGCGGACCTCAAAGGAGCATCGCAAAGACGTCCGCTCTGAAGCTCATCACGTCTTTTGGCGAGCAGCCCGGCAAGTCAAAGTTCTTTTCTCAGGGAGATGGCGGCCAGACTCCCATTGCCGCCGGCCCCACTCCTATTGCGGATTCCGCTGTCTCTCCCGGCGGCTACGATGTGACCACTGCGTTCATCCGCCCACCAAACCGCAGTCAATTCAACACGCCGAACTCCGCAAGATCTGGAGCGTCTGGCTTCAGTCGCAAGCGTCTTCCCTCCATCGGTGAGATCCCAGGAGACTTGTCCCGCGATCAGCTCCACGCCGAAGGCGAAGAGTCCCGGCGCGCCATGCAAATGCGCATGTCTTCTGCCGAGCAGGATAACCTTGCCGCCGGTCTTTCGTTGCAGAGGGCCGCTACCGCAAGCCCCATGATGATGCGTGACCAATATAAGAAGATCACTACGCGGACAAGAGAGCCTCCTCCGCCGTCTCCCGACGCCAGAATGCTCGTCAAAATGGAGGGCAACATGGCTCAACGCAACGGTTCTCGAGACCGCAAGCCAAAGGGCCTTCATCTTGAACTCGCGGGTCTCAATAACATGGCCAATGAGATTACTTCACCCGAACAGTCTGTGTCATCTTCGACCCGCTTCCACTGGCCCTCTCGACGTCGCGGCCCGGGATCCGTCACAGGCTCTGTGACGTCTCAGTCTACTACGGGCAAAAGCCTTCGCAGCAATACCACTGGCGGACGACAGGACTATATCCACAGCCTCGACACCGCTCAGCGTCTTCAGCAACGCAAACAGCGAAGCCGACACGCAAGCCGAGAAGGTAAGAGGGACGGCTCCCGTGGTCGCGATCGCGATCATAGCCGCACTCGCAAGACGACTTCTCGTGAGGCTTCGGCGGAACGTGGCCGTGCCTCAAGCCGCAACTGGCCCAAGCCGAAGCGCTCGCCAACCTCACCCATTCCCATGTCGCCTGAGGACCTTATCAACTTGAGTACTCCCAGGATGCTGCCAGAGGTTGTGGACCCTGCCACAGTGAGAAAGTCCAGTAAGAGCCGAAAGGGAACCAGTCGCGCGTCCAGCCGTGGCAGCCAGGGCCGCGCTAGAAGCCCCGAGACTAGACACCGCCCTCCTGCGCTTGATCTCCGTGGGCGAAGCGCGGACCGTGGCGTTGGCTCTCATGCTCGGTCACCTTCGTCCCCGCTTCCCCTCTCAGCCAACCTGGTCCATTACCAAGGATCCGAAGACGAGGAAGACTACGTCAAGGCCGTCGTTGCACAAGAGAACTTTAGGAATAGGCATAACAGGAGCACTAGTCAGCACGGATCTCGCAAGGCCCTCTCTCCTGAGCTTACTAGAGAGTTCCCCCGGCGAGACCGATCCGAGAGTCGCCGTCGCCAAGCTGATGAGAACATGGATCAGCCCCGCGATGCTGCGCCCACCCAGTCCAAGTCGCGCGCCGCCTCTACTGAGCACGCTGGAGACCTAAAGGCCATGAAGGATGAAAGACAACGCAAGAAGGAAGAAGCCGCCCGGGAGCTTGAGGAGCGCCGGAAGTCGCTTGCACAGCGTCCGTCGGCACCCCCCATCCCCCATCCCAGTCATATACGCATCGGCATTGAACCGTCATCCAGCGCCTTCGAGCTTCCCCCTCGCAGTCACACTGCCGACCCGACCCAGAGGAGCATGTACGCTCGTAGCAACTCCAACGTCCACATCGGGCTTCCTGCGACCCCTAAGGCCATGCGTCTTATCATTGAGTCGGACAAGGACAAGAACAGCATCCCGGTGCCCCCAATCCCAGCGACATTTGCGCAGCGTCACTCTCCAGTGACTTCTCCTCAGGAGCAATCCCCCGACAAGGAGAAGGAGGCCGAGTCTCTTACCCTGCTTCCGCAGACGACGTACCAACTCCCATCTTCGGTCTACCAGCCTCCGGCCCGTGGCATGATCCCGCGCAGCATGTCCGCCCCACCAATTCCTCCTGATGCACCCTCCCCGAGGGGACCGAGCTCTCACAGCAAGGGGCTCTCCCGTGGTCCTTCGATGAGAAGAGGCAACTCAGGAGAAATCCGTACCGTTGACGACATGATCCGCGCCAGACGCGAATCCCAGGAGAGCAACAACTACGGTGTCCTTCCGCCGCCACCGCCGCCCCCTCCAATGCTGAAGGAGCTCCAGCACCTCGCCATGCCTCCTCCCCCGCCACCGGCACCCCTTCCGTACGCCGCCCACAACAACGCGGGTGGTTTTGGATCCGGCATGATCGAGATCATCATGGACGACGACGAGCCCGCTCCCGCGACCGTCGCCGCACCCATGGACACCACCGTCCCCGTTCTCCCGCCGCCCGCTCCCCCAGCGTCAAAGGGTCACAGTCGCGGCCGTAGCTTCTCTGAGCGTGACAACAGTATTGCTGGCCGCATCTCCAAGGCCACCGACCGCTTCCGATCCGGCAGCCGCCCCCGCAAGGAACCCTCCAGCCGCCCTCGCGGGCAGGATGACTACGAATACGCGCCTTACGAGAGCGTGCCTATGCAGGCGACCTACGGTCGCGAAACTTTGCGGTCTCCCATCATGGCGCAGAAAGGTCTGCCTACCGGCCTGCACCAGAGCGAGATGATCTAAAAAACAACCTCCCACCTCCTAATTATCATTACACTTTACACGTTCCGATTCGTTGCATGGCGACTGGCGTTTCTCGATGAATCTTGATACCATTACTTTTTCGACGAGCAGGAGGAAATACAAACATCCCTTCGTGACGCGGTGTAAGCCGTTGCCAGCAAGAACAACAGCAGATTTAGAAGGCGCCTGTTCTGTATACTTCGAGTCTATCCTTGAACGATTTACCAAGCGCGCAGAGCGAACGTTTTTCCAACCATTTCTTCTCATCCTTCTTCCGTTTTTCTGCTCTGTTTTGCTTGCATTCTTCCTTTCTCAAATGATGACTGATGATGGGCTGGGTCTTGGAAATGGGAGGGGGGCGAACAGAGCCGTGAGGCGAAATACATAAGCACACGATACCTGTAGGAGGCGGCGGTGTACGTGATGGACGGGCTGGCCTCGGAAGAAAAGACGACGGCGGGCAACGAAAAGAGAAAACAGAGAAAAGCCAGAAGATCTCAAGATGACACCGTCTTGTGCTGAGGCCGGAGGGGAAGAAAGCCCAGGTGGGGGTGATGAGAGTGAAAAGGAGACCGAAAAGTGCTGGAAACGCGTGTCTTACAATGTTGCCTCACGGCATCTTTGTTCATCTAGTTGAAGGGTGGGGGTTCCCATCTCTCTCTTTATCTTCTCTTGTCGCTTGCTCCCAATGTTTTCCGATTTGAGAGTGATTGACGTTATTTCCTTTTGAGTGGTCGGTGTGGTATGTAGCTGCTCGTCGAGATGGCCCACGTACAGGCAGCATATTGACAAGAATGCGATCTATTCCCGAACACCTCCTTTCAACTGTGACTCAATAACACAAATCCAAGTCGTCAGATTGATCTTAATGGTTGAGATGGGAGACAAAACCCGAAAAAGGACATGTCAATGGACGGGTTCGAACACCGTGTGCAGATTACTGTGCACATATGCTCCTAAACATCGCGAGATGCATCAATCACTACACCCGGCAGCGCAGCGCAGAAAACCCGTTTACGAGATTTCACGGTCGCAAAAGCAATGCACACCATCATCATTAAGATAAAATGCAAAAATTGGAGTTGGCATCTCCATCTTCAACCAGTACCCCAAGCCCCTAGCGATCGTAATCCAGCACGCCATGCGACGGTGAAGATATCTCTGCAGAGTGAAGCCTCCCTCAAGTGTTATCTTCATTGCTTAGGGCCACACGCAGCGATCGCAGGTTACCCATGCGAGTGGGTGGCCACCGCAGCATTCGCACTGGGCGCCGCTAGAGGGTTCCAATGTGGATGGGGTAGCGGAAGAAGAATAATGAAAGCCTTCAACCATTTGACCATTACAGCCGATAGTTTCCGCAAAACTTTGTCTATAAGTAGTATCAGCTGGTCACTAGGGACGTGCACCCCATCAGTTGGTAAGGATGGGGCTCTGTTGATGTAAGCGGGACGGTGACATTTGGGCCACCACACTGCATGTGCCACACGCTACGGGGAGACTCCCACCGAGCACCGACCTGAGCTTTAAGCTCCTATCCCCATTCTTTATCGGAGCTGAAGCCGCGATTGTGTACTGCGATCCTGGCGCAGCCATTCACCCGCGTCCCAATTGGCTTTCTTGAGTTGACTTTCTTGAGTTGACGCGACTTTGCGCACCCTCAATGGCACTATAGCGGCGACCAGCCCATCTCTCCCCCGATAGCATCGCGAACACAAATCCTCACTCACGATGCTCACGACCGCCCCCCGCCTCCACGTCCGGCGCCCCTCGCCAACAACCGCCGAATTCACAATAACCACTCGCCCGCCCCCGACCCTCACCATACGCCTTCTCTCAAGCCTCCTACTCGCCCTCCGCGTCCTCGTCTTCCTCTCCTCGATCCTCCTTCTCCACGCCGCCTGGTCGCAGTCCCTTTACGCGGCGCCCTTCTTCTCCCCGTCGCTGACTAGGACACCTGCGACACCCAACGACACCCCCGAGGACGCCTTCTTCTCGAACGGGGGCTTCTGGCGAACCCTACACTTCATCCACGCCTCCGCGCCGGGCCGCCTCGCCCACCGCATCGCCGCGTCCCCCGCGGTGCCCCTCCCCATCCTCATACCCGGCTGCCTCCTCGCGGCCTACGCGACGCTGCTGCGCACGCACACCACCGAGAGCCTGCTGGTCCTGCGCGGGCTGGGCATCCAGACGAGCTCTACGAGCGGGAGCTACCTCTCGGCCGCCGCGACGCGCTTCATACCTACAGAGAAGATCCAGGACGTGCTCGTCAACGAGGCCTTTCGCGGCTTCGAGGTGCGCTACTACCTGATTGTTATCGTCGAGGGCGAGGAGGACCTCGTCGTCGTGTTCCCGAGGCTGCTGCCGCGCAAGAAGATTGTCGAGACGGTGTGGAGGGGGGTCAGGGGGTGCCTGTGGGAGGCGGACGGGACCGCGGGCGGAAGTAGCAACACTAGGAAGATGGACGAGAGGTGGCAGGGCGGGGTGTAGCCCAGTTGCACTACACCCCCTTTACGAATTCATGATGTTCAAAAAAAGACTTAATTTGGTTTCGTTTCCACCGCCATGTCTACGGCTTATTCGTCCCCACCCCCTACCGCGGCGGCACCCGCCTGCTTGGCGTCCTTGATCACCTTCCTCCAGTTCTTGGACTCCCTCATCTCGTCAGAGTTCTTGAACCCCTTGCGCTGCGCCCACCGGTTGTTGATCTCCTCCGGCGTCGGCGTCAGCTGCTTCTTGGCGATGGGCACGTAGCCGCCCGCGAGCTTCCCCTCGTGGCCCCCCTGGAACACCCGCTTCCCCTTGGCCTTGGCCTCGGTGCCCTGCACCTGGCCCGAGACGAGGTCCAGCAGCCGGTTGGCCAGCAGCTCGTCCATCTTCTTGTCGCGGTAGTGCGCCCACAGGCTCTCGACGACGTCGGCCTCGCCGTACACCCAGCGCAGCGCGTTGGCGGCCTCGGCCGGCGTGCGGCTGTCGCCGTCGCCAGGGAACACGCAGTTCCAGAGGACGAGGGGCGTCTCGTGCGCGAGGTCGTAGTTGGGCTTGCGGGGCGACTTGTCGACGTCGAGGAGCTGCGTGATGATCTCCGGCTTCTCGAGGCGCTGGCCCACGAGGAAGAGGATCGTCACCATGTGCCGGATCTGGTGCCACAGGAACGCCGTGCCGCGGATGTTGAACGAGTACACCTTGGGCAGCTTGCTGCCGTCGGCGGCGCTGAGCCCCAGGTACGGCAGCGCCGAGCCGACGTCCCGGACCTCCTCGACGCCAGCCTCGAACATGCGCCGCTCAAAGTTTGTGATCTGCTTGCTGCCGTCGACCTTGCAAAAGTTGCGGAAGTCGTGGTTGCCGACGAAGCGCCGCGCCGCCTCGTTCATGGCGTCGATGTCGAGGTACCCTTCCCTCATGCCGTCCGGCGTGCCGTCGACGGTCGCGGCCGTGGGGGTGAAGGCCGGCTGGGTGAAGAAGTAGCGGTACTGCCGTTCCTCACAGGAGAAGCGCGCAGAAAAGTCCGGCGGCGGCGACGGGCACCAGGCGATGATGCGGATGTCGTCGGGGAGGAGGCGGTTGAGGACCTTGACGTACTGGATCTCGTCGTTGATGTCGTCCCACTCCTTGGCGGGCTTCTTTTCCTGCTTCTGCTTCTTCTTGTCCTCTTCGGCTTTCTCAGCGGTCCCCTCCATCGCCGTGTCCCCTTCCGCCTCGGCAATGGCTTCCTCCTCCGGCTTCTTGGGCAGCGGCTTGTTACTCCGCACCCTCAACCCGATGACCTGGCCAAAGGCGCTGACGCCACGGTCCGTCCGCCCACACTTGGAGTACTCGCAGCAGTCGAAGTTGACGACGTCCGGGTCCTCGGGGAAGATGAGGCACGCCTTTGTCAGCGCGTTCCACAGCTCGCCCTCGATGGTCGGCAGGCTCGCCGACGTGGCGTACTCGAAGCCGCCGTAGCGCTTGCCCAAGTACGCGAGCTTGAGGGCGATGAAGCGGGTCGAGTACCGAGAAGCGTCCATCTTCTTGGCGTCCTTCTTGCGCTTCTTCGCCGGGGGCGGGGCGGTGTCTGGCGTCGCCGTGCCGGAGCCGGAGCCGGCCCCGGTGGGCTTGGATGAAGAGGCATCGTTCCGCTTTTCCAGCTCGTGCTCGAGTTGTCTTATGCGTGCAATAAGACGATCCTTCTCCCATGAGTGGTACCTCCCGCTCGTATCAACCATTTTTGCGATGAGAGCGGTGCTCAGGCGCCGTGTTGTTGCTGGAGAAGTGCAGTAGGTGTGAATGAGAGGCCGGTGAGTGAGATGGTGGTGATGGCTCCGTTGACTATGGGGTTGTACGGGCAAAATCCTTTGACAGTCGTGTAAGAGCCCAACGGAGCGTCTGGATAGGATCAGACGTGGGCTTCGCGGGCTTTGCAGACGGAGGCCCCTTAATATTTCATGTAAGGGCTTCATAAAGCCCTCTCCTTTCTCATATGAGTCTGAATTTTGGAGGGGTCGGCTTTTAGACCACCACCATGCGGGTACCTCTTAGCTGCCACTTTGGAGGGGCACTTCAGCAGTCACAGTCATGGGCAACTTTTGGCGCATCGCTTTTTTTTTTTCTTCTTCGTCTCCAAACTTTTTTTCGCCCTGTCGGAAAACAGTGTGTGGCTTGTGCTGTGTGGCGGTGGTCCCCACTCCTCACTCCCTGATGGAGAACGCCGAACCGATTTGATGGAGCTGGTGGGAGCGGGATGGGCAGTGCGTAGACTGTGTTTCCTGGGGTCTTGGCTACTTTAACCTACCTCACCTCAGGTCTGGCCCAGGCGCTGCGCCATTTGTCCCCCAGACATCCGCTATCAAAACGTCACACGACGGCCATTCGGATTACCGCAATAGGCGTTGCTCATTCAACATGGACGGAGACGCAATCAGGATCTTGCTAGTTGGTGATGAGAAATGTGGAAAGACGTCGTTCATCTCGTCCGTATGCCCTCGTGAGAATCCGACGTGAGGAGCCACAGCTAATGTCGCGTTGCCCCTGAGTAGACGGCTGAGTGCCGGTGAAGGAACCGGTCCCATTACTCTGCTTAGAGACATTGATCAACCATTCATCTTCGAGATTAAGCTTGGCCAAAACCCATACCGTTTGGAGTTCTATGATACAAATAGCCCCGAAAACTGGAAGCTCCTTGACCCCGACATCGTCATCTTATGCTACGACATCAGCCAGCGGCTCAGTCTCATCAACATGCGGAGACATGTAAGTCCCTCGTCTCTTCAATTCTTCATGCCCCATGTTCTGATGTCCGAGATAGTGGCTCAAGGAGGTGAAACTGTCCTTCCGCAGACCCGATCGTCTGCCCATTCTCATGTTGGGTCTCAAACGAGATCTGAGATCCGAAGATGACCCCAACGGCATCATCTACCCCCAAGAAGCCTACCAGCAGGCGCAGGAGATGCGCATAGATAGATACATGGAGTGCTCGGCAGTGACTGGAGAGCTCATCAAGCTGGCGTTCGAGGACATCTGCAAAACGGCGGTGCTGACGCGCAAGGCAGAGGGTGGACAGAGCGAAGGCGGATGTATCGTCATGTAAAATTCATCGTCTTCTGTCAGTTGATCGTCGACGAGCTTCTCTGCCGAGAAGGGGAGGCAACATTGGAAGGCTCGGCGCGATCTGGATTGCATTGCAGAGTGCGGTCGGGGATGCCCTCCTAAGCAGCACCCTCGTCGCCGGCCTCCTCCTGTGCCTCCTCTTGAGGAAATGTGCCGAGGACTTCGGCAATGATGTTGACCATTTCCTCCTGCTGGTTCTCGTCGAAGCGCTCCGACATCTCTTCAATGACGGTGTTCAGCGCAGCGACGGACGCGGGACGGAGGTTGAGGATCATGATGACCTCGCCCTTGGCCAGGTCATAGGGACGGAGCTTCTCCAAGAGCTGGGGGATGCAGCCCGGCTGATAGGTGATGGGGTCCTGGCTCAACGGGTTGGGTGGTGTGCGCAGGTATTGGAGGAGCTAGACCGGATAAGTCAGTAACGGGTCTATTACACAAGAGCAGATACCCAAATCTCATTGGATTGTTTTTCGGTTGCATAGAGATAGCAAAGATGAAAATTCGGAACCTCACCTCTCTTGCCAGGGCCTCAAGGTTGCCAGGGCCGCGGCGCTCTCCACGCTTCTTCTGGCCGAGCTTGCGTTCCGTCAAGTGCTGATAGACCTCGTAGTTGGTCAGAACGGCTGACTGAGCCTCAAGGATCTTCATCGTGAAGGTAAGCTTGGCGAGTTGAGAACCGGGTCGCGATCCCAGCGGCAAAAGTAGGTGAGCGAGCGTGAGGCGGTTGGTTTATTCAGCGTGGGAGCACTGGTAACGGGGTATCGGCAAATGGTGCTGCAAGATTGCAAAGGTGCGGAAATGCAGGCTGCGCTTGGTGTTTGCTGAAATTTGTCGTGTCGGTGTGCAAGGTGAGGCTAGGCCAACAACGTCCCCTTGTCACTCAGAGAACGGAACCAAACAGGTGCACTGGATAGGCCGGGAGTTGACAGGTCGAGTCACACAACCTTGAGGGAGCCGACGCCCAAGGTGGCCCTCTTTTCTTGACAAGGGCTCAAATGGCTCTCGAGGCGAAAATAATAGAAACACAGGGCAATGTGGACTCTGTCGTGCAAAAGTCAGGGTCAGCCCAGCAGTGCATGTACACAAGTTGAGTAGGGGAGTCTAAGCAAACGACGAGGCAAGACGAAGCAAGGCGAGGTAGACGAAGCAAGGCGAGGTAGACGAAGCAAGGCGAGGTGAGCGAAGCGAAAATGTACGAAAGTACTTTTTCTATGAGTTTGAAGCAAAAAGCGTGACTGCACAGAAGTTCTGTCGCAAATTTCTTTTTTTGTAGATAGAGGTGCCCCGCGGTTGTCACAGTTGGCAGACCACCTGCGAGACCAGAAGGTGGTAACAAGCAGAAAAAAAAGCGGCTGCAGCGAGACCGCCCAAGGCACCAATCACGAAGCCCAGTCCCCCACTTTGCCATGTGCTAAAATGTCGCGAAGTACGTACCGGATCTGGAATTGCGCAATGAGAGGGGGGGGAAGCATTGGCGGCTTTCGATTCAGAAGACGCCGGCGCTCCCTTCTGCACCTCGCCTGGCTGGGTGACTGCTAGTATCATGCGACCGTTACTTGATATGAGCGGTATTTTTTCTTCCAGGTGTACATTGAAGGGAATGGGCAATCATAAGGCAGTTAGACTTGTAGGATGGGACTGCAGATTGACCACATCACAAATCGGATTTCAGAAAAGAGTCACAGGCGGTGGTGCATCATCATCATTGACTGTTGCACGAATCCCATGCAAACCTCCCTGTACGAAGAATTTGTCTCGGCACTGTATTGCAGAAGTTCGTGCTGCTGAGCCATTGTCACGGTTCTCGCCCCCAGGCCAGGTACTGGTAGGTATCCCCGCCGCCGGTCTGCGGCACTCTCCATGAGGCTCGGCATGTCTGGGCAGCCCGGCAACAGGCCGAAAAACACAGTGCATGGCCAGAAGGTCTCGGAGTCATGAGAAACACACCCACGGCGCGCGTCTTAACCTAAAAAGGCCAAGTCTAGGCCTGGCCACCCTGTGCATTCACCCTGTGCAATCTCTCTTTCCACCCCACCAAGAAACATTCCCACCCACCACCCCCAAAACCCACATGGCACGGCGACCGCACCCAACCCCGATTCCTACCAATCCCAAACAAACTTATCCACTAAGAGATTTTCCTTTACAACTTCTCGACAACCCCAGCTTCAGAGAACTCCCCCGCTAACCAGCTTTTTTCTTCCCTCCTCCCTCTCCTCTTGAGCTTGCTCGTCATGCTCCCGTTGTGATCGCAACCTCAGAGGCCTTCCCCTCTCACCTCGTCGTTTGCCCTCAATCCCCTTTGGCATTGCTACTCTATTCCCAATTCAACTCTGCGCATACCCTCGGCCTCGGCACATTCCAGTCCCCTGTGACGTCGCCCTACACCCCACTAGCAGATTTTTGACGTCTCGAGCGAACCCGACACCGGCTCTTTCGCTCGCGATCCTCCAACCCGCACACGACATCCCACCCTCGTACCCTTACTCGCACCTACCTATCTCCACAAACCCTCGATTCCCCAACCTGCGTACTATAAAATCGCAGCTCAGGCTTTGACGCCTCTTCTTCTTCAACCAACCCCAGTCTCAGCCCAAACGAGGTGCCGAACTTCAACCTCGAACATTACCGGTTTCGCCCGAACGAGAAAAAATATATACATACCCTTTCCGTCCGACAACACAACTATCCCACACAAGAGACCTCACCAATACCCACCATGGTCCGCAATATTATTGTGCTTGGTGGTAACACCCACCCCGAGCTGGTCAACAGCGTCTGCAACAACCTGGGCCTGAACCCTTGCGAGCGCGTTCTCAGCAAGTTCTCGGTCGGCGAGAGTCGCTGTGAGATCAAAGACTCCGTACGTGGCAAGGATGTCTTTATCATCCAGACTGCTTCCGGCTCCGTCAACGACGGCTTCATGGACCTGTGCATTATGATCTCTGCCTGCAAGACCGGCTCTGCCAAGAGAGTCACTGCCGTCATGCCTCTGTTCCCGTACTCGAGACAACCCGACGTCCCCTATAAGAAGGCCGGCGCGCCCCTCTCGAAGTCAACAACCGAAGCCTCCAAGAACTACACCTTCGAGAGTGTGCCTGCCACCCCGGCCCTGGCATTGCGCGCAGTGTTGGCCTCCCCAACGGCATCGACGGCATTGCCTCCAAGCTGGCCAAGAGTAAGCTCAATGAGGAGCGAACCAACGGCATGAACGGATCATCCGACTACTTCAAGAACGGCGAGCACAAGACCAATGGCAACAGCAACGGCCGCCCCCACCAGGACTCTGTTTCCTCGCAGTTCAGCTACACCACCCACGACTACGAGAACCAGAACCAGATCAACGGCTTCCAGTCCAAGCCCGGCTACAAGCAGTGGGTTGCTCAAGCTGGCACTCTGGTCGCAGACCTCTTGACCTGCGCTGGAGCGGACCATGTGGTATGTTTCCCCAAAGAACAAACCTGGGCAATGCGTGAAAGCATGCGCCCGGTGTTACTTGAACGTTGGGCACAAAGCTAACAAGTACACAGATCACGTAGGTTTACTCCCTCACCTTCCCTGGCGTGATGTGCTTTCTTGCGCCTGAGTCTTTGTTGCCAACTCTACCAAAGCTACCTCGTAGCTCCGCCCTGCCTGCATTTCTCTATTGCTTCTTGAAGAAGCAATTGCTAATGATTGCAGGATGGATCTCCACGATCCTCAATACCAGGGCTTCTTCGACGTCCCCGTCGACAACTTGTACGGCAAGCCCCTCATCAAGAGATACATCCAGCAGAACATCCCCAACTACAAGGATGCCGTTGTCATCAGCCCCGACGCCGGTGGTGCCAAGCGCGCCACTGCCATTGCCGATGAGCTGGACATGGCCTTTGCCCTGATTCACAAGGTAGGTCATTGAGTTTCCGTGAGAGAAGGTACAGAATTCATATGTTTTCTTCTTCAGGAGCGACGCCCGACCAAGTACACCGAGCAGCGCAACGCCAGCATGATGCTGGTGGGCGATGTCAAGGACAAGGTCTGTATCCTCGTCGACGATCTCATCGACACCGGCAACACCATCACCAGAGCTGCCAAGCTGCTCAAGAAGGAGGGTGCTACTCACATCTATGCCCTCTTGACCCACGGCATTCTCAGCGGTGACGCCATCCCGCGCATCAACGCCTCGGCCATCGACAAGATGGTCGTCACCAACACGGTCCCTCAGCGAGACCACATGCGGGTCTGCCCCAAGCTCGAGTACCTGGACGGTGAGTTCTCCGCTGCCCTGCCTGTCTAAACTTTTGCTAAACTGCGGTAGTCTCTCCCGTCTTCGCGGAGGCGATTCGCCGTGTTCACCACGGCGAGTCCATCAGCGTCCTTTTCCAGCACAACTAAAAGCATCATCACATGGCGTTGAAAAGAACATCGGCTTTTGCATCGGAGGGTTTATTGGATTCCAACAACTGCTTCTAGGGAAATTTCAGCAACCGTGGTTGTTGCTTTTACAGGCGTTCAGCACAGGGAGGGGGTGGTCGAGTGCGGCATCTTTTTCCGCCATGGACATTCTAGACGTTTTCCCTTTTTTACCGGATCATCCACCACATACCAGCTCGTTTCCCGCGGGAAACAGAGCGGTTCGTAGGCAGCCCCATCTGGCTTGCCATATTGCTACACAAAAACACACAACACACAAGAAGGAGTTACATAGGACCTCATCCGTAGCGATGGGGGCTCTTTGTACAGCGGACCCGAAGAGCGGTGTTGGCTCGATTCGGCGGCTTTGCTATACACAAAACTTTCCAAGTCTTCATGGGTCACAAACACACACTTGTCTCTTTTCACTCTCTGCGAATTTGGGCTCTTTCCTTGATAATTTAGGGACTCGCATGTGGGGAGGCAGTGGAGAAGTGGGTGCGCCGTAGTCTTGTCACTTCCCGTCCACGCGTAACAAGAAAATCACCGTAGAAAACAGCCTCGCCGCTCGTGCACCGTGAGTGTGCTCGTAGATCATCGTGACACGTAAGATAGACTAGAAAATCTAGCAATTAAGATGTGCGAAACCTCTGTCAGTTTGAATGTGCTGTGCCTTTGATGTCGTCAGTGGTTCTGAGAAGTTGCCTTCATGACGTCCCCAGCTTGAGTTTCTAACCGGTGGAGTCACCTTTCCAAGTCTCTGCAGCCTTGGTCGAGCCTTCTTCAGAGCTTCAGGAAAGATTGTCATCGGTGATCTCATTTTCATGGTTAACTTGGTTAGGAGCATTGCTTCTCTTCCGCGTCTGGCTCAGCTGATGCTCAGTGTAGAGAAAACATTAAGGGGTGTGGGCTGTTGGGTCTCTGGGATTGTGCGCGGCTACTTTCAAGGACAAGCAGCCCATAATCTAGGGCCCCTATCTGTGAAAGTAGCCTTGAAACCGAATCACTGGGTCGTCAACTGCCAAGCCTGTATGGCGCTGTCACTGGAGAATCGCACAAAGTACAGTTTGATTGTACTAGGAGTTTTCGGCCCAGTTGCATATTTCACAAGGTGTGAGACAAGAGAGGTAGGCATCTGTCTTAGCAGTGTTTCGTTGACTGCTGTGATATATCTGTCTATTTGGACACTGAACTATCGACCGAACATATTGAGACATGGGCTGGGTCGAGTGATGTTATAAGTATAACAATCAACCGCCGGCGTTGGACATCATGCGTCAAGACATTGGACTACGGAGCGTTTGGAGAGATCCCACCCAGTGTTTATCCTCAACTTGAGCAACACAAACCAGTTCCAGAGTGCTTCCAAGGGCGGGCGTGCAGAATAAGCAAAGACTGGTCCGGTAACTTCACCATATACTATTTACAGAAGAATCGAGCTTCCACAGATGTCTCGTTGAGGTAAAACACAAACAAGGATGGCGTAGCCAACCACCAGCTTCTCCAAGCCAAGAAACACCCTCAAGTCCCGCGGCCCCACCAAGCCCGTTTCGCGGGGTACCGGTCGCTTATCTTATCGGCAGCCAAGCTCACCCCGCCGACCCCGAGCTCTTCCCGGGGGTGGTGGATGCTCAATCCCAACTACACCTCGGCATCGGTGTCAGTCAACAAAGACCCGAGATCCTCTCCTACCGAACCGTGTCAATCCCCCCAGTTCCGACAGACTGCAATTGAGACCCACAATGGCGACGCTCTCTGGCGCAGAGCGCATCCGCGCCATCACAGACGAGGACGGCATGTTCAAGGCCTTCGACACGTACCCCTGGAAGAAGGACAAGGCGTTCATGGTACTGTTCCTCCTGGGCGCATCACCGCTCCCATCTATGTAGAGGTACTAACCCACCGCCAGTCCGGCCTAAACGCAATCCTCGGCGACCCAAACATCGAAAACCCCCAGGGCAGCCCCTCCGACCTCGCCGTCCATGCCCGGGTCTTCTACTACGCCCAGCGCATCGGCGTCACCATCGACTTCGCGCGGTACAAGGACTGGCTCGCGAGGCACCCGGGCTATACGCCTCCCGACATTCTGCCCGAGGAATACAAGTCACAGAACACACAAGGCACCGCCACCACTCCCACAACAGCAGGCAGCAGCGACGTCCCGGACCTGACCTCGAAACTCAGCGGCTTGAGCACTGGCAAGGTAAAGGAAGAGTCCGCCGCCGCTGCCGGACCGGCGCCATCGTGGCAAGCAGCCGCCCCAAAAGCAGACCTCTACGTCGAGCGCAAACCACCCTCTCAAGCAGACGCCCCAGGCGAAGGGGGCGATGAGCCCGCGTACCCGATGGGCTTCGCGCAGATGCTTGAGATGATCCAAAAGGGCATCCCGATCCCTGGCATCAGACAGATCCCGGACACGGTCGTCAGAGACGCGGTAGGCTTTCTCAACCTCTCTTTGAACCCCTCTTTTCGTCTCATTGCCGGCTGACTCTCTAGTCTGTCAAACCGTTTGGGAAACGTGCGGTGCCAAAGAAACCTTGGGAGAAGGATTTACCGGCTCCAGAAACCGCCACGGACGCGGCCGTGACGCCTTCCGTGGTTGATGCCGAATTTCCGCCATTGGACGAGGTAGCAGCACCTGTGGCCGAAGCTGCAACTAAAGAGACGTGAGCCCGTAAAGACATGCCTGGATTATTTCGAGTCATGAGTGCGGCGTTTGGTAGAAAAGGATGATATCAAAGTGAAATAACGGCGTTGGAACATTGACGAGAGGCGAAAAAGAAGCCCAAGGGAAAGTTCGTGTCTTATGAATGAGCTATTTGAGGAAACAGAGACTCTCAAGGGACACATTTTAGGGAAACTATCTAACGGCTGATTGAGGACTGCCACAGATGCTGTCCAATCTGGACTAAGCCACACTCCAAAGTCTCTGGAATGTGATACATACTACATACAGTCATTGCCGTTGTCTTTCTGATATTCCATGCTTGCTTGTTTGTCCATCCTCGCGCTTATCCGATTCGTCCAGCTGACTGATACAGTAAACTGAGGACGCATCAAAGGAATACCCGGATGTGTCGATGAACCGCCATGCATAAATGAGAGCATTTTGGCTGGGCTTCGTGGTGCAAGGCCGACACCCAAGTTAGGGTGTTGCACTGACGCACGCCGTCCATATTGCAAAATCCATAACCATGTTGTGTCCAATGCACTCAGACAAGTGATAACCTGCCGAGCGTAGGATGACAGTTGATCTGTAAATTAATGGCCGAGGAAAATGTTTCGTGAGCGCGGACAAATGGGGTTGTGCAGCGACTTCGTCAGAGTTAAGGAAAATCGACGGAAGGGTCGAAGAGTTAGGAAAAAGAGACACCATAAAAGGAGTGAGAACAGTTGATGGTTGATCGTGACAGGGTAGAGCGTTCGTGACAGGATTCAACGGTAGCCGCTACCACCACCACTGTAGCGAGAACCAGCGCCCATCCGGTTCATGCTAGGACCAACTCCAGGGCCAGGGCGTGTCGCTACAGCTGGATTGGTGCAAAGCATGCCGACACGAGAGCCGAATTTGGATCCCCGAAGAGACACCATGTGCTTGCGAATGTGGGCAGCGACCACCTCACGGTGCTGCATGCCAGCGTGGGTAAGGATGTACTGAATGAGGTAGTTGCCGTACTGGTCGCTGGCAATGTCAACAAGGGGGATACGGGGCGATCAACTCGTCCCTCACAGACTCGGTCGAGGTAACGACTGAGGAATTCTCCACCGCCAATCTTGAGGCACTTCTCGACAACCTTGGAGGCGTACTGGTCGGTGCTGTACTCGGCAGCGTAACGAATGACGTGATCAATAGCACGGCTGCGATCAGCGGGCGCGCCATGCTCGCAGATGTGCTGGATGCACCAGTTTCCAAACTGGCCATGTGCCACAATGTCGATGTTGGCAAGGACCTCCTCGATGCAAGGACGCTAGGACAACTGGTAAGCACTGTACCTCCTAGAATAGAAAAAAAATATGACAACATACCTTGTCTTCCTCGAGACAGTTCTCGAAAATGTTCTGGACAACTAAGCTGCCAGTCTCACCTAAGGCAACCTCGTGCCACATGCCTCGCAGAGCGTCGTTGACGAACTTCATGATTTGAGGAGGAGACTCGGACCAGCGAAGCTCGAAGAGCTTTTGCCAGACGTGGCAAGCATATCGATGAATGACAGTTTCGGGGATTCTACGAAGGAGTTCGTGAACCATGATAGCCTTGTAGTCCTCGGGCACAGAGTCAAATGCCTTCTGAACGACATGACATCCGAAAGGATCCATAGAAAGGTTGAGTGTGTTGCCTCGAATGGCCTCGGCGATCTTGATGACTTGCTCGGGGGTCCCATGCTCGAAACAACGTTGAACGAGAAAGTTGCCGAAACGATTGACCATGAGAGGGTAGGCTTGAGCGACGATGGCTTCCACAATCTCGTACTTTTGGTCCGGTGTGCCGACCTTGAGCTTCTGCTGCAGAAAGATGGACGCTTGCTGGTCGTTGTTGCAGACAATCTTGTCCACGATGTACTTCCAGTTGCAGTTGACATTGCGATCCAACAGCCGGCGATAGTTGAGAGGCTCAGTGGTCGGGAGGTATGTCTGACCCTCGGTAACGATGCTCTGTTCAAGTTCACAAGTCAGCTTGCTGGACCTTGGTTATATACTCTGTTTGTCCCAACGTACCTCAGTCTTCCATCCGTCACCGGTGGTGAACTCGGTTGCGTGAGGCGAAAGCTGAGTGCCAATAGGTTGCTGGTTGTAACCCTGGTACATGCCAGAACCCATATTGCCGGAGGTGCTGCTGGGTCCTCCGCTCATGGCCTCGAACGGCGCAGGTGAGGGCGTGAACCCACCATAGTTCTGTCCACCAAAGCTGGATCCACCGTAAGGCTGGGGGGAAGGCCACCGACTGTTGTCGAAACGATTGTTCCGGCGACTGCTAGGGGGCCGAGAGAACATCTCAGTGTCATGGCTCATCCGATCGCCTCGGTAACTATCCGCCATGGAGTACGGGCCAGCAGGATCCATGTAGCCCTGGTTGAAGCCACCACGGCTACCGCCATACCAATCACCTCCAGCTGACTGCGAATCGGAAGAGGGTGTGGGCATGATGTGGTTGGAAAAGGGAGGTGGGCCTCTGTGACTAGCCCAGGCAGTGCGGGAACGGCCAAACCCGCCGACAGAAGGCACGCCAGCGTCCGAAGAGCTGTCATCATTAGGGCCCCAAGCGTTCTCAGCCCCGAACATACCGGAGCGAACCGAGGGTTGCGCCATGATATCGTCCTCCTGCTTGACGGAGCGCGATTGCGCAAGCTCGTGGTCGAGGCGAGAGATCTTGTTCTGGGCTCGGGCAAGCTCCATCTTGAGCCGGAGAACCTCTTCCATGTTGCCGTGGTTCTCCTCAAGGGCGGCACTGGCCGGACGGGTGGTAGGGGCAGTCGTTGGGAACGAGTCCGTCGCGGGGGTGATGGGGACGGAGTTGGTGGTTGAGGGAGCCTGGTCAAAGCCTCGCGTGTACAAGCTATTGTCATCAGAACTCTTCAAAGCCTCATTCTGCTGTTCAAGAGCGGCTTGCTGCTCTGACAACTTGGCGAGCAGCATGTCCATTGGGTTTGTGCCAGCAATAGTGGCCGACTCCTGATTGGTCTTCTTCTGTCGTCGCTGTGAGCGAGGCGGCAGATGGCGGGTGGAAGAACCAACCTTAAGAGTGTTCTGATTTACAAGCTTGGACGTAGCAAGAGTTATGACGGCCGGCTTGTGCTTGAAGGCAGGGGCATCCTTTAACTATTGTCAGCTTGATCATCCCTCTCGGAAACTAATTTGATCGCAGCATCAGGACCTGAGCCACTGAGGCAGCCGACGGCCCAGTGGGACGACGAGCGACAAGAGATTTGACGTACATTGGCAGCTATCTCGGGAGACTGCTTGATGTTATCCTGCACGATAGTCTTCGAAACCCCCGGAGAGCCTCGCTTGGGGGTAACACCCGTAGAGGGAGGTGTAGACATCGTGGCGTTGAGTACAATGTCTTATTGAAGGGTCGATACTTTGCAGTAAATAGGACGGGGTATTGCCGAAAGGTGGCAGACAAGATGAGAAAGATTCCTTTGTAAGGGATCGCAGATGAAGGAGTGTTGATGGGATTTCTTCTCTACCGTAGAGGGAGGAGTTTGTAGTAGTGAAGGGTGAAGAGCAGAAGAAGGATTTGGTCGTGAGGATTGTAGGAGAGGAGATGAAATAGAAGGAGGAAGGAGCAGAAGGCACCGTAAGGAAGGAGGCAGGCATGGGTTGCTAGGCACCTTTCTCGAAATAAGGTGCACTATTCCTGACTTCAACTTGGCAATCGCAAGGTTGGCGAGGGGCGATAGGAAGTTTGGCTACCAAGATGAGTCCAAGGTGAAGTAGGAGTCCTGCACTGTCAAATTGATCAAGGAAAAGGTCGCTGTTAACTCTATAGAGGGTTGGAAGGAGACCACCACTCGGTAAAGATTAGCACCCTCCTCCTCTCTTTAGAGGCTGGCTGGTTAAGACAAGTATGTTGGCACCTGCCGGGTCTTCAATTTGAAAGCCTGGTGATCAGCTCTGTTGTCCGAGTGGAATAAGGCATCGTCCGTCTGACAGATGGTAGCCCAGCACTTCCTAGTGCAGCTTAGCATCAGACGGGTTCTGACTCCTTCTGAATCCAAGAACACGCGCCACTCTGGGGTCCACGGCTCAAGGCTCCATTTGCAGTATTTCCACCTCGAGGCATCGCAGTTATGCAAGGGTTTTACCCAGATATTTCGAGATCAAGACTGCAAGAGACTTAATTTTAGGCTGGACAGTGAGGCTGGCCCATTGGGAAATAAATAGTATCGGCTGACTTGTCTCCTACTCACTCAGCCAGCTATGCGCGACGTAACGTGCATGGCAAATTCGGCCAAGGTTGACACCACGAAGATCAGCCAGTAACATATTTCGAAAGAGATATTCAACAGAAACTTCCAAACAAGCCTGCGTAATCCATAACAGGCTTGTGTTTTGTGGCATTGTTTTAATCCATTGTATTTTTACACCGGGTGCCCTACGTATGGACATCCTTCTATGACCCGTCCTGGCCGCGAACCATGGCAGTGTCTTTCCAAGAACTTCGTGATTCCCAAGACGCACATATGCCACGCGAGAGTCGTCGAGTCGCTTTGGTTTGGAGAAGTAGACAAAAGCTACCCAAGCACTTCGGTGTAGAGGGCGATTCGGCGGATATGGGACCGGCGGTTCGTTCGGTAGTTGCACATCGTATCGTACAAATGTTCTCGCGAAAGGCGTTTATTTCTTCTTCGGCTCAGCTACAAGACGGTCAGCACTTCCATTCACAATAGTCGCAGCACATCGTCGGAGAAAGGCAATGGACTTACTCTTCGTCTTCTTCTTCTTAGGCGCACTCTTGCCTCTGGCCTTCAGACTACCTTGTGCGTTAGCAGCAGCTCCTCGTCTCCCTTCCTCTCAAGCATACCCGGCAATGTGCTCCAAACGGTCCATCTCTTCCAGGTCGAGGGTCGTGAGTTCCGGGCCAAACTCTCTCTGGACATCTCTGACGGTAAGGACCTTGCGCGGGTAGTAGGATGCAAGAGCAGGTCCCTTCAGACGCTGTCGCAGAATCTTGTTTCCCGTCCGCACTCCCTCAGGATTGAATGTTGCCGCAAAGACTTCGCATTGGGCCTAGTTCAATTGGTTAGTGAGATCCAACAATCGACAACACTGAACGAGCTTACCTTCATGAGGTCCAGCAACCTCGCGCGTGGGACACTCATCTTTGCATATCTTCCAAGAATACTATCAGACGATCACCGTAAAATTGTCGCGAAGTCGAGCAAGCTTAGCTAAACCGTGATGTTCAACTTTGGCCCCACTTGGCTCAAGCCGTGCCGTCCAATTGGGTCCTGGCGTCGGGCCTTTGATTGACCGTCATAGACCATCCCTGGCCCCTGTTGCACTGAAGGCGCTGGACTGGACCCCTGTCCACGGCATCGCGTGCAGCACCAGCAGTGGGCTCCATCTGCGCATAGTGCCCAGACCAAGTTTTTGTCTGAATGAAGTACCTTCTCCCCAGGCGAAGTTGTGAAAGTCACAAATAGCAGCCCCGACTATTACCAGCGCTCGCCTTCTTCAAACGAGTATTATTCAAATATATACAGGGTGTTTCGATTTGAACACCCTCGGAAATTTCATCGGGATTTCCGAACACGATAAGAATGAGCAAGCGCTCAAGTTCAGGAGCGCTGCCTCCGAACAAGCGAAGACATACAGAAGATGACGCGTTGGCATTGCTTCTCGACCATAGCGATGAACTCATAAGGTGTCTTCAGGCGTTGTCCAAACCAAAGTCTGGTTCTTCTCTTGAGAGTGAAGATATGCAAAATCTTCGACAACTCAGCAAGAAGCTACTACCTTCGTTCCAGCAACTGGCTGGCGAGGGACCCACACAGGTTGAGAAAGACCGAGAGAACGGTGTAAGCAAGGTAAATCTCTTTATGCCATCATCTGGGAAACCGATCAACCGATTGACTGTTCCAGAAAAAGCTCTTGTCAAGTGAGAAGGATGAAGCCTTGCCAACGTCTAGTCTGAGGCCACCACCCTCCGCACCGCCAATTCCTTCCTTCACGCTGGTCACACCATGGACACCCGCAGATATTCCAAGCTCGATGCCGCCTCTCCCCGAAATTTCGAACCCAGTCCTAGAGATGGCAGCTTTCACTCACGTAGGTATGGTCAATCACAAGACCGACCTCAGTTATGAACGTCTCGAGTGGCTCGGAGATGCCTACGTGGAGTTGATCTCATCATCTCTCATCTTCCAGACTTTTGGGGGGATGCCCACTGGAAAATGTTCTCAGTTGAGAGAGCTTCTAGTTCGCAACGCCAACCTGGGAGAGTACTCTGCACATTACAAGCTTTTCGAAAGAGCTAGGCTGCCCGCTGAATTCAGGCCTAACGGGAACCTGCCTGCTGTGGCCAAACCGCACGAAGTCAGGAAAGTCCGCGGAGACTTATTCGAGGCATACGTCGCCGCAGTCATCCTCTCGGATCCCGTTCACGGCCTCTCTCGAGCTGCAGAATGGTTGAAGGCACTATGGGCAACGACGATCAAGGATCAAATCAGAACAAACGCCAAGAAGCCAGAGATGGGGATGGTGAAGGAGCTGAGCGAAACTGTGACAGAAGAGAATCAAATCGCGCCCAAGGTCCGGCTGAGTCAGGTAATCGGTGCCAGGGGCATCACTATACGATATGAGGATATGCCCAGCGCGAACAAGAAGGACAAATACAACAAGAAGCTGGCGCTATTCACCGTCGGTGTCTATCTTGACGGATGGGGGGAGACAAACAAACTTCTAGGAACGGGGAGCGACCTGAACAAGAAGGAGGCAGGACAAAAAGCAGCCCAGATGGCGCTGAACAACAAGAAGTTGATGAAGGTTTACGGGGAGAAGAAAAAGGCGTTCATGGCAGCTCTTGGAGAGACGGAGGCTAAATCGGACTAATGTCTCTATGTTATACCCATGATACCAGTCTCAATTAGAGGAGACGAAACGACAAGCTTGCTGACTGGAGCATATGACCATTAGCATGAGCAAGGCAGGAAAGAAAACGCGATGGCAAAACCAAACAACTTCCACCATACGGAAGGTAGACCAGAGACAACAGACGAACATGGCAGATGTCAACTCGGATGCTTTTGTTTTATTTCGAGGGACAGCCCCCGAAAGCGAGTGCGTGCCCCAGCCGAGTCAAGTCATCCAATGCTAAACAACGAATGCACATCAGCGGATACGATGCTAGCACCAGGGGCCTCGGCACAATGCCAGCGCAGTGGTCGGTGACAATTGACGGAAGTCTAAATCGAAGACACAAGCAACCCATAATCCGGTGGAATGCACTGCAACTAGGTAACACCGCCCGCATTTCACGTGTCTCCCTGTCTCGGCCGACGACAACAGCCGCAAAACGGCTAGCCACACTCGCTTACATTACGAGAAGACGCGGGGTGATGGGACTGTGTTGCTAGTCGGGATCTCGGAGAACCACAACCCCTGACAGGCCTGCGTCAGGCCCGCGCACCCACGCCCACTCTAAACCCCTAGCTGCACCTCCTGGGTTGGAGGTGGCTAGGTAGTTGCGCGGTCGTGTTGCCGTTGCTGCTGGGTGTTGCGCTGCATTGCGTTGCGGTGCGTGACCCGCGGCCGAGGCAAAAGACAATTACCGGAGCTGGTGCTAACATCAGCGCGCGAACCACCCCCCATCCCATGCCCAACCCGACACAGGCGATAGGCAGCTGATTGCCGGTACTGAATTACTTTGCCTCGCTCACTACCTTGGCTCTTCTGCCAGCACCCGCCATCGCCGCCGCTACCTCGCTGCCCACCAGACCACTTCCTTTCTTTGGATGACGAGGGAGAAAACCTTCCATGGAGGAGCTTTCGCATTATGCATGTCGGTGTGCTGGATTCTTAACTTGCTCGTTTTGCCAGCACCTGTTGCCTCCATCACCCGTTTCAGCTCCCGCGGCCAAGGTACCTCGCTCTATCCGTACCTTTAGGTGAAGGGGAACCCATCTAAGTCATCTTCGCCCGGTGTTGCTGAGCCGAACCACCCTACACCCCCGACCCAGCCGACCCAAATCACCTCGGATACACGCCATTAACGCGCCTCCCCTCCCTTCTTCCTTCCTTCAAGTCGTCTGATTCAAGGACAGCCTTCTAGATGGCAGACTCTGTGGGTGAGTTGCGAAAGAAAACCTTACTATCCTTCCATTGTGGAGAGCAATTCCCCGGCTAATTAATGCGATTATGCTTCCTCTTCAGATCGCGTGTTCGTCCATGCCTTAAATACCGTCAAGAAAATCCCCAAAACGGGGGCCTCACGTCCCCCGCCATCCGACAGGCTGCGACTCTATGGCCTCTACAAGCAAGCGATGGAGGGGGACGTTGATGGCGTCATGGAGCGGCCGACCTCGGCTTCCGGCATGCCAGCCGACGAGCTTCAGCGCGAGAAGGACAAGTGGGATGCATGGAACTCCCAGAAGGGCCTGAGCCGGACGGAAGCGAAGAGGAGGTATATCGAGGCATTGATCGAGACGATGCACAAATATGCGACGACACCGTAAGCCCAGATCTCTCCGCTGCCTACCCGCAGCCACTCGCGCATCACGGCCCCCACTGATACGTTGATACAGAGACGCCAAGGAACTTGTCGCGGAACTCGAATTCGTATGGAACCAGATCAAGAATAACAGCCCCAGCTCGACCGACTCTTCGCCGAAAGGCACGGGGTACACCGGCGAGTTGCGACAGTATCAACAACCCTTGCCCGAATCCGAAGGGCCGCTGAAGGTTCTAAGCCCTATGAGCGAAGACGATGCTGCCGAACGAGACTCGGTCGGAAAGATAGTTTATGACGATGACGAAGAAGGGGAGGCTCTTGCGAGGAGCAGTAACTGGTCCCGAAGCGTGGAGCGAGCCCTGGAAAAGCTCTCGGCCGAAGTCGCGGCATTGCGAGAGCAAATCACAACAGGAAGGGAGTGGAAGTCGAAGAAATCACGAAGCTTTCCTGCCTGGATACGCTGGCTCACTTGGCTGATAATGAAACATCTCGCCATCGATTTGGTTCTATTGAGTTTCATACTCCTGTGGATGCGCAAGCGGAAGGATCGGAGGTTGGAAGACTTGGTCCGGGCCGGGTTGAAGTTGATGAGGGAGTACGTGAGGAATATCTTGCCATCCAGATGACAACTTCCCGATGGTGGTGAGAGATGCAATCTACGGATATACCTACGGACGGAAGAGCTATCGATGCTGCTCTCTGCACCCCAAACATGGCATCGCTCTGGGCAAGGCAACGTTTGTCACTTGTCCACAATAGAGCTGAAAGGCTTGCGCGACCTGTACGCCAGCCCGAGCTCGGCTTACTCAGGAGAACACGCGCATGCTGTCCTCCTGGCGTATGCTTCGATGTTCCATTGTAAGAGGTGAAGAACAGTCTTATCTGCATCTAGTGTCGATAGCAGACGAGTGTCTCCTGGGAGACGGGTTCACGACCACGCCACAACCCATTTCGATATCGATGGGTCTGGAGGTGACACTATTGTAGGGCGGAGGACGCTCAAATGCCGAGCCGAGCACAGTCGCCGAGTGTCATGGGACGAACGTGCAGACGATCAAGGCCCCCATAGGTCTATATATCTGATCTGTCAGGAGAATCTCATTCATCTTAATTGTGATGTCCGTATCTAATAACTACAGATGTAAACTTCAGTGTTGCACTACCGCCCATCGTGCCTTCTCTGTTAAAATATTCTCCTAGCTGTCTACACCAATAAGTGTCCGCCATGGTTTCGAAGCAACATCAACACGGAAAAACGATAAGACGAAAGGACTCGTGCATGCCACTGCGTTCCGTTTTCGGAAAAGAAATTATCAACTTTGCAATTTGGCAGAGATATCGACGAGGCTCTTAGTTGGGCACCTTGTGAAGCACCTGATCGCAGGCGTGGGACCTCAGCTTACCTATCCATGTTAAGGTCGTCTTTGGGACGGACGAGCTCAGATCTCAACTTCATACTTTCACCCCTCACTCAACAGCGTCTAATATACTGCAACAAGGAAACCGTAACACCCTGTCTTCGCCATAACCCGGCCCGGCACCCGTTTACACTGTTACATACGAGCATTGATAGTCAAGATGCAAGAGAACTCGGGCAATCCAGCAGAGACACCAGCGAAGGCGCGTGGCGGCAACGACTCCCCAGAAGAAGAAATACCAATTCTCATGCCAGGTGACCCCGCGATGGCGATGTTTGTCCCCCTGGAAGAGAGCCTTTTTGAACCCTTCGATCCCCCCCAAAATAAGAGCGACCGCCTGAAGCTCTGCCAGCAAAATATTGAGAAACACACAGCCGCCGTGGAGCAAAACATTACTCACATGTACGAACGTGAGCACCAGCGCATCCTACAGCACGCAAAAAAGTTAGAGGCAACCATGGGCGTCTGGGAGACCACCGCGGGCCTCATGCCGGGCGATGAGGATCTCATCATGGAATACGTGGACGCCCCGATTCCTCACGATGCTGACTACAGCAACCGTCACCTGTCAACGTATGCGTACCCCGAAATCCCGGGCGATATGCCTCCAAGGCAGGCGGCACTTCACTGGTCGCTCTACAACGCTGGCCAGGCCTTGATTCAGTTAAGAGGGTATGCCACTCACGCGCAAGAGATCAAAAACCATTACAAGACGGCTTTGGAGAAGGGACTTGCGCATGACGAGTCATCTGACAACGGGCGAAATGGTGAACCTGCTCGGAGCTAGAAGCGACAGCGGGTAGCCTGAGTGGCAACGATAACCATGGCCAGAAGAGGCGACGGGATATCAGGTGGTAGGCAGAAATCAAAGACGAACAGCACAACCAGACTCTAGTCGCGCTCGAGACCTGCTCGTGTATGGCCGATGACCATAGCTCGACCAGAACGCGTCCTAGGTACAAACGCGTTGTGCGTAAACATCAAAAGATACCAGCATATACACACGTATAGTCTACAACTAGTCTCATCGTCATCATAGTATGTAACGACCGGCGGTAAGAGGCAACGGTCATTGAAGAGTTCTCCCATGCTTCCATAAACGGCGTCAAAATGCTTCATCTAGGTACACTAGATAGAGGAAGGCTCGATTGAAGCATCTTACGACGCTCAAGCTCACCTACGATAAGTGTCCGTATACAATTTAAAGTGAAGAAGAAAAAGAGAAAAGGCGCTCTGCGACGAAATTTTCCGAGGACTAAATGGTGCTCGGAGGAGTTTGTTGGTGCCTCAGGCGGCAAGGAGCTCCCGGGCTGGTTAGCCAATCACGGCCGATGTAAATTAATCGCGATTTACGCACTAGCGCCACCAAATCCCCATGGCCCGGGACAGAAGAGCAGTTCCTCCCGACGTCAACGATTGAATATCAATCCGCCCTCCCACCAAAACGCCCTCCCCCGTTTCGTCTGAGTCTCAATCCGTCAAGGCGACACGATGCTGCGGCATTCTCTAGCACGTTCGGCTTGGCGGACTGGCAAGCAGGCCGCCAATGCCTCGCGAACCTTTGCTACCACAGCTCGCAGGAACGCCGAAGTCGAGCTCACAGTTGGTATGGACGAGCCCGCCCCTCGAGAAGGGCCCCAATTGGTTTCTGTGACGATTGCTGACGAGAGATACAGACGGAAAGAAGGTGTCAGTCGAAGGTGAGATGCGATGTGGACTCGTCCGGGAATTCCTGCTCACGACTTTCTAGCCGGCTCCGCCCTGATTCAAGCTTGCGAAAAGGCAGGCGTTACGATCCCCAGGTTCGTTCAGCCATTAGAAATCAAACACAGATGGCAGTAACTGACTTGCAAACAGATATTGCTACCATGAGTACGACTCCTTCGATCGAATCGATGAACGTTGCCAGGGATGACCCCCGACTGACAAATACAACAGAAAGCTCGCGATTGCCGGTAACTGCCGTATGTGCTTGGTCGAAGTCGAACGCGCCCCGAAGCCCGTAGCCTCCTGCGCATGGCCCGTCCAGCCCGGTATGGTCGTCAAGACCAACTCCCCCCTTACACACAAGGCCCGTGAGGGTGTTATGGAGTTCCTCCTCGCCAACCACCCCCTCGACTGCCCTATCTGCGACCAGGGTGGTGAGTGTGATCTCCAGGACCAGTCGATGCGATACGGTGGCGACCGTGGCCGTTTCCACGAAGTCGGCGGCAAGCGTGCTGTCGAAGACAAGAACATCGGCCCCCTCATCAAGACCTCCATGAACAGATGTATTCACTGCACACGATGTGTTCGTTTCTCTAACGACGTTGCCGGCGCCCCCGAGATGGGCTCTTTCGGCCGTGGCAACGACATCCAGATCGGTACCTACCTCGAGAAGAACCTTGACTCCGAACTTTCCGGCAACGTCATCGATCTTTGCCCTGTCGGTGCCCTCACTTCCAAGCCTTACGCTTTCCGTGCGAGACCCTGGGAGCTGAAGCACTCCGAGTCCATTGACGTCCTTGACGGTTTGGGATCCAACATCCGTGTCGACTCCCGCGGCCTCGAGGTCATGCGCATCCTGCCCAGACTCAACGACGATGTCAACGAGGAGTGGATTAACGACAAGACCCGTTTCGCCTGCGATGGTCTGAAGACCCAGAGATTGACCATGCCCTTGATCCGTCGTGAGGGCAAGTTCGAGCCCGCCGATTGGGAGCAGGCACTTACCGAGGTCGCCAACGCCTACCACCACCTCCAGCCCAAGGCCAACGAGTTCAAGGTCATTGCTGGTGAGCTGACTGAGGTCGAGTCTCTGGTTGCCATGAAGGACCTGGCCAACAAGCTGGGCTCCGAGAACCTGGCCCTTGACATGCCTTCTGGAAGCAAGCCCATCGCCCACGGTGTCGACGTTCGCTCCAACTACCTGTTCAACTCCAAGATCTTCGGTATTGAGGAGGCTGATGCCATCCTCATTGTTGGCAGCAACCCCCGTCACGAGGCTGCTGTTCTCAACGCCCGTATCCGTAAGCAGTGGCTGCGCTCCGACCTTGAGATCGGTGTCGTTGGCGAGACGTGGGACTCCACTTTCGAGTTCGAGCACCTCGGCCTCGACCACGCCGCTCTCAAACAGGCTCTTGCTGGTCCCTTTGGCAAGAAGCTGCAGTCTGCCAAGCGCCCCATGATTATCGTGGGCTCTGGCGTCACCGACCACGTTGACGCCAAGGCCTTCTACGAGACCATCGGTGCCTTCGTTGACAAGAACGCCGCTAACTTCATCACTCCCGAGTGGAATGGATACAACGTTCTCCAGAGAGCCGCTTCCCGCGCCGGTGCCTTCGAGGTCGGTTTCGTCACTCCTTCTACCGAGGTTGCTGAGACCACTCCCAAGTTCGTCTGGCTTCTCGGTGCCGATGAGATCTCTGAGAAGGACATCCCCAAGAACGCTTTCGTCGTTTACCAGGGCCATCACGGTGACCGCGGTGCTCAGATTGCTGACGTCGTTCTTCCTGGCGCTGCTTACACCGAGAAGGCCGGTACCTACATCAACACCGAGGGCCGTGTCCAGATGACCCGTGCTGCCACCTCCCTCCCCGGTGCTGCCCGTACCGACTGGAAGATCATCCGTGCCGCCAGCGAGTTCCTTGGCGCTCCTCTGCCCTACGAGGACGTTGCTCAGCTCCGTGACAGAATGGCTGAGGTCAGCCCGGCCCTGGCGGCCTACGATGTGGTTGAGCCCGTCGCTCTTCAGCAGTTGAGCAAGGTTCAGCTCGTCGACCAGAACAAGGGCTCCAAGGCCAGCGGTGCGCCCTTGAAGAAGGTCATCGATAACTTTTACTTCACAGACGTCATCTCAAGAAGGTTGGTCGACACTCATGCGCGTTCAAGTCAGTATGATGCTAACATATCTCCAAGTTCACCGACGATGGCCCGCTGCTCCGCGGCCAAGGCCACTGGCAACCCCAAGACCAACTTCATGGCGCCAGGCATGGAGGAGGACAGGCCAATGGGTCAGATTGCGTACGGAGCATGAGGAACAGGCTGTACGAGTACGACTGCTGTGGAGAAGCGAAGAAAAGAAAGCTCCTTTGTCTGGGATGAATGCATTGCTTGTACATAATAGCACGCGTGGGTAGAATGAGGCGGGTAGTTGAGAAGAAAGTAAATACCTTCATCAGAGTGCCATGTGACGACGCGATGTATAGCAGACTAATCTCCTGTATTATCCAGACCTTGCGCTATGTTACAAGTTGTAGTGGTTTCTGTTGCTAGATCGCTTTTTCAATCCTCGATAAGACGGGTCCCTGGTATCACAGGGCCAATGTTAACGAGCAAGGAGATGGATTCCTGTATGCAATCTGCAAGACGATAAGGTGTTGTCAGCACACAGTTTCCGCCATTGACTGACATTTGATGTCCCCTTACTTGTACACGCACATGGGTCTTAACAAACTGAGCTAGGTATCCGTTTCGAGCAGTCGACAAGGTACTATGTAACTCACTGACTTGATTAAGTATCATCGACTGGAAAGGTCGTTAACGTCGTACCCGATGCCTTTGGGCTTTGGAAGAAACAAACTTATAAAAATTAGCCGAACTATTTCGAGGTTCCGCCAAGTTCCTTTTCCGTCTAGCTTTTGTCGCTCTGTGAAATTCTCTTACTGTTCCATGCCAATATGTTCAGAGACACCCTATCGTTCGAGGCCATGAAAGAGAGAGCACTCCTTACAATTAATAAGAAAGTGGCCAGCTACATTATGCTGTTGGTTATTCAGCCTGGGAAATATGCTCCCCATCGAAGTTGTCTGTCACATCGTTCTCTGTAAACCATAAAGTTGGACGAATGGCAACTGTGTAGAGGACGTGGGCTCAGCAAAATAGCTGAAGAAACGACGCAAGTAGCCCTTTTTATACATAGCATTATTAGAATGACGATGTCGACTTGGTTGCCAAGTTAGATATTCCGAGAACATTCTATCGAATGTTTTGAGGGGTGCTATCGCAAACTTATCCTTATGCTGATTTGAAGACACACAAAGGGACGATGGGGTACGGTTGAATGTATCGGTGCAATGCCGATTCATATATCCAAGGCAACTGGACATTGACAGTGATCCGCGACCGTTGTCATCAAGACATGAAGTGTTTGAAGGAGCTGAGATGTGACATTACTCTCATTACTAATGCCATGGTTACGTGAGATCCAGTGCAGGCTTCTCAAAGGTTGATAGGTCGTTGCCGAATGGTCGAGTCTACCTTCATGCTAGATCCTTTATATGCCCAACATGGCCAGATTATGTGAAGTTGGTAGCATGCTACTCTATCCATGACAGGTGGGACAAGAAACAGAACACAAAAAGGCTATGCAGGTTTCCCGTGTAAAGCTGGCCGAGCTTTGATAATACGGCTATAGCGTCTCGAAAGCCGTCTATCATGGGGATTCAGTAAATCTGCTTTGAGAACAAGCTCTAGTCTAAGAGCTACAGCTGCACTGGATAGCCCTCTTGAACTTGGGTACATCCCCAACCCACCTCTCCTCCTCCTCCTTATCCCCCTTGTACTCCCGCCCCTCGATCTCCTTACCATCCCAGCTGTCTTCGAAGGGATGCAACGCCATCTGCATAACTCGCCTCAACACATCTCTCTCGCCATCCTTTTCTACCCGCTTGATGATCTCATCAAGCACCCACCCGCGCGGCACAAAGTTGGGGTTGACCGCCTTCATCGCCTTCTCCCTCTCGGCATCCTGGGCGGCGTCCTCGCCCCAGTCCTCGACGACGCGTGCGCTCCACTTGCCCAGCCACGCGCCGATATCTGCGCGGCCCTTGTCCTCGCCGCCCGCGACGCCCTCGGCGTGGAAGAAGCGCGCTGCCACCTCGCGGCGAGACTCCTCGTCCGCGATCTCGGACAGCTTGACGGAGCTGAGGCGCCGGAAGAAGTGGTTGAAGTCCAGCTCGTGCGTCTCCATCGTGTCCAGCAGGTTGCTGAACAGCTCGTCAAAGTCGCTCTCCTTGAAGTTCTTCAGCCCCAGGCGCTGCGTCATGAGGCGCTTGTACTCCGCCATGAAGAGCGCCTTGTACTCCTCGCCGACCTGCATGATGATCTTCTCGGCCCTGGCCACGAGGGCCTCAGACTGGCTCTCCTCCACGCCGTCGTTGACAAACGTGTCCTCGTCCACGCCGGCACCGGCGCCGAGCAGCTCGCCCAGCGCCTCGCCGAAGCGCACCAGGTTCCACCATATGATGGTCGGCTGGTTGCGGTAGCTGTACCGCAGCAGGTGGTCGTCGTGGTTGGGGGTGTAGGCCGGGTCGAAGTTGTCCATGAAGGCAAAGGGGCCAAAGTCGATGCTCAGGCCCATGATGGAGGTGTTGTCCGTGTTAAGCACGCCGTTCATGAAGCCGTAGGCCTGCCACTTTGCGACCGTCAGGGCGTTGCGGCGGGCGACCTCGCGAAACAGCCGGGTGAAGCGGTTCTCGGCCGACTCTTCAGGCCCCTGGATTTCCGTCGCCGGGACGCCACGAGCGGGTTCGAGGCCCTCGCCAGGCTTGTCGGGGTTTTCGAGGCGCGCGGGCAAGGCTTCCCAGCCGCCGAGGACGTCTTCGGCAACGTACGTCGCTAGGGTGCGGATCATGGCGCGGTCGCCCCTTGCACGCTGGAGGTCGAAGTTTCCGAGACGGATCCACGACTGCGCGAAGCGCAAGACGATCGCACCCGGCTCGACGGTCTCGCGCCTGACCTTGGTCTTTGGCAAGAGCGTCAAGGCCAGCGCGCGCGTGCTGGGGATCCCGAGCGCATGCAGCGCCTCGGAAACCACAAACTCGCGGATACTCGACCGCAGAACCGCCTTCCCGTCCGCGAACCGCGAGTACGGCGTGATGCCGGCGCCCTTCAGCTGCAGCTCGTACCGCACCTTTGTCTCGGGGTTCCGCGTCTCGAACAGCGAGATGGCGCGGCCGTCGCCGAGCTGGCCGGCCCACTGGCCGAACTGGAACCCGCCGTAGCACTGCGCCCAGGGGTATCCGCCCTCGAGCTTCTCCTCGTCCCAGCCGTGTAGCCTGTTTCCGGCGACGGTCTGGCGGAACTCCTCCGTCTCCTCGTCGCCTTCCTTAATACCGATATCTCGCATCGCGGCGGGACTTACGGCGAGGAGCTCCGGGTCCTCGGCGGTCTCGGGGCGGACCCATGTGAAGGCGGCGTTGCGAACACCGCGCGGGGCGATCTGGTCGCGCGGGGTCTTGTGGGAGTCGGCCGGGGTCGGGAAGAGGGAATCGGGCGGGAGGGAGGAAGTATATGTCCATGTCTTGGGGAGTTCTGCTATCGGGAGGCCGTGCCCGGCGGATGCGGGCTTGGGTGTTGTCGAGTTGGACGCCCCGTTGGAGAGTTGGGCGGCCATGGTGGGCAGTCTGGAAGCGCTAGGGACGGCTCGGCGGGAGAGCAGTCGCGAGAGCATATACGCAGTTCTCTTAAAGTCAATGGAGCGGGTGAGCAACTAGTAAAAATCAAGTCTAATGGTAGGGAAGAAGAGAAGGGAAAGGGGGGTATCTCGGATGCAAAATTTACAGCAGGAAAAGACCCGGAGAAAATTCCGTCGGGGTGTATTTGCTAATGATGATGCTCGCACGCCAACTGAGCCGTCCTTCCGCGATGGGAGACTCTCTGAACCTCAAGTGGCAACGGACTTTGAACAAATCGCCATGCTGACCTAAGCCACGAGATGCGTACCTGGATAGAACCTCGGCGTCCACGTCGGCGGGTCGCCGATAGCAACGGGTCTTCCGATCCCGGAGTCAATTATCAGTCAGATATTTGGGAATCCAGACCCCGTGTCCTCGACCCTTTCTTCGGTCGCCGCCCCAATGCCGAAAAGGGATCTGTCCCCAAAAGTTTGGAGAGCTCGCGGCCCGTGTGTCCCAGCCGAAAGAATGCTGGTTCCCCCATCATGCAACAGCTCCAATATTGTCGTCACCACTGGCGTCACTAAAAAGCCCCCGCCATCCCGGGAATGCCGCCCTTGCAAGATCCAATTGGGGCAAGTGGGGGATCCCAGTGTACCAGTCCACCACGTCCCTCAAAATGCGCCATGTCTGCTTCGTGTGACGGAACTTTACCAAGCTCTCCAGTCAGACGCGGGTTTCTGGTGATGTCAATTGGTCGTCTCGGCTGCTGCTGGCCGACTCGGTGGGGTGTTCCCGTTTCTGGCGTTTGGTTTCGTGCTGCATGTCATCAGAACGTGGAAAGGGCACAGAAGCATGGTGCATTCATTGTCTCAATCTCGTCCCATCGTGCTGATAATCCGATTCCCCTCAAGCTCCTTCGGCAACTACAAGAGATAGCTCCATCCGATTAGAAATACAAACTCCTTGCCCCAGACCCATCCGCTAATCCTCCTTATCGGAGTCAATCCCAACGTTCTTCACGCACCGCTGCATGTTCTTGACATCAACTTCCAGACTCTGCTCAGCAACTACGCCTCGGCTTCGTCACCGTTTCCGCCAACTCGTCTTCTGTCAACCTCAAAACCGCAACATGAACTCGATCCTGTCCACCTTCAAGCCCGATGCTTCGGGAACCCCACCCAAGCAAATGGACTACATCCCATGGCTCACGCTCAACGATGGCAACCAGATCCCAATGGTAAGTTGAAGCTTCCAACAACGAGTCTTGCCTCTACGGGAGGATCCGCCGCGCGGTAATGCATGTCAGCACCGGGTTACCCCTAGAGCGTGAGCTCGAGCCAAATCCGTTGCTCCGTAGCCGGTTCGCTCCAGTGACTTTTCATGCTGACCTACCGGTAGCTTGCATATGGTCTAGGTACAGCCAACTACAAATCCGGTGGTGCGAACTTTGATGAGAAGATCGTCGACAACACGGTCCAGGCTATCAAAGTTGGATACCGTCACCTTGACGGCGCAGAAGGTATGCATAGGCAATGACGCTCGTCGTAAGAGGGCATACTAACACGCGCCAGTCTACGGGAATGAGGAGGAGCTCGGCGCGGCCATCAAGAAGGCCGGCGTACCGCGGGAGAAGCTCTTCGTCACGACCAAGTGCAGCGGAACCAAGAAGCAGGATACCGAAGAGGCCTTTGCGCGGTCGCTGCAGAAGCTCGGTCTTGACTATGTGGATCTCTATCTCATCCATGCCCCCTTCTTCGCCGATTCGGACGAGGAGCTCCAGCAGAAGTGGGCAGACCTGGAGGCCATCAAGGAGTCCGGCCGGGCCAAGTCGATTGGCGTCAGCAACTTCCTCCAGTCCCACCTCGAGGCCATCTTGAAGACGGCCAAGATCCCCCCCGCCATCAACCAGATCGAGTTCCATCCTCATCTGCAGCACGGTAACCTGCTGGATTTCCACCGCCAGAACAAGATTGCGGTGTCGGTTTATGCTCCCTTGACCCCCATCACCTCGGACGTCGACTCTCCTGTCAGGACCATCTATGCCAACCTGTCCAAGAAGTACGGCGTGACCGATTCCGTCATTGGACTCCGCTGGTGCATCGACCAGGGTCTGGTCACTATCACGACCTCCTCCAAAGAAGAAAGGCTACAGAGTTACCTGAATCATCTCCCTGCCATCAAGCTTACGCCTCGGGAGGTGAGCGAGATCTCCAAGGCTGGTGAGACCAAGCATGTCCGCGGATTTTGGAAGAACAAGTTCGACCCCAATGACAAGAGCTGAGTTAATCCATCACTGCAGTGCCGTCCTGAGTTCTCGGATCATGGCGTCGAGAAATCATCTTTGTAGCAATGGGTTGAATAATTAATAAAGAACCTCTCCGTGTATCACCGTCCCTCATTACTCTGAATGTGATGGTTTGAAAATCCAAACGTAACAACCAAAGTGTTAATGGTGTATACTCTGCTGGCTTTTGTCATCGGTTAGATCAAAGCTCGTCGTCGGACTCCGTCTCGCTGCCAGCGGGCGGAGGTGATATTTTTGGAGTCCCCTTCTTTCTGGCGAAGGGCAGTTCTCTCTTCGCTGGAGGGGCTTCCTTTTTGGCGGCGGCGGGCTTTCCCTTGGGCTGTAAAGATTCCGCAGAATTCTGTTGCTTTCTAGACGCTGGCGCTGCTGGCTCGTCGTCATCGTCTTCGCTAGCCGTCTCGTCCTCGTCCTCGGTGGTGTCGCGCTGCTGTTCCGAATCTTCAGGAGCTGGCTCCATCGCAAGATCGACTTCCATCTTCTCGAAGCCTTCATCAGAGGAGCTATCGTCATTGACGCGAGCGGGGGCGGTCTTCCTCTTGGCCGGTCTAGACTTGGCCGCAGCATGGCCTTTACCTGCGGCCTGGGAGCTCTGTACCTGCGCTAGCTTGTCGGGCTCGACGGATGCAGACGCCAAAAGTTTCTGCTGCTGTCTGATCTTGACCTTCTTCTCATTCAATAGGTCGCGGAACTTCTCTAGCAGTTCCGACTCGTCAGCCTCCTTGGCCGCGATTAGCTCGTCAAGCTGTGCTTTGAGCTCGCGCACAGATTCTTCAAGCTGGCTTGCTTTGGCTGTTGCAGAAGCTAGAGCTTCCTTGGCCTCATTGGCCGTTTGCGCCGACAGACCACACCAGTCAAACAGCTCAATGAGCTCGCGTGGGCTGTGGCTCAACTCAATGGCGCCGAGACGTTGCTAGAGACCAGCCATCAGCCCGGCCACCCGGAAAGCAAGACTGGGAAGAGGCTCGAGCGAATGACACTTACAGTAAACTCTCTTCCCCTTTTCCGAACAGTCAGAGTGAGAGTTGTTTCGTTTTCGACGTCGGCGAGCACCTCGATGTCGTTGGCCGGCTCTTGATGCAACACGGCGGTCAGAATGGAGATCCATTCGTCCTCCGTGCAGGGGCTGTTCTTGACTCGGAGCGCAGCGACTTTATCTTGACGCACTGCAAGGGAAAACCTTCTGTTAGCCCCCCCGATTCCGTGACGGCGGTGCATGAAACAACATCGGACAAGACCCACCCACCCGGGCCGCCATGATCTTCGGCCAGGAAAGCGGGATGACGAGCATTCGACTCACAAGAAACGGCATAGGGCTCCACGCCATCAGTTCCCACCAATTTGACATCCAGTGCCTTGGCCCGTGTAGGAGTAGCTTGAATGACGACGAATCCGCCTTCGCTGTCTGACCGGGGGAACCGGAGGACATGGCCAGATGCCATGACGGACTAGAGGTGCGGTAAATTGCCCCCTTACGTGCCCTGAAATGAAATGCCGTTCCAATGTAAACAGCGGTTGTATCTCGGAATCGAGCCCGATAACAACGGTGGTCAATGTGTCGCTGAGTTTCAGGGACCGCAAGATTGGTTTTGAAGTGTTGGAATCTGAAAACTTGACACTTTGGTCCGAGGGGGTGTTTGGTTGGGTGGGATTTTGTGAGACAGTCGGGAAGGTGAGACTTGGACTGAGCATCCGTTCCGTAGTTGGCAGTTTGTTGACATTAAGTATAGGGTGGTGAGAGGAAGCCATCCATCTGACCCATGAGGGTCCTCGAGGGGTCCTGGGGGTCAGAGCTAGGCAACTACCGCGCTCGGACAGGCAGGCAGGTAGGCAACAGAGAGAGTTTGAGCACCAGCCTCAGGCACCGTTGGCGGGTTAGGCATTCGAGACGGGAAGGAGGGAGGTCAAGGTCGTAGTGCACGGAGAACGGGAACGTAGTCAGCAATTCAGTGTTGTTTTATTATGATGGCTGTCAATAAATAAACAGGAAGCTACGGAGACGGCTTTGTGCTTGTTTGGACTATTGGTTTGAAGGGGTCACTGGAAAACGCAACTAGTTTTCGGGGCCGTCTACCCTGGAGGATCAGATAATCGATAACTCTCCTTTTTTCCCCTGCGGCCCTTGGTGAAGCCAATAAGTCAATGCCAAAGTGCAGTGCAAGCCCGGCAACGTCTCATTTGGGTCCTCCCTGAGGTGCCGCCTGTCCTGAAGACGGGGGAATAGAGTGGATGGAAGCGACGGTCGCGCCTCGAACGCGTCAGAACCGTGCAGGCGCAGCGGTCCCCGCATCCGATCCCTTGTTATCCAATCAAACCACCATCTGATATCCCCGCTAAATCACGTGGCTCACCCTGGAAAAATTCATGATTCACTAAGGCAGGCGGAAGGAGCCCTGGAGCCCCCCCAGTCTGCACTTCCCACCTGTTCTTTTCCACTGAGCTGTTGGCCCTCAAATACGGGGCCGGGTTGACTCCGAGAAGCCGGACTAGTCTTGTTACTCCAGTTTCCCTCTTCGCTATCGAGTAGCCATTTCCAATAGACAAAGGGAGAAAACAAAAGTCAATACTACCTATGATGATCGCATGGGCACAAGAGGGACCACAAGAAACAAGAAATCACATCGTGCTCAAAATAGCTGCGCAGTACGGGGTACGAATACGTAGCTCGGTGGGCTGCCCACACCTGCGCGCAATACCTACCAGCCACCCACCTGTCCACCACACCACCCACTACGCTCTGCTGTGCTACTCCTCCTGCAGCACCACGCACCACTGTTGCTGGACCCAGCCCACCATCTGGCCAGCCTACCACCTCGCTTTGTTTGCCAGGCCCGATCCATCGACCCCAGCTTCCCAGCCATTTTTGCTTCACCACTCATCCAACAAGGCCGCAAATCCTCGCAAATCCAATCCCAATCCTCCCACCCCCCGACCTCACACGACTGCCCTGTTCTCATTCTACCACGGTTCGACAAACGTCACGCTCGAGATATTGGACCCTGTTGTGCATCACCCCTTACGACGAACCTCTTGGACAACCTCCACTTGCTCTGCACCTGTTTGCATCACTCGCAGTTCATTCTACCAGTAGCCGACAGACACTACGCACATTCCCGGAAACGACGATACCAAAGCCGACTCAAAACAAACCGGACGCCGCCATTTCTACGCCCTACCACACAACGCCAAAACCTTTTGCGCCCCTTGCTACTTACGCCGGGTCACCAAGAAACCATCGCTTGCGACAATTGTCACCATCTCTCTGAAAGGACATGCTGGGCTGGAGCCGCTGTTGTTGTTGACGATATGATCTTGCAACATTGACAAGCAGAACAGCGCTGTCGGGAAGTCTTCTGGGATACGACCACGACCTCCTTGGACCCAATTCAATTCTGCGCTCGTCAAAACAAAGAAACCTGCCGAAAACATGGAGACTTTACGCCTCAAGCCACGCCAGCCCGTGGCCGAACCCGATATCGAGGACTGGGACGATGACGACTTCCAGATCGACACCGACGATCTGACATTTCGCACTGCGTCCACCACTACGAACCTTCCTCCCACACGACGCGACTCTGCGTCTTCACATGTTTCTCTCCGCTCCGATCTCGAATCCATCCTGGACGAGGAGACACATGTGCACGTCCCGGGCGACGACGAGAAGTCGACCCTGGACGCTATCGCCGCTGCCACACAGGCCGGCATTCCGATACCCAAGAATGTACCCTCTTCCGCTCTCATGGGTGGCACTATTAAACGACTAGGTGGGAGGAAGATCAAGAAGATCATGCAGGACGACTGGGAGGATGATCTGGTACTGCCAGATTCAGGCCAGGGCCTTCGCATTAAGCCTCAAGACGGCTCCAAGTTCCCCGACATGCTCAGGCAAGTCAGCGGCGGCTCCAGCCAGACAAGTCCGACCAAGCCTATGAAGACCCCTCCGGCCGTGTCGCTGCTTGACCGGAGAGAGTCGACTGAATCGAGGACCAGCACGCTGTCAGGAGCCCTTAACTTGGAGAAGTTCCGCGACAACGACGACGACGACGACGACTTCTTTGGCGACGGTTCCGAGACCATCAAAGTGTCAAAGACTAGGCCACCAAAGCCCATTTCACTTATTACCCCCCAACGCCGCAGAAGAACGACAATGCGTTGGACGATGACTTTGAGAATGACTTCGAGCTGCCGTCGGACGGCAAACTGAAGCTCTCTACTAGGAAAGACATCCCAAAGACGCCTCTGTCACATGCAGAAGACTTGGATTGGGGCGAGGGCAGCCTTGGAACTCGATTTGGAGGCACTCGCAGAGACGGTCGTTCCAACAGAAGCTCCTCTGTCTCGGCCATGAGTCCCAGTGTGTCGAGCTCGTTCACTGCCGAAAGCGAGGACGAGAATTTTGATGGCCTTGTGCTCCCGAGCGGCCCAGTCAACTTCGAGGAGAGGCTGAGCCGGAGAAAGCTCAGCCGCTCTCCCGTACGTCCTGTGGAGGAAGAACCTCCAAACTTGAAGACTCCTCAGCCACGGAATGAGCCAGAGCCCGAGGACATGTTCGATGGCCTTGATGTCGGCGATGGCGATGTCTTCAGTTCCGGCAAACTTACCCTTCACCGCAACATTCGTGTCAATGCGAATCGGCCACCGAGCCCACAGCGGCCCAAGACGGCAATCTCCTTGACATTCTCCAACAAAACCACACCGTCACGACTGCCACGGCCTAGCCATGAGCGCCATGAGCGAACCCTCTCTGCTCTGGAGCCTGTATCCGAGAGCGGTGGTCCGATTTTCGCTCGTTCGCGGAGATCTCAGTCCCGTATGGGCCATGCGTCGCAGTCCTCTGTCACGAGCATTCACAGCATGCCGACGCCCACGACACCATCTCCAGGATCTTTGCTTCCCTCAACGCCTCGAAGGAGGGAGCTGGGTCCTAGGACTTCAACCACGTCGTTGCGGAATGAGCCCACAACAACGAGCTCGCAGTTGCTGAGGTTTAAGAGATCTCTGCCTGCCATGAAGGGTTCTCATTCACCTGCTAAACCCATTTCATCCCGCTTCGAACGACCCCCTTCTAGAACGGACTCGAATCGTCCGGCATCGGTGATGCGGCCGAAAACACCAACTGATAGGACTCGACCCGCTGTGGAAAGCCATGCTGCCCAGCAACGACGCCCCTTCCTCCCTGCCGGGGCCTCACAATCCCAGTCGCAACACGTGACTGCGAAAACTTCTCGCACCTTTCGACGCCATGATTCCGAGAACTCCCTCGATTTGCGGCCGACGTCCAGGGCGTTTTCGAGGTCGACGATGCGTTCGCCGAGCCCAAAGAGGCTCAATCGTCATTCAGACCACATCACCCACGACGGCCTGTCTTTCCGCACCCTTACCAAACCACACCGAACTCGGAATTTCGGCGACGGGCACGAGCTGGATGCATTCGATGATCTGCCTACGTCGGCGCAGTCAGAGGCAAAATTTGTCCGACAACCCTTGAAAGCACCGTTGCGCAACAAGCTCTACCAAAATGTGCTTCCCGATCGGACCACTACGCCCTCCCCGGCACCTTACTCCCCTGCGAAAGCTGATTACACGCCCCATTTCGCTCGCGATACCCAGGCTAGCCGAATTGCCCGGGAGACCTCGCTTGCTCAACGAGCTCCATCAGGCCCACTGGCGCCTCTTACCTCGTCGCGCGTCTCCCAGCTGTCGTCCAGGAATAATTTCAACCCCGGACTGCCACAGGCTACCGTACGGTCGAAAAAGAAGAGGAACCTTCCTCAATTGAAGCCTCATCTTATATCGAACATGAACAAGGACAAGACTCCGCAACGTAAGTGCAACCACTATCCGTTTGCACATCGCAATACTGACATCGCTGCAGACCTCCAGGGCATGTTTTACAACCCCGAGACGTTCCGTTGGGAAGGCAATGAAAATGTCTTGAACGCATTCGACCCACCCGCATCATCCCCATCGACAGCATCCGTACAGCCTCACGTGGTGCGCGAGAAAGAAGTTTCAACACCTCGGCCGGCCCTGATTACGAACATAAGCCATACAAAGGGTGTGCAGGTCGTCGGAGGCATGGTCTTCGACCCACAGAACATGTGCTGGCTGAAGCTGGGCCCGCAGACAAATCCCAAGTCCGAGATCCCCGATCCAATGGACGGTTTCAACGCTTTGGACGACGACGAGGATGTCTTCAAAGACATTCCGGATCTCGACGACAACCCTGGCGACTCCAAGGAGCCGGGCCGCGTCAGCGAAGTCAAGGACGAATGGCTTGTCGGCGAAGAGTTCGATGTCGGACCAGAGTTCGTGCGAAGACAGCGCGAAGAAGAAGACAGATGGAGAAAGAAATGCGAGAAATGGCTCGGCGTCGGAGACCAGGATCGCGACGCCTCGCGTTGGGCCATTCGCGACATTCTGCTTTACCAGAGGGCTGCCCAGTAGACCCCTACTCACAAACAGCATTTCACTTCGGGCGGCATTTTATGCTTTCTTCGCTCTTACATTATTACTTTAATACCCCTGGCGTCCATGGGCGAACCACAGGGCGATTTATGACGGAGGCGTTTTGGGAGAAGGATTACGACAAACAAACAACCACATTTATGACGATTCCAGTGACGACTTTCTGGATTCCTCTCTGTGTACAACATACTCCGACACACAAAAGTTGTGGTTAGGATTTATGACATACGGCTTTTATGACGAAAAGAGGTCCGGCTGGGGAAATGGGACCGCCGACCTTTATGACGAACAAGGAGATGATATGGGAAGAGGGACTCGACTTGATACCATCCACACCCAAACTGGATACGAGGGTCATGATGAGTTTGGAGGAAACGTATAGTTTTTATGTCTTGTTTTCTGTACACTGCTTTTATCTTATGTTTCACGCTGGCTTTTTGAGCAAGAGGAGGAGGTTGGGGTGTATAAGTCTTTTCTTTGTCCATCGAGGTGGTCAAGGGTTGGCTGGCGTCCTTCATCGAATGATGAGAGACGTTTCGATTAAAAGCTCTGCTTTAGACACATTTTTTTGGGCTTCGCCGTATTGGATTAGCAATAACCCAATCTTTTTTTTTTCTTCTTCAATTCTCTTCGACGACCAGCTGGCTGGTCCATTTTGACATTACGGGCGTGAAAGACATTCGGCATTTCGATCAGAAACGGTGATCACTCTTAATGACGATGGGCAACGGCAGCGACAATTTCTTCAATGTCCCATACTCTTTTTATATTCCGAATCCCTATTTTTGAGCTCCGACTCCCTAGTAATAGGTAATTATAATGCAACGACGACAAAACAGGGGGCTTCGACCTCGATCGGCCCCCCGACACGATGATGCTTCTTTGTCTACTACACAAGATACACTGAGAAACCGCCCCTCCATTCTATGCTTTTTTTTCTACTCGTTCTTCCTCTTCCTCCCCGTGGCCTGACTGCTTATTTCGCAGCCTTCTTGTCCTTCTTTTGCTTGGGGCTCTTGCTCTTGGGGCTCTTTTCCGGCGTGGCGGCCGTGGACGTCACCTTCTTCTGCGCGGTGTTCCGCTCGGCCTTGCGCTCCTTGTCGGCGGCGGCGGCCTTCTCCTTGCTCTTGTCCTTCTTCTCGGGCGTCTTCTCGGCGGGCTTCTCGACCTCGGCCTCGGACTCGGACTTGTCGGACTTGCCGCCGTCCTTCTTGGCCGCGGCCTCCCGCTTGGCCTTGGCCGAGAGGGCGTTGGGGTCGAGGCCGCGCCTGCGCATGGCGTTGCGCTTGGCCTTGTCAATGTACTCCTCGTCCTCGTCCTCGTCGAAGCCGCCAAAGTTGTCACCCTGGCCGGACGCCGAGTTGTCCTCGTCGTCGGTGATGGGGGTCTTGTCTACGACCTCGCCGGTGTAGCCGGGGCCGGAGCGGTCGGCCTTCTCGGCCTTTGCGGGCGTGGGGCCGAACTTTTGGAACTTGGCGACGAAGAAGCCGTCGACGTTGTAGGTGTGCGGGTAGTAGCGGCGGGTGAGCTTCAGGGACGGGTCGAACTTCTTGCCCATGAACGAGGTGAAACCCTCGCGACCGAAGGGGAGGTTGGTCTCGACGAGCCTGACGTTGGGGCGGCGGGAGAGGGCGTACTGGACGACGGCCTCGCTTGGGGGTTGTTAGCAACTGGTTTACATGCAGTTTCCAGCACGGGAAAAAACTTACTTCTCCTCGACGGTGACGGAACATGTAGAGTAAACAATGTAACCGCCCGTCTTGCTGTGGTGGTTGACCGAGTCAATGGCGGCCAGGATCAGCTGCTTCTGCATGTGCGGCAGCAGCATGAAATCCCTCTCCGTCTTGTTGGTCTTAACGCTGGCGTCCTTGGCAATGACACCGGTACCCGAGCAGGGCGCGTCGAGAAGCACACGGTCGAAACCGCCCATGGGCTTGGGGAATTCACGAGCGTCGTAGTTGGAGACGACGACGTTGCGGGCACCGAGGCGGTGGATGTTACCGATGAGACCCTTGGCACGCTGCTTGCTGGGATCGTTGGCGACAATGACACCCGTGTTCTTCATCATGGCGGCCATGTGCGTGGTCTTTCCACCGGGGGCGGCGGCCATATCCAGCACGCGCTCGTTCTCTTGCGGCTCGAGGGCCATGACGGGCAGGAACGAGGACGCGGCCTGGAGGATGTAGTATCCGGCGAGGTACTCGGGCGTCGCACCAAGGGGCACGTTGCTCTCGAAGATCTGCAGACCGACCTTGGACCACTTGCCGACGGGCTCGAGGGTGACACCGCGCGAGATGAGGGCCTGGGCGAGGTCGCGGCGATGGGTGCGGAGGGTGTTTGTCCTGATGACGACGGGGCGGGCCGACTCGTTGGCCTCGAAGAAGGCGAACGCCTCGCGGGGCGAGAAGAGGTTGAAGAGCTTCTCGGCGAGGTACTCGGAGTAGCCGTAGTAGGCGCAGATGTCCTTGATGAGCTGGGAGACGTACTCGACACGCGAGCGGCCCTCTTCGTGGAGGTTGGCGAAATCGTCGAGCACTCTGATGTTTTCCGTGATTCGCGTTCTCAGGAGCTGCAGATCGGGCGCGAGCAGCGACTTGGTCTTGGCGGCGAGCTCGTCGTCCTCGTCGTCAAAGACGTGCGGCTTGTCGCCGTCGATGTTGGTCTGGATACCCATCTCCTCGAGTTCGGCCTGCGCCTCAGCGTCCTCTGCGGCGATCTTCTGGTCGAGCCTCCGCGCGAGACCCTCGATGTTGGCCTTTGTGAGCTTCTCCTCGCCGTCCGACTCGTCTTCGTCCTCGGAGAACATGTGCTTGCCGCCGCCCCCTTGCTCCTGGTCCGAGTCGAAGACGGAGTCGTCGTCCGAGTCCAGGAAGTCGTCGCCCAGACCCGCCGGTGCGTTCTCCAAGTCGGAGAACTCGTCAACCTCGTCGTCGCTCATATCAGAGCCGGCAGCCTCGAAGTCGCCAAGGTCGTTGTCGTCCGACATGTCTTCGTCCTCGTCCTCGACGGGCTGGGCCTTCTTTCCTCTGCCGTTCGCCTTGGGCGCAGCGGCTTTGGGCGCGGGCGCCTTGCTCTTCTTCGCATCCTGCTTCTTTGCGGCGGCGCCGTTGGGCTTGGCGGCAGCCTTCTTGTGTGTTCTCCTCCTCTTAACCTCGACAGGCTCGACGGGGTCGGCTGGCAGACCGGCCTTGCGCTTCAACTTTGCGAAATGGGCCTCCGACAGGGGTTCGGGAGGACCCTGCTTCTTCATACGGTTTCCGACACCCATTTTGACCGATCAATTGCGTATCGAGACTTTGGCACTGGGGTTCTGGAAAGGGGAAGGGGGGGTATTGTAAAAGAATACAAAAAGTTCGAGATTCACGGTGCCGGCTGGTTAAGGTCGGTCGCCGCTACACTGCCAAAGAAAAAAAAAGTTCACTTGGATTAGAGCGGTTCCCCCCACCGAAACTTTTTCCTATCGCGCACTGACCAGGCCCGATAAGATTGGAATTGCGACGCTCGATAAAGCCACGCCGCCCAGACCTGCTCCAGCCCCACACCCCAGCTCGCTCTCCACCCCGCCATCCCTCCTCACAGCAGTGCGTAACTCTACTGAGCAAGGAGCAGACCAGAAACCGGACGAAGCCATCTCCAGCGCCGTGCCTCGAGCCGATCATCTTGTATTAAAACCTTTGCCATTACTCATCACTGCAGTATTACCCACAAAACCTATAGCTCCCGAACTCAATCCAACGACTCGAACGAACCGGCCCTGCAACGCTTCCCAACAGCACGCCACCTGCAAACCGCAAACATGGCTGAAGTCGTCTTCGCAAGACAGTTTCTGGCGACCTTGGAGTCGCGCCCGGCAAAGCTGTCGGCCGATCATGTCGAGGATCCCAAGAACTTTCCTGCTCGCCCTCCTGTACGTGACGTCCGACCCCGCGTACTCTGCACCCTAGCTAACGTCATGGAGTATATCCTGCCCAAGATGCCCAGGCCCATGAGCAAGCCCACGAACCTTGCACCGGGCCAGGAGCGCAGCATCAACGTCGCTCTCAAGTCCCTGCGCAACCCTCCCCTGGACATCAAGCTGTCCTCCCAGACTCTGAACACCTCGATCCTCGACATCAAGACGGCGGTCGAGACCCAGTCGCGGATACCTGTGGACAAGATGAAGCTTCTGTACAACAAGAAGCCGGTGCCGGACAGCAAGGTGTTGAAGGACTTGCTTACGGATGACCAGTCTTCGCTGGAGTTCTCCGTCATGGTCATTGGTGGAGCTGCCGCCGTCAAGCCCGAGCCCGCTCCTGTCGGAGGTGACTCTGGTCCACAGGACGACATTGGAGAGGCTGCACTGGAGACGCCGGAGTTCTGGGACGATCTCAAGGGCTTCTTGATGCAAAGGCTCAAGCATGAGCAGAAGGCGGAGGAGCTGTCGGCGCTGTGGCGCTCGACCTGGCAGGCACAGAAGAAGTCATGACGTAGCAGTTGGCACTGAGGATGGGACTCGAGCATAAATAATGGTCTAATAAAGAAGTGATTTTTGTCGTCGGGCAACAACAAGAATGCTCTGCATTCCGGCATGAGATGTTTTCCTATGGCACTGGGTTGGTATAGCCAGGCGGGCAGTTCAAATCTGGAAATTTACTGGTCACGCCCCAAAAGAAACTCGGAGTGGGAAAAAGGTCTCGGTCCCGAAAATCGCCAAAGGGGGGAGAAAGTGGCCCTCCATATTCATCGTAAACTCTCCATGATCGTCGTCAATCGTCCCGGAAGACTGCAGCCGCCAAAGTGTATGCTCCGTCTCGCCGCGTAAGGAAGGGTATGGTGCTTAGGGAACGAGATATTTAACCAGCCATGCCCTTGCTGACAGTCTTGAGGATGGAGTCGTACTCGATGTCATCGGGGTCGTTGGCCTGGAGCTCGGTCGCAATACCAGTGAGCGAGCGCTTCAGGGCCTCCTTGGAGGAAGCGTAGACCATCTTGGCCTATGCAAAGGTTAGCGACGAGTGCAATTGACTTTTTCATAGCGATAGGTACTGACCATGACACCGGCATCATCGGGAGACCAGGCGAGGAAGGTAATCTTGTTGCTGTCTAGGGGTTAGCTGCAGGTTCCCAGTTGGGCGAATGCGGGGCAACGTACCGCTCACCCTCGCCAGAGGCAAGGCTGTACTCGAAGTCGTAGACGGCGTAGCGGGGGCCCTTGCCGACGGCACCCTAATGCAATGTTAGTAGAGTCCTCGGGCTTTGCATTGCCATGGGAAAGAGTGCCACATACGCTCTTCGACTTGGTCGTGGCGTTGATCAGCTTCTGGCGGAAGTTCTCCCAGTCCTTATCGGCCGAAGCCTCCTCGACGACGATCTCCTTGTTGTCATCCGAGAGCTTGTAGATGATGTACTTGTACTTCTTGGACAGCTTAAGGTCGTTGTAGGCCGTTATGCAGTCCTGGGACACGGTCGCTCTGGGGGAGAAAATCGGGTTAGCATGCGCTGCGTCGCTGAGGCAGATGGAGCCAGCTTGTCCTGCTCCGCCGGGATCGTCACTGAACGAGCGGTAGAGGTTCGCCCATCAGATGGTTCGTTGGCGCGGAGAGTTGAGGCTCGGCAGAAGGGAGAGGAAAACCAACCCGGATTGAGACTGCGATTGAGATTAGTATGGTGTTTTGGTAGACAGCTGATCCTTGGAAGGTTTTAGTTACTCACCATGATGCTGGTCTATGGCGGGGGTGTGGCTAGGAGAGTAGGCGGGAAAGTGGGCTGAGAGAGAGCAGATTAGCAAGAAGCCTACGAGGGGGGAATTGCAAAGGTAATAACAATATCTAGCGATGCAAAAGACAGGAGAGGGGAAATGGGTGCCTACTTCGAAGATGGAGTGGTTCGACCGGGAGTTGCTGCACTGGGGAGGGTGGTGGCAGAAAAGAGGTAACAGCTTGCGTCGGTTGGTGAGGTATCTTGGACAGGAACGGAGGAGTTGGGTCACCGTGGAGGGGAAAGCGGGCGAGAAAAACACCCGCATGGTGGGGTTGTTGTCCAGGTGAGATTGGAGCGCACGTGACTCCGCTGCGACTGCTGGAAATGCGTCAGCCACAGCAGGTTGACGAATCCCACCCCAGGCAGTCAACAGAACGGGGCCTAAGCTTAGTATCGTTGATTTCTGGGCAGCCTAATGTACCGGCGGCGAGTGCATTTACAAGGTAGAAACAAGGTAGCACGATAACCCTCACAATGGGTGCCTGCTATGTGTTACGTGGACTGGCTTGGGTGGTTGCCTGCCTTACTTGTCAGCATGAAGCCAAGGAACTCTAGTTAACAGTAGCGGCAGCGGGCTAACCCGTTAAGCTGTCAGTTAGCTGTCAATTCTCATCAATGCAAATGTCCATGTCATTAACATCACCGCGCACAGCAGTCAATATATTTGTTTTGCTCTTTAACTTCTTTGCTTTCTTTCATCTTACATAACTTGCTAGTGCTATTGTACAATACAGAGCTCTCAAATCCCCTCGGGGAAACTGCTGCGTAAAAGGGGGAAAGAGGGGAGATTAGTACAAATGGCCGCAGTTATACATCCTTTTTAATAGTAACACCGATGCCCAATGCCCCTCGCCCAATTGACTTTTGATTTAATACAAGAAGACACGTTGATCATGTTTTTACATCATACCACCCATGCCTCCCATACCGCCCATGCCGCCCATGCCACCCATGGGAGCGGCTCCCTTCTCCTCGGGAGCCTCGACAATAGCGACCTCGGTGGTACCGAGGAGGGAAGCGACACCGCTGGCGTCAACGAGACCAGTGCGGACGACCTTGAAGGGGTCAAGGATACCGGCGGCGATCATGTCGACGTACTCGCCCTTGGAGGAGTCGAAGCCCTTGTTGAACTCGCTGGCGTACTCGTCGGTGAGCTTGCCAACAATGACAGAGCCCTCAAGACCGGCGTTCTCGACGATGCTGCGAGCGGGGCGGGTGATGGCGTTCTTGACGATGGTAACACCGAGCTGCTGGTCGAAGTTGGCGGTCTTGACGTCCTTCAGGGCCAGGGCAGAGGCCTTGATGAGGGCGGTACCACCACCGGGCAGGATACCCTCCTCAACGGCGGCACGGGTAGCGTTCAGGGCGTCGACGAAGCGGTCCTTCTTCTCACCGACCTCGACCTCGGAGGAGCCACCGACCTTGATGACGGCGACACCACCAGAGAGCTTGGCAAGACGCTCCTGGAGCTTCTCCTTCTCGTAGTCAGAGGTGGTGGGGTCGTTCATGACACCACGGATCTGCTCGCAGCGCTGGGAGATGGCGTCCTTGGAGCCCTCGCCGTTGAGGAAGATGGTGTCCTCCTTGGTGATGGTGATAGAGCCGGTGGAGCCGAGCATGTCGGGAGTGGCCTTCTCGAGCTTGATGTCAAGCTCATCAGTGAAGACGGTACCGTTGGTAAGGACAGCCAAGTCGCCGAGGATGGACTTGCGGTTGTCACCGAAGCCAGGAGCCTTGACGGCAGCAACCTGGAGCTGGCCACGGAGCTTGTTGAGAATGCAGACGGCGAGAGCCTCACCCTCGATGTCCTCGGCAATGATGACCAGAGGACGTCTCATCTGGGTAGAAGCCTCAAGGGCGGGAATGATGTCCTGGACGGCGGAGATCTTCTTCTCGGAGAGGAGGATCAGGGGCTTCTCGAACTCAACCTTCTGGGACTTGGCATCGGTGATGAAGTAGGGGGAGACAAAGCCGCGGTCGAAGCGCATACCCTCGGTGACCTCGAGCTCGTCGACCAGAGTCTTGCCCTCCTTGACGGTGATGACACCCTCCTTGCCGACCTTCTCCATGGCGTTGGCGATCAGACGACCGACCTCCTGGTCACCGTTGGCGGAGATGGTGGCGACCTGGGCAACCTCCTCGCTAGTGGTGATATCTCTCTTGTTCTTCTGGAGGAACTCGACGACGGCATCGACGGCAGCCTGGATACCACGGCGCAGATCCATGGGGTTGCAGCCGGCGGCAACGTTCTTGACGGTCTCGGAGAAGATGGCACGGGCCAGGACGGTAGCGGTCGTGGTTCCGTCACCGGCAGTCTCGTTGGTCTTGGAGGCGACATCCTGGAGCAGCTTGGCTCCGAGGTTCTCGAACTTGTCCTTCAGGGTAATTGCCTTCGCGACAGTTACACCGTCTGTATCCAATTAGCTATTTTGTCCACTTGTATCATTTGATTGAGCTCTGCCGTACCCTTTGTGATCTTGGGAGAGCCATAGCTGGACTCGATGAGGACGTTGCGGCCCTTGGGACCAAGTGTTGTCGCAACAGCCTTGGCCAGAGTCTCAGCACCAGCAAGCAGGGAGGCGCGAGCCTCGACACCGAACTTCAGTTCCTATAGATTCCGTCAGTATACTCAATCTGATGGCTTTGCCAATGCTACGCGACGTGTCGACTAACCTTGTGGGCAAAGCGAAGCTGCTGTCCCAGACCGGCACCGGCGCGGAACTTGCTAGGGGCAGCAGAGAGGACGGACGCTCTCGCGCGAGAAGTAAGTGCGCGCTGCATCTTGAATCTTATTATGAGGGTATCTAGATAAGAAATAGAAATACAGAAGCAAGGATTGAAGTTGTCGCAGGAGTTGAATCACACGTGTCGCTCCAAGTAAAAAGTTGCGGTAATGAGTGATGGAATTGGAGAAGCTTCCCGTTGCCGGCTCCAAAAATTTATCTCGGACCTTCGGCTAAACGAGGTCCCTTTCGTGAACGCCAGGACAAAAGAGGACTAGCGCATTGTGGGTGCATTTCCACCGTCTTCCAATGGCATCTGTCTCCATTCTCAGCATCCGCACATGGTAACCCAGGAGACACTGCCGAATATCGACATGGGTCTGAACATTGGAGCAGATCGGCGTCGGTATTGACTATATGACCCTGAGCAGAGATCGCATTAGACATGAGATGACATTTCAAACCAAGGTCATGGGGTCGCCATTCTAGCAATGCATTAATTCGCATGCTACTTCAGTTAAAGGCGCCGTCGCACCGTTTCAAACACCCTTTCTTTCCCCGGCGCCGGTTCCTTACTCACTTTTTGTGGCGATCTACTCTAAGTGAAATGAGAGGAGCCGGCGTGTCAACGCCTTTGGCGCTGCAATGCGACCCCTAAATCTCTTCCTGGCTCTACCATCGTACCGGCGAGGACATCATTGTTGGACACTCAAACACACAATTTCTTGGTTGCAGCATAAATCGTCAAGTTGAAAGCATGTAAGACAGGCCCTGACCTTGAGTCGTAAGCCAGGGGCCGAGCTCGAGGTCTGAGCTGAGGGACTGCAGCTCCTGGATCGTGATACTCTTGCAGTATAAGAAGAGACGTTATTCCGAGGGAAGACTTGAATTCCATCCCAGCAATCAGCATCATTGCCAGCGTCTCTTTCGTCTTTTAATAATATTCTCATCTTCATCTAATCAGCCCACAACATGAAACTCTCACTCCTTACCGTGATCGTGGCCGCCGCCTCTGCCGCTCAAGGCGCCATTACCTGGAGCCTCGAGAAGGTCGCAAACCCTACAGCCGATCAAAAAGATGCGTACACCAAAATCGAAGCTGCCATGACGCTTGCTGCAGCAAGACATGCCAAGCTGGGAACGGCCAAAAAGACAGTCCGCGTCTACTACACGCCCGGCGTGCCTACGGCCGAGGCTAGCTACAACGGCGACCTCCGCTTCGGGTCCAACCGTTCATTCATGAACGAGCGGACGGCGCTCCACGAGATCGCACATACGCTCGGTGTTGGCCAGACATCCTCCTTCAACTCTAAATGCTCTTCTGGCGACTGGCCGAAGGCTCTCCCCCTGCTCCGCTCATTTGACGGAGGGAACGCCAAGATCAACTGCGGCGGGGGTCATTTCTGGCCTTACGGACTCAATTACGACAACGAGTGGAGCGAAACGAACGCAAACCGTCACGTACAGATGATCAACGCTATGCTCGCTGATGGTATGTGAGGGGTGTTTCTGGGTTCAACTCCTGTGTAACTTTTGTTAGCGATAACGTCCAACTTCACAAATCGTTTTCTTTCTGTATTTGTAGCTAGTTGAGAAATCCAGCTCTTTGCCTCATTTAAATACAATCGAGTCACAAAGAGGGATGTTAGAAGATACAACAAAATGATACTAATCGCTTTTGGAAGAGTTTGCGTGCTCTGCTACCAGTTGCAGTACTATTCAGATGTATCTAGAGGAAGCAATACCTGGCGCAACTTCTCACACTTCTATTTTCACGTGAATACCTTCCTCTGAGATATCAGAATCAGAAAACTGGGTTGATTATCCACGGCTAGACTAATCTATGTATCATATTGGATGTGACAGTCGCCCCAGCCAAGCCCGAATGACACAGAGAAAAGGAAAAGTTAATACAATCTAAAGCGAAAGCGTCCCAGGTGAAGCCAACTCGTCCATTAACTCCTGGGGCCTTCCTCTTTTTTTGTTCCCTAGATAGGGCGTAATCAAGACCATCGCAAGGCCAAAACTGAAGGCGGCTCACCAAACTTCGGTCTTATTGCCATCCCAAATTGTTCCCCCAACGAAAGAAGCGAATCGTGAATCCAGAGCAAGACCTCAATAAACAAGATATGCCCCCGACTAGTTATACACCTCCTCTTCATGAATCCACTGGGAGAAGTCAACGTCATCCAAGGCTTCTTCTCCACTCTCCTTCTCGCGGAAAATGGGAGTCCTCGAGCTTAGACCATGAGGAGGTAGGGTTTCTTGAGTAGTATTGGTCGAAGGATTGACGGTGTGAGGCGAGGCATCGAAAGCCACGTCAGCTGGATTGTGACTGTAGAAAAGGTAGCCTCCGGTAGGCGAATTACTGTAAGGCGTGGCTTTAAGGCCGAGATGCTGGTTCTCGAACTCGGAATTGCCGGTGGCCATGTTGCTACGATAGGCATGCAAGCCAATCTCCTGAGACTCGCCGCCGAAGTCTAGCGGCATCGAAAGAGTTGGGTCGTAGTTGCTCTCGGGACCGTTCCAATAGTGACCTTGTCTGAACAGCTGAGGCGTCTCCGAGGTCTGAGAGCCAAATTCTTTGATCGTATCCAAGGGGTTGACCGTGCCCCAAGGCGCCGGAAGGGATGACTGTGGATGCATCGACGGCATCTGGTAGTTCTGCGGCGCACAGAACATTTGCTGAGGATTCTGCTGCTGGAACTCGATCTGGTGAGAGGCAATCCTGTTGGCATGTTTGTAGGATCTCATCATCTGTTGTCCCTTGACTTCCTGAGCCATGTGACGCTTGTCGTTGTTAGTGGCATACGAGTGGAGAGCTGATTATAACTTACCTCATCGTCAAGCTCAGGTTCATCGCCGGTGTCTCCATCCTGAGAGCTTCCATCTTTGAACTCTATATTTTCTTCGCCCTCATCCTCTTCGTCATCCTCAGGCTCCTAGCCTGAGACGGGGACTGGGAAGTCTTGGTGGTAGTATGGCTCACGAAAAGAGATTTCTCTCTCGGCGGTAGGGTTCTCGGGGGTTGGCTCAATGACTACGCCTCGGACGGTTGGATCGTAATGATTTCCAAGGACAGGGGGGCACATGCGACCCCTCTTGAGCATCTTCTTGCGTTCGCGGGCAAGCCATTGAATAAGTGATTGACCAGACGCTCCACAATGGGTTCGGTGAGCGATAGCATCTATAGGCAACTTGTCACCTCTGATGGCGACCTCATACATAGTGTTGAGCAGGATTGTCATTGCCGTGTCCGGTCCTGTGACTGAAATCAGTTGTGATGATCGCTAACAATGCGTGTAGTGTTACTTGCGGTTCCATTGAACCAGGCTGCGGCCCTTTTGACGACCGTTCAAGGCAGTCTGATCTTTGGTCGGCGGGTTCTCCGTCCATACCCATCTTCCTTCTCCCTCCTGTAAGTCGCTGGCGTTGCTCGGTGTTACAGCGGGAACAGATGACTCGGTGGCAGTCTTTCTGGTAGTACGAGGTCCAGACTTCTTGTTCTGAGCACCTCTGCTTGGTTTCTGGATGCCAGCTTGGGGTGTCTTGACCTTGGATGCCTTTGAGGCGTTGTTCTGCGTAGGAGCCATGATCTGAACAACGTCGTTAGTCTGAGACTTGCTGACTGGTTAAAGATGGAAGTGACGTGAGACAAAGAATGAAGTGATGTGCAACAGAAGGAGAAAAGAAGAATAATGACGGAAAGAACGCGATTCTCGAGAACGTGGGAGAGCTTTAGGTGCAGAAAGGTAGAGATTGAGGCGCCAAACAAGGACTTAGGTGATGTGTCCCCCAAAAGTAAGAACTCTTGCGTGACAAAGGTGAAAGACCCCGGGGTTGACAGCAGCCAGATAGAAGAAGACGGTGCCGACGCAACTTCGAGTGAAAATTAGATCGACGAAAGAATGAAAAGTGACTTACTCACAGTTTGCTAATGCTGGCGATGTTAAGATTGATACTTGTGGGTTCGTAAGATAGGAAAGGTGGAAAACGGAAGTCTTTGGTGGGTAGTATTGTAGGAGGGCGCGAGTGCGGGTGAGAGGCGCGGCGCGGGCCTGGGGTTGAGTTGTGGAAGGGAAAAAGGTCCAGATGGACGAAAGCTTAAGCCGGGAGATTGTTCATAGAAGGGGGCGGGCAGCCTGGTGAACAGCGCTAAGGTGGCTCAACTAAAAGAAGATACCTACCGCGACTGGGAGACGCGCTGGCAGTTGGTGGGGTCGCTCAAGGTGAGGACGTCCGGACGCGGGTGGGAGACGTGTTGAGGGCCTCACAGGCACACTGGCAGTTTAGGCAGGAACGAGATATTTGGGAGCCGGCCCTGGCGTTGCTAGGTGGCAGCTCTATTGCGGAAGACCGTCTTCGCAACTATGCTGAAACATGAACAACCCCTGAGGCCTCGAGGATTCCTTCTCACCCAGCTGATCTCATATCAAGTCTTATGGCTCTGGCGTGGCAGCACATCAACTTCAAATGCACGCTTTGATTCTAGGGACGATGCACTTACGTAACCTTATATTGGACCAGGGGCTTTCGAAAAGATCTCATAAGGTACTCACTTGGCGAAGTTGGGATCTCACAATGGCACATGATTTCAGGGGTCGTGATGAAATATTAATCTCGTGATACGAGTCCAGAACTTCCAATGATCTACAAAACCAATGACCTCCCATTATGCGTGCGATCTTTCCAAAGCTTGGTGATCAAATGTATCAAGTACGTCCAAGATCGCAGAGAACTGTCGACACAGTCGGACAGCAGATGTTGGAAGCTCATACCGAGTTTGCCCCCCTGTGACCCTCCATTTTCGCCGACCGCCCTTTTCCAATGATGCACCGCAAGAATCTCTTGAGCTTCGACTTTGTCGGTGGTGTACTAAGATGAGAAGTCCGTTCGCAGTACACTTGTCCCGATACTTGAGTCGTCGAGGTCACCGGATGTGCAAATGTGGTAAAGATCGCTCTGTCATCCTGGTGGTGGTGTTGCGACCGCGTCGCTGTGACATAGCCAGGTGGTTGCTCGAAGTTCGCTTGATACCGTAAGCCAACGCTGTGCTGATGAGAGAGAGAAGTAAGCTGCTCTTGAACTGCAGCTTGAACTACCCTAGTGATCAAGTCCGGAAGGTCGGAGGTGAGTCGATGTAAGTCAGTTGTGACGGTGTTGAGGGCCACGTTGAGCATGTTGACTGAACCGTTAAAAGTGTTGCTCTGAGCATCCAGGATGTTGTTGAGTGTGCTGATCTGCGTAGTCATAGCGCCATGGAAGCCATCCAGCTGGCTATCAAAGCGACTAATGTTGCCCTCCATGCGACTGGCGTTCATACGCAGGGGGCTGGCAACGTCGAGAAGGGTGCGCTCCGCAATCTGCATGAACTCCTCGGCGATGGCGTCCAAGTCGTCTTGCGTGGGGTTGTTGATGCCCTTGCGCTGAAGTGCTGCCTGCGTAATCTCCAGCATGCGCGCTTCCTTGTTGATTGAGTTCATCCAGTTCTGAACTCGATGATCCATCTCTTGAAGATTGGAGGGGCCTCCATGGAGCTCATCACGATCTTTGATGCGACGAGCAATGTCTACCTTGAGACTGTTGTACGCTTGTGGCGGAGGATAGACGGCAGGGTCACCTCGAGCGTCTCGAAGGCGTTGGAGGTACTGGTAATCCTCAATGATAGTCTGAGCGTCTTCGGGTGGAGCTGTAGTCTTGGGAAACTCTCCGGTATGTCGTGCTTGCTGGAGGATTTCACGCATCGCCTGTACTTGACCTGGTGCGTAAGGGGTGTTTCCGACCAAGATGTAGTTGGCGAAGCTTGGTGTGACCACGAACTGAGACTGTCCATTGACGAAAGACTTCTCAGAGCCTTGAGACCCGAGGCTGGGGGAGGACAATTCTGTTTCGGCGGGAGACCCAGGCGAAGAGATCAAGCTGTTCGGGGTGGTCGAAGTGTCGGATCGGGGCGACGAGCCGCTCGAAGAGAGCTCCCATCGATTGGCCTTGTCGACGCCAGGTGGAGGCGAAGAGTCGCACATTTTGTCCGTGATAAGCTGATGTTGGAAGCGCAAAAGCGCAATATAGGTGGAAGGACTGGGTGACTCTGTCTGCTGGAGTTGATCAGTTGAATGTCCAAACTTCGCGATCTGACGTGGGAAGAAAAAGAAGACGCGGCCAGGGAGGTCCTCACCAATTGGTCCAGATTTCGGAGTTGTCGGTGTAAAGGTTTATGTCTGCGATCAACTGATCAATTGATGGCGAGAAAGAGGCAGTTCTTTGCAGTTGACGGATGGAGAGGAAGCTCAGTTTAAGGCCAATCCGTGGTATGATGAGAGGAAGACGAAGAAGTTTTGTGTGAGAAGAAGGGAAGAAGTTTCTCTGCACCGGGAGGGCAGAGAATTTCAGGTGTGGGTGCGATACTGAGTAGCTCAGCTCACTTTCGAATTTGCGTGTTGGCTTGGGTGAGGTGGCTGGGAGACGAAAGTCGGTTGCTGAGGTGAGGGAGGGAAGTCAGGTGAGAGGGAAGGTGCGGATGAAGGGGTGAAGTGTAAATGAAGCACTCTGGTTGGTCGCCGCACTCTGAACCGGGAGGGTGTGGATGTGTGGTATGTCCGGACGAAGTTTTCGGAAGAGTGATGAGGTCGATTGCCCTGGAGTCAGGAATTGGAGGATAGAGGACCTTGCACCTGCCTTGTGTATGCCTTCTTGCCTGTGTTGCTCCTATAAGAGGGGCAGGTCGCCCAAGGGTCATTGAATATAATGTGTTCAGTTGACTGGGCTTCAGTTATGTCACCAACATATTCTCGCCTCAGAGGCGACTCATGTCTTCATTTGTTCCTGACGCTTAAGGTGCCTTGTGTCGAGATGGATCACAGGGAGACTTGCTCTGCACCTACCGCGGAGAACTTTCGCTTGACTGATTGGGTCACCGCGAGCTGAGATCTCAAGCTCAAGAAAAAAAATCACTCTGGAAGTGGCTTGATAGTTTGAAAAGGACTTGCAAACATCATGTTACAAAGTTGCGCAGCCCACTGCGGCTGGGTAGCGGGACAAGCAGGAGTCGGGGCATTTTCAACAAGCCCAGGCCAGATGGGGAATGGGAAGTGCTTCCTTATCTATCTATGAAATTTCAATCCACTATGGCTAGGATGTTGTCCCGGGAAAAGGCCTTATGGTAGACTTAGAAGGCAGGAAGAGTTAAAAGAAGCAAGTTCATGCACAGGATCTGAAGATGTCGTCGAATTTGAGCCACAAAGCTCCGGCGGAAGTGGGATGATCCCTGCTCTTCGTCACCAAGACAGATCCACCTGCCCAATCAGGCAGCGCCATGACGGACCTTTCGATAGCTTACGATGCCCACGTCGCACAGGTGGCTGTCATCATCACTAGGCAGAGAGTTCATGGAAATCGAAATTATGTTATTTCCTGTAATTCTCATCGAAGCCAACCCAACCTAAGCATGATGCACCCTTGCAAACCCTCGGTGACTTGTAATAGGCAAATCGTCAAGGCTAAGAGGGGTCATCCCTGGTCCTGCTCAAAGTTTCGTTAGCAGAATCTTGGTAAAACTGTAGGGGAAATACTAACATATCCCGACCAGCTGAGCGGCTTCTCGCTCTCCATGTAACGTGCACGTATCCGGCCATGCATAGACAGGCGTCTCTGGCATGAAACTCCAGCCATGATAGCAAGTGGGTACCTGGGCGCCGTTAAGCCTGGAAAGACTCATCGCCCTGGCCATCATCTGCATCGAAGACTCGGTATTAGTATCGCTGGACATGGAAGTGGAATGGGAGCTTCGAGATTCGCCGAAATCGTGGACAGGGCAACCGGTCGGCTTCTCCACGATGTAGAGAAGTTGCAACTCGTCGTCGTCGAAATCGCGGTCTCGGGGATGATCGTGGTACGAACCGTTGTTGGTGACAGCATCGCCAGGAGCCTGAGTCTCCTCCTTGACCTTGAACTGAGCCTCATCCTCCTCGTCATCCTCAACGTTATAGGAGGACACGGCGGGATGGTCGGCCATCTTGGCACGCTTGGTGTCCTTGGTGGAGGAGGTGGGAGCAGCGCGCTTTCCCTTGGACTTAGGAGTGGTCTTGCTGGTACTCTTGGCCGGCGTCTTGGGACTGGCGGTGTTCTGAGCAGGAGAGGAGGTACCATTCATGGTGCTACCCTTGGAGAGCTCGCTGGCCTTCATGCCATGAGCCTTGAGAAGGCGCTCGAATCGCTTGGCACTGGAGGGATGAACAGGTCAGCATGCGTGTAATCGTAAGATCAGAGACGGGAAATTTTAAAGTGACTTACGCAGCGGCCTTGGAAACAATGTTGCAGTCGTCAGCGACAGCCTGGAAATCGATCTGTTCAAGTCAGCTACTTTCCGCAAGCCATGATGATCCCGCGCTCACCTTTCCACCCTGCGAGTGCTTGATGCAGTTGACCAAGAACTTGATCTGTCCCTCAGCATCGGTACCGACGGAAGCCATGATGAATAGTGTAGGATGAACTAGGAATCAAGTATATTGTATGAAGGTTCAAGGATCAAAGTGTTGCTCAAGCTATGAGTTTGTCAGTGTGAGCTTGAGGTTGAGTTGTTGTTGTAAGGATGAGAAGGGTTGGCTGGAAGTTTTGGTGAGAAGTTGGAATAAATGGGATGGGAAAACTCCGTTAAGCTGGAACTGGCGAGAGCTACCTGGACAAGAAGCGGGAGATGCGGGTCTATCGACGAGAACTGATCAGGCAGATGGTCAAAGAATTCTACACGGCTGACGAGAGCAGCCGGGCAAGGGGGGAGGGTCCTGTCGACAAGGCGAGAGCATGGGAGTGAAAGGCAAGAACCGCACAGAACAGAGACGAAATTGATGATCGATCAAGGTCAGGAGACAAGCTTTATATCGAATCAACTCTGAATAGTCCGAATGTTGGCGGTTGCTGGTATATGTCGACTTCATATGATTAGACCCAACTCAGGGGCAGCAATTAGCAACTTTAAGCAGTATATGCATATGATGGCGCAACGGGCGGGAACATCTCTTATAGATGGATCATATTGAGAAGGCCACTTACTGGTTTTCTCTTGAAAGTCAGGGGCAAGACGGTACCCTTCCTAGCCATCGGGAGTTGGTAGGGTGCCCGACAATATGGAGAAAGACTGAAATCCTTGACTTGACGATCCTGGAGCAGTCAATTCTCGAAGGCGAAATGAGCAGCCGAAACCTTCTAAATTGAGATATTCCCGACGGCAATGTTTGAGTAGCTGATTCAAAGCTAAAATCTTGGTAAATCTTCATTCTTCGGCTTGCCATGAAGACCCAGCAACCTGAACCTCAAACATCTCAGGATAGTGGGATTTTAGGACATAGATATCCAAGACAGATGTCTGGTAATGGATTTTGCGGGTGCCAAAGATGCTCACGTAGTAGACAACGCGGACCATGCCACAGGCGCTCCGTCTCTTTTGATTAGATTTGGTCGCACAGTGGACAAAGACACTATACCAAAGGTTACCAGGATAAAATTCACTATCATAGTTTCGTCAAATGCCTTTTGTTTTTCTGGTGAAAGCCGTTTTGTCTTGTGTCTTGCAGACAGTGAAGTCCGAGACCCTTCATTGGGGCATAGGACCTCACGATAATCTGAGCCAACTTGAAAAGTCACAAAGGGGAGACACAAGGGATCGGCATGGGATATCAAGAGAGTATTGCAAGTCAAGGCTGATGAGAGCAAGGAATTATTTGGAAATTGTTATCCTGATCTGCCACTTCCCCCGGTAGATCCAACTCCACTCCGACCTTGTCGTTTTGAGCCCTCACTATTCCTCATAAACCCTCTCCAGACCTAGTGTATCCTCGATTTTTCAACCCAGAGAGTAAGTTAAGTCTTTCTGGTGGAAAATTCTAGTCGCTGTTGCTGGAGTTCTCCATAAGCTCGTCTTTGGCAGCCTTCTGGCCATCAGAGTCGGACTCGAGCTTTGCCGAAACATCCTCGTCGTTATCGGACTCGGAAGACTCCTGCTTCTTAGTCTCCATGATAGTCAGTACTCGTTAAGTATAAACTCAAGGCAAATAGAGCAGGAAGTAATGGACATACATTCTTCTTCCGCTGAGCGGTGCCCTTTTTTTTTACAGGAGCCTTTTTGACCTTGGTAGCGTTCTTGACACCGAGAGCGCCCTTTGCCTGGTTGGAGGCTGCGCCACCAGAACCATCGGTGGACGACCAGCCATGCTTCTTCGAGATGACTCGGAACTTGTCCCTGGCGGACTTGGCGTTGGCCAGGCCCATGGTGGTCGCAACTTTGTTGAAGTCGACATCAGGACGCGAGTTCATGCAATCGAAGATGGCCTTGACGAAGAGGGCCTCGTTCTCCGTGAAGCTTGGAACAGTGCCCTCATCATCGGAAGCGGGATTCTTCTTCGGAGGCATCTTGCTGTGACAAGTCAGAGAGATTCCGGAGATACACCGGAGGATAGTTGTTGAGAGAATGTAAATAAAGAGAAGAGACTTACTGTGGCTGTAGTTGCTTGATATCTGGTGTTGCTGATGAATGGGTTCAGTAAAGCTTGTTGCGATGGTGGTTGAGCGAGCAAGGCTAAACGAGATTGATTTGGATGGGAAGAAGAGGGAGGTTTTCAGCTTCAGCCTGGGCTGGAGGAGGTTAAATACTCCAGGAAGTCACAAGTTCTGGGTCAAGAAGGAGCTCGCTTGAAGCACCCGCCTCATGAAACATAGTGCTCTGTTATCAGAGTAGGCAACTATCTCTGGCCGCGGAGCGGTCAACTAGGTGATGCCCAGGTAACAGAAATTTGACGGTGCCTCAGATCAAATAACGGCACCAACTACAAAGAGGGTTTCAACAATAGCAGAAAAGTCTGCAAAGCTAGCAAAAAGGAGGAACAACCAACGGCCACGCTTCGAATGTTGTTTTGGAACGGCGAAGAAGCAACCAGATTCTAAGACTAATGGATTATATTCAAGCTCGTATGAGATAAAACACGTTCCGTTCTTTCTTGGTAAGAAGTTTACATATGGGCGATGAGCTCCTCCGAACGACGTTGTCATATGCATGTGTAGATCTTCATGGAGTTCCCGTCGCAATTTTATCTACAGCGTCTTGCAGTCAGAATATATTTAAGGATTCCAGTGTGAAAGAGTGGAGCGTGAGACACAATAATCAAGTAAGAGGGGAAGTGAGTACTGGTGTTGCTAGAAGGTCGCATGACTTCGCAGCCTGCAGTCTATTCCTTGATGGCGCATCTAATGCATGCGGCAGTCTCTCCTAGTGCCAAATATCGAGCTCGAACTTGAGCAAACCTCTATCCCCTTTTCTCCATCCTGAGATCAAAGGCCTCATGTGCAGCATCTTCAAGGCCGGGAAGTACCTCAAATTGCCGCGTCCTCGAGCTTGACTCGAGCCGCCTTGCTGGGAGTCTCAGTCTCCTCATCTTCATCGCCCTCCTCGTCAGCGTCTTCCTCCATCTTAACCGCGTTCTTTCCCTTGGCCTTCGCGCCGACACGACCGGCAGTCTTCTTGACCTTGGATGCGGAGCCCGGAGTGGTGGAGGAGCCTTGGGCAGTGGATTTTTTGGGAGTGGCCTGGCCAACAGGGTGACTGAGCTTGCGTCTAATTTGACCCCATCGAGTCTATGTTTAAGATTGTCAGCATACGTCAAAGTTATGCGTTGAGGTTAATGTGATAGTAGGAAACAAACCTGGGCCACACTAGCGCTCTTGAAGCCCGCCGCGTTGGCGAAGCTATCCCAGTCAATTACAGGCTTCTCGGTCATGTGCTGGAAGATCTGGATCATGAAGTTGATGTCACTGGGCGACGGAGCGGGAGCTGCCTTTTCAGACATCTTGACTGTCTGGAATACTTGAGTCAGCGTGAAAATCTCATATTGAATGGTGCAAATAACAGAGGGGAACTGACAATGTTCGAGTGAACGGCTTGGTGAACGTTTATGGTGTATGAATGGGCTATCCAGTCTGTTTCAGCTTGTTAGTAACTTGACCTTTGGGAGAGGAAGCGGCTTCAGTATGAGTGAGCAAGACTCACTGTTTGGTAGTTGAATACGTGTTGCCGTAAACCACAGCAAGTCGTGATGGTTGAAAGTGTGACGATGGGAAAGAGGAAGACTCGGAGCTTTGGAGTGAGAGGGCTTATAAGAAGTACAGCCGAAACAATTCGGAAAGAACCCAGCCTCGAGCTTTCTCAGCTAGAAAGATAAAAGACAAGGTAGAGAAGAAGGCAACAGAAGGAAAGTGAGACTCAGTTGAGCCATTGCAGCTTTGGGGCGGGAGTCCACGATTACACGTGTTAGGCACGGCGTATGCACACGGGTGGTGGGTGAGCCTAGTCGGAGAGCACGTTTTAATACATCGTATAGTATCGAGTTGATGTCTAGCTGTGATGAGGTGATAATAATCTGATAAAGAACATTTGGTTACCGTTCCTGGCAGATATCGCAGGTGAACAACTTGGAACTCTGCTTTGTTCAGCGTATGTAGACAGGACGATTCCCTCTTATATCTTTTATAGTCTCCTGCTTGCAACATGGCGCTGCCCCCAGCCCAGAAACCATATTATTTGAAGCTGACCTCTAACTCAGAGGTTACACCAGATATTTGCCGATTGCTGCCTTTCAACCAGGCAGCAACTCAGCAACAAGACATTGCCTCGGTCTTGCTTGTCATCGAAGTTGTTCCGTTTGATGTGTTTTGAATTCGCTAAGTGATATGAAGGCTGCACTCCAGACATCTCCCGGCTTTCAACTGGACGGTGTTTCGGGAACCGTAAGCTCTGCAACCTTCAACGAGACGGCGGATCGCCGTTACAATATATCTTGATGTATTAGATTCTTGTATAAATTTGATTCTGACTGACCTCAAGAACAAAAGTTCTTATTCCTGCCCCGCACAGAAATGTAAACCTTTATTGGCTTTGGTTGAGCCACATCAGCTGCGATATCATTCTTCATGCTCGTGTCCCGAATCAGGCGCAGTACGTCGTGATGCTTGGTCCCAGTACGAAGGAGCGCTCTCGAGCTCCATTGTATCTTCCAAGAGGGGCAAAGAGCCGAATTGGGACATGTCCCGAAGTCAAGTAACTCTCACCCCTGCCTTTCTACATGCACCTCCAATCTGTTGGTGCAAGCAACGCGCCACCTACAGTCTAGGTCAAGAGTAGTTCGATCAGTGACAGGGAGTAAAATGGTGCTATCTGACGATAAAGAAGCGATCTCTATGCCCATTCCATCAAACAGGCCTCATTTCGCGTGTTTTTGTGTGCCAGGAAAGAAAATACGGCACTCATAGATATTGGGCATGGGTATTGATTAGAACCAGACCAGAAATCGATTCACTCAGAACTCTTGGTAGAAAAGTGGCTTACTAGACTTTTCATCATCAACTTCAATTGTCTTCCCCGAATACTCCAATTGCGAGTGCAGATGGGACGGGTCCCTTGAAGGAAAAGGGAGACTGGGGGTGGTTGAGAGGGTCTCTTCAATTAACCGAACCACGACTTGCCTCGATCCAACACGGATGATCAGAACGCACACCCCCCTGCACGCTGTTGGTTCTCTTAAATTCTTGGTCTGCTGGCTCCAACAAGACGAAATACCGCAATAGCTTAGTCCCTAGTTCCCCTCTTAATCTACCTCTACCATTCTGCAGCCATGCCAAAAGAAGAGGTTTATAACCTCCACCCGTATGGATGGGAAAACGACCCAGAGGTGGAGAGGTTCAGGCTTTCTACCTTGGACTATCTGACGGTGCTGGCATACAACCACTATGCCATCTTCTTCCGCGTCGATGATGCCGCAAAGCCCAGAGTCGTTGAGGTCCTCAAGACTGGCCTCGAAAGGACTCTTGCCCAAGTACGACACTTGAACGGACGAATTGAGAAGGACCCCTGGGGCGGCTACTCTTTCACCAAGAAGAAAGACGACACCGTCCGCTTCGTCGTCCAATGGCTCGATGACCCTGAGGATGCAGGAAAATATCCCTCTTTTGACGACATTGAGAGAGCTCATTACACCACCCTCGCGCTGGGTGACCTTAGTCTCTGGGCTGTTGAGCCCATGACTTATGGCGAGAAGCCCGAAGCCAATCTGGAGCAAAGCCCCATAACCTCGGCCTTTAAGGCCAACTTTGTCCGCGGCGGTCTCGTCTTCAGCATCCACAGTCACCATTATGCAGCCGACGTCATGGGTTGGGCCGGCTTTGCTGACCAGCTTGCCGAGAACTGCTACGCGTTCACCAACGGGACTGCGTACCCCACGTGGGACCCGGCCTGCCAGGACGTCTCTAGGCTCCTCAAACCAGAGCCACCAGAGGAAGAGAAGGTGGAAGGCCCTCAGCCACCCGACAGGCATCCGGACCACATCGGCTCCTCTTCCTATCTCTTTCACCTCCCCAAAAGCAAGGCCGCCCGGCTGAAGGAGCTCGCTAAGCCTGAAGACGGCACCTGGGTTTCGACGTATGATGCCTTCTCCGCCTTCATCTGGCGACACGTAACACGCCTCCGCGCGCCTGTCTTCAAGCCCGCGCCGGATTCCAAACTCATCTGGTCCGAGGCCATCGACATGCGTCGGCGTATGCACAGTCCGAAGCCCCCCGCACGCATCCAGCAGAACGTCATGTTCGTGGCCCTGTCTACGACAGCGCCCGTCGAGCAGCCCACGGTGTCCGAGCTGATCTCGGAGTGGCCGTTCTGGAAAATTGCCCGCTACATACGCCAGCTGACAGACAGCGTCACGCAGGAGGATCTCGACGAGACGCTCAAGATGGTGGCGACGATCCGTGTGAAGTCTAGCCTCAACACCCGTGTCGACTCACGTCCGCCCATGTCGATTGGGCAGTCGGACCACCGTAGCGTCAACATCGTTTCGGCTGACTTTGGCTTCGCGAAGCCTGCCACCTACCGGTACTTAATGAGCCAAGTCTCGGACACGGGTATCCTCGTCTATCCCTCGCGAGACCTTTCGCCCGAGTCGGACGAGGGCCCCGAAATCGTCGTTATGTATGAGACTGATCTTGCTCAGACGCTTATCAACGACCCCATTTGGAACGAGTTCTTTGAGTACAGAGGTATCTATGCTAAATGAGGACACACAGACACCGGTATTCCGGCGATGATGCCTGGACTCATACTGGTGTGGTTATGTCGTCAGCGAGCTAAGAGGCAGGCCTATCAATCGTTGTATGCATCTTTAATTACTGCGATAACTTGGATCTGGTGGGCGCGATGGCTGCTGAGGCAGCATAACTCAGAGAGACTCAACTACTACATCCTGTTCAAATGTCTGATAATGAATTTATGTAGCTTCATGAAATCTTTTAGCACGTGCTGGTTAACAACTTGTTGATAAGTGTCATGCAAATTATATACGGCCCCCTCTTGCGCAACTTACGTAAATACGAGTTACTGATTTACATATACTATACTCATATCAACTTCTTGAAGTATAAATTTCGTTGCCAGTGTCGATATCTACGAGGGTCCTGGAAACTCCAACTCCCAACTCATGTATACCATTTTGTTATCTTGACTCGAACTTCCCATCGTCCCGAGAAGCACTACCATGTTGGTACGGACTATGTCAGGACTCTCTCATACCACAGCAGCTTTTGTGTGATAATCAAAGGAGGCACAATACGCCCCCGGTTGTTGGCCATTTCTCAAGCATGTCGTACTGTAGCATTAGGGTATTGTATTCAAACCCACGTTCTGCGTATACACAGGTGGCTTATTTTATCAACCAGGCTGTTATCCCTAAGATCCCCAAGCATGCATTCGTATCCGCTATGAATTCCACCTGAACATCCATGATCACTGAGGAGAAAGGACGTGAGTATGAGTAGCAATGCGGTGTATCAAACCCCCCTCCATTTGCAGTGTGCTTTGGTCAATATGAAATAAACCATTAGAACTTTTCCTGCAGTAACACTAACCACGCTTGATTCCCATACTTATGAGTTCTTACTGTGTGGTTTCCTCAAGGGTGTATTCGAGGCAGTCATCTGGCAGCACATCATGAGGAAGCACGCACCCATGCTACGGCTCTGCAAGAAGCTTGCATAGCTGGCTCCTACGTAGTACGGAGGCATCGCAGAACAGCCTTGCGTCCCGATGCAAATGAGCCAGCATATTAATCGGTAGGGTGGGAAGGAGTGACAATGTTTCTGCCGGTAATACCTGCAAAGTTTGAGGAAATTTCGCCGCAATGGAGCTCCTGTCTCACGCGATCGAGTTGCGATCTCGAGGGCGTATCTCTTAACTCACATTCAAGCACACAATCAACTTGCGGCATCTGATTTCAACGCTCGAATCCCAACACACGCAAACATCCAAGACAACATCGTTCAAACCCTCACCCACAGTCTCACTCACCCACTCAACCCATCAAACCCCCTGGGTCTTGGTATACAGCCTCCTCATCGACGAGCTCGCCATGAACCAGTCCCCGTCAACCTTCTTCCAGGTCTCGTAGTAGTGCCCCCCGCCCGTCGAATGCAGCCCGGTCTCGGTGCCCCTCGTTCCCATGTGCCAAATCACTCCGAACACGGCCTTGACCTCGTCCTCGGCGACCTGCTCCAGGTCGCCGGGGTCGATGAGGTGCATCGTCTGCATGACCTTGAACACCTCGCGGAAGTGGGCGACCCAGGCCTCGCGTGACTCCCAGCGGTAGCGCACGCCGTTCATGACGAGGACGGAGCCGTCCGTCTCGACGCCCTCGAAGGTGAAGTCGGGGAGCATGATGGTGTCGAAGCGGTCCCACTCGAGGCCGTCGGCGAAGCGGCAGTACTGGGACTTTTTGCGGCGGATAATTTCCGCCGTTTCGGGCGAGATTGTGATATTTCCGGACATCGTGACTGATATTAAATTTCGATTTGGAGTTTGTTATGGAATGAAGAGGATGAATAGTTCGGTGAACGATTGCGCATTTCAGAAACTCGGCTACGTCTAGAAAAACCCGCACTCATGAACCCCCTCATCATCTACGATGTCTGTCATTCTTGGCCGTCAGCAGAAGAGGGGTCGAGCAGGGATGTGGACGATCCTGTCACTCTGCAGAACGACAATCGATGCCTTATTCTGCGATGGAGAAATAGCCGCATGAAGAAATTCAGATCACCCCAGTCAGACGAGGCTTATCTGCAGCCCTGGCGGGTATCGAAAAGACGACCTGTATCCCACTCTACCGAGGCATCTCACGATGCAGTGAAAGGGGGTCGGTGTAAATCCACTCAGTAGCACTTGGTCATGTTCATGTCACATGTATTGAATGAGACCCAAGGTTGACAAAGTCTGCAATTTCTACCGACGTCGCCTCAAACCATGTCACACATTAGGGTATTCAGTGCCTTTGCATCAAGCGTGTGAGTATGGTTGACCCATACAAGGTCCTCTTGATGTGGAATTGCACACGCCTTGATCGTGAGGACAGCGAAGCTCGGTGCAAGAGTCATGACGTTACGACAAATTCTTCCGGTGCCCCGCTATCAAGAGCCTAATGCACCTGCTCAACACAGCTACATCGCAGCATGGACGATGTCACACCGTAATTAACGTGTCTGAGACTTCGCTTCCGGTTCTTCCAATGCACAAACTAGCAACACCCTAAATCTTCCCGCAGAAGATATGCTATGTCTTGACTGATCGAGATAACTGACCGTCAAGACCAGGTTTTTCATCCTCATCCTCTGAGTATAAGTGGCATGGCCGGATCTGATACTACAACATGGGTCTCGATATCCGCAACCGGACCAATACGCCAACAGTAACCGATACACCTATCCTCAACCTCAACACCAAGTTGGATTCTCACGATCCCTTCATCGCGCGCCGACTGCCTACAGCCGTGTTGAACCATCCTCTGCGATGCGGTTCCCGCTAGCACTCCTCAACGTCCCTATATCCACCCCCAGTCAACCAAGCCGATGAGATCTACAGACCCCAAAACGGCCACCTCTCCATTCTTGGGTATATCGTCTTTAACGAGGAGACGTTGCTTCATATGGCCTTGAATTGTTTGCAGCCATCATACACCCACCCCTCAGGAAATCAAAAGGCCTCTCAAGTCGGTTTCCACCTATGGGACGACGTGTACTTTGAGCAGAAGCGTCCCTTCATACGAAGCAGGAACAGACTAGTAGACTTAGAATGGCTTCAGCTATTAGGTTAGAAATTGAGAGCCATATCTAATCAACGGTTTGACATTCACGTGGCTGGCTGCAAGGTGCCACCGAAAGACGGAGCTCGTAAATGAACACCCATCATTGAAACCCCATCCAGAGACCGTGATCTTCAAATACGGCCACATGGACCACAGGGAGTCATCCAGATTGGGGTGCATGGAGACGAGCAGCCGAGCCTCATTATGGGCTACGGCCCAGTGCCGGATACCCATCCCGTACGCCGGAGCAAGCGGAATCACGAAGAAATTACCCTCCCCATCCGATCGTCGAGCGGATCGACCACAACCTCGACGATCGTGTCCAAATACACCTGTGAAGACAAGACCTCCCATTCCACCAGCAAGACACATCAGCTTCCGGACTGCCAGCCCGCACCTCCCTCCCCACGAGTACGAGAGATGTCTCCGACGAGACCGGCGAGATGGCCATGCTGAGGCAAGACGCCCGAATTCCACAACACTCCACAAACGGCTTTTCTCCTCTGTGTTTTGGTAGTGTAAGCATCATCAAAATACGTCCGCAACGAACCACAGAAAATGCTCCGCCCGCAATAAGGCTCAACGGCCTCCTCACCCGCCGGACGCAGATCCCCCTTGACGCCGCGCCTGCCATGCGCCGCCGTGCCTCCGCGCCTCCCGATCCGTCCAGCGCCCCCCCCCCCCAAACCGTTTCCGAAGCCCTGCTCTGCCCACCGTTTTCAGGGGCACAAAACTCCCTTGTGCATTCCAGTGCACAAAACAAACAGTCCTCCTTCACCCTTTTCCGCGTCCCCGGGTGACTAATCCGGCAGCAACCGAGCCAGAGCCGACAGGAAGGTCCAACGACCCCTACACTGGTAAAGAGCAGCAAAGAGATGGCACGTTGCGAAAGACCGCTAGGCCGGATGAGGACACCCTGTCGCGCTCCAGCGTCTTCTTTTCCCCACCCTTCCGGGCCCCACATCCCGTATGGCCGGTCCAATTTCGGGGAACTGGGGGGTCGACAAACCCAAACATCCACCCAACGGAGCAAAGCACACGGGTAGAGCAAACTGACACACACCCACACCCCCCTTTGGCATAGGTAGCAAGCGCAAGCAGGGAAGAAAAGAGTCTAGCGCCGTTCTAGAAGGTCGCGGGCCTCTTCACTTTCTCTTGACTCCTGGTCGTTTTTTTTCTTCTTCTTCCTTTTTTCCCAAGCACCCTGGCCAGCCGGGCATCATCCCGTCGTCCGGTCGCTCGGTGCACCAAGGAGCTAGGTAGGTACTGAGTCGCGGCACAAGGGAGGGGGGTGAGCCGTGGGTTTGCTTCCCAGGCGCTCGGGCGCTTGTTTGCAAATAGATGCAACGCCGGGGTCGCGGGACGCGGACGCTTGTGATGGCTTCCTTTCCTCTGCCTAAAGGGGAGGCGAACGCCGCCGCCGCCGCCACAGGGGATACAAAAAGGAAGTGGCAGGCGGCGGCGGCGGCGGCGGGAAAAGTGGTGCTGGCCCGGTGTGGCGGCGGCGGTCGACACCCGCGTCAGGCACGATTTGTCGCCTCGCCCTCTCACTTGCCCCCCCGTTTCAGTCTGATCTTGTTTTCTTCTCACAGGTCCGTGTTGCGGATGCTATTGTACAAATATAGGGATCGTCGAGTAAGTCCCGTCGCTGGCACGGACCGGATGCGACTCGACTGCAGCCGGCCGCCCTCTGCTCCCCCCCCCCTCCATCGCCCATCTGGCATGTGCCGTCGTGGCATTTGTCGTTGGAGCTTGTTTCAGTCCGCAGCTATCCCACCATTCAAAACACTGGACGAAAAGAAAGGGAAAAAAATACGTCCAAGGCATGGGAATGCTCAGGAATGTTGCCTGCCGCCGCTATCGACCGTCAACCAGTCAATGGTCCCACGGACCACAGCCGATCGCCCCTTCAGCTTCTCGCAAGAGGTTGTCCCCTGCGGCCGGGCTCGCGATGGCTTGCGCAGCTGCGCTTCGAATCAAGAGGCATCCCCCTTGCGTGTGTCCACGTTCCCGCCCTCTTGGCTGGCTCGACCGCAGAAGGGTCCAGAACGGAAGCTCTGGATTTCATATGTCCCTGGATGGCATAGGGCGACTCGGGACGAGACTCTGCCGTTGACTTGCGGGGACCAGTCACGTCTCGAGGAGCCGCCTTTGCGATCTCATTCGAAGGGCAAAAAAAGAAATAGGCAGCACAATACGATTTTTTTCAGCTTTCCTTTCGCTCGGCTGTGGCTTACGACGCAAACGGCGAGACTTTTCGCGGTGGAGGAGGAGGGGGGGCTTCCCGTCGCGGCGCAAAACTGCATTCGCGATCCAATCCGATGCCGCCGTTTGGTGGTTTGCGCAACTACTGGCAGTACGAGAACGAGGATGGCGGAGGGGACAGACCGCCTGCTGTGCGGTATGCGCGCAACGTAACGGCCTTCCCTTCGTCTCGTCGCCCTATTCTTAGGCGAGGTAAGCTTGCTCGAGGAGGCAGCAGTCCAACAAAGGATTGATTGACCGTTCCCGTCCCAAGGGCTGGCACGTAGGTAGGCACCTAGACACACCCTCTCACAGCGCCCAGCCCGCGGCTTGGGTGATCCGGGGAAAACAAAGACCGCTAATAGCGGTGGTACCGCGCTGGAGGCCAGCGTAGGTGGTGTAAATGGGATCCGCGTGCGCCACCCCCAGTCTGAGTCAGAAAGCCGGGGAACTCGTCGCCGCGGGGTCGGGCGTAGGCGATGGCGGGCTGAGGCCAGTCCAGTCCAGTCCAGTCAGCACGGCTGTAGCACTTGCGACACGGTAAGACGGCCAGGCAGGGCAGTGGAAAGGCACGAATTAAAAGCCGCCGTTATGTACTGACTCTGATACCCGGTGAGTACTACGTAAGTTGGCCGTCCGTAAAGTAAGCCTGTGAGGTTGCCTGGCGGCGCAGAAGCATAGGGCGGTCTGGCTACGCGCCGGTCACCGCCTTCCACACGGTATGGTATACCTCTGTAGTGGTGTGTGTGATATTCCGTGTTCGGGTCGTATCGCGTCCCTGGACGGGAATTGGCATTGGACGTCTCAGATGTCAGTCAAATCGACGGTTCAGATACATTGGATGTTGGAAGGGTAGCAGCGCATCGTGGAGCTAGTCAGCAGAAGTTATCAGAAGCAAAGCCGGGCATGGCGTGGCATGGCAAGGCAAGGCACCCATCCACCCATCCTATTCCCTCCCATGCCATCCCATCCAGCGGGCGGTGGGTGTCTTTGTAAGTTGGCCTCGTCGTCGCATTTCCGTTTGGATGCGGAAGCGGTTGCATGCTCGCTTGGGGGGTTTCTTTTTGGGTTTGTCAGCCAGGGTTTGTTGGTGCTCGGCGTCGGTGTTTTGGTGGTGGTGGTGGTGGTGTTGATGATGTCGGTGGTTGCTCCAGCAGGAATGGAGGAATTTCGGGCATCCAACGGAATGTGCTCGCGGGGATACACAAACCCGTCGCATTGTTGCATCCGGGGGGCCAACCATCCAAACCAGTTGCATTCCCACGAGTGATTGCCCTGAATCATCCCATTCACAAACCTTGGCCGGGAAGGGATGTTGTTGGCGACTGGGTGTGGTTCGTGCTGCTTTGCTGGCTTGCCGGCCGGGGAAACCGGGTGGGGGGAGGGAGGCAGGGCCTTTTTGGACTTCTTGTCACTCTGGGTGTTACTGAACAGGGCGATGATACGTCTTGTAACTTTGCCAACGCTCTGTACTATGTATAATGTAGTGTAGGGAAGGGCATCGTGTCTCTGAGAGAGTGCTCCAACACCCCGATTCCCGGCGGAAGAAAGAACAAGCGCCGCAAATGATGGCGATCCATGTCTCTCCCGCCTCACCCTGCCCGAACCTGACTCCGGGCGCCTGGTACGGCTTGGGCGTCAGGATTAAGATGAGATGCGCCGGGGGTGCCCTCACCACGGGAAGGGTTGGGGGCAGAGAAGCTGGGGCCGACACGCCGCGGCCCCGTCGCGGTAAAGGACGCCGAGGACGGCCAGGGGAGGGGGGGCCAGGGAGCGAAATGAGGACCTTTAGGCCCGGAGGAATTTTGAAATGACGAAAAAGCAAGAGATTGTCGCCCTTTTCTTTTCTGGCGAAGGCCAAGACACCCGGGGATCTGAACCGGTGCAGTGGATTGGATGGGGTAGAGTGTCAAAGGCGGCAGGGGGAAAAAAGAAAGGGAGCCGAGACTCGAGAGACAACGGCTACGGGGGGGCCAGCCTGGGGGTTACGGAAATGGCCGTTCCTGGACCACTGTATCGGGCGCCCTTGTTTGCTTTTGTCTCCCCTTTGGTAAATTGCAAACTCAAAAAGAGAGACGTATTTTTTGTCTAGTGTACAGTACAGGGCCGTCCTCGATCGTGACTGGAGCGGGATGGGGCTCCCGGCGCGGATGCGATGCGAGGCAATGCGCCGCCAGAGGGAAGAAGCCATCGTATCGTCAGCCCTGGGGGGGGAGGACGGTGTGCGTAGTTGGGTAGCGGGTGCTGGATGCAGCCACGGCAGATTTGCTGGCACACCTACTTTTCTGCTCCGGGCTCAACTTGGGCTTGCCGCCAATCTACGCTTGACAATCGGTGCCGAGTGGCTTGCTTACAATGTACTTTTTGGTATGGTGGCTCTCAACCAGGAAGAAGAGCAGATAAGCCACGTCCTCATCAATCGCCGGCCGGCATGCGGGGTGGACGAGCCCAGGCGGCTGTGAGGCGCTGTAAGTGCCCGGCGTGTTTGCCGTGGTTTCCCGAACGCAGCCTTTTGGTTCGTCGTCGTCGCGCTTCGCTCCCAGGGTCGTCTGGCCTATGGATGCCCAAAGACAAGAAACACACATACACAGACACAGACACGGGCAAAATGAACGAGGGGTGTTTGATGTGGATGTGGATTGCAGAGGGGGGTGTACGACACCGGACCGATGCTGTGGTCAAAGGTCAATATCCAGATCAAAGGAGCGCGATAGGCTTCTCCCTCCCCCCCCGCCTTCTCATGAGTCTTGCGCGTCTCGTTCGAAGTCTCGGACAGCGTTGCAGAGATTCAGCGATAGATTGGCGATGGAGGGTTGTCCAATGACAGGCCAAGTCGGCAACGCGTGTCAGAGGCAGTATGAGCGCACTCCCGCAGGGCACGGGCAACTTCAACCGCGAGGGAAATGCCTTGAGCAAGCAAGCAAGTCTGGACGGAGAAGCACCGAGCGGCGGCGCCCAGGACCAGCTTTCGGTATCCCCTTGCTTTGCCCTTGGGGTGCCCTGGGGCTCTTTTGCGTGCCAGTTCTTTGGCTGGCCCGAGGCCCGGGGCAGCCCAGACTGCCATCCGCGGGGAGGGGCCGCCGGGGCCCAGAGCAAGTGAACGGCGGGAGAGAATGGCCAGGGCCAGACGGTAGCCAAGGGCGATCTCTTCCCCCCCCCCCTCCCCTACCCCCTTCTCAAGCACTCTCATGCCTTCTGTCGGGCCTTGCATCTGCTGCTGTGCTGTGGTCGACCCGGCGGGGGGCCTCTTCCTAGCGCACCCGCACCGCCTGAAGGGCCTGAGAGCCAACGTTCCGGCCGGCTCCAGCTTTTCAGGCGAACTCTGTCGCGAGAAGTAGCCCCCGCGCGTCAAACGTATGCAGAGGTACCTCGAAATCATGACTCTTTCCTATCTCCCCCCCCTGTGTTCCCGGCCAATGAAACCCGACACGCCCTCCCCCCTCCCCTCCAGACAAGGCGGTCAAACACCGCTCATTCTCGTTCCGTTTTCTCTTGCTTCTTGGAGGGTGGGCAGCCGCCGCTCTGCCGCTGCAGCTGCGCTGTACCTGTACAGTAGGCCTCGTCGCTAACGCTGCTCCCGCCGCTTCCCCGTCTGTGGTCTGCGGTCTGCGGTCTGCGGTGGTTTTGGTGGTTAACGGCCCCCCCTTCCGTCCAAGCCCGTTACCCCCATGCCTCTGGGAATACACGATAATCGCCAATACCGCCAATACGCCCAAACTGTCTCTCTCTCTAACTCCGTTTTGGCTGGGCCTGTCGCTCGTTGGGCCGCGAGGGAGAGAGGCCCTCAGCGCCGGCTCCGCAGCGTAGGGGGCCTGAGTTCTGTGTTTGTCTCCTGGCTGCGATGCGCGTGGGGGTGGACAGGCGACACCGGCACACCGACCGGGGTGCCAACAATCGCCATTAACCAAGACCAAGACCAAGACCAAGCTGGCGAGACACACACGGCAGAGACAGGACGACGAGAGTCGAGGCGTCGGCGTCGGAATCGGAACCAGAAAGTTGAGACTTCAGAATGGGCGGCCTGGAATGCAGTCTCCCTTGCGTACCTTGTTGGTGTGCACCGCCAGACATTGCGGCCTGCGATAGTTGCAGACGGACGAGAGAGACAGAGAGAGACAGAGAGAGACCTCGACCGCTTGCACACGGAGCCAAGCCCGTCCGTTCGCATTCCTCTTCCTTTCCCCCATGGGCGCATTCGCGCCCCGCGGCCTCGCAACTCAAACAAACCCGGGGCCTTATTTTTTCCTCTCTCTTTATGTTTGTCCTTGTTTGCGCCATGATGTTCTGATGTTGGCCGAACAGACTGGGCGAGCAGCCATCAATCAGTAGCATGCAGGTCATCGTGTGTACTCTGTATATCATGACTCTTCCGTCCTCCCGTCCGAGTCATCCTGGTGTTTCGGCAGCAAACCATCGCAGGCAATCAGCAAGCGTCATCACAAAGATACCGATACCGTCATCGTCACCGACACACCAAAAAAGACAAAATCCCGTCGACGCCGAGGTGCACCACCAACAGCAAAGCCGAATTACTCAGGCGCAGACAAGAAGACACACACACACACACACACACACACCACGCACACCAAAACACATCATCATCATCATCACCACCCCTCGAGGAAAGCAGGATTTCCACTCCGGCCGTACCTCAGTACCGAAGCTTGACTCATCGGAAGCACTTCTGCGCCGTACCGTCCGACGCAATTCAAGTGTCTCTGGACTTGCAGCTCCTCGGCAACGCCACGTCAAGAATAGTGACCAGCCCCCCCCAAAAAAAGCCAAAAAAGCCAAAAAAGCCCAGGCCCGCGGCCCTCTCTCCCTGCTGTTCCTCCAAGAAGCAGGTAATTAACGAGCAGCAGCCCCAAAGGAAGGGCACAGCGACAGGCCGGGCCCAAGGAGAAGGAATACGGTACGGTGTTCCTCCCGCGCGACCTGTGGCCGCCAGCCCTGTCGCCGACATTTGCCCTCTTTTTTTTTTTTTCTAAACCCACCGACACGCCTCGGCCGTCTGGTCTCGTCCAGTTTTCGGCGCCACACGCCCCCCCTCAACCGACAACTGCAACCGCTTCCGCCTGCCTCTGCTTCTCTGCCTCTGCCTCTGCTTCTCTGCCTCTGCCTCTGCCTCTGCTCTCCGTATTCAGTCAGTCCTCAGCTCGGGTCTTGTCCGCACACCCTGCGCTGTCAGCACCCGCCCTGACTCTTGTCCCCCTTCCGTCTCACCCCCCCTCCCCCCCCTCCCAGCTCCCAACTCCCAATTCCCATCTCCGTCACCGCCTCCCTTGCCTTGTTTTCCCACCCCTCGGGATCCCGGGAACGCTGTTGCCCCCATCTTTTAGGCTTGCAAAGCAAAGTCCCAGGCCCACTCTCTGAAATTCCTCGGAACGTTGCTCTGCCCAACCTTGCACCCACGACCTCCTGGCCGTCCCCCCCTTCACCCCCTTCACCGTACCCCCTTTTTCTCACACCCCCAACACGCCCCCCCAGAGTTGAGAGGAAGGGAGACGCGCCCCTTCGACTTATAAGTCTCCCGTGTCCACCCTCTCCCACACTCGCAGTCCAACGCAAGAATCAACAATATCCACAACCATCAACCAAAAGTCTTATACGAACAAGACCTCACAACACTCTTCCAACTCTCACCACAAACAACAACCCACACAACACACATCGCAGCCATGTACGGCTCATACGGTTCATATAGCTCCATGGGCGCCGTCTCCATGACGGCCCCCATCGACATCGCCCCCAGCAACATGCTCGCCCACGACCGGTCGTGCGCCTTCCCTTCATGGCCGCGCCGCGACACCCTTGCCGACTTTGACGGCGAGCCCAGGGCCACCTCGTACCTCTCGGACGAGGACCTCTTCCCCCAGGACTTCGAGGACGACTCCCGCAGCGTCTCCAGCTCCGGCAGCTTCTCCTCGCCCAACTCCCGCTCGCCCCAGATCTCCGAGGCCGAGCTTCTCGACATGGAGCGCGAGCGCATGGCCATGCAGCGCGAGGCCCTCCGCTGCGTCATGCTCGAGAAGGAGCGCCGCCGCCAGGCCGCCCTCCAGCAGAAGAAGTCGCAGCGCCGCGGCAGCTCCAAGAAGAGCCCCAAGAACAAGCTGGCCTCGATGACTCCCATCGCCGAGTGAGAGCTTCACGCCAAGCACGACAGCTCTCTTCTCATTCGCGGTGGTGCGTCCACCAGTAACTTGTTCGGACGAGCGAGGCACCCTCCGGGACAGCACCATCCCAGCTGGCTCACACCTCGTCTCAACAAACCTTAATCAATAATTACACGGCACATCTACAGCTTGTGGCCGGCGAAGACCAATACGACACGCCTGCGACTCGTCCCAGGCCTTGGGTCTTCCAAACAAACTACGCCTCTGGCCACTCGTCACCGTGGCCGAGGCCTCGAATACGACTCCGAACCATGCTTTTGCACTCCCCATCACGGGGGTCGTGGAGGTGTGCAGCCGACATTCGAAGCCGGTCGCCTCGCAACAGCACGGGGCGATTCGGAACGGTGTGGGGGGGAACACAGCCAAAGCCGACTGTGGGGGAGTGTGTCTCAGCCACACTAGCACACAAGCCCCGGCGGTGTTGGCCACCCACCGAGGGAAGAAGAGTCACCCGGCTAACAGGGAGCTGGTGTGGCAGGTGGGAGGAACAGGTGTCGGCTGCCTCGTTATCGCAGCCAAAAACCTGTATCCGCGGACTCGTGGGGTGCATCATGGGCCACAGGCACTGCACATGCCGTGCAAGCCTGTTTGTTTGTTTTTTTCTCCATTTCCTTTTGCTTTTTTCATGTTGATACCCCCCTTGCAATGGCCCTCCGAGGTTACGCAACTATTTTTGTCGCATGGAGTTTTTTTCCTTGCTCATTTGTTTGATTGGAACTGGATCGATCAACGGATCGGCTTTGCGGGGGAGGAGGAGGAGGAATAGGGGAGCACCATGGCATACAGCACATTTGCATCCGCATTTTTATCGGGGGATCGTCATCACATCATCAGCCTCACTGGGATCGTGGGCTTCTTTCACAACTTAGTTTAGTATTTAGTACGAGATACCCTTCGCCGCTGCGCGACAACACCATTTGATTCTATTCTTCACACACAAAACATCCATCATCATCATCGTGACCGTTTCCAAGATTGGCATGTGCTAGTGGCTTCCTGTGAAAAGTAAAGGAAGCGGCGCGCGGTGACTTCATTGTCGCGGCCCGCTTGACTTTTGCATTCGTGCCTCGAAAGCGTCACACGTATGAAGGTGTCGGAGCCATTCCGGGTGTGGCTCAAGCAAGAGTCACTCACCCTCTGTGTGTGTGTGTGTGTAGTGGTGGTGCGTAGGCATGTGTCACCGACTCTTTTTGACCATCTCAAGTCCTGGTGGTGGTGGTTGCTGATGCACACTCGACGCGTCCGCCGGCAGATGGATGGGGGGCTGGTTGCTGAGGTGAGTCTTGCCGACCCAAACTGTGGTGGTCCAGAACCGACGGGACCACAAGAGAAGGAGACAGAGAGACAGAGAGACAGAGACAGAGTCAGAGAGAGAGAGAGTGAGAGTGAGAGTGAGAGTGAGAGCCCACGGGGCTGAAGGTTTAGCCCCCCCTTGGTTCGAGCAGCTACTGTTCTGGCCCGCGGGTCATGTCGTCATCGGCGTTGTCTTGCGGTTGCGCTGTCTTGGGGAGCGGGAAGTCTGGCTGGCGGCCAACGACACACTTGGCGCTGAGAGAGTTTTGGGGGGGAGGGGGAGGGAAGCAGCAGGAAGCGGGTGAAGCGTGCTGGGGGAGAGCCCTCCCCTTCTCTCCTCGTCAAACGGTCGGGAACGGTCGGGAACCCCATCCAGCTGCAATTCCCGGCCTGCGCAACCCAGAGAGGGCCGCGCGCTGCCCCCACCCCCCCGTAACGGACCCCGTATCAGCGCTGTGCCAGTGCCACTGCCGTCCCAGCTGCTGGAGGTGCTGGAGCTGCCCCGTCCCCAGCGGTCGTCCAGTCGTCCAGTCGTCCAGTCGTTTTGCCAGTTTTGCCCATATACCACCAGTGTACGTACAAGTACACCGTTGCTCCCGTCCGAAGGGCACAGCCTCACCTCGAGTCTAGACTTTCGGCCGCGCATTACGAACGCTCATCTCCCATCCTTATGCCCCCCCGGCAGACAGGACCCGAAAGAGAGGTCCCCAAAAAATCGTCTCTATTCTTGGGTTTCGCTCTGGGGTATGCGATCTCGAGGGGATCCGGTTTTGGTGGACCGCCTGGAATCGGCACCTCGTCGTTGGCCACCTGCTCGTTCGCCTGATGTTGTGCTTGCGAGGCGGCCTCTCGTCTTACTTTGCGGGAGGCGCCCCGCGGGGGAAAGGCCGCGCTGCCTCGGCGACGCCTTTCCCCCCTTGTGCCGCCGCCAGCAGCTTCGAGGTTCTCCCGAGGCTGCTTGCGGGTGCGATACTGGGCCCAGGGGGGGGGGGGCGCTCTTATTCTTTGTCCGTTTGGCGAGTCTATCGAGGGGGGATCGGGGCGCATCGGGGCCCCGCGAGCCTGGACCAGCCACACGTTCGGTGTCGTTTCCTTGGAAGGAGGGTACATCATCTTGGATTACATAGGCCGTGGCTTTTTTTTGGTTGTCCTTGGTTGTCTTTCGGGCTCACATGTGAGCCCGCCGAATCTTTCGGCCCTTGTCCTTCTTTCAACTTCGGGAAGCGTCTTTGGACAAGTCGTGACTGCCGAGGTCCGTGGGGAGGGAAATCAATCTGGGGTATCTTGTTCGGACGCTTTTCCCTCGTGGCGCACACCATTTCGTCCGCCCAGGACGGTAATGGTGATGCGGAGACGCAAGGGTCCCAAGCCCCCCGGCCGACGGAATCTTTCGGACTCGGGTCCGGACGCGGAGGGGAATGGATGGACGTCCATGTTCGACCATGGCACAGTTCGTAATCGTGATGCCATGGATGCGACTGGCGCTTACGGTGGTCACTCGTGGAATGCCGTATCCTCGAGACTCGTCGTCGCCGAGTCACCTGGATCCTGCTGGCGTCACGGGACGTGATCTCGAGGTTCGCTCTCGAGGTGGAATCGAGATTGTGGCGTCGGGGGGCTCTTGTGGGGCGGGGAGATCCCTGGGAGAGGGTTCAACGGCCCTCAGCCACACCTGGGGATCAGCACCTTTGTCGCTGTCATTGATGTACGGTCTCGGACGGGCATGGAGGGCTCACGCTGGGAGATCCAGCGCATCCTGACCAAGATGGGGAAGAATCATGATGTCTGGCATTTTGAGATTCCAAGCGCCCACGCCGCCGGCTCCGGGAGCGTCGCACAAGATCTCTGCTAAGGGCGAGGGCGAGGTCTCGGAATCTTTCCATCTCCCCAACAACAACAACATGCATCAAGCCCCCCCCACGAGCGAGACCGGACGTTGCAGATGCTGCGTCCCCTCACCTCGGGATCTCGCTGGCAGGCAAAGCTATAGCGCACGCTGGCCCTCCGACATATATGATAGGGCTGGGCCTGCACGACTGCGGGAGAGAACGGGATGGGCAACGGAAACTTGGCGATAAGCCCCCCCGCATGCACACAATCCTGCTTATCGCGGGGAAGAGGCGTACTATGTACTGGGCGAAGAGAGAGAGAGCTCCGTAAAATGGAGAGCCGACGACTGGTCGACGGGCAGGGTCCGTTAGGGAAAACGGGCCCCGCCGATGGCCCATTACGGCCGACGGTCGAGGGTGTTGCCGCGATTAGGACCCAGCCGTGGAATTGTGCACGCCGCGGTTCCGCAAAGGGAGGTGGCAGCGCGGTATCGCTGAGGCCCCTAAAGCGGCGCGACGGGGGAGGGATTACGTACAGTACCTACTCGCTTTAACCGGCGGCTCGGTCCACCGCTGGGCTGGGGCTGGGCTGCAGAGGATCCAAGGCGGTCAGGGAGCACCACCGCTGCAGAGAAGGGCCTGGACGGCGTGGGCCGGGGCCCGGGGGGGGGGGGAGTGCGCCTCTGCCCTCTCCCCGCCGTTTGGGTCCTTTGGGCCCAACCAAGGCATGGCAGACATATGGCCGACATGGCAGAAAGCACACGGCGGAGCGGCAGGGAACCCATGCGCCGGGATGCCCTCCCGGCGCCTGGACCCCGTTGACGGGTTCGAGTCGCCGTCCAATCCGCTGCCGCACACCCCTCCCCCCTTGTCGCGTCTCCCGGGCCCTGGGTAAAATGGCATTGGGAAATTGGGGCGAGCGGGGGGGGAACATGAAACGGGGGTGCACCCGGCGGATCCCAACTTGTCAAACTCCTCGTCGTCCTCCACCGCCGAATGACGGGACGATCGCTCCCGGGGTTGAGGAGGGGGGGAGGCGCTCTAGACCTTTTCCAGGCTTTGCTCACTTTCCTGTTCCGGTCGTGTTCGGCGGGGCCTCGTGGAGCTCCTGGGGCTCCTGCTGCTCCTGCTGCCGCGAGGGGCTCCTCTCCTGGGTAAAAATTTCTGCTCGATTCCCACCCTAGGGATGGATCTACGGGTTATCAGCCGGCGGGATTCTGGAGACGTTGGACAGAATAACTGGAGCAAGCGAGATCCAAGGGGGGGTTTTCCGGTTCTTTGGCCTGCCCAGCAGGAAGGGAGTCCCGTTGGGGCGTCAGGGGGGATCCGTATGGGAGAATGCGGAAGGAGGCTCATCTAACGGGCCTTTTTCGCATACGGGACGTTTGGGAAAAAGAGACCTTGAGGGTCGGGATGCGAGCTTGATATGCGGCACCTATTCTTCCGCCCAGCCCAAGCCTGGCAATTTCTCTTCATTAACTTTCGGTGCTTCTTCTCCCATTGTTCTCGCGGGTCGAACTCCCCTCCCCGGTGCTCCAAGGGCCGTCGACCAAGACCACCCCCCTAGGCTCTTCCTCGGCATCATCATGGCTCTTGGGTGACGGGAATGACGATTCATGGCCCACACTTGGTGTGATGAGCTTCCAGTCTCCCCCCCCCCCCCCCCCCCGTCCGAAGGGAAAAATTCTTTAAAAAAATTCTTTTCTTCTAGTGCCCTTCTCCGCCCTGGGCGATACCCACCCCCAGCCTTCTTTTTGCCTCGAGTGTGCGCGAATGCGTGGTTGTGTGTGTGCGTGTGTGCGCGACCGCGTTACCGCGCAATCCTCGTCTCGGTGTCGTTTCGGTAAACTGGCAGACTGAGTCGTGATCCCGAGTCGAGGTCGGAGAGTGCCCGACGACACGCTGAACGCGCAACTCAACCACACACGCCCCCTCGACCTTTCCCGGTCCCACTCTCGGTGGCTCATGAGTCAAGCCGTGTGGCTCAACCGCAAGCACAACCCCGACCAACAGCCCGGGGCAATCAATCTTGGAGGAGGCGTGGTCGTCGTCCGAAAGGGCATCCTCAAGCGCAACCAGTTCCCCCAGACCTGGGCCCGTGGGAGGAAAAAGCTTGTGAAAGTGATTGTCGTTGCATTTTCAGGGTCTTTTTTTTTTGTTTTTTTTTTTTTGCGTTTCCTGTCAGAGATGTGCACGACTCAGCTGTCCCCCGAGTCGTTCACACGCTTCGACGTCAGTTATGACTTCAGTCTTTTCCAACATCACTGAACATCATTCCTTCCAGGTTTCCGGAAAACGGCACCACATGGCATCAACATCATTTTGCAAGGACCTATACACACGCCCCCTCTAAACAACCTTCTTTTTTTTTTTGCTTCCTTTTCACGACCGGCACACCTGCAACTCAACTCTGAATCAGATCAGACCAAGAACCAAAAATCAAAAAAACCAAGGCTAAGACTGGGACCGGGTGGATTGGCCACCCGCACTGATGTTTTCTTCTTCTCCAGTCTGCCGTCATCCTGAAGCACTGGCCCGGCCGGCTCCTCACTGGGCTGGCGGTTTTTCTTTTTGGCGTCCTGACCAAGGCCGACCGACAATACTGAGCCCGCGAAAGGAAACCTGGGGTAAAACGGGACGCAGGCGGTTGCCGGGTTGAAACTCGAGAGGCGTTCAAGCCACGTTGAGTAGTCCCGTCGTTCTATTCCTGTTGGCCGGGTCAGGAACCGTGAAACCACGATTGCCCTCCGCAACCTGTTGTGCAACCAACCCCGCCAGCCAAACAGATCTGGTTCAGCTCTTGCTTCTCAACCACAGATCTCGGCTCGTCTAGGCCCAGCCAACAAGTGGGACATTGGGGAAAAAAAAAACGAATGGGCAAGACAAGCCGGACAGCAAACATTTGGCGTTTCCTCACCAACTGCATTGGTTGCACGCATCGTTTGGGCTCTCGACCCGGAGACCCGTTTGCCGTCCGATCAGTTTCGGAAGGAGGGGTTCGTTGGAACGTTTTTGGCACGAAAGGGGAAAACTGTGGAACCGCGGGTGTCTATCCAGAGGAGAGGCCAGGAGTCATGGGCGTGCGATTGGACGGAACGGTTCGTCCGCAGTCTCTCTTCGCGTTGGCTGCCAAGAGAGGCAGGACTGCCAAAGTAACGGAGCCCCGTTTCTCCATCCAACCGGAGGATGGATGCAAGATTGACTCGTCTGACGGACAGGCCCCGCACACCGTATCGGACCCTGGGGGGAAAAACGTGGGCGTTGGGGGGGTCTGTTGGCAGTCCAGTTGCCTGAAGCGGCAGGTGAGTCTAAAACGGATCGGGTGCGGTCGGGCCACCTTCTAATCCGCCGTTACCACGCCTTATCGCAGCCCGGACCCTCCATCTCCAGATAAGATACCGCTTCTTACACGAGAGACGGCCCAGATGAGAGGTGTGTGCGAGCACGGCGGTACCGGCCCTTCGCGGACCGGCTTATCTCACCACGTTCGTATCTGTACGCCGCGCTCCATCGCGGCCGAATATTCTCGTATGCTGTCATCCTGCTGGCATCCTCCTGGCATTGCTATTTTCAACTCTCGCAGCGACGGTGGCACCACGCCTACTCTTCAAACAGCGAGACGGCAGTCCGGCGCCGCCTCCTCCGCCTACGTTGTGCCGCCGTAGGCAGTAAGGCGAGCGCCTCTGCTCGGGTCGCCCTCCACGATGGGGATCCGTGCTCTCTGCCGTCCGCAAGCGCGGACGCCGTCACGTTTATTTTTGATCTCTCGAGGAGCGTCTGTTCGACGAGCTACCCCGAAAGCCCCGGCGGCCAAAGCAGAAGCCACCCGGCAAGCGCCTCCGGGGGGTGGTGTTGAGTCCACTAGTTGTGCTTCAAGCCCGCGCTATTCGCGCCGGGAGCGATAGGGAAGGGGGGGGGATTGTTTCTCCGCCTCTCTCTCTTCGCGTTGCAAAGGCTCCGAACAAGGAGCGTGGGGGTCGTCCATCGTTCGGGGTGATGCGTTTGTTGACCCTTCCGCACCCGCGCCGCATTCTGCCCGAGAAGGCGGTCTGCAAACAGCTTGCACACATCGCCGCCATGCTGGCGCTGCTTGCTGCTTGTTGCCTGCGAGACGTTGTCAGTTTGCTTTTGGACGAAACCCCACGCCCCTCCTTGCTGAAGTTTTCTTCTTCTTTCCCCCCCTTCCAACGGCCACCTCATTTACATCATCGTCACCGCCTTGTGCCAAACGCACACTCTCACACACACATCCACACCTGGCACCCGTCAGGGCCGACATTGCAGGTCTAGGCGCCCGGGGCCCTGCAGCGCAGGGGGTTTGCGCACAAATCGGTCGGGCAGGAAGAGAAGAAACACACACAATCACACACATACGGGGAGATAAGTGACAAGTGACAAGTGACTGGGGAGACTGGACGGGTCTGGGCCCCGCGCGAGCGCACTCGGGGAATCTGCCAGCGACAACAACAGTCTTTGGCGGTCGATCCCTAGCGATCCCCATGGCCTGGGTCTGGGTGCCGGCCGCGACCGCATCTCGCAGCTCACCAGCAGCAGCAGCAGTGCTGCCACGCAGCAGACTTGCCATGCTGTAGTAGCGGTGTCGAGACATGTCGGGAGATGTGCGATCCACGATGGCATCGTGCATTCCGGGCTGGACCCGGGGAGATGAGGAAGACACACACGCACACTCCCCTTTGTATTACGGCCGTCTTACACGGCACCGCGTGTTTTGTCAGCTACCTCGCGCTCCCATACCAATCACCCCGGAGCCCAATGTAAGCAGTGAAGAAGACCAGTAAAGACACCACGCACACACCCTCGGCGTCTCGTTGAGATGCGGCGTCCCCAACACCGGGCTGGCCCTCCACGGCCTCGCAACCACCACCCTTCGTCTTCGTAATCAGCGACGGTGAGCAATAAGCCAAATGGCCTCGCCGTGATTCGCAGTCCTCCCCATCCCACCATCCCGTTTGCTCCCCCAACCCCCCACGGCCGGAGCGCGGATGACTTTTACGCCTGTGGTCGCGATGCGAACGAGTCCGATGCCTGGCGGCTCCCATCACACGCTCGTCACAGCCGACGGTTGCCAATCGCACACTCTCACCTTGGGGGGAGAAACAGCAGTGCTACGCACTCGGTCTGGGTGACCGCGTCCCATGGCCGGCGCTCGGGACCTGACTGGACGGTCGGAGGGCGCGTGCGAAGCACCCCTTCGGAAAGGACTGCGCTCCAATCACTGTTCGGCGCATCGCGAAAGCTTGTCAGCTTGGTTGCGCCGTTCTCATCGTCCATCGGGTGCCGTCGCATCTCGCAGCGGTCATTTCGCAATCATTTTGTGACTCACCTACAGCTGAAGCGGGCAGACCAGGCACACCGCAGGTTTCTTCTTGCAACAGAGTTTCCTTGTTCTTTTCGCGGCATGCGCCATGTCATCCACCCATAATATCATCCCGCTGCTGCATCACATCCGATAGCGGGCCGCCCTCAGCGCCATCCCCCCCCCTCCATGATGCCCGGTCATGCACACTCCCCCCTCCCCCCCATCTGCCGCTATTTCGCCCTTCTGCACAGGGTGCATGGAGCAGCTGTGAGTTCCCTTACGTGCGGTACGCAAGACGGTGTGAGCTCCGAAATAAGGTGGTGTGTGTGCCAACCCGGGCTGACGCCAGGGGCGGGGAGAACCATCTCGCCCCGATTCGCCCGGCGATCGTGCAGCTTGCATCCCGACTAGCAAGAAAAAGAAAAGGAGAATGCAAAAACCAGCGGAATGCAAAGCAAGCGAGGGCTGAAACCATCACCTTCAACGACCCCTGTTCTCGTCACATTATTAGGTTCTGCCACCGCCCATCGACACTTTGCAGCCTGCATCCGCGGGGCCCCTTCACCGCTCTCGAGGGGTCGGTCGCGTGGGAAGAGGAATGAGAAAAGTGACAGGCTTATTCCGAGATTGGGATGTCTCGTTTTATGTTTTTCCCTTGGCGATGGGCAGGGTAAGAATGGACTGTCTTGCCCATCGTGTCTCATTGCCCACATCCGCTAGGGACTGGGACTGCAAAAAGCAAATGGGCAGATAGGCATAGTCGCAGACAGAAAAGCAAGACAGAAAAAGAGCCCAGACAGTTCCGTTCCAGCCCCCAAGAGGCTCTCCGGCTGGGCCCTGCGACAACAACCCCCGGTCGTGGGCGACAACTGGCAGATGCACCATTGTGCTGTCTCGGATCGTGGACGCCAGATCGCCAGGGGAAAGGGCCAGGGCTCTGAGTTGTGTCTTTGTACGACCGGGTGACGTCCTGCGCCGTTGCGGAGGAGAGCGCCCTGACCACACCCAAAGTCGTCGACTCGGCGACTCTGTGTCTCTTGGCTGGAATGTCGGCCTGCAGGTGAAAAGTAGGTTCAGCTTTTGCTTTTGGATGCCGCCGTCGGAAGAAGGAACCAATGGATTGATGGTGATCGGCCGGCGGCGTCTGATATCTCTCGCGATGGACGACGGGAGGCGGACCTGAGCGTGCTGTAGGTTTAATACGGGTGGCGCGTTCGGGCATGCGTGGTGGCTTCGTTCGGTGTTATCAGGATCCGGAGTTCGTACGCCCCCCTCTGTGCAGCTCATCTTGGGGAGGATGCGTGTGGAGGGCCATCTCGATCGAGGGCATGGCGCCGCCCGCCCCTTCGTCCCATCCGTCGAGGCACCGCGATACGGAACCTGACTGTGCATCAGCCCACACGCGGGCAATGACCCCTGGCCGCCCCGGAACCCCCTCCGGCATGCGCGGCAGCTGCCAAACTTACATCTGCCGTGACCCGCTCCTACAGCTCGCGTCCTGGAATGGCGAGATCGTCGGGATCGACGTCGGCCCCGTGTGGCCGGGAGCCGACGTCGAATCCGTATCCGGTCCGACGGGGTCCCACATGGCGGAACCCCGCGTTGGTCCGTGTGCCGGCGCCGGGAACCACGACTTGCCTATTCGGGATGTCCGGGGTGGGGAGACTGGTTGATTGCAATGACCTGCAAGCGGCCGAGAGATGCTATACTCGGAACACTCCGGGCTAGCCGGATGCGCTGGGTGGCATGTCAACAGCGTGCAGCAATGTGTTGTTTGGTGCCGATGCTCCAGGTTCTAGCGGCACCCGTGGTTCAAGATGTGATTTCATCGGCACGGTCTCACGGTACTGGCAAGCAAAAAAAGGTAGGTGGGTAGATCGTCTATTATGTCTTCTTTTGAGCGTTGCGAAACACAAAAGACCATCCGAAGAATATCGGGATCTCTAAAATAGCCGCGGAGGCTCGTCAAGGAGAGGCTAGAAGATTAAGTATACAAAGTCATGCCGAGCGTTTTTGCGAAACCCGCTCCTTGTCTTTTCCTTTTCCCGTTTCTTTCCCAGGAATCGTACCGTCCTCCCATTGTTGCCCCGTGGGCCTTGTCTATGCCGTGCTGCGCGACGCTTACAGAGGCAGGGTCTCCTGGGCGGCGCTGACGGAGCCGTTGTTGACGGCGGCGCGGTGGCCGCGGGCGATGTAGCCGTAGGCGGGGTAGTACTCGTCGAGCCAGGAGAAGAGCTCGAGGGCGCCGGGGGTGTTGCGCCAGTCGCGCATGAGGTCGAGGGAGATGGAGAAGAGGGAGACGATCTGGACGCCGGCGGCGGCCATGCGGTCGTTGGAGACGTCGCGGATGAGCTCGGTAGTGGTGCCGGAGGCCTCGACGTTGGCCCAGACGGAGTAGCCCTCGGCGCGGAGGGAGAGGGCGAGGAAGGTCGTGCAGACGTCGGTGGTGATGCCGGCGAGGATGATCTGCGACTTGTTGGCGGCGCGGACGGCGTCGCGGAAGTCGGCGTTGTCCCAGGCGTCGACCTCGCCGTTGCGCTTGATCAGGGGCGCGGACGGGTGCATGTCAAGAATCTCCTGGGGGAGGGGACCGTTGGGGCCTTGGGGATCGTGTTAGTCTCTTGCGTCCTTTGGGAGGGTGGCAAAAGGAAAGGGAGGGAAGGCATACCAGTCTCGGCAGAGGTGGTCAGGACGACGGGGAGGTCAAAGACCTTGGCCAGGGAGGAGTGAGCGAGCATCGCGTTGCGGTAGAGGGTGGGGTCGAAGTCGCGGGCGAGGTTGAAGAGGCCCTCCTGCATGTCGACGACGAGGAGCATCGAGTCGTTCTTGTTGAGCCTCTCCCAGGGGACGGCTGTGCGGTCAGGTTAGCGAGGCCGTCTTGCAAGCGGAAGATGTGAGGGATGGCTCACCATCAGCGTTGGCAGCGGCGAAGAGCGCCGAGACGGCGAGAGTCAGAGAGAACTTCATCTTGATGGAGGGTTCTTGGAAGTTGGTTCTTCGGAGAGCTGGTTGAGTCTTTGGGAGGCGGAGGAAGACTGTGCTTGACTTGTCTGCTGGATGAGGATGGAAAGAAAGACCTGGACTGGAGGTGAGACTCGATGCTCTTTATACGCAAAGTTCGAACGATATTCTACGGCAGGCATTTGCACAATCATCATCATCCTCATCACCACCAGCACCGTGGCCGAAGTTTTCCGTCTCGGAGAGGCTCCGCAACGTCGACGTCGGCATCGGTCCTTGGCACTTCAATGACGAAGCCAATCCCTTTCCCACGTTGCGGGATTTCCAATGGCCCATGTCCATCAAGATAGGCAGTGTCTCCGACTTGTGGCTGCGATGCCCATGCGGGACTCCTCGATCCCTACAGCTCCGGCCTAGACAATTTCCCCTTTCAGCAAAAGGATGAATTTCAGAGTCATTGACGAAGTCGGCGTCGCTGCGATGTTGACGAAGCATGGAGTAAACAATTGCTGTACGTTAGTAAGCTCCCCCTGTTGGCTCTATGCGGGCCACGACCCGAGTTAAGCCTCTCGGTAGTTGCAGGCTCTGCCATTGGTGGCCTGGGGGCCTACCGAGCTGTCCGGGGTATATTCGGCGGTGGAACTCCGCCCGGTGCGACCCAGACATACATATGAGATGCGTAGAGCAACAATCTCATATTTCCCATAGCCACTCCAGATTCGCATGGTGACGATCTCCGAGATCTCGGGATTGGAAAGCCAGTACGTGGGCTTGACTAAGCTCGACGGCACCGATGTCACTGGGCGCCTGGCTAGGTCGCCCGGCTGGCTGGGAGAAGCCATGCCTGCAGGACTTCATTTCCGCTGGCCCCGCTAGCATAAGCACGTAAAAGTGCGGGTTCTGACCGTCCTGCCTGGTTGGAGGTGAGGAGACGGGGCTCTTCGATGTTGGCTTAGCTAAGGACCCTGTCGGTATTGGATAAGGCTTTGACTATGCTTTGTGAGGATTGCGTCCCGCTCCGTTGTGGAGACCCCAGCACCGATGCCGCGATGTCAGGGTGGGGGCGCCAATTCCTAAGCTGTGATGGTGCATGTGTCAGCACCCATCTCCGGCGGGAACGCGTTTCTCCTCCTTTTCAACCTCGGTAGAAAAACGTCCGACTGGAAAGCAGGACTTTATGGTATCTCCATCCCCACACAACCAAGTTGTTCAGGCATTCAATACTGCTCGCCCTCCCACCTCTTCACGCTTGTAAATGCCAGTGCACCCGGTGAGCTGGAGCAGATCCTCTCAGTTGGTCTGTCGGAAAAGCATATGGGACGTCTTACGGAAGGAAACCTCTAGATGAATCATGAAATGATTCCTCTCGGCTTTTCGGGTGCTTCACATCGAACCAGATCCTACATACCGACAATATCAAAGGCATTGGTAAGAGGCGCCTTATTGGGGTTCTCATCCTATCCGACGGACCAATGGTTTTGGCAGTTGATTGCGAACTGCTCACCTGGTAGTCGGATGGACCAGCCTAGTCACTCCCCAGAAGAGAACCACCACAGTTAGCCGACTATGAGGTGCCCAGGAGCTTAAGGACAGACAGCACGTCGCTCGTGATCCAAGGGGCTTGAGGTTGATGGCCAGTTGGAAGCAGGTCAAGATACAGTCGGAACAGCCTGACTTACGAGCACACATGCTCCTCGGACAGACATGTTAATGGGGCGCGTCTAAGGCTTCAGCTGATGGCAATGTCCCCATTTGATATTGCCCGCTGTTGTGTATTGTTCCCAGCAGTTGAGCTATCCGACTTTAAAGCAATGAGCGGTGCTATCTTAAGAGGTAGCTACTAGCTGGAGGACCAGCCATGATACATTCCAATTGTACTCAACGGAATCTGGGCCGCATGCTCCAAGATCTGGACATTGAGACACGCCATTTGGTTGCAGCTTGCAATGTTGGCCTTCGTTGGTCGACATGATAGCCGTGTCTGGTCAGTTCTGACCAGAACAAAACCAGGCAGACCGCATAAGCGACACAACTACCCTGCATAGCTATGCTCAGATGCTCGTCCCGTACTGTCTGCTTGCAGGTTCGAAGTCAGAGGAGGCGGGCTACGAAGCCCCACAGACTAGAAGATGTCTTCTGTGAACAAGATAAACGACAAGGTGGCTGAGAACCACTTGTGCTCCCGGAAGTTAGGCCGCGGCTCGTCCGTGGATTAGAATGCATGACGAGACCGGGTCAAAACAGCACTATGATGCCAGTGAAGCCGATTTATCGTCGTGACATCTTCTCATTCGAAATATATCTTTCCAGGTCTTCGACCCCATGCAAATGGCCAAGTGAAGGAACCTTGCCATATTTTCACGGCCATGGACAATACATTCAGCCTCTCCAGGCGTCAAAAATACTGTATACTGCTGAACCACGGCTACTCCCAACGCCGGACGAAACTAGAAAAATGGCTTGCGAGAACAGGAGCAACCAGATGAGTAACAGAAGAGCACTGCTAAACCGTCGTTGGTGGGTGTCTTCTCCGTCGGGCGTCTCCGCGACGCAAGGTCCAGACCCATGTGGATGTTTCTTCGCTGGAACTCGAGCTGATCAACCGACGGACTCCCATAAACATGAGCGGAAAACGCCATACGCCGTCTTTATCGAATATGCAAGTCCTTAACTGCGCAGGGCCTCCAGCCTGTTGCGCATCTGGTCCATCATAGCCTCGGCGTCCTCCTCTTCCTCCTCGGCCTCGACCGGCTTCGGTTCCTGGTGGACCGGCGCCGCGGGCATCTGCTCTTTAGGCATGCGATCTTTGAGGATCTCCCCGAGCACCTTGTCGACCTCGCCCTCAGCCTCCTCCTCCTCGAATTCGTCCATGTCCTCGGGCAGGCTTTCGCCGACCATCTCTTCGATTATACCAGCCTTCATCAGCTCCACGCTCAGCTCCTGCATCGTTCCGGCCAGCTCAGGCAAGCGGATTAGGCGGTTGACATCCTTCATAACGCCGACGCTGGCGCGGATGCTACCCTCAATCTTGCGCACGGCGAAGGCCTCGTTGACCTGCATCTGCACGCTATTGAGCTGCGCCTTGGAGGTGACGAGCCGGTTGCTAGTCTTTCTTGCCCGGATCAGTTCGCGCGCAAAATCGCGGGCCTCCTTCTGTGCTTGCTTCTGCCTCGTAGGATCTCGTTGCGCTCGCTTGTCGGCCTGGAGGATGAGGTTCTTCGTCTTGGCTTCCACTTGTCTGACTTGATTGATGTCGCGGTCTAATTTACGGATGTTGGAACGTATGAGGGCGTTGCATTTCCGCAGCTGGCGATAAGAGACCTATTAGCATTCCGCGTTTGGTTTGTTTCGATGGACTCGATTTACCTGCTGCTGCGGATCAGGCTTGACGAACAACGCTCTGAGCGTCTCCATGATGGGCTAGTCGACAAGCAAAGGACGGCGGACCGTCAATCCGTCAAGAAATAGTGAGATTCGAGCTCAATCGTAGAAACGCTTGGGTGGGTGGTGGATGCGTGTCGGGCTGCCGCCAGCCTTGTCCGTTTGACAGAATCAATGAGCGCTGCCTTGGGTTGGAAAGCGATGTGTCGTCATTCCCTGCTTGCTGCGTCGACTGATACGGCCTGTAGTGGGGGATTGTCGTCACGTGGGGAAAGTGCAGTTCGCATGCACGTAAGCAAGCAGCCTGCTAAAGGGAGTATGTATGTATTGAATTCCGTATTAAGCATATCAGTCCCCGAGTGAGGCAACGTCGGCTATTGACGCTGAACTAAGTGACTGGCGACATCTAGACACAAAGTTGAGTCCCTGATTACCGCAATCGGTTCGTCTTGAAAGTAAGTTTTAGTGCCCCATCCATGGTAGCATTGCGATTCGATCAAGCTCATGCAGACCAGACAGGCTCGCCTGGCACCGGTGAGAAATCATGGTATCCGAGTGTGCACCAAATACATACTACGAATAGACGAATCGCGTGTTCCGGACTGGCCGTATCACAGCAAATGAGACCCTTGGTGGATAAGGGAATCGACAGGGGGCCCACGATGACCTCACTATACTGGTCGACGAAATCGAAAAAAGACAAGACGAAGTCCGCTACATGACAAGCACACTGATCTTCGGGCCGGGCGGGCTGGATGATAGGTCTGGCGCTGAGGGACTGGGAAATGCTGCGGAGAACAGACATTCGTCTCGAACGCGACCCAAAAACACAGATTCCTTACAGTAGCTGACACAAGAAACACAGCACAAAAGCGCCCGGGTTTGGTTCGTGTTTCTGCCATGATGCGCCTCACTTCAGAGCTGCAGGAAAAGCCAGCATCCACTCAGAGCACTGTCCAAGCCTATTTCGTGGGGTTGCAGGGGGGTTGGAAAGAACTCTGGTTGTTTTTGGCTGTCAAGCAAACGTCAGCAAAGAGGGGAAGACAGGGTAGGAGGTACTTGGACTTGGAGCCAAAGTCCCACCCAAATGGAAGTACCTGGTAGCAACTGGAAAGGGAGGAAGAGAGGCTCAGCCAGGTACCTGGCACAGAACAGAGAGGGAGAGGAGGGGGGAAAGGGGGACGGGATTTTTTAGTGTACAGTGCGTTCAGCCCTGCCAGGGTCCGGTCCGCAGCGGTCCAGCAGTTGGCCGCCTCCTTCTTCGGTGCCAATGGTGGTGCAAGCTCTGTGGTGCAGGTGCTCTGTGCTCCTGCCGTCTGCCTGCCTAGTGCCCAGGTACCTAGTGTGGGTTGCCGCCAAATCTTTTGGATTCGAGCGCTTTCTATAATTGCCCGTGATCTCTCTATGCGGTAGCAGGAACCCACCCGACCTCACCACCACCCCCAACCAAGGGCCCAGCCTTTTCAAACCCGTAGCCTCACAACCTCTTTCTAGCTTCTCTCCTTTCCCACACTCCAACCACACACTCTTACCTCCTGCAACTCAAAACAAGAAGTGTCAATTTTTGCACGAGAGACCTCTTGATACCTTCTTTACTTGGTCATCTTGCTACTTGCGATTTGCCTATCTGCGACTCATTTGCGCTCCGCGTTTTAAGAAACTACCCCTCATCCCCCGTCATAGCTCCTCACACGACACATTACCAACCAGCACAATGTCTGCCACCACGTCAACTCCCGAGGGTACGTGCAAGCTCTCCCCCCCCCATTGTCGCATTCGACGGTCCCAATCGCCGCCCCATTATCTCCGACGTCAATTTCTCTGTCTCATCCCCAGCATAATTTGCATTGACGCCAGCCTGAATCACCGCCGAAAGCTAACCATGTATCTACGTAACAGTTCTCTGGGCTCAGCGCTCCAGCTCCTCTGACGCCTCCAAGAACTTTGTCTACCTGACTATCTCTGTACCCGACGTCCCCGCCTCCAACCTCAAGCTTGATCTTAAGCCCACCGGCCTGTCGTTCAGCGGCCACTCCGACACCCTGAAGCGCTCTTACGCGGTAGACCTCGAGTTCTACGCCGAGATTGACCCCGCCGAGAGCAAAATCAACCACACTGCCAAGAACGTCGAGCTCAAGCTCCAGAAGAAGGAGCTCAAGGAGGAGTACTGGCCCCGCCTGCTCAAGGAGGCCAAGAAGGTCCACTTCCTGAAGACCGACTTCGACAAGTGGGTCGACGAGGACGAGCAGGATGAGGCTGCTGAGGAGGACTTCTCTCAGTTCGGCGGCATGGGTACGTAACCCAATTCCCCGTCTACGATACCCCGCGTTGGCGGATCGTGGCATAACTCTTCCGATCAAGAGTTCACAGGCTAACGTAACGGCTCAATAGGTGGCATGCCCGGCATGGGAGGTGCTGGCGGTGACTTCGGCGGCATCGACTTCTCCAAGCTTGGCGGCGGCGGTGGCCCCGACATGGGAGACATGGAAGATGACGAGGAGGGCGAGGACGACGATGATATGCCGCCTTTGGAGGGCGAGGACGACGGCAAGGCTGCCGCCTCCGTTGCTGATGCCAAGGCTGCAGAGAAATAAGCCATCTCTCCCTCTGAACCATTACCCATAACCGAGACGACTTCCCGGCAGTAGTAGGCCAGCAAGCATTGGCTACGCAAAGACCGTGGATTACGCTCTAGACTAACGACCTGAATGTACTCCCTTTTGAAACCAAAAGACACAAAGAAAAGACGATTCGTGAAACATGGGACTGGTTTTTTTTGTTCACACTGGCGAGAGAGGGAGGCGACGAAGGGGGCATTTGACGAACGGACACCAATCTTCTCTTGTTTCTTCCACCTCATGGCCGTAGCCTGGTCCCGCAGGCACCCGGTCCTCGATAGGCCCGCCTGATTACGATGAAGATGAAAAATACAGCAAATCAGACCCAGCAGTTTTCCCTCGTAATTCCGTGTAATCTACGCTCACAGAGTGTCCGGCGCGACTGGATGCTGATCGAATGATCACGTGGCCAACAAGTGCATGAGGGACGCCGACGGGTGGTTTGCGCAATGAATGCTCCCACACATCGCGTTGTCAGTGATATCTTCAGTCCAATAAACGACTTTGAGACGGATTGATCCAAGTATATAACTCGGACGATCTCCAAGTTGTAGTTGGCCACGGACATGATCAAATTCATACACATTTGCAATCTCACCGAAGAATCAGAAAGTAGAGTTGGGGGCCCGGCGCTTTGTGCATTAAAGTCTGTCCTACGGTGAGTTCGCTATAATACAAGCCCTGCTACAGCCTGGGCAAAGCAGATGAATGGTTTGTAGGCGTTCCGGCTCAATGAAGCCGAAGCGCCGTTTTGTTGTGTTTTGGGGTTGTGCCTTCTAGGCTGAGAGGCAATTTGCAAGCTTGAAAAAAAGCAAGACGTGTCAAAACCAAGGCCATAATCCCCTAGCCTCCATGTGTTCACTCTCCTTCCAGCAATCTGTACGAGTGCTCCACGAAACGCGAAAAGTGAAAGATGATTGGCGCCCCCGCGCGATGTACCCCTTCGGCCTCTTCGATTCTGGGCTTCCACGAGTCAATCTAGGATCAAGCTCAACCGCAATGTCTTTACATGATCTCATCCTCCATCGGGGCGTCGCCGTTGGCGGCAGCCGGAGCTGGAGCCGCAGCAGCAGCAGCGTTCTCGCCGGCAGGGTTGGCACCAGACTCGAAGTAGTCAGCCATCTCCGAGTCCAACTCCTCCGCGGTCTTCTTCGCGGGGCGGCCAGTGCGTGCGCGGCGTTGCGGCTTCTTGCCACGAGCACCGGGCGCAGCAGCGCCCTTGCTGGCATTGGCATTGGCATTCGCGTTGTTACGCTTGTCATTGGCAGCAGACTTGGGCTGAGCCTTGGGCTGACTATTGACTTGTTAGCATTGCATGTGATCATCTCGACGGTACCACCTACGTAGTGCGCTCAGCAAGCGACTTCTTGGTGGGCGGAATGACGTTGGCTGCTTGAGAAGCACCGACAACAATCTCAATCTTTGTAGTGTTAGACTTGTATAGAAACGCAAAGGTTGAAAGACTTACCTTGATGGGGCGGTTGTCCACGAGAAGACCGTTCAGCTTCTGGAAGGCCTTGCTAGCGCCATCCGGCTCGCGGAAGGTAATGTTCGCGATTCCGCGACTGACGGAGTTGGGTCCGTAGGAGATTTCCACTCTCTTGATGGGTCCAACTGATGTGATAAAGTACTCCTGAGGGGAAAGCCGACGTTAGTTATCCGCAAGCGTTGATTTTTTTAGTCACAATCGTCGTCCGAAACCGCGCCGCACTAGGGCAAGAGATCGAGAAATCCAAGTATGGTCGGGAGCACGAGAAACGGAGCAGCAAGCAGAGCAGTGAGCGTCAGTACGCGTGTCAGCATCTATCCCCCAGGAAGCCGCGTATCAGGCCGTCTCATGCTCAGTCGCTATCAGGTCGAAGGGTATCACCCCAAGTCGTAACAGCGCTGCTGCAAGCAAATCTCGAACCAGATGGCTGTAGAACCACGTCCAAGACCGTTCTCAGGCCACAAGACCATCTGTGTGGACCTCAGATTCCACCGAAGCGCAATTCGGATGCTGATAGGTTGGCATATCGAAAGCAATGAAGCCGGATATCGAAGCCGCCCTAGCCTGTGCTGCGACAATGCTCACTGCTGTGCTCGCTGGAAAGGGCTTCATTTCGCATTGTCATGCTTAACGAGCAGTATCAGACCAAGTTGATCATATGGATATGCGTCATAGACAGCCAACGTCCCGTATTTTCAGTCGGCGGTACCATTCTGCTCGTGTGCTGACCAGGCTACATGAGAGGGTACTGTAATCGCGCGACAGGGACGTGCTCAACTTCCTATGGTTTCTGCGCCGTATCTCAGGATCGCAGTGTCGAGGAAGGAGTCTTGCGGCGTCTTGGCAAGTGGCAATGGCCACGCAGGGTTTGATCTCGCTACGACGCCGGTTGGGAAGGAGGACGGGCGAGAAATAACATGTCGAACAAAGTCCGAGGGCTGAAGAGCCTTATCGGCAACATACCTTGATCTGTTGCTCGTTGACATCCTTGGGCTTTGGACGCGTTAGCTTTGTCGGGAAATGTGGCGCGAGAAGAGGAACTCACCAGGTTGCTCACGATGACCTTGCTGTCACCAGTGCCTTGCGCGGGCTTGGCGGCATTAGGCTTGTTTGCGGCGGCGCGCGCAGGCTTCGATGTCTTCTGAACACCGCCGACTGGGGCTGCGGCCGCAGGGCGACCACCAGTGGATCGTCGCTGAGAGCGGCGACCGGGTCCGCCGGCGGAGCGGCGCTGGGTCGAGAGGATCTCGTCAAGAGACTGGTCGAGCTTGCCAGACATGATGAATGTGGATTTCGGGGTAGTCGGTTGTTTTGGTGTAAAAATGTTTGTGGTAAAAAGGCTGCGATGGATAGCAGCTGGGTCGATGGCTCCTTACTATTTTTCAGGCGAAGAGCGCGATCCGAAATAGAGTGGTGATGATGTTCGACGCGTGGATGGTTTGCGCGACGATAGCGGTCTTGTGCAAAGTGGTCGGTCTGAAGAAGAAGTAACAGAGAATACAGAGGCTGCAGAGATGAAGCAGCAAGAGAAAGAGGACGCGGTCTTGAGGTCGAGGGGACTTGTAAAGCTGGGTTTTTGAGGTTTACCTGGGGTGGAAAGAGAAAGGTTGCGAAAGGAAGGGGAAATGCGAAAAGGGAAAGGAGACAGGCCAGTTTTTGCCGGCGGAAGTGTCTGGCCCTGGGCGAAGCGGCAGGCTGCGGGCGCGCCTGACCACAACAAGAGGGGCCTAAGGTAGGACTCCAATCCTTGGGCGGCGAATGAGGGACGCTAGTCCGTTTCAGGCTCGGTGACAGGGATCCACTCAAGCTGCTGCCTCCTCAGCCACATCTCCCCTGTCTGCCATCCTGTTGTTCCATTTCAGGAACGTTCGCTTCACTTCTGACTCCTGCTTTCGTCAGCTTCCTTCTTGACTGTGTCTACATGGCAACAAGAAAGGAATAGTTGGGCACAATAGCAGCGGCGCAGAGGGGTGAATTACAGAGAGGCTACCTAGTGAGCATACGTGACCAGAATAGTCAAGTGGCAGACAAAAACGAGTCTCATAAAGGCTAATCATGCTTTGCGTAACTGACCGACCCTTCAACCACAACATCAGCAAGAGAAAGTCAATTAAGACAACGAGAAGTGCGGTATTCCCGGGGAAACTATACCCATTCTGCCTGAATTAAAGCAGGGCTTGGTGCATCAAAGTCGTTGGCATTGTCTTACGTGGTTCTTCCTCCAATTCCACGATTGATAATCCAAGCTGTACTCTCCTTAACAAAGTAGCATCGATTTCGTGGGCCTTTACGGCGCTTGGTATCAGATTGTCATATGCAATGCAAGCCTGGGTTGCGCTGGGGGCACGGCTGTTCAAGGAGAACCACGCTCAAAGGCAGTGCTTGAATGCTTCGATTGTGTACCTTGAAAGGGTAGTCCCTTCCGACTACCTGCTGCTTTCGTCGCAAGCCAGAACAGCTCTACGCTTTCTTACGCGCGGTGCTGAGCTGCGGCAGTGGACTCCATCGTCGCGTCCGTCCTCTACTATCCTTTCTAAAATCGATCGTACCCTTGTATCGCCCACGGCGAGGCACTGCCGTCATGGAGTTATCACAAACGCTCACTTTTCCCTTCTCCGCCGGGTATTGTACAATCGGTCTTCCCCTTTGATACTGGTTGCCTCAATTCCGCGCAGATGCGCGCCTCTAAGACACAGCCTTTGCGGGCTTCGCGGGCTGGGCAGCTTTCGCGGGCTGTTCCTCTTCCTTGTTGACTTCGACGTAGTGGTAGAGTATGATCAAAACCATGGCGGCGGAGCCAAGGAAGATCGCAAGACGGTAGAGATCGTTGTCGGAAATCATGGTGGGCTTAGGACTGTCTGCGCGATAGTGCTGGGGACGGGCGTCGTGGCAGGTAGGGAGCTTGTGGGATTGTCTGCGGTTTATAGTGTAAGCTCTCTATAATTGGCAGACTCGGGGCTTGAACAGTTTGGAACAGCTGTAACTTACATTTTCCCGATCCTGATTCAGCGAGGCAGAAAATAGAGGTTGATCGTCTGGTTAATGCACTTGGAGTTGTGTAGGCGGCGCACATGAAGCTTGAGATGAGGATGGTATTGGGCCGAACGGACAACTAGACCACTGGAGCTTTCGGCACTAGGCCGACCGCTGCAGTGACTTGCCTGGGTCCTCCATTTCTGTTGCCGCGACCCCCTGGTCGAGTCTACCTGCGCTGACGCTCCGCCCCCACCAATTCCAGCCCTTCACGTGACCCGCCCACCGTGCCTTGAACTTCTGACTTCATCCACGCCTCCCACTCTTCTTGCACTTTCAGCGTCGACTTTTTACGGTGCGTCGATCTTAGCGGAACCTCTTACCCCCGACCGCTGACAACCCCCGAACAACACAGCCTAGACAGAACCCAGTCGAAGCGGCCATCTCCTCGTTTCGGAAGTTTTCAACTTCAATCCATCAACTTTTCCTTCGTCGCACACCGATTACCCCGCCAAGATGCCTCCCAAGAAGAATGACAAGGGTGGCGCCAAGAAGCCGGCCGCCGGCAAGGCCCTCGAGGACAAGACCTTCGGTATGAAGAACAAGAAGGGTGGTGCGGCTCAGAAACAGATTGCCCAGTTGCACTCGTCAATGAAGAATGGCGGCAGTGCCGAGCAGAAGCGCAAAGAGGCAGAGAAGGCGCAAAGGGAGAGAGAGAAGAAGGCAGCGGAAGATGCCAAGAGGGAAACTGAGATGCTCTTGAACAAGCCCGCCCAGATTCAAAAGGTTCCTTTCGGTGTCGATCCCAAGACCGTCGTCTGCATTTTCTTCAAAAAGGGCAACTGTGAGAAGGGCAAGAAGTGCAAGTTCTCCCACAACCTCGAGGACGAACGAAAGACGGAGAAGAAGAACTTGTACACGGATACCCGCAAGGAGGAGGAGGAGAAGAAGAAGGCCGAGACCTCTGCCGACTGGGACGAGGAGAAGCTCCGTTCCGTCGTTCTATCCAAGAAGGGCAACCAACAGACTACCACCGACAAGGTCTGCAAGTTCTTTGTCGAGGCCATCGAGGATGGCAAGTACGGATGGTTCTGGGTCTGTCCAAACGGCGGCGACAAGTGCAAATACAAGCATGCTCTGCCCCCAGGGTAAGTCCATTCCGGCCTGGGATAGAGTTGAAGACTAACAAGACGACAGATTCATCCTCAAGACTAAGGAGCAGCGGGCCGCCGAGAAGGCCTTGATGGACAAGTCTCCTCTCAAGACCCTTACCCTCGAAGACTTCCTCGAGTCCGAACGACACAAACTCACTGGAACCCTCACACCAGTCACACCCGAGTCATTCGCTAAGTGGAAGAAGGATCGTCTGGACAAGAAGGCCGCCGAAGAGCAGGCCAAGAAGGCCAAGGAAGCAACTGGTCGTGCCCTGTTCGAGAGTGGCAACTGGCGGACAGCAGAGGACGAAGAGGAGGAAGACGACGACGACGACGACGGAGTGTGGAACTTGGAGAAGCTGCGGGCCGAGACCCAGGCTCTCCGCGACAAGAGGGAAGAGGAACGTCTACTGGCTATCAACGGTGGCACGCTTCCGTCGGCAGTACCGGACACGGCAGCTGCCGAGGCGTCTGGATCTTGAATTTGCTAACGGCGAAGCAATCTTCTGTACACGCCCGAGGCTGCGAGTATCACCACGAAAAAGGCCGATTCCGAGCACCTGCATGTCCAGGTTCATCCGGCGGCCGTGTTGATGCTACGCCAGGCCACGATGGCGGATTCGTCTACTTTCCCACCCTAAGATCAATGAAGTATGACTACGTTCGCGACGTGCACACCACGGTCCGGAGTTGAGTATATGTGAGGCTACAACTAGGGATATCATTGAGGATCTCTGGCTACCTAGACACGCCACACCTTAGGTTGGCGGCTGTTCCGTTCCATAACGTGGACCCCTGGACTCGGCTCTTTAAGCCCTGAACAGGCCTTCTCGATCAGAACTTCTCTACATAGGGTCTGATATCAACCTCTTGGGTGAAGGCAGACCGGTGTTGCGTGTGCAAGTGCCAGTAGGTCTCCGCAATCTTGACGAGTTGGTCAGCAGGGGTCTTCTGCGGTGGATGGCATGGGCTTACTGCGTCTGGGGAAATCTTGCCGTCCTCGACACCATTGTTGGCGACATAATCTTTGCCCCAAGGCGTGTCAATGCCACCGTCGATGATTGCGTGTGATACGTGAACACCTTTGGGACCGAACTCGCGGGCTAGACTCTGGCCTAGAGCGCGGAGTGCAAATTTGCCTGCAGCAAACGAACCGAACAAGGCAGAGCCTTTGATGGACGCCGTGGCTCCTGTGATAATCAGAGACGGCGGGTGAGGCGACTCCGGCACTGACTCAAGTAGTAGAGGCAGTGTCTTTTGCGCGAATGTGAAGAATCCCTTTCTGCAGAACCGTGTCAGTGATCACCGTAACCCTAGGGGTTATCTTACGTACGGTGCTGCATCGAGACTGGCATCTAGCTCCTCCTTCTTGAGTTCGAGGAATGGCTTCCGGGAGAAGCCGCCGTTGACGTTGTATACAGCGGCGGCGAGCTTGCTTCCGGGAAGCACCTTCTTGATGGTCTCAAAAGCGGCGTTAACAGCGGCCTCATCCGTAGCGTCGGCGGTGAGGCCAAAAGCCTGTCCCCCGGCTTCTTTGATCTCGGCGACGATGGGGTCGTAGCTCTCCGGCTTACGAGCCAGCAAGACGACGGGGTAGTCCTTGGCGAAGCGGATGGCTGCGGAACGGCCTGTGGCTCAATTAGCTCCGGCTGTGTACTTATGCACGCATAGATGGGCTCTGACCTGTTCCAGAGCCGGCCCCGGATATGATAGCGTAGAAGGTCTTGGAGGCCATGTTTGGTAATGCTTGGTTATCGCAGCTAACGGATCGGGAAGCAGTGGAATGTATAAGATATGTGATTTACAATGATGGGAACTGCAGGCAAGTATGAGGCGACTGCAAGAAAGAGATGAGGGGACGAAGGCTTTATGTTCACACGAGATGCTTGCATGTGGACGGCACGGTCCGTGAGATTAGACCATTGGTCGGATCCATGACGGCATCTGCGGAGGGCCGAACAGGAAGCCCGATTAATAATGTCTGCTGCCCGGCTGCTCCAATTACGGCCTCCGACCCGGTCCGAGAGAAGTGGTGAGAGGCGATTGGCAAGAACCTTCGTGTATGGTAAACCGCCTCGGTTTCTGAGACCCATCGTCCTTTACGTGGCTTCTCCCACATTTCAAAACTGTTTACTAATCCAGTACAATGATGAGTTCGGCAATGTGCTCAGTGAGACTGATGTCGGACCTAGAAAAAGATTGCAAACGACGATCGGGCGTTCACCTTGAGTCTTGTTGCATACGCGATACTTGAGAGGCCACCTGGCCAAATGAATAAATAAATTCCCAAACGTCGTACCTCGATCGCTTGCTGACAATAAGGGGACGACACATCGTCATTATTTTGGCACGTTCTGAGGCCTGATGAGTGCAAGTCATCCACGGAACGAGCCCCTCATAAACTTGAGTGAGTTGCTAGGGTCTAAGAATAGTACCAAACATCGTGGGAAATGGATTACCAAGCCAATGCCGTGCAATGCACACCGTTGTTAGTACCTCCAATGTTGCAGCATCGTTCCTCTTGATTCGATATGTGAACGCTTTTCCAATCCGAATCCCTTTCGAGATTCAGGGAAGGAAGGACGATGACAGCTGCGAACCATCCCAAAAGGGGAGCCCCGCTTATTGCCGATTACCCAGTCGCGCCTCCGGCGTGTCAACGCGTCGTTAGCTCGGTTCATCAACCTCAACACCTCGACTGCCTTGACTTATAGGGGCTCTTATTGGCTTGCAAGTTACAAGGACTTCAACTGATACAATCAATGAGCTGAATTCATTGACAGCCCTCACCACTACCCAACGCGGCTTGGCACTGGGTCAACCCTGCCTAGTTCAAGAGGCTGCTCTTTCAGCTTGTTTTCGGTGAGCCTTACAGCAACCCAGCGAAACGATAATCTGCGTTTTCTTCGACGGCACTCCACACCGAGGCTTCCGCCATGCCCCCGCCAATGCCAACGGAACCGGAGGCGAGCGCAAATTCAAGGGGCTTAGGAAACCCGCCTCTACCACGCCAACGTACGTTGGAAATGTTTCTGAGCCGGCCTGGTAGCAGCTTGCCATCGTCTTCACCCTCGTCAGTTCCACCGAGGAGGACATCGACTGCTCAGCCGGCCCCACGATCGTCATTTGCAGTGGTTATCAAATCAAGCCCGACCAAGCGTTCAGAAGCAACTCCCGGGAGGACAGTAGAGGATGACGCGGATGACTTGATCGTATCGGACTTGTCTCCTCAGTTTAGAAGATTAGCGGCCCAAGCGGCATCGGATGTGAGCCTCGCTAAACCGGCATTACCAGCCGATGCTGCCGACGAAGCAGATGCAGCCTCGCCTGGGACCACCCCACCGCCAGAGCCTCGGAAACGTGGCCGGCCAAAGGGCTTCCGACCAAATATCACGAGTACAAAGACTTCACACGGCGAGGCTGCGGCGACGGGGCCGAGAAGGTTGCGGCCGGATAGGCCCAAGACCGGTGCTATGTACGCGGGGAGAAGACGAGGGCGGCCCCCAAAAGCACCATCGCCACAACCAAGGACTATCTACGAGGGGCTGAACCCACACTTCAACGTCTTCATCTGCGAGTGGAAGGGATGCAAAGCTGAGCTACACAACTTTGCAACGCTGCAAAAGCATGTCCTTGTGGTTCACGCGAGAAACGGTCCATTTGCGTGTCAATGGGCCAAGTGTGCCGAGCAGCAGCCGCCTCACCAGTTCTCCACATCTGCGCACCTCAAATCTCACTTGGAGGATCTACACATGCTTCCTATCGCCTGGCAGGTAGGGGACGGGCCGCAGGTATCGTTCAAGCGATATGCTCCCGATGATGGGACCGAGCTCCCAGACTACCTTTACGACAAGGCGGGCCATCAGATCACACCATCTATCCGAGATCAGAAGGAAGAAGACTTCTACACGTGGCGCAACAACCGGCGGAGACTCAAGGAGCTATTGCTCTTGCGAGATCAGAACATGCCAAGTGAGGGGGAAGACAACGGTGTGGAAGAGACGGTCGAAGGAGGATGACGTAGCTGGCCATTAAATAACGTGGCATAAACCCGAGTCGGACTCTGACAGCAGCGGATATCTCGAGGCAGCCACGACACCAACAACAGACATCGGATGGCGAGGCGAGTTGCAAATGCCAGCAACAACCAAGCTTCGTAGCATGGTTTCGGAGGAGGGTTGACCGACTGCGCCTCCCCTCCCCAGGAATGATAAGACATCGTGGATACCCACTGTTGAGAGGCCCCTGGGATTTTCGGTCACGGGCTCGGCCGCTGGGGGGATGCCGTTGAGCGATTTCCCACTTCCCCAGAAGAGCATGGATGGTTCGTCGGGATTCTCAGCCTGGGGGGTTGCGGATGAGCCGGAGCATTCTGCGATGTCCAAGCATGGTTACCTATCGTTCAAAGGGGATGACTTGGCGTTGCGGCTCTTGCTAAATTGATAGGTAGGTAGTTCAGGCTATTGTGGGAAGGGAGGAAAGGGCCTGGGACGAATTTTGCTGCATTCCATCTTACATCATAGGCGGGGACATTCGGTGTGTTGTGGGGGGGGGATTGCTGGACGTTGCATGAGTCGAGTGGAGTGACACCTCAGCGTACAGGGAGGGCCGCTGCTCAGGAAGAAACACGTCCCAGCCCTCCTTCGCATCAGCAGAGCTGCGGGAACAGGCCGAATTAGCGGATGTCGGGTTGGAGTCTCTTGCCGTGGGGTTTCATGATAAGAGAGTTATTGTCAGGCAACTGGATCAATCGAAACAGGTTGAAAAAAGAAGCAAGATAAAAGCGAACTGAACATGGGTTCTAGAATGCTTCCACTGCGGCACAGCATTCATCCTACGATTGAGGCGAATGATTCGTCGGAAAGCGGACGACAGCCAACTACGGAAGGTGACGATCGATGGGCGAGGCGGATTGGCGGCGGCGCGTACCCGCGGTCTTTTCCCTGGTCCGTCCCTTGGTTGGGACGCAGACAGATCGCTCTAGAGGCACCGATGTATTGGCAGGCTGGCTCGTCCTCGATGGATGGTGTGGATGGCCGAAATGGGCCGATTGAAGGGGAATGATGAGGGGAGAGAACAGCCCGCTGCCAGTGCCGCAGTAGTCTGCCGGTGCCGGTGCGTGATTACACGGCGTGGCCATGTAGGTACGGAAGTACCTTGGCGGTATCGTCGTGCCGTGCATCGGATAGAGAGGCAGGCTCGCGAGTGTCTTGCAAGCAAGGCATTGGCAGAGTTTTGTTTGCAAGCTTGAGAGGGACAAGCTCAGTCCAAAGTTTTTTGTTTTCCAAGCGGCAGACGTGGAATGGCCTGCCAACTGCAAGGGCAAACGCAATGGAGGGATTTTGGCTTCGGCATCTGTGCTCCTTTCTGCATATGCATCTGATCGTCTGTTGCTCCTCGTTGGTGCTTTGCACGAGCCTCTCTCTCTCTCTCTCTCTCTCTCTCCAAGGACAAGGGGGAAACAAAAACACCCGGCATCAGAGCACATCATCATCAACACCAAGGGATCTCGGGGTTGCTGAAACGGAGAAGGAATGCCTTCGCCCTGGCTGTTTTTTTGTGATGCTCGGCGCGGTGCTCTGGCACGCAACTGCCGGGCGAGTCTCGTATCACCAGTCCGGCGCCGGTCTGTCTATCTTGGCCCTGGTGCAGGGGCATGCGCTCAGTACCAAGCCCTTGGGTCAAGCGTCTGTCCATCGCATCCACGTCGCCCTCTCCCGCTTCGTAGACTTCGTAGGATCGAGAGGCATAGTGCACTAGCACGTAGCAGAAGCGAGCATTCCAGAAACAAGACCGCGATGCAGTAGGCATCCAATGGTTGCAACGTGCGCTAGAGATAGAGTTGAGGGAGTTGAGGGGTGGGTCAGACCAGCGAAATGCCTTGCAGACTCCAAGGCGCTGGACAGTAGAGTAGGTACCACCAAGCTACCAGATGGGTACCTCCAGCCGCAACCACCTGGGAGCAAAAACGCAACGGGCCAGCATGGAGGATCGCAATCGACATGCTCCAAAGCAAAGGGGATTTCCGATGGGAGGCGTGGGAAAAAGCCGGCAAAAAGAGCACCAATCGCGAGAACCAGTCCTCTGTGTCAGTCGGCCCAGCCAGCCCACTGCGAGATAGCAGACACCACACACCAGAAACCAGCCCAGAAACCAGCCCAGAGACCACCACGAATACTGGAACCTAGGTCCAGGCCGGGCCCGCCTGGACCGGACAATCCCTGCCAAAAGAAACCGACCCGTCCCATTCTGGGTGTCTGCCCCCTTCCCGCCCCCCCAGGTTGTGGCACGCCGCGCACACAGTGGGAGTCCCATCCCCTTCCTCTCCCCCTCCCCCCCGGAAGACGCGCGCGTTTCCTGCCGGCTGCGGTCCTACGGTCCTAGGCCAGTCCTTCCTGCACTGGGCTACCCCCTGTGCCTTGTGGTGCACTGCCCGAGAGCCACTGGACAGGCGAATGACGGACGAGAAAGGTGGGCTGGAGGCGACAGGAAGAGCGAGACCCAGCGACCCCAATGGGGCCTAGACGAGACGGCGAGCGACCACCACAACCACCGGCGGTGCAGTGAGCGAGCCATGGCCACGCCCAGGACCATCGAACCAACGAGCGGGGGGAATGGGAAGGTGTCGAGGCCGTCCAAGAAGCCGCCTATGCCCACATTACTAACTCGAGTTCGACACTCGCCTCACCTCACCTACCTTACCATCCAGTTCCATACCTTTGTCACCTACCTACCTGCCCTTTTACCTGCCATTACCTACCATTACCTGCCGCCTTTCTCCTGGCCTTGCTGCACCACCCACCCTACCTCTTTTTTTGACGCTACTTACACTCCGCATCCAGTCCCACGTTCCTCCCGCCTCAACCTTCACCTTCACCTCGCGTCCGACCTGCGGCCACTCTCTCCATCTCCCTCTCAACCCGCTCTCCGCCCTTCCGACACCTTCGGCCCCCCTTCGCTTCTCCCACAATTGTCCAGTCCGCCATGGCATCGGTCGCTTGATCGCGCACCCCCGAGTTTCCGATATGCCTGCCAGCCGAACCCACCAGAATGGCGCCGCCCAGTTCAACCAGAAGCTGAAGAACCTCTTCCGCATCAACCTCAACAGCGGCGCCGACCGAGACCGGGAGAAGTCCTCCTCCGCCGCCCAACTCCACGCTTCCACAGATGCACCTCCCGCGCGTCCAGACATCCGGAGCAAGTTCGGCAGCAGCTTCTTCAAAGGCACCGTCGGCCGATTGAGGACAAACACCACTGCCAGCGAAGGCAACCCCCTCGACGAGGCCCTCAGCCCGACCGCGCACGCGAACCCCTACTTTGTCCACCAGGGCCAGCCGGGCCTCCGCCACCACAACAACGAATCTGTACCCCCAAGTCCTCCAGATACCCCCAACTTCAAGATCCAAGGTCCCGACGGCGGCCCTGAGCAGCAGACCACGAGCGCCGGCAGGGAGGAATTGGCGCGGAAGCTTAGGAGGGTTGCCAGCGCCCCCAATGCCCAGGGCTTGTTCTCCAAGGGGAAGGGCAGCGCCGAGCGCCCTGCCACCGCCGAGCTGAGCAAGGATCCTCTGGTCCTCGACAAGAACTCGGGCACCCTGGAGATGGTTGACCCATCTAAGCTTAACGGCTCTGCCGGCTCTAGCCTTGGCGTCCCCGACAAGGACGTTCTCGGCAACTTGCCACCGCCGAACCGCAACAGCCTCGCCTTCCGGAGGACGTACAGTTCCAACTCGATCAAGGTTCGCGATGTCGAGGTCGGCCCCCAGAGTTTCGACAAGATCAAAATGATTGGCAAGGGAGATGTCGGCAAGGTCTATCTGGTTCGCGAGAAGAAGAGCAGTCGGCTCTACGCCATGAAAGGTGCGGTCCATTCCTGGGTTTTCCTGCTACTTAGGCCCCCAGACGTGATACTGACTCGGTGCAGTGCTGAGCAAGAAGGAGATGATCAAGCGCAACAAGATTAAGCGTGCCCTCGCCGAGCAGGAAATTCTGGCCACGAGTAACCACCCGTTCATCGTCACGCTCTACCACTCGTTCCAATCCGAGGACTACCTGTACTTGTGCATGGAATACTGCAGTGGTGGAGAGTTCTTCCGGGCACTGCAGACGCGCCCCGGCAAGTGCATCCCCGAAGAGGACGCGCGGTTCTATGCCGCCGAGGTCACCGCGGCCTTGGAATATCTGCATCTGATGGGCTTCATCTACCGCGACTTGAAGCCAGAGAGTGAGTTCGCCCGGCCGTTGCGTGCTTACCAATCGGATGCTGACATATTGCGCAGACATCCTGCTCCACCAGTCGGGCCACATCATGCTTTCGGACTTTGACTTGTCTAAGCAATCCGACCCCGGTGGAAAGCCCACCATGATCGTCGGCAAGACGGGAACTAGCACCACGTCATTGCACATCGACACGCGATCATGTATCGCGAATTTCCGTACGAATTCGTTCGTCGGAACCGAAGAGTACATTGCACCGGAGGTCATTAAGGGTAGCGGCCACACTAGTGCGGTGGACTGGTGGACATTGGGCATCTTAATCTACGAGATGCTCTACGGCACCACTCCCTTCAAGGGCAAGAACCGGAACGCGACCTTTGCAAATATCTTGAGAGAAGACATCCCCTTCCCCGACCATGCTGGGGCACCCCAGTTGTCCAAGTAAGCCTTGCATCCCAAATAGTCGAGAAACTCAGACTAACCATTCTCAGTCTGTGTAAATCCTTAATTCGCAAGCTCCTCATCAAGGACGAGAACCGAAGGTTAGGTGCCAAGGCTGGCGCCTCGGACATCAAGGCGCATCCTTTCTTTAAGACGACCCAGTGGGCTCTGATTCGTCACATGAAGCCGCCCATCGTTCCCGTCACGGGACGCGGCATCGATACCGTCAACTTCCGCAACGTCAAAGAAAGCGAAAGTATCGACCTCAGCGGCTCCCACCCGATGCAGGCCAGCCTGAAGGGAGTTCCCCTGGATAGCGGCCTGGCGACTCCCGGCGGCGATGTCGCAGATCCCTTTGAGGAGTTCAACAGCGTCACCCTGCACCACGACGGTGACGACGACCATCACCACTCCCAGCAGAATGGCCAACATCATTCGTGATCCTTGGCGGCGAGTGATTGATAACCCGAGATGCGTGGCCAATGGCCAACAGGCGCTATTTACAGGCACAGGCACGAGTTAAGGTGACTCGGGTTACCAGAGGATTATTCAAGAGAAGATGGCAGTCGTTGTCAGAGTGTAAGAGCTAGGGTGGGTTTGAACCGCCGGTACCTACAGTCACGGACTATCCTTTACAAGCGATGAAATCGGAAGAGACACGAGACATTATGAGAGGCGGACAGAGAAGAAGCGAACGAACGAACGAACTCCCCGAGCCTTTGAGTCGAGGAACCATTTGGCTTACAAAACTTTGCTACACAACCCCTTACGGATCACCCCCTTGGGAATCCTTACGAAAAAAGATCAACCATCAGCATATGGTCTCTGTGCCTTCATCATTGGGAGTTTCTTGTTGTTTACTGTCGTCTTTACTAGGACTTGTTGCTCTTTTTCCCCTTTTTCCTTTTCCTTTTTGTGTCTTCCAGGGGAACCCTAGGCGTTTTTGAGTTTGGGAAACTTTGTTTTTATTTGAACCAAGAGACGAACAGAAAGATGGAGTGAGGAGACGGGGGGAGTGTGGAGAGCGAGGGTCGGACAAGGGAACTATCGAGGCTTTTGTGCGAGTGCTATCTTTTGGACCGTTGGCGGTTGGGTGATTGAAAGAGAGAGAAAAAACAAAAGACGCCCCAGCGTTGGGGGTTGGTGTTGAAACATCTTGGTTTCTGTAAACCATTTGCCATCATTAACAATCGAATGAAACGTAAAAAAGCTTGGGAAAAAAAACCCCCAACACCTTGTGCGCGCGCGCTGTTCTATTTGGAACATTGTCAAGTATGGATGCTGCACGGCCAAGCTGAGAGACATACGCTTCTCTGTCCTTTCACTCGTCATTCTTTGTGGGAGGGGACGATGAGAGTCGATGAAAATGGCATCGAGGCAACAGAGTCTCGTCTCTTGATCGCTAAAGCGGCATGTACAATAAACACGGGTCTCTCTAAGCAGATGCCTCGGCCGGGCATACCTCTGTTGTTCGCTTTCCAGAACCAAACACCTTCGTCCCCGTCCGTGCCGCCTTCGTCGCGGCCAACCGTTTGATACACGTCAAATAACACACGTGGGGGGCTAACGCTGTCGCCCAAAAGAGCGCGTTTGCCAGTCATGGTCCCACCGATTCCGGAAACCCAACGGTTCCTAGAGCTTCGCCTTGGCGGGCTGCTGCTTCGACGGGGCCGTGGCCTCCTCGTTGAGGTTGACCTCGCCCGTCTTCTCGCCGTTGCCGAAGAAGATGACCTGCACGGTCAGGTCGTCCCTAATTTTGTTTTTCGTCAGCTTCTTGGTTCGTGTTAGCGGGGTCCCGTGTACGGCCCAACTCACCTGTAGCGTCTCGAGAACGGAGACGGCAACGTCAGCAGAGCGGAGACCTGCTCCTCGTTCTTGCCACCAAGGGCGTTGCGGACCAGGTGGGTGGCCACGTTCTTGTCCTTGACGACAAACCGCTCCGGGGCGTCGGGGGATATGCCCCACTGCTGCAGGCGGATGGGCGTCTTTTGGCCGTCGGCGCTCTTGTCGCTCGCTTGCTCGACGGGCAGGCTGGACTGCTTGGATCCAAAGAGCTTGGACCAAGTCGAGTCGAACTGCGAGGAGCCGCTGGCCTGCGTCTCGATCCACTTGCCGACGAGGCCAACAACCTCCTCGTTGGTCAGCATCTCCCATAGGCCGTCGGTGGCCATGACCACAAAGTCGCCGTTCTCAGGCTCGATCTTGGTTGTCGTGACGACGGGCTCGGCCGTGACGTAGGGGGGCGTCTTGAGGAGGGGGGAGGCGGAGCGGGCGAAGAAGGATTCCCGGAGTCTGTTGGTGATCTCGCGGCTCCACTTGTAGCTCGCGTCGCCGAAGGCGCGGGTCGGTTCCAAACCGCCAAGGACTCGGCCGTTGTGCACGACTCGGTCCTCTCCAGGGTGGAGCTTGCGCAAGCGGGCCGCCTCGTCGGGGTTACCGCCCGTCTGGTCTACCGACAGGGCGGTAGCAGTCCACTTGCCCGACGCAGATCGGCGGCCGAGGACAGCGCGCGAGTCGCCAGTGCAGGCGACGCGCAGAAGCTTGGATCTGCTGTCGTAGAAGGACAGGAGGGCGCAGGAGCCAGACAGAGCGGGGGCAAGAAGCTCCGCGGCCATGGTCTTGGTGCCGGCCTTGAGGACCCTCTCGACGCTCTGGTTGACAATCTCATCATCCAGGCGAGTAAAGCCAGACTTGATAGCAGCATCAATGGCCTCAGCTGGCGGTGACAGGTCGGCAGAAGACTGGTACGTGCTGTTGAGCTCCTTGGCAACGGAGGTGATCAGAGTCTGGCGCAGTTTCGCCGAGGTTGTCCAGCCGCTGTCACGTTGTTAGTTTGCATACTCAAGCAGGTTGACTTCGTGGTGATAACTCACGCATGGCCGTCAAACACACCCCAGAACATCCAGTCGCTGCTGTTGCCCGTAACGCCGGCGGCCTTGTTGGGCACCTCGACAATCTTCTCGGCATGGTCGTCCTCGATGGGGTCGTTACTAGGGAGCTGGACCAAGTCGTAGCGCAGGACTCCCTGGCCTCTGTTAACGAGGAAGGACTGCTCCGTCTTGCGGAGCTTTTGGGTAACCTGCTCGGGAGTCAACATCTCGATGACCTTGCGGCCGTCGTCGCTGGTGGTCTTGGAGATGGGTCCCTCTCCGACAAAGGTTCCGGTGTGCAGCTGATCGGCGCCTACGACGAGAACAGCGCGGGTCGGGGCAGCATCGCCGGCAGCGGTGGCGCCGGTGGTGAAGCTCCTCGTCAAGCTCTGGGACTTGTCGAGACTGGTGCCGTTGTACGAGTACCAGGCGCCGTAGCCGACGAGGGTGGACACGAGGGCGACGGAGAAGCGGCGGATGTACATGGAGGACTTCAGCGGCTGGACAGCATGCTCCGGGCTGTTGCGAGGCTGGTTCGGCGAGGAGGACGAGTATCGCAGGCCGTGTCGGGTCGCAAAGGACGAGGTGGTGGAGAGGTTATGTTCGAAGAGGCCCCGTCGGGTGTTGCGTGAGAAGCTACGAGCCGTACATCGGTAGGTTGTCCGCAAGGCCCTCACTGCTGCGCGATGCATCTGGGGCAGCGAGATGGGGGAGAGAGAATGGCGTTTGGACTGGAAGGCGGCCCGAGTCCAATGGAGAGTCTGGAGAGCGTCGTGGGAGGGTTTAGAAGTGGAAGGTGCAACGTTGGTCCAGGTCTAGTGGAGTGGGAGTTGAGGGTGGGTTGCGCCGAGACGTAGTGTCGTGCCTCAGGCTTCAGACGGGCGCAGTCTGGGGAAGAGCTGGGCGCAGTTGATTGCGGGCCTTGCAGCAGCGCTGTGGTGCCCCGAGTCGCGTGTGTCAGTATGGACACCGCCTGGGCGTCGTCCGTAAATTAGTGGTGACGGTTGCTATGTTTAGCAGTATCAGAGGAGCAAGTCAGTCGGAGAGGACTACCGACGGGAACACAAGCGGCCAATCACGGGACCAAAGACGTGAGAAGTGTCGTCGGATGTTTCAGGGATTCATTCGAAATATCGTTCGCGGGCGACGTGGACCCTTCTAGTGTCACCTGCGACAGGACAAAGGGAAGCCAAGGGAGTTTGACGGCTCACCCACCATCTCAGCAGTTGGCTTTCGGTACTTGTTCCGGGCCCCAGCATCGGAGCTGGAGGCGCTAAGGTGAGAAGGCATATCTTATCATCCTGCTGATTGGCCCCCCCGCCCTACGCTGCACGAACTGCATCGTTCCCTCCAACAACCCCACCAAACCCCAGATCTTTCCAACACAACGTTGTTGGCTTGACTTGACTCGCAGATCTTAAGGTTCGTGGACTCCTCAAGAGAAGGCAAGGACCACTTCAAGCCAAGTCAAACTCGCTGTAAAACATTGGCATCTATGCATAACTCTGGACTCCTGGGACAACCACCCTGCTACCGAATCCCGACCGATCTTGAAGGAGCTTAACTACTAAACCAATTGGGTAATAGGAGTGATAGAATCAAGCGTACTGGACCCATGCGGCTTGTGGATTGCATTTGATGTATTGGCTTGTACCAAAACCAGGGAGTCCAAGGTGACCCAGAGGCCACATCTAGCAATCCAGTACATATACAATTAACACAAGCCAGTTGGATACTCGGAGACGTTATCCCCTTTCGTCTCCCATCTTCTTCCAATAAGCGGTCCGGGAAAAGTGGCCGAGAGCTACGTGAGATCAGTAGCAGTCTCGGGTGATATGTTGACTCTCGTGCCATGTTTAATCATCCGCTTAACACTTCGGGCTTGATTCTCGCCTCGTTTTCTCTCTTTTCTTCTTTCTCTCCTTACATACTCTGGTATGGCTTTTCTTTTTCCTTTCCCCCGCCTCTCTGTCTCGGTCGGGCTTCTCTCTACGAGCTTCACATGACTGCGAACACCGATGTAGCGGTGGTGATCTGTAAGTGAAGCTGCCTTCTTCACTCATCAACAGACAGACATGGCCGGTGGTCGGGTAGGCAAGGGAAGGACGTCGAAATTCCTTCATCGCCAGACTCCTCGAATCTTTTACTTTCCCTCTGTAGTGTATTGTTTTCTCTACATATTCTATTCTTAACGGAAAGAGAAGAGCGAGCAACTGCATTTCAGTTCCCCCGTTGCAGATCCCAAAACCGAGTGATTTCCAGCGATACCGTCAGAAACCATAGAATAGTAGAAATTGAACATGGCCGTTCTATTGTCCATCGTATCGTCATGGACGCAGTCGAAGTTTACCATGGACGTCAAATCTATATGTGCCTGATCTTATGCTTCTTGGTACAGGGTGAAACGGTTCTCTGGGGATCCCGACAATATTCTTTCGTCTATAACGAACCTCTTTTCGCGTTCACACAAGCATGTGGTTCCAACGCTGGACTCGGGGATAACAGAGTTGAATTTGCGCACAGATACAGGCAGGCTCATGAACAAAAATAAGTTTGTGAGACTTTTGTCGTCTACGATGAAGCTAGACACGCTCATTATGCTCCTCTTCTGTCCCTGAAGAGCTGATCGTGGCAGACACTTGGGAAGGCAGAAGAGGAGACTGGATAGAATCTTTGCTAAACCCATTTCATGGTGCATTTTAGGAGGGGAAGAACCCAGATAGTTCACGGGGAAGCGAGGCAATCAAGTTGTTCATAGTAAAGACACGGGACTGCTAGAAAATGGTATCTCGCTCTGATACTATGGGGATATATTTGAACGCTGTGTATTGTCGTCATGGCTGTTACTCCTCTGACTGATTTCTTTTAATTGCAGCCTCCCCGGGTAAACTCCAATTGAATCTGCAAAACTATCGCCAGGAGGGAAAAGTACCTCCATCCACACCCATGATTATTACGCGACCCTTCATTGCGCAGTCTTCACTGCGCATTTGCCGTCATGTCCAGATCGGGAGGAACCCGCCAACCGTGAGTGGCAGCGGCGCGCTTGTACGCCTCAATGGCCTCGTAAACTCCATAGTCGTTTGAGGAGCCGGCAGTATTGCCCATTAGCCGTGCTGGGAACGGCTCGAGATTACACATTGCCATGCGTACTTGAAGCAAGACGCTTTCCATGCTGCTGACGGGGCTCCAGCCGCTGTTGGTCAGAAGCTCCATACACATGGCGCCGCCAGTCGTGACATGTCCGCCCCCTCTCTGTGAGAATGGAAGGAATCGAGGACGGACCACACGGACAAACGGCGGAGACAGCGGGAATTGACGGCCGAAGCGAATCTCGATGACAATACTGGAGACGCCGAGACGCTGCATGTCTTGCGCAAGAGGAAGAGATTTCTCGAAACTGTGTAGCTCAACGATCCACTGAAACATGTTCGTGATGTTGTCGAAGTCGATGTACCAGCCGATCTGGTGCAAAGGCGTCTTGGCCTGCAATTTCTGCAGCCTGCTGAGCTCCTTACCAAGGAACTTCCTTCCTTGGTCGGAGGCCCAGTTGGGAGGAGAAAGTTGAGGCACTGAACCGAGATCGAGGCTGCCCGGCACGAAGTCTATCTTCTCAGGATCAGAACATACGACAGCCTTGCTCTTGTCTGCTTCACCATGCTCTTCGCTATCTCGGAGTCTCATCATTAAATCGAAGTCATCCGGTTCATTGTCATGGTCGTCGTCTGAGTCGTCCATTACAACAATTGGCTGAGACATCGAAGACCCAGGAGGCGCTGACTTTTGACGCCATCTTGGAAGCGCAGCTACAGGAATTCTCACAGCACCACCGCCCTTTCCTGTGGGTTGATGGGAAGGGTCCTGAGAGATATACTCGGTTTCCGGTGTAGAAGTGGGTTTCTGGGCCTGTGTTTCAGTTGCATGTTTCCGTTGGGCTAAGAGGTAGCGGCATTGGATCCAATCAACCTGATCAACCACATAGAACGGACTTGTTGACGTGAACTGAGTCGGACGGTTGATGATCTCGCAAAGACTGATGGCGGCAAACAGCTTCAGCTCCGATCCAATCCAGGATGACATGCCGGTTCTACTGTATCCCTGACTTGTCGAGAAATCGCGGGCAAAGTACACTCCGTGACCAAAAGCACGGCCGTTGAGCGTTTCCTTGAAGTCTAAGCCAGTCCTTATGATACTATGCCAGTTTCCAAGCTGGCTGCCGTGCCAGGCAAAAAGCGTCGGGTAACGGTGATTTCCCTGCTTTTCCAGCTCCTCCTTGAAACGATTCTCCTTCTCGGGCGATCCTTGTGCAAAGCGAAACTGCATCCAATCATCAGTCATGCCAACAACTCGCTCGTGTTGTCGGTTCTCAGTCGCCGAGATTCCGCCGATGTCGAGGTCGGCAGGTTGATCAATCTGTACGATGAATGATCGATTAGAGGCAACGATCCATCGGAGTAACGCGAGAGCGGATCTTGAGATCTTGTTACACTCGCTCAATGATGATCCCTGGTGGCTCTTGAGGTAATCTCGCAAGGTTCTAATCGAAGGAATTGTTTGCACGAGAACCATCAGAGCCTCTCGTTGATAGGGCGGTTCCAGTTCGTCGAGGTCGTATTCGTAGAGAAGCAATTCAGCGTCACCCTTTTCGTCGTCAATCATCCCCTCGGGCCTGCAATCAGCCTCTTCAGCTGACAACGAGGATCCGTCCGATCCAGACCAGTAAGAATTCGTGGTGCTGGCGACGTTTGGCTGTCTGTCAGTCGACATGATGCAATCGAATTCAACCACTCTACCGCCATTGTTGCCATCGCCATTACGGACGGTGTCGATGCTCTTGATTCGGCAATGATGTACGTCGGCCTTGCTCCCCTGACCTCCCACCATTGCAGATTTGATCAGAATGACCATGTCTCCAGGCTTCAGCACCATGGTTTGTGTGCTGTCGAGGTCAAACTTTCCAGCCGAAATCTGTGCCAATACAGGAATAGCAGGGTTGATACGTCGAACTTCTGGTGGTTGTCCGAGCTGGTATGCACTGTTGACAGGCCACGATCCGAAGATGTTCGCCGGGGTTGAGGGGCAGCTCAGCAGAGGAACTTTGATAGCCAGACCTTTCGGCCATTCGCGAATCCGAGACGCATGCAAACCAGCAGCGCAAAAGCTGACTAGAAGGTCAACAACATAAGGGCGAGCAATGATATCATGCTCAATGCTGGGACCTAACCCCAGAGCCATGTATTGAAAAAGGCAAAGGGGCTCGCTGCACACGTATGGTTTCAGGGCGTCGAAGCCAGGATCAGTCTTCTGATGACAGACAAGACAGTACTGAGTGCTTTTGACAAAGTACCGCAAGGCGAACTGCATTGCAATCAAGGGTGTGCTGAGTTCATTTTGAGGCAGAGGACCTGCGGCGTGGGGATTGTGTCTCACGTAGTCCTTGTTGAGCAGCTCACGGGCTGTTGTAGAGACTTGGGCTTCCGTATCGTCGGCAAGATGGAGCGTGTGGTTCAGTTTTGATTTTGAACCGCGAAGGTGTCCATCTCTGGTCAGCGTTCGTACCAAATCTGTGGCACCATCCCAAGAGACGCCTTGAGCCAAGCGAATTTTCAGCAACGTTGCGAGTTGCCTGTTCAGGAATGTGTCGATCGAGTTTGAAATGGGCATGGAGCAGAAGGCTGCATCTTGAGCTTTTGCGATCGCCAACACCTCTTCTGCTGAGATTCCTTGGGCGTTGTTAAACTTTGGGTTGAGCGCAGTAAAGGCAGAACTAAGAGTGGGTTTGAACGAGGCGCACTTTCCGAAGCGGAACTGCATAGAAGCTGCGTGGCCAGGCGGGAGGTCCTTGAAGGTCTCCACGCAAGGATACCCAGAATCGTACCTGCATAGCAACACGATGTAGTCTGAGGAGTTCACCTCCCAAGCCTCGAGAGTGTCCTCGTTGAGACCGAGATGGGTGACTGGGAGAGAAAGAGCAAAGATGCGACTGTCCTCGTGTTCTGTGACGTTGGTCAACAAGGAAACCTTGAAGCCAGCCTCCTTGGCCTTGCGAAGGTCTTCAACCAGGCGAGCAGTGACTTTGACCCGCTCCTTTGGGGCATGGGTAGGCGTCGGGAGCGAGTGGGCTGCGGAACCAAGCCCAAACGCCACGTCGTCTTCGTAGCCATACTCGTCGTCTTCCTCGTCTTCCTCGGTGTCTGGGTTGTCGTTCGGCTCGACATCGGTCATTTCGACGTCGGAGTGGTCGCTGGTTTCCGAAGCAAGATGGCGGCTCAATCTTCTCGAGATAAGACGCAGAGTGTCGAGGATGGATTTGTACTGACTTAAGCTGGGAAGCTCATCAAGGAGTTCAGAGACAGCGGTGGGAATCGAGTCGGCATCGGTGTAAGCCAGGAAACCGGAACCTTGAGGGTATTCATCAATGTTCAAGGTGATGAGACGGATGATAAGAGGTGAGACCAGCGCATCGTCAGAGAAGACAAACTTGACTTGGCCATCATCATCTCCTTTCGTAAGGTCGGATATATGCGCAACAGCCTGCTGAGATGCATGAGCCAAGTCGCTGTTGAATTTGCGCCGAGTCATTGTGAAGAGCACTGTTGGCAATGCTGAGGAATGGGGGTTGGGAGCTTGAAAAGTCCAGCTGATACGGCTTGATGCACTTGCCTGATCTAAAAGGAAGGTTAACGGATGTTTTCAAGCTTCGTGCTAGTTCTGGTACTGGAAGTAGCCCAACCCACCAAGGCTCTACAAGGCACAGGAACAACTTGGTCGAGTGAAAACTTACAATCGATCGCTTGAAAGGGAACCGACTGGGTGAGCTTCTCGAAACAAACGCCCTAGACCCTTCTAGTAAAGAAGAGAATAAGGAACTGCCTGACAGACAAGAAATATCATGTTTGGGGACAGAGCGACTGGTCAGTTGTCAAAGCTGTAAGGCGATCGTGGAAGGTCCCGTCCTGTTTGGCCAACTCGTTTCGGCCGGAGCTGGCTGGTGAGGTCTTGTTAGATAGGTGAGACAGGCCAGTGCAGGTTAGAAAGGTAAGAACAAAGCAGGAGAGGTTAGTGATCTCAGGAGGACTAGCACTTGGAGTAGCAAAGGGGATTGATGGAAGACGTTGGGATATGGCACAAGACAGAAAGGTGGAAGAAGCACGAGCAGTAGGTAGAGTGGAAGAGGTGAGGTGCGGTGTGCCGAAGGTGTCCCTTTGAGGCGGCCTCAGCGTAGGCAGGCGCGGTGGAAGAATGCAAGAAACAGCGGGGGGCAGCCCAGGCAGGCAGGTGCTTCCCAGTGACTAACACCTCCTTCGGAAGTCAAGCTGCCACGCAAAACCAACCCAACGACCTTGTGTTGTTCCCAGGGGAAAAGACAAACGGGCTAGGTAACGAACGTATTGACCCAAAACGTGGGTTCTACAAACTCAAGTTGCGGCGCAGTTGGCAAGACGGAGGTAGAACAATTGCCATCCATCTGCAGGCATGCATGGAAGGTAGGAATAAGGTGGGTTGCAGCTTAGCCCCCAAAAACGCCTCTTCACAATGTTGTTAGTAGCATGTTTTTCGAAGTAGAGCGAGTCCGTGGCCGGCCGCCCCTTTTCGGAAGTAAAGCTCCATTTCATTTGCAACCTGTTGGTTCGGCCAGGCTGCAGTCGCTTGCTGCCTGCCACAACACACTGTGACCGGCCTGCCTCCATCAACCAACGGCCGTACCTAACCGCCAAGGTGCTACTAGCGAGATCTGATTGACATGCGCAGCAAACACAATCTGTTTCCTTGTACGTGGAAGAAGACCAGCGGTTGGTTAATCTCCTAAGGGACCAGGGAAATGGTCTGATCAAATCGGACGTTACATTAGCTTTATCCCGGGCGTCGCATCCGGGCCCGGCCCCACGCCGGTTTGCATGGTCAGGGCACTCAGACCTTCAGACGTTAGATTTCCTTCTTGACCATGACACCTTCCGCTGGACTCACCACCGCTTGCCCGTCGCCACCTCATTTTGAACAGTCAGATATCGTCTAAACCGCCTTCATCCGAAACCTCTCCCCGTACGGACTCAGCTGCACCGGCTTGTCGCCCATCCACCGATAGTACCCAACAACCTTCTTCATCGCGCCGCCCCAGCCAAGCTGCCTCCTTTGCCAGGCCTTTGGTCTCGACCCGTCCTTGCACTGCTGAACGAGCATTGTTGGGTTCACAGCCGAATCGGCCATTACCTCCATATCGCCCATGTCGGGCTCGGGCATGTCGACAAACATCTCAGTGGTCAGACGCGACGGCCGACGCATCCCAGATGCCGGCATGGACATGAACGCGATACCATGACCGTTGTTCGTTTTCCCGGACGGGAAGATCGATTCGACTTTATCGGCGGCTGCCACCTCGAAGTAGACCTCGAGACAACGCAGTTGGTCCAGGTAGATGATCAGCAGGCAAAGGATGGCAGCGCCGACAGAGGCCACCCAAAACACCCAGAAACGCGGCGAGTTTGGCGAATACTCTTCGTTCATGGAGAGGATGGCGGATACCACGGTGAATGGGAGAAGAATGCCTCCTAGGTAGGTGACACGATCGAGCGCCCGCTGATTCGCTTCCTTCTCATCTGGCCATTGGCCACCGTTGTCCGGATACGGCCGACTGCTCTGCTCGGGAAGACTCATATCTCGCGTCTGCAATGCCGCCGTAGTGGGCTGTGTGTGAGGCCACCCAGGGGTTTGCGGGATCGGCGACGTCCCAAGCCGCGAGATAGCTACGCGGCGCTGCAATCGATCGAGCAGGCTGAGCCAGTTGGTTTGCCACACGTCATTGACTAGGGGCTGCGGCTCTTGACCGTAGGTCAAATCCAAATTTTGCTCCAGAGACTCTGTTGCTTGCCAATACAGGGATGGGTCATGCAAAGAATTCAACCGAGAGCACGGTGGGAGAGTCTCGAAGAAGTCCAGCCATTTGTCGTAGACCGCTTCGCGGAGGATGTCGGGCAGGCTTTGCCTGACAACACTTGACTGCCGAAACATCCGCAAGAGGCTGTCTTCGAGACCTGGAAGCTCGTCTCCTTCTGCAATCAGAACATTCCACACGGAAGTGCCGTCCATTTGCGATTCGTCGATTTTTGACTGCCACGAGCGGGTGACGGAAAGCGGCCGCCGGGCTTTGCTGACCTCTGAAGAAGGGTCATTCCATATAGGTCGATCCATGAAGAGTACTAAGAAGAGCACATCAGCATGGGAAACATCAGAAGGGGGCTTAAGTGTCGTACCATCAGCCTTGTTACTCATCCACAACGACGCATGACAGAACATGACCGCCTGTCCATCCCTCGACATCATGTGGAAGGGTGCCTCATCCATGACATCCACCAGGTCCGACTGCCTCGCAGACGGCTTGTATCCAGGATCCGGTCCATAATTTCCCCTGGTGGTCTTGACGAGCTCTGGATATTCGAAGGAAACGAAGCTCGAGCCGTCGTCCTGTCTCCAAGGCCGATGTCGTCGGCGCCCCGCATGTGCTTCGAGGAAACCAGAATTGACGCCCAACGAGTCCCTCAACACCTGAACCAAGTCCAGCGGAAGCCCCTGAACGATCGTGAGCCGCCTCCGGCCCACCGCTTCTCTCATAAGGTCGTCGGCATGGCTGAGGAGTCGTTGCTTGCAATTGTTGGTTTCCCAGTCGAGGACGTATGCAGACGAGCCGGACTCGGGAAACTTGCTCATCAGCGAGGATCTGCGTACGAGCAGCGCCGGTGTGTTGGACCGCTTCGCCAGATCGGCCGTGTCGCTAGCCGTCAGCGGTGGTGATTGCTCGAAGTCCTTTGACCCAGGCATTTTGCTTTCGAGTCAGATTGGAGCTCTTTTCGATTCAAAGTTGCCTGGTGTCAGTATTCGTTGACTCAAACATCCCAAACAGCCCCGAATGCAGACAAAAGAAGTCGACCAGTTATAAAGAGAAATTGCCTTGGCTGGTTTGGCCGACACTTGTCGAGCAGTTGTCAAGTGACCTGAGCTAATATCCGGGATTGAGCTTCTACCAAAGCCCTCACCTGTTCCTTAGCCCCGTCTAGTCCGACTCAGGTCTAAGGAGCTGGTGTTGGCCAGCCATAGCAGCACTGTGGCTGACTGTCGCGAAATGATGGGGTAGTAGTCGTGTGCTCTAGTTTAGTCATGGAACTATTCGGGAACATCAATAAGCTTGCCACGTCAAGCCATCCCACAACTTTTGGAATACGAATGTGAGAGCGAGAGTCCCTGGGCGACCTCCCATGACCTAGAAGTTGCCGTCAAACCCGGGCAGCAACCAACCGCAAGTTTAGTGTTTCACGCCTTTCAGGAAAGATCTTCAGTCCAGCAGGGACGCGGTGTGCAGTCTGTCTGCTCAGAGTACCATATGTGTGCCCCTTAATCGGCACTCGCTAGAGCCCGCGAGAACGCATGGTAAGACACGGGTGTAGAAGAACCCCCATTACGGCCAAATCCTGTCTGCGGACTTTCTTAGCTTCCCGGTCTGGTCTTCTGGATTCAAATTCTTCGATCACAGGGTGGTAGTCTACAAGCACGCCCGGATATTGCCGGTGATGTTCTTCTTGACTGCTCCAGAATGTCTTGCAAGATGGAGGCGTGGACGGACACTGGGGTAAATTGACGTGTATTAGGTCCGAGCGCATCAGCGACGGTGCGTGGTTGACCTCGTGGAGGCGCACGAGCCGCCTCTACACCATCCGCCCATTGGGCCTTCACCGAGAGGCGTACCGAACACAGCTGCCCTTTTTTTGTGGCGGGGTTCAGTCAACAACGCGTCCCACCGCGACTCACCGAAACAACGTCCCGCTCGCTTTGCTCTGTATGTCAACACTTCCACCCTAAACAACTGCCTGCTGGACTAGTGTTGCCCAACAAGCCCGACTCACGACAGCACAAACACGCAATGGAACAAGGACGGGAATCGGCACTGCTGCATTCGCAGCCGGAGTTGACGCCGCTGGAGGCAGAGGTCCTGGAGGAGTACGAGAAGCTGGCGGATAACATGAAGAAGGTTCGTCGCATGGCCACCCTGTCACCCTCACCAAGTCTAACCCCCCCTCCTTTCCCTAATTGTCGCAAGTGCAAATGAAAGAGTTTCACTGACACTGCGGGAAACTTTGCAGCTCGCTTCTACACTGGAAGACCTTAGCGGTTCCCCGAGCACCGAAATCCTTGACGGCCTGCGCGAGCTGGAGCGCAAAACGAGTCTGGTCTTCACACTCCTTAAGGCGAGTGTGTATAGCATAGTGCTGCAGCAGGAGATCGACTGGGGCGACCAGGCAGGGAACCAGGGTGACGACCGGGAGGAGTGAGGAGTCGTGAAGAAGGGATGCCGAGGCTAGACTTGGAAAACTGCCACGGCTGCAAGCTGGGCAAGATGAGAGACATGCACGGGCAGATGATGAGATTACGATCAGAGGAGATACCCCCCATGAATATCAAACATTGGCATAAGCTACAAAAACGCCAGTTTCTAGCGTCAATGCACACGGGTCACGACCGGCGAGCTTGCAAGGGAAGATCTCTAGTGATTTGCGCTTTTTGGAACATATACAGTGGTATACAGAGTGGTATACAGGTTAATATACAGAGCCGCCGTAGTACACTTTCCTCACGTCGACCAACTTCTTCCCGCGCCCGACAGCGATTTCCTCCGGGTCGGGCTGGTTCAGAAGGGCCTTGTAGACGGCGTTGACAGTGTTGTAGGGGTTGTTGGAGCGGGGGATCTTGGCAGCCAGGTCGTGGATTCCGGCGAGGCGGGCCATTTCGAATATCCTATGGGAGACGCGGAGTCCAAAACCTGAAAACTCATGTTAGTTTCCTCTGGGCGGCCGACCACAAATGCGCCACGGGGCGACTTACCTGGGGGGCGGGCGCCGAGCTTCACAACGGTTCCCGAGATCTTGGCCTCGACGTTGCCATAGATGGTGCGGTTCTCGTACCGGCGGATGGGCTTCATGTTGCGGATGGCAAGAAGCGTGGCCGTCGCCGTGGCAATACCGGGGTCCGTTGACTTGGCCTCTCCCAGTCCCAGTCTGCCGTTGCCGTTGCCGGCCACCACAATGACGGAGGCACTGCGGATCTTGCCCAAACGGGTCTGGTTGGAGACGTTACGAAGGACGATTCTCTTGGTAAGGATGGAGAGGATGTCGGTCATCTTCATGCCAGTGGCCTGCTTGAGCTTCGAGTAACGACCCGTGGGGTCAAGACCATCGTCCTCGGGGTCATCGGGGGGCTTGTAGAGGCCCTTGACACCCTCGACCTTGCCGAGCTCGGGGGACAGCGCCGAGTTGCCGTGCTCGCCCTCAATAGCCTTCCACGAGTCCAGGCGGGAGGGGCGAAGGGGGTTCTGGTCGGTGGAGAGGGACTGCTCGAGTTCCTCGAAGAAGTGCTTGTCGATCAACTGCATCCAGTCGTCGCCTGCAATCTCCGACTGTTTGGGCACCCGCGGCTTCTTGCCTCCGAGGACGTCGGGGTCTTGGTCGACCAGGAACTTTCTGCGCAGCTCAGGGTTCTTCTCGAGCTCCTTCAGCTCCTCCTCCGTGAAGTCGAGCTTGTCCGGGTTCGTCTGCTTGACCTTGCGCAGCGCCCTGGCAAAAGCCTGGCCCATGGTGTCCTTCAACTGAGAATCGACCCGGTCCGCCATCTTCTCGATGTAGTTGTCAACCCACTCTCTCCTCGGGAGCCACTTCACTTCCTCGGGCTTCAGAGTCTTCTGGGGTTTCGCGTCGATGACGGGCTGGATTGTCGCAAAATCCTCGATGTAGGGCTGCTTATAGGGGTCCGTCCGTAACCGACCCTGAATCACCAGGTCCTTCGGGTCAATGGCGGCTTCGGCCGCCTCAAGGGCCTCCCACTGCTCGGGGTGTACTTTTGCTTCAGGGCCGCCTTCTCCTCCTCTGTGTATTCGGGAAACTGGCGCTTCGCATAGGAATCGATCGCATCGGGGGTCGTCAGGCCCATCTTCTCGGCGGTGACATTGTTGAATCGTGACCGCCTCCGTCCCGATCGGCTAACGGAGCTGTGGAATAGACGGCAGGGCAGGGCCGGCGTGCTCGAGACGGAGAGACATCTCGACAGGACGCTCCGGGCCGGGCGTACCGAGTTCATCACTGCAGAGAGAAAGGCGACGTCTCTGCGCCAGTTCGTTGCCGGCAGCAAAAGGTATGATGGTCGCCTTGGGGTGGGTGTAGTCGCGTGATGGGCTCGTTGGTTGAGCTCAGGGTCGCGCCAGCTGGTCGACAATTTTTTTGGAAAGCTCAATTGGATCGGCGTACATCGTACAAATTGCCTTGGACGGATTGAGGCCACATCATTGGCTGGAAACGCCCGGTCTTCTGCCGCTCTTGGCCCGTGCGCTTGTGGAAAGACTGGCAGAGATATTCTCACAGTCACATGACCTCGGTGAGTGCTACCATCATCGCGGGCGCCACACCGGCCAGCCCCCTGAGGCTAATCGCCTTACCGAAAGCACCTTTCTTGGCCAATGCTCAGGGGCTGGCTTACTCAATCTTGGCGATAAGCTCCACGCGCTCACGCTCTCCTCTAGTTCGGGGCGCATCAAACCTTCAGAACCAACGCCGCGGATGCTAGACCAGGCGATGATCACGTTTCCCTGGCCAGCATCACCATGCAAACACCACAACATCGGCCCAAACCCTCTTCAGAACGAAAAATAAAAGACATCATAGGTCTTTGCGGGACCACTTCAGGCTCAACCACCGCAAAGTCCAATCCAATGCATGCAAGCAAAGGTCCACGACGTCTTTCCCTTGAGATGGACGGGACCCCTTGCACCGTGCCAAAGTAACCGCTGCAGCTCGTCCCTGCGCAGCCAATCACCCGCCGCAGACATCAGTCGACTTTCTGCCGCAGGCCTGAAACGCGCATCGAAGCCCCCTCCCCTGGCCGCCTCTCACGCATTCTCAACCACCACGATGCGCACCGCATGTCGCGTCCTGGTCTCACCCACCAATCCCAAAGGCGGCTTAGCCTGCGAGGGCACTGTGGCCACTGACCACCGTAGGGCCATTTTCCTTCGTACCTTGACCGCACCCCAAATTGTGACGTCTCCCGTTTCGAGAAGCCGAGCGGATCTTTTTCCTACATCTTGGCCCCTACGAACCCTTCTGTTCCCTCTTTTTCCCTTCGGACCTCTTCGCATCTCGTGTTTCCTGCTGTCCAACAAAAACATCCTAATCCGGTCTCCGACAATACGGTACATTCTTCCCTCGTGACTGGCGCACTTGAGACCCAGACCTTCATTTTGACTTTCCCGTATCTACACGCCTTTAATCCGAAGCACCACAGTCCATACCGTCGCAACTGTCCGAGAACGACCTACTCGGCTCCGTACCTTTCGCCGATAATCAAACAAATCGTCCATTGCCAGCTATTGCTATTGCGAAGACTCGCGACTCCTTTCTCTATCCAACATCGCAGAACCCAAAGTCGCAAAGATGGGTCAATTCGACTGGTTCCGATCCATTGGCGCCACGCCCGAGGCTGTCGCCGTACTGAACGATCAGCCCATTCTCTTTACCATCCTCCTGATCGTCCTCTTCGCCCTCATCCTGCAAGGTGTTCTCCTCTGGTACATCCACTTCGCGACATTGAAGCCTGAACAGCAGAAGAAGAAGGAGCCCAAGAAGGGTGGCAAGGGCGGAAAGAAGTAGAGGACGCATAGGCTGGAGAGACGTGTTTGTGGTTGGAGGGTCCGTTGTGCATAGGAGCTGGGTTATGTGGGGGGTTGCGATTATACCGATAATCTCATCACCACCGAGTCGCCGTACGAGGAACCAAACCTTTCGCTGGGAGAGGCATCGCCGTGCTGGATCCGACAAAGCAACTCCTTGGTGGGTCGAGAGGCTGGATAATGAGCTGAGCTGGGATTTGGGAGCTGGGTCGGTCTTGCATAATCGTCCGACAGTGTCAGATTACACCTCTAAGGATGCTCGGATGTCACAGGTTGCATTCGACGTTCATTTTTTCTTGCACAATATCATTCCATACTAGGCTGTCAGAGTCTCTATTTCAGGTACTGGCAGATTTTGTGCTGGACGACTTCCGACTCCCCGACACTGTATGTTACATTGTCCATTCATCTTCGAAGTTGTCCCTCATGCCGATATCTTCCAAGAAAGTAGTTGAGTACAAACAAGCTTGAGACATAGGTTCCCAATAAGCATCGTCAGAGCCTTCAAATATCCCCTCATTGTGTGAGCAACTTCCAGCATCGCTTTCCGCTTCAAATGGTGGTTCCTGGAAAGCATCCTCATCAGCAGCCCTATTAGAATGACACTCGCTCTGGGGAGACGCCGACATTGGCTTCTGGAGTTCGCTGTTGCCGCCATGCGTTACAGGTTGGTCTTCAACTAAGTCAACATCGGAACTCCACCAGTTGCTAAAGGGTCCACAAGCATGATCGGCCATGGCTTGCGAACCCGTTGAACACGACATTGGCATCGGGTTCCGCGTCAGATCTCGGTCTTCCAGAACGTCCGTCTGGTATAGCATTCTAAATTCAGGGAAGTCTGGGCTGGCTTCCCGTGAGAACGGCGCGAACGGCGAGCTTGCATCCCCAGAGTTGATAAGATCAAGTCTGTCATCGTGGTCGACAGAAGGTTCAACGTGGCAGGCTTCGTCATCGTCCACCTCGCCCTCGTGTTGAACAGCGATGTTGTTCATGGCTAGAGGTGGAGTCAAATACCGATAGTTGTCCACCACCTCAGGTGCCAAACCATTTTCGCCATCATCGTACTGCCCCGTCTCAGAGTCCGACAAAGGGTCGTATATGTCGTAACTCTCACAGGCACCAATCTCAGTACCAACTTGGTGGTTTGGTCCCTCGCCGGAAAAGCTCCGATTCCTTGACGCAGATTGGTAACTAGCATATTCTTCTGCTTCCTGTACCAAAAAGATGCCGTCATTCACCGCCGCTGCTTCGCGAACCCTTCGCTGTTGTAAATCGCCCCTTTGAATGGGCGGGATCCGTGTCCGTGTCAACCTCCATAGCTGTTGCCAGATGTCGCTTACAGGGCCGTTAACTTCGCTTGGCTCGCTCTCGGCTCTGCCCTCGATCAAAGTCTGCATTCGCCCGGACTCAATGTACTTCAAGGCTGCGAACACAGACGATAAGCCTGAAAGGAGGTAAGACCGGGAGGCAAGTGACTGTATCCTGTCAGTCTATTCGTGATCACAATACACCTCCAACAAGGATCGTCATACCGAGAGATACTTTATGTTGAAAACTTCAGGAATAAGACGAACCAGCGGAGGTGACTCCATGGCCTGAATGGTCCGAATGCCGGCAGGACGCCTTCGACCGGCCACCAAAGTATCGAGGCTGGCTTCCAACAGCAACTTTACTGCGTAAGACGGCATCACCATGTTAACTGCATACTCTTGATTCCGTGATAATGTCGCAGTGACGACCTCTTCATTAAAAAAGCAGACACCAGAGTCTTGCGTCGATGAAAACTCTTCAACGTCGCGGTCTGGGTCCTACCCCGGCGACGAGTCGTTGCAGTTCACATCATTTATTGGCCTGGGTATGGGATCAAAGATCTTTTTCTGCGGTTCCTTTAGCTTGCGCAACTCCTGGTGGAAGTGAAGTGAGCACGTTGCGTGTTGCAGTATGGCAACTATAGTGCTAGGGGGCATGTCTGGAGATGGGGTTGCGTCAAGATGCGCGATTATGAACGATAGATGGCGCGAGCTATTCGGATTGTCCGTCTCGCAAGTCACGAGAAGCCCCAGCTGGGCCCAAATCTGTAATATGATTAACTTGTATACTCCACATGTCTTGGATGTTGCTTACAGGACAGTCTACCAAGTAACGAGCGATCTGGTCGCCGAAGCCGTGGCGCCCATTCGAGTCTTCTCCCTCGAGGACTGTGGAGACCAGAAGGCGAAATGCTTGAGCTTTAGAGACCAATACACTGCCATTTTGAACACCAGCGAGTAGTTCGTCCGCAGACGAGAAGAGGGTCTGAGAAGACAGAGCACGAAGAGAAAGGTTGCTCGCTACGGTAAGAAAGGAAGCAGTTTCTGAGTTGCACAGGACAAATGGGTCAAGAGATATCGTAGAAGTGGCCATCATAAGAAAAGACGCCGCATCCTGACTCGTACATCAAAGTAGTCAAAAGCACGTAGAGCGCCTGCCGCTCTCAGTGCGCGAGGAGATCCGAACGAAGCGTGTTGTTAAGATACAGGAATGCTAACCGTTAAGACACGTCACTGAGAGGTTGCTTGAGGAGGTGCAAGAGATGCTCATTCTAGTTCAGTAGGTACGATGCACTTGGTTGGGGCAAGCACCTTCCAGTAGCATTTACATCTCAGGACCCATCTCGAAGACCTGACGGCAGCAAGGCAGGCGCGTAGGCCAGGGTTGCAGGTGCGGTTCCCCCACAGTTCAGGCGTCACTTTGACGCTCTGCAAGGGATAATGCGGACGCTCTCCACCTGACTGTTGAAGCAATCCAGAGCCAGCAAGATTTTCCAAGGCCCAGACACCAATGCGAGATTGAAAATGAGGTCAAAGGTCTTGGGTAACGGTGCCGAAATGCAAGTCGTTGACTTCCCACCGCACTAAGGTAGTCCCCCACCTGCTTAGCGTTCTCGGCAAAGCATGTCCTATCAGCGGATGTTTATGGTAAGATAAAGATGCGGGTGATCAGAACACCTAGCGTAGACAGGCTGCCCGCGTTCTAGCGGTGCAGATGCGATGGCCATCTTTTCTTTTCCATATCTGTGATCTTGTTGCTCTTACTCTTCGGATCCTATACACTACAACGTTGAACTGATCCGTTTGGTTGTTAATTACCGATGATCGGGAAAATGAGACGACCAGTTTGGGCCTTACATCTCGATGATGACGAAGTCTGCTGTTGGTTGAACTTTGAATTCCGATGCCATGTTCGGAGAGGTTCCCCACAGGAAGTGCTGGGGTCCCGGTCATGCTGTGTCATCCACGGCAGGGTGCATCCGAGCCTCTGGGCATCTCTAGCAGCCCAGGCCAAATACTGCACCTGCCACTACCTAACTCCTTCTGCCAACTTCTGGATGACGCAGGCACCACTTTACACCTAACTTCTCACTGGGGTCTGCCTCACTTGTCAAGCTGGAATATTTCCCACAGCCACCAAGAAACCGCCGACGACATCAAAGAACTGGCAATACTCCCTTGCTGTGCAACTCCCAGTATTTCTCCATTGTCTTGGCCTTTGCTGTTGGGTGCGCGCGTCCTGGTGTCCCGTATTCACGCGACTGCCGCCACAAACTACCAAAATAATCCGTCGTAGTAACCGACGGACAAGACCGAGCGGAACCCAACGACACCCACCCACTCAACTTTGGCCGCAGCCACAGGACGACTCGTAGCTCGCTCTTGCGCAAGGAAGGAGCCGGGATCTGCGTTGGTGGCCTTGCACCACGACACACTCACGGCAGGCATCTGACTCTCTCCACCCACCCACGTCTCGAGACGTCAACGCCAGGGCTAGGTAGTCATCCCCTCACGCCTCCTAAACCACACTTTTCCCTGGCCCAACCCGCACTGCGCGGAACTGCGTCTTTGAACGCCCACCCGCTTCTGAGCATGCCTCTGTTCGATCTAGGATCGCTGTTCCTTGACCACGTTGTCTTCATCACCAACCTCGTCTATATGAACATTGCCCTCTCCAACGCTGAGCCCAGTCTGCTCTTCCCGCTCTATGTTGTATCAAAGTTGCTGGCAAGAGGACCAGAAGACTGGGACTCTCCTACGGCAAAATGGCCCCCACCCATGAAATGGTAGCCGACTGCGGCTATCAAAGTCCTGACGAGCATCATCGCCCCTCATACTTCGCTCACGCCAACGAGGCTCCGTCGACTTCGTTCCAAACACCAACCTCTCCTTCTAGACGCCCTCCGCTCGCCCTCTATTCCTACGAATCCGCCTTGGAATCGGAGAATGGGGCGCATCCCTCTGCTGAAGCGCGGGTAGAGTCAAACGGGTCCAGTCCCAACAACGCGAGAGCCAGCAAAGAGAAGCACACCAGCTTTCAGAAAGTGGGAATCCGAGACCGGATCGCATGTCACACATGGACCTGGTTTACAATGGTGGGTAATCAAAGTCACATCTATCGAGTCTGATGGCTAACGAGGAACAGACAATGGTAAGCAACGAATGATAGACCGCTTCTTCTGGATGCTGACATGGCATAGGCCACTGGAGGGATGGCAAATGTGATACACTCTCGTGGGTGATTCTTGTTCCCACTGGGTTGAACGTCCACTAACTTTGAACAGTTCCATACCAAGCTGCCTGGCTCAATGGCATAGCCGTCGCCTTTTTCTTACTCAACATCATTCTTTTCATCATGAATTGTGTCCTTGCTGGTATTCGCTTCAAATCTCGACCAGGCACACTCACGCACTCTTTCGCCGACCAGACAGAGTCTCTCTTTATTCCCTCATCCGTCGTCTCGTAAGTCTAACGGTCTAGCCTGAGAGAAAATCGACTAACCATCTTAAGGGTTGCCATCATATCGATCAATATCTGTCAGTTCGGCGTTCCACACGTTGGTCCTTGGCTCCTGAGAGTCATGCAGATTCTGTTCTGGTTCTACGTAGCCTTGAGCGTGATAGCTAGCTCGACCATTTACCTGATCCTCTGGTCGACACTGTGAGCATCAGCCTTATCCGCTCAGACTGCAAAGACGACCTAGCTAACTATGCTATAGAGCTTTCCCTATTCATACCATGACACCAACATGGGTATTCCCAGCCTACCCTCTACTTCTCACAGCACCTTTCGCGAGCAATCTCATTCAAGCCGCAACTCAGACCAACCAGCAAACAGTTACTCTTAACACTACTGCAATTGCACTCTGTGCCTTGGCTACTCAAGGCGCGGGTTGTCTGATTGCCTTCATGATATCGGCCGCCTTCATCTACCGGTTGATGACACAGAAACTTCCTAGGGACTTCCAGCGTCCTGGTGTGGTACGTGTGACATTTTGTTGTGCCACAAAGTAGAATCACGTTGACCAAGAAATAGTTCATCTCCATCGGGCCGTTTGCATTCACAGTGGGAGGACTAGGTATTGTTATCCCTCTCGCGGGAAAGATGTCTGACTAACAGTTAAAGTGCAACTCGGCAGCCAAGCAGAGACCATCCTACCTAGCAATTTCCTGGGCACTGACATAGCCGTGCCTATCGTCAAGGTCATGTCTGTCATGATAGGTGTATGGTTATGGGGACTATCCATGTGGTTCTTCATCGTCTCGGTTGGATCGCTTTGGAAATATGTGCGGCCGGAAAACAAGATGCCTTTCCAGATGACGTGGTGGTCATTCGTGTTCCCGAACACGGCGCTAATTACTGCCACCACCGCCCTTGGAAAGGTCTTTCAGAACAATGGAATGCAGATCTTCGGATGTGTCATGGCCGCGTGTTTGATAGTTGTATGGATTACTGTATTTGGGACGATGGTTCGATGTTTATACCGGCGGGAGCTCTTGTGGCCAAAAGATACCCAGTAGTGGCGGTTTAAGGATAGGGGATTTTCTTCTCTTTTTTGAACTAGCTCATGTAAATTTCAAGAAGAATATCGAAGAAAAGAATGTGGCAATATCGTTGTGTGAAACCCATAGTATGAAAGTACTCATAAAGTGCAAGCATGATTCAGGGTGGTCAGCTCCAGCGACCAAATACGATGAAGAAAGCGCCGCCATTGTGTTCGCTTAAGGGAGAGCGACAGCGAGCAAAAGTGGGGCCCGCTGCCCAACCAACCTCTCACTCAGTAAACTCCATGGATTCATCTCATCCAGATGAGACCTGTCCTCTGTGAGGCACTGCCTCGTGAAATTCCAGCAAACATCGCAACTCTTGAATCGGGCACATCTTTGGCTGAAAAAAATGTCGTGGGATTCCAAGTCAGCATTGCGCCGGCGCCAAAGCAGCAACGCCGCCGCACCCAAAAACCTCCCTATCCATACCCGCCAACAGTCCAAGTCAACCATTCAGCCCAAGTCGAGCCACGTAGCGGACGACTTCCTTCAGGACTTCTTGGACCCCTCGTTCGACCCTGCCGCATATCTGAACGCTACGCTCCCGCCTCTCCAACATGGGAGCAGTCATTCATCACGGAGCGGGGGCCCAACCGTCCCGCTGGCCGAACTGTCTAACGAGGCGCAGACGCTGCTATCTCAACTTAACATTCACACGACAAGGCTTTCGGGCACGCTCACTCAGCTAACGGACGACATTTTACGGAGCGGCAGTCGACTTGCTTACGAGGTCGAGCTTCTGCGAGGCGAGACGTTGAGTCTAGCCGAGACGATGAATGAGACGCTGCAGGAGGACATCAAGAAGTTTGTGCCAAGCGGTCTGGCAGAGAGTACTGCAGACAAGACAACACCCAAGGTGGCCAGTGGAGAAGAAAGCAGGGAATTTGTCGGCGCTACCAAGGCAGGTGAGGGCACAGCTGGGGAGGGAGAGGCGGTTACTGAGCCGCCGTACATCCACCAGTTGCGGACGTTGACGGTGGTGCGCTCTCGCCTCGACACCGTCATCAAGACCTTTGGCGACGCCATGGAGTTCGTCTTCCCGCCGTCAGAGTTATCGGTCAGTTCGTCCTTTCTGTCTGTCTCGGCGCCGGAGCCTGGGGCGGAGCAGCACAGCACGGAGGAGAAGGGGCAACAGGTCCTTCAGAAGCTGCGGGATGAGATCTCACAGCTGCTGACCAAGTCGGAGGACCCGGTCAAGGGGATCGAGAAGGCGGCACAGCGCATCGAAGAGCTCAAGGAGCTGAATCAGGTGTGGAAAGGAACGGCGGAGGAAAAGGGCCGGACAAAGTTTATCGAGAGCCTGGCCAAGATGGTCGAGGACCGGCACAGGGACCTCATGAGGGAGGTTGACCAGGCGAGCAAGAGGGATGGGGGCGATGGAAGGACGAGGAAGGGGAGCATTCACGCCGACGCAACGGAGAACAAGACCTATCTTGGAGGTTATGGTTTGATGAGCCAGCTGCAGAAGCTCAGAAATGGGTTATAGGACTAGGGCGATTCGAAGGTAGTGCAATCCTAGCTTACGGCTATTGTTGGATCGTATTGCGTGGCTCTTGATCTCACCCTCGCGAGTGACACCCCAATACTCTAACAGAGGATACTCAACTTTCTACTAAGATAATTCGCAGTCCACATTCATCCAGATCAAGTTCATAAAGCTTCCCCGTGGGCAAAACATAGTTACTTACGCAAAGTCACGTTGGAAATCTGTGTACTGTGTGAAAATCGCGTCTTGAATGAAGCCCGGCCGAAGTTCGGCGTGCACAGTGTGCCCTGTGAGCTGCTATTTTTCGTCCCTTCCGCCCGCTGAACAAACCTAGCCCCTGCGGAAGTCATCGGGTAACCCCCATCCAATAAGAAAACTCGGCCCCTCCAGCGGTCAGGTACAGAAGTACATGCACTCACTTAGTGGGAAGGAGGCTGACAAGGCCAGCCACAGTACCAGTCCATTTCGTAGTGCCCTCACTTTCTCCGATTCCTTGTCTCCCACACAAACACCTCCATGAGAGCTGCCGATGCAAATGGGCACTTAGACGGAAACCCTCTTACTCAAGAGCAGCGATTGAGTATTCTGTTCTCTCTCGAACTTGCTACCGACTCTTTTTCGTCCCTTCTTCCATTCTCAGCGCCCGTTACAGTCGAGCTCCGGTTTGCGACGGTGGACGGCTGATCTTCACATCACCAAACCAGTTTTCCGCTCTCAATCTAGAACAGCACCCTCTTCCTCAACCAAACTCGAGAAGTGCGCAGTCGAGCGACCGATACACGATCTTGTTCATCGTTGCCACAATGGCAGCCAACGAAGCAGGCGCCCCCAATTTAGGCGGTGCCTCCGCCCAACACAAGGCCGGGCGAGCCTCTCCGGCACCCCAATCGAAGCGCGACCGCAAGCGCCAGGCCCTTGCCGACAAGATTGCCAGCTTGCAAGAGAAGTTCAGCCGAGACCGTGATCTCGGATATCGTGATCAGCTCCAGAAGGTCCAGGTTGACACCAACCTCGTCCAGCGCATCGACCCGTACGCCGACGATGTTTTGAATGTCATCGCAAGCCTGCGCCAAGAGCATGAGGAGACCCAGGGACAAGAGGCGCTGTCCGACAGCAACCGCACTTTGCTGCAGATGGCCGGTCCCAAATTTGAGGACTTCGTTCAAGGCATTGAGGATCTCATTGAGTACAGAGATTTCCATTTGCTCCAACACATGGTGAGTGCGACCGATTTTTACTTCCTCCGTCCCCGGTCGACCCAGCTAACAATCCTACCAACAGCACGAGCACGAGCGCCGCCTCCATCAATACAAGAACGAATACCTCTACAAAGTCGAGACTGCAAAGCGCGAGCACCAAGCCCTCTCTGCTACCCTTCGCGACCGCCTCGTCAATACCCTGCTCTCGAGAAAATACCGTCTGAACAAGGAGAAAGAGGCGCTGGAGATTTCCGATTCTTCGGCGTTGCTACTCCATCCCAACCAGTTCAGCATCACCAACCCAGCTAGCCCTGGAGGCACCCACGGAAAGCGTGCGACAAGGCTGCGCAAAGATGCTGAAGAGCTCGCCGGCTATGCGGATGGCAAGAAACGCAAGAGGAACCCGGGCGAAGATGACGGCTCCCCTGCTCCCTCCAGACGAGTGCTTGATCCTAATAGCACGACGCCTCTCTGGCAGAACGAGAAGCTCCGCGTGGCCGCAAAACAGAACGGTCCCGCTTACAGTATTGATAAGCTCTTTACTGATAAGGAGCTCTCCCTGGCATACAACCAAGCAGCTGTCGCTTCTCACAAATACGTTCTCAGGCACAAGCCCTACGCAAATGGCGGTTCTTCCCCTGGCAGCGATTCCGGTCAAGGCGACGAGAATGGCGATCAGGACAGCGAGCCTGTTCTGTCAGCCCCGGCCATGGAACGTACGAGCTCCCACGCCACTAGGAGCACAAGGGCGGGTATCAACCAGAATTTGATCGATGCTGTCGAGGGAGCCAATGGTCTCGAATTGCCCAAGTATCTTGAGATCATGCAGCCGCATGAGCCTGCCAAACTACCTGCGGTCAACGTGACCAACTACTTCAAACCAGTTAGAGGAAACACCGACGGCAATCTGCCGCAACCGCTGTCGCATGAGGAGATCAACTCCGATATCATGGTTATGGATCTGTTCAAAAAGTATGATGCGAACCACAAGCCCGGCGATTCGATCGACCATCCCAACGGTAGTAGGAAGCTCCTAGAAGCTGCTATTACTCCGTACACCAACACCCCCTACACGGGGTTCAAGCCTGGCCCTCGACCGGATCCGACGAAACTTAGAGAGGATCTGATGCCGATTGAGAGCAGCGTCAGAGACGAAGCACCCCCTTCGTCCCTTGCGGCCGTCGCCGCGGTTCCCATGAGCCGCACCAGCAGCGCCGCAGGAGGCACAGGCATGAGTCGGCAAGGCAGCTCCCGTGGTAAGGGTCGCAAGAACCAGTGACGGCATACGAGAAGTTGAATGGTGTTTCGGCGTTTGGGAAAACTGGGTGGGACTGGCCACGTGCATTTTCTGGAGGTGTATGCGGAAGACAACCGGGGATAACAACCCCTTTCATTGCGGCGGTCGATTTCCACCGCGCCGAGCTAGTTTGTGTTTCTTATTTGTTTTTTCCCAGGACCTCTCACGAACGAGGATTGCATTTCGTGGACAATACACAACCGCATGATACACACGTATGCACACACAGGTTGGCATATGAAAATAGGGGCTTGCTATTACGGAGAGACAATTCTCGTCTGGAATCAAAACACCTCGCTAGCATTGATACCCTGGTGCTCATAATCAAACATTCATTTACTCATTGACTCGTAATAACGGACTCCTATACTAAGATTTGTGTCTCATGGGCCAAAGACCAGTGCGCGCACCTCGATGCTTTCACGACCCTCGGCATCAGCTCTGGTCCTCGGGTCTTCGAACGCAGTATGCGCCAGCCGTCCACCCGCAACCCCCGTGCCGTCGCGTAGACCCTCGCTGTCGAAGCACTCGAGCAGCAACCGCTCGTCTCCCGTCATCCCGCTCAGGTAATACCACTTCTGCTCCGGGTTGAATTTGATGCCCGCCGTCTGGCCGGTGTAACCTGTAGTATACCGATGCTCGATGGGGACAATGTCCTCGTCGGCTAGCGTCGAGGACGAGGCGAAACCCAGCGGAAACGACTCGACGGGGTTCTTGTTCAGCGGCCGCCAGACATTGATGATCCGATAGCGACCCGCGAGGAGCTTGTCCGACTCCTCGGGCAGGTGCTTCTTGATGCGCTGGATCACGGAGACGGGCGTCTGGTCAATGTGCACGCGGGTGACGGGGTTCCGGAGGGCTTTCGGGTCGGCGCGGCGGATGGTGTGGTCAAAGAATATGACCCGGTTGCTGCCGGGAACGTGTTCCAGAAGGAGCTTCTCAAGCTCTGGGTAGTAGTTCTTCTTGACGGATTCGTCGTCGACGAACTCTTTCTCGGAAGAGGGCGGCAAGTTGCGGATCACGGCGAAGGCGTCGTGGTCGAGGTTGAAGTCTGACTCGCGGCCGCGGATGTCGTGCAGGAGCGTCTCGGTGGGGCTGTCGCCGTAGTTCCTTTCGGGGGGTCCTTCGGGGTTGATGACGTTATAGGGAATGGAATTGTCCGACGGCGCGGCGAAGAAGTTGAGGGTTGCGCGGACGTCGCCGCGGGGGACTGTGTCGATGGCCATTGGGGGTTTGGTTTGGTTGCAACTTTACTTTGAATACGAGATGCTGGGGGGTTTGAGGTTAAATGGATTGTTGAGAGTTCGCAATGAGATGCCGGTGAGAAGCTGCTTGTGATGATGCTAGTTGGGATATCAAAGATGTGTGTGATTGACTAAGGTTTCTCTTGTCAGGTCGAGACTTCATTCTGTTATATACCCATCGACGTCTAAGTTACTGTATTTCAAAGCAAAGCTGAGAAATGAAGCCATTCGAACCACAAAATGGTCTACGCTTGTGGAAGAGCAATCACGTCATTCGGATGGTTGGCTGGAAAACTCTCGGCGCGAAGGCGGCATCTGAACGGGATTAGTCAAACCCGGAGCAATTGGAGACCCTGGAGATCTCTGGATGGTGGATGCCGAGGAACACCAAGCACTGCGGATTAGTCAAGGGCGCAGGGTGGAAGCTTTAGATCCCGTCGTGCTTGGTTTGCATATGATCATCTTTGTTCCACAGAAGCATGGTATCGAGTGCAGGAGCATGCTCCCTCGAAACAGAGTGTCTGCCTGAGAAGTTTCCCCATCGTCCTTGGTCCCCATATCAACCGGCGTTCTTTGCACGGCCGAATGCTTTCTAACCTATTCAGAGAATCCAGTTATTAGCCAGCTCATCAGCTCAGAATTCCAGCGGCAACTCGAGTTGAATTTGCCAGGTTACGCACGATGTGCAAAGCATACCCCGAAACCGGGGCCGAAAAGACGAGGCGAACGCCGATGTGACTAAGCAATATCGATACCGGAGGCGATCTGGGGAAGCCGGTCGATGATGACATAGCACGGTGCTATGAAGACCGTGCCGAATTGGGTTTGACACTGCTGCTGCTGCTGCCAGATCCCCCTCCCTGGCCACTGAGCTCAGTCATTTATCTCCCTTGGGGGATTTCGTCCAACATGCGGGTGGCCCCAACACAAGCACTGGCACAGGCTGCTTGCAGCGACCCCGGGCCTTGCAGTGCGGCGTGGCTTTCTTTGAATGCGGTGGTCAAAGGCTAATTTTAGCACGTCCCTCTCCTGAGTCCTTGCCTTGGGCGGTCGCTAGGGCCTAAGTTAACCCCGACTTTTTCAGCTTCGATTAATTGATGTTTAGATTAACTTGAGCCTCTCTCATCGAGAACCTCGTCGAGAGAGCCGTTGAAACCGTGGTTTCGAGGCCTTGGGTTACGGTTGAGAGTACAGCAACCCGAGCACTCACACCCAACCTGCACTTGTCTCAGGGGCCCTCTTTATCGACTACCAGGGAATACTTCCTCACGGCGATGCATCCATGACCCTCGTACACGTCGCGTCGCTGGGCTTTTTGATCTCCCATCTCCCCATACCGCGCACGCTCTCAATGCGCAATTCAGCAGACACTTTACCGGTGATGATGTCCGATTTCATGGGCCATTCAACACCGACTTATGCGCAATGATAACCCGCAGTCGACGATGCAGCAGCAACAACCTCAGCCGCCGTCGCAACCCAACGGCCTGCATGGGCAATCCCCGCCGCCGTCATTAGGACAGCAGCACACGACTGCTGCTGCTGCTGCCACTCCGCTGGCCACTCCGCTGCCATCGACAACGACATCCTCCGCCGTCTCCGTCGTGAGGCCCGCCCTCCCAGACAGGGACGTGACGGCCGAGACTATCGAGGACGCCTATGTTGGCTTCGTCCTGTACTGCAATCCCGCGGTGCCTCCGGAGACGGACGCGGCTGCGTTGCGGGAGGCGTTCCGGGTCCCGCCCAAGAGCGGCGGTAAGAGCTTTAGTACTTTTACTCTGTTTCGGCTCATCAAGCAGCTTGAGACCAAAGAGATCAAGACATGGGCAGAGTTGGCGCTCAAGCTGGGCGTCGAGCCGCCGGATCACGACAAGGGACAGAGTTCGCAGAAGATTCAGCAGTATGCAGTCCGGCTCAAGGTGATTCGTTTTTTTGTGGCTGATGAGAGGGAAGAGGCTGACTGTTTCGCAGCGCTGGATGCATTCCATGCACGTGGATGCCTTTTTTGAATATTTGATGGACCACCCTCATCCGTACTGGGCTGAGATCCCAAACGACCCGACTCCTGTGTGCGAAGCGGGACGAGATGGCGTCCTGGCAGAGGACGACATGGCCCTCCGAGCTCTGCTGCCGCAGATTCGGCCCAGGCGCGGGAGGAAACGCCCGGACGAAGACGATTTCGGCAAGCCCCCTTCGCAACGGGCGAGGTTGGACTCACCATCGGCTGGGAGCGGGTACGCCTCGAGCCGGGCAGAAACTTCAGGGCCGTGGTCCGCCCACCCCGACGGGCGGGCCTCGTTCGGCTACTCCGATCCCTCGAAGTTGAGCGTCAACTCGGCACTGGCATCGGCATGGCCGCCGGCTCATGACACCGCGCAGACGCCACTGACGGCCTACCCTGCAGGGCCAATGTCTGCGCTGACACCGTCTACGCGCAATGGGGGATTCTGGGGCGATACTGAACCCAAGTCGGCAACCACGCCGTCACGGTCAAAGGCCTCTCATCGGCGACACGGCGCCAAGGTTGTGTCTTCTGCATGGAGGAGCGGCGGTTCGGGGTCCAGTGGGAAGACTCGCGGCAGGCCACCAATGAACAAGACGAACGTCGACGGCCCATTTGTAGCATTTCCGGCAGACGGACCAACGCTCAAGGGGCCAAGTCCAGAGACCAAGATCATACCGGGACCGATCACACCCCCGACGTCAATATCTAGCAGCGTGCCGCCGGCCGTGCCTCCTGGCACCGCCCATCCGTCTCAGGTGCCACGGCCGGCTAAGCCCAATATCTCGCTTCAGGTGCCGGAACGACTAGGCGGCTCCGTCCGTCTTGCGACACCACCTCCGCCGGTCGTCGTGATCAATGGGGACCCCGCTCGCCACCTACCCGACCCAACGGATTTGAGCTCAACAGCACCGCCGGTAGAATTGCTAACCAACAACAACATGCCACCAGGCGCAATGCCATGCGTGGACCTACACGCGCAGACTGTCCTGGCCCCACCGCCCACGGCGCAAGGCAGCAGCGGCTCCATCCCGACGAAAGACGCGGCCGTGGGCATGTTCGAAAACATGAAAGACCGCACCAACATCGACGCGGTCCTGGGCTACTTTGCTCACGAGACGGCAAACGGCGACTGGTTTGACGCGCAGGACAACCCGATCGACAAATGCAGCATCGCCGAGGCGTACGCGCTCGTGCACACGACGGTGGAGCGTATGTGGCAGACGGCACCGAACCAGGACGCATTCCTCATCAACCTCGCGGCGCTAGCGGGTGGGAGGGCGCTGATGACAACGAGCAAGTTGCGGGTCAAACGGGAAGCGGAGTTTGAGGACCGCGCGACGTACAGCTGCAGCTGGCAGTTCCGGCTGGGCTCGATCCGGGGGAACTACAACATGCTGCACACGGTCATGTACAACCGGTGGAGGCGGCCCGAAGAGAAGGTGGACAAGCCGAACATGAAGGGGACGGCGGAGGCCGAATCGGAATGGGAGAAGAAGTACAGGGACCTGTTGGCGTTGTCGGAGAAGAGAGACAGGGAGATCCAGGCGCTCCGGGCGGGGATCACTGAAAAGCTCAATCAAACCTTTGACGCCGCCAAAGACCTCGAGAAGTAGAGGAACGGGCAATCGTTGGAAGAGGCAAGGGAGCCTGGGGATTTGGACCACAGAGGGATGACATGGACCATGGTACACAGCACATTGGTATACGAGTGGTGGATTTTTATATATATTTTTATTTGTTTATTTAGTTAGGACTCGAGAAGTTCTTTCAGAGGGCAAGCGTATGCATGCGGTTCATGAGTCGATAGCATCAAGCCGGCGCTGGGTCACGGGGGAACACAAATCAGGAATAAGAGTAGCCTAGGATAAGTCGAGGTCCCACAATACCCACAGGAGAGGTTGCCTTCTGGTCTTTCAGCTTGGCTGTCAACTACCGATTGCCGAGTCCCAGAGCCTACATGGCCCAGAAACAGGTCTGTGTACCGTTATGATGAGTTATCAGGAGTCGAGAGGCTGCCCTATCGAGCAGCAGTGGAGGAGGGAGATGGGCTTACTAAGTCCCCCGCCAGACCGGTTCTTCAACCCCATCCAGCCAATAAGATGCAAACCGCTCAACTTCAACACACCTCGCTCAAGCTCACGACGCCCTCAATCGTGAGCCCCTGCAACAGACTCCCCGACCGGATTACCAAGACTCAGCCGCCAAAATGCTCATCAAGGAGTCTCACGTCGACGTGCCGACCAAGGCCGACGGGAAGGAGGGATCCATGAGTTCGTCGCCCCTCCCTCGTCCAACCACCAACCGCAAGTGTTGAGTCACCACGGACAGCTAACACCGCAACCCTAGGAATCTTTCTCTTCCACCCCTCCGTCCCTGGCTACCCCAACGCGTGAGGCCCCCTCTTGCATGGCACTGATGCTCCCGAGGGATCCCAATTGACGCATTGCATAGGAAATTCCCCGGCGTCTGCGTCTTTTCCGAGATTTACCAAGGTCAGTCGGTCAGATCATTTCTCCATGGCGGGGTTCCGGGAGAAGCTCCCCCGCACTGGACCCGTCGACCCCTCCATCTCCACACCCGCCGATGGCTTCACCGAGGTCACCGAAGGATGTCGGAGGACCTCGTCTTCATGTCCCCGATTTCGCATTACCCTTGTGGCCATTGTCATGGCGGCCAAAATTAGTGAAGTCGTTTGCCTTGAATATCCGTGTTAAATGGGTCCAATTACTTTTGAAATTATGCTGAGACGCTAAACAGTCACCGGCCCCGTCGCCCGCTTCGCCCGCCAGATCGCCGGCCAGGGCTACATCGTCGCCGCCCCCTCGTCCTACCACGACTTCGCCGGCCCGGAGCCCCTGGCGTACAACGTGCCCGGAACCGACAAGGGCAACGCCTGGAAGGTCGAGAAGGTATGACCTGACCTCTCTGTTCTGTCCTCTTGCTCTCATTTTGACAGCCAGGAAACACTGACCAAATGGTGATAGACCCTCGAGTCCTACGATGAAGATTCCCGCCGGACCGTGGACTACCTTCTCAGCCTCCCGACCTGCACCGGCAAGATTGGCAGCACGGGCATGTGCCTGGGCGGCCACCTCGCCGTCCGCGCCTCCGTAAGTGCATTGTCTACCGCCTCCCGAGTCCCACCCCTAACAGCATCCAGCTCGACAAGAGAATCGCCTCGTGCGTGGCCTACTTCGCCACGGACATCCACAGCCGCACCCTCGGCCCCCACACCGCAAAGAACACCTCCCCCACGCCGCCCGAGAACAGCACCCACACGCTCGACCTCTTCCCGACCCTGACCCACGCCGAGGTCGCCATGATCTTCGGCGTCAAGGACACCCACGTCCCGCCCGAGGGCCGCGACCTCATCCGCGCCAAGCTGCGCGAGGCCGGCGTCACGACGAGCTTCTACGAGTTCGCCTGGGCCCAGCACGCCTTCATCCGCGATGAGCTCAGCAAGGGCCGCTACGACCCGGCCATCACCAAGGTCTGCTTCGAGATCCTGCTGGAGCTGTTTGGGCGGACGCTCAAGTTGGACCTGGGGCCCCAGGAGGGTGTCGGCGAGGTCGAGCACGTGTGCTGAAGCATGAGAGGTGAACCTCACCCGGGACTCACGGCGCGACAAAGGTAGGACGTATATCATGGAAGAAATGGTATTCAATTGTGGACAACATGTCATCATACTCTATTCGTAATCTATCTTGCCCCCCAATGTGAGTCTGTAAGGAAATTCATTAGGCATGGGGAGCCAGTCTCAATGCCCACGTGCAAAAAAAAAAAGAAAATGCCCAATGTCAAGGCGATTGACCGGCTGGTATAGTACTCTTTCTCCAAAAAAAATTTTACATCTTAGGTTCCATACATGTCCTCCTTACTGCTTCTTCTGGCCACTCTGAGCAGCCTCATTCTGCTGCTGGCTGTTGGAGATGCTGCGTCCTCGTGCGCGCTGGCCTGACGGCGCGCTCTGAAGGGGGTGGGGGGAGAGGCCGGAGGCCAGTGGGGGCGGAGAGATGCTAGGAGACAGCGACTGTCCGTAGTTGGGGTAGTTTGTGGATTGGCTGCCATAGTAGGCAGAGCTATACGAGTCTGGCACGCCGGTCTCGGCCTCCTCGTCATAGACGCGGTTCCGTGATGTGGTCTGCATCAGGTTCACGCCGGAGGCGTCGCCGACGGGAGACAAGGGGATGCTTTCACCGGGCTTGCGACGACCGCCGCCGCCCTTGGTGCTGGCTCGCTTCATCAGCTGGCTGCGGACGCGGTCGAGGTCGTTGGACCGGCGGCGATCCTCCCGGTCTCTAGATCCAGACAGAGTCTGCTCGTCGGCCACCCGGTAGCCCCACTCCTCCTCAGCCAGCGGGTCGCGGAGGTTTAGTTCCTGCGCGGCCTGCTTCTCGGTGTTGGAATCCGGTTTCGTGCTGGTACCTTCGGCGGCGGGCGAGGGCACCAAGCGCTTCGCCTCCTTGTCCTTGGCGGCCTTGTCACGGGCAGCCGCGGCAAACTGGTCAGAAACGGCCACGGAGTAGGCTGGGTTGCCAGGGGCGCCGAGAGCTTCGGCACCACCTCCAGGAGCATAGATGGGGACCTTCTTGAGAGCCATAGCCAGGGCGCACATGAACTTGGAGCGGCGAGTTGCGCGGACGGCGTCGTTGTGCCAGTTGGACTTGTGCTTGATGGCGATCTTAAGCTGCATTTTATCCAAGTCGCCGACACCGGCGACGCCAATGGCGATATCCGGCATGAAGTCGCGAGAGTTGTCGGAGTTGCGGACGAAGTTCTCCAACTCAACACGCAGCAGCTCGAGATCCTCAAAGCTTGTGTCGTAAGAGACGTTCAGGTCAATAACCTCCTTCATGGCCTTGCTGCGAGTGACGTTCTCGATCCAGAGGTTGTTGAGAGTGATGTTAGGAACCTGCACCACCTGCATCTTGTCGATGCGGGTGAAGACAGTGTACAGGAGAGAAATCTTGTCCACGATGAGTTGCTGCTTCTCGGAACCAACAATATCGACTCTGTCACCGACGTCATAAGGATGCTTGACAAAAAGGAAGATGCAGGAACCGAGGAACTCCTGTGTAGTAACGGCGAAGACGAAAGAGAGAGACAGGAGAGCAGTTCCAGCGGTAGCGACAGTCTGGTCTGGTTAGTGGGGTTGGTGGCGGGAGCAGCAGGGAACTTACGGTCAAGAAGCTCGACTGGAACCAGGCCAGGAAGATTAAGACAACGATCAGGAGAACAACGAACATCAGAACCTTATCAAACACGCGGAGTGCTTGACCAATGTCCTTCATGCCTTCGGTGATAGCCTTGCGTTCCTTGCCGATCTCCACAACCTTGCGCGTCATCTCCTCCAAGCTGATGTCGCCGTTCATGTCGTTGTCGATTATACCGAAGGCCTCCTCGGCCTCTTCGGAGTAGGCGGGTCCCAGCACTTCCTGGAAGTCTTCGGGGTACAGCGAGTCCTTTCCTTCGACGACAAAAGACATCCAGATGCGGCGGGCGAGAGCTTCGGAGGGCTTGGTCTTCTCGAGAGCTTCAACGACGATGGAGTGGGCCGAGTTGGGGTTGAAGACCTGCTTTCCAGTGATTTCGGAGGCAATGTTACCGAAGACACCCGTGATCTTGTCTCCCATGCGGCCAATATCGCCGACGAGTCGGAGGGGAGTGGCAGAGCCAGCTCCGCCCTTGGCGCCCTTTGCGGCCTTGGCCAGATACAAATCGAGACTATCGTTGATGACATAGTCCTCGTCCTCGAACTCGGGGCAGTACATAGGGAACAGGGTGCGTGAGGCGTCGTAGAGCAGACCGAGAAGGCGGACCTCACGCTTGGATTCTTTGATGCGGAGGGCGAAAGAACGTTGGTGGTAAGAGATACCGATGAGCTGGACAATGGCCTTCTCGCCGAGGTAGACAGCCGAGGAGGTGAAGGTGGCGCCTAGGATGCGAATCATTGTGGTAATCCACGCAGCCGGGTCGCCCCCATCGTCGGCCTTGAACAGAGACTGGAAAGACTGCCAAGATCCAAGAGCCCAGAAGAACAGCGAGAGGGCGATCTGCAAGTTCTGGAGGACGGTGGCATACTTGCGCGTACCGGAACTGACGACTCCGCAGAAGAACATGAAGGCGTGCGGGAGGATCCAAGCAACGCATTTGCCGGCCCAAAGTGTAAGCCAGGCGATCTCGATCCACAGAAACAGGTCAAAAAGCGGCTTGCCCCTCTCTCCTCCCACGAGGATATCCTCTCGGTGACCAACAATGGGAAGGACGATCAATGGTACGGCGAGAAGAATACCGATTGGGATGATGTATACCAAATACCGGGTGACGACAGAAAAGCCGGTGATCTTGTTGTAGAACCTGCCCATGGCGTTGACCTTGACCTCATCAGAGCCACCGGTTCCGTGGCGGCCCAGCTCGCCATGCTTCTTGCGGCGGCCGCCCTTGTTGCGGTGGAAGAGCCCATGCTTCTCGTTCGTGGGGGAGCCGGACTCCTCGTTGGAGGCGTTCATGGTGGGCTTTCGTGCGCCGGTCGAGGCGGCGCTCCTGACCTGGGTCAGGGGGATGTCGCTGCTGTCAGGCATGTCGTTGGACTGAGTGTTGTTTATAGGCAGAAATCCCGAATGCCGCGGCGAGAGAGGTCCTGGCATGCCGAAGGTGCGGATGGTATATATGGGGCGTGTCCGGGTCTAATCGAGGGAGGAGCTGGAATTCTGGCGTATAATAGGAATTGGTGAAAGTCGGACAGACCGCTCGCTGTACGATTGCCGGCTATTAAACGTACAAGTGAGCGGATATCAAATCCGGCTCTGGTTGTAGGTGGGTAGGAAACCAACTAAAGTGTCGTAGGACTCGAGTGCAAGGAGAAATAAGGTCGGAGGGAACCAAAATAAGGACAGTGTTGGTTCTACAAAAGATGGGCGCGTATACCTGTATTGTCCTCGGTGTTACGACAGCCCGATTCCCAAAGCGAAGGTGATTATAAGGAAAAGGGTATCGTTAGGTGAGGGGATAGACCGATGTGAAGAGGTAGGGAAGAGGGCGGGAGGAGGAGGATGAATGAGTAAACAGGTTGAAACGAGCAGAAGGTCAAGGTGAAGAGAGCGTGAGGAGGGGAAGCATTTCAGGGTTTAAGCGAAGGCGAGCCAGACGCAGAGAATGACGGCAAGGCACGCGGTATCAGTCCAGTCGGTGCGGATACAGTAGGAAGGCAAGCTGCGGCTAGCAGGTTGACGATCATCGAGGTGCAAGACAGAAACACAGGACGAAAGGGGGCCACCGCCGCTAGAGCGCGTTAGTGGGAGGGACGGAGGCTTGGAGCGTGCAGCTTTTTGGCGGTACCCCTGAACGGTTTTTTTTCTTCCTGCGCTAAGCCAGGTTCCCCTTCTGGCGCATCTGGTCTGGGAGTCTGGTTTCTCGATGACAGGGCGGTTCTTTCCCAGGGCTGTCGTGGTACGTACTCTATTTGAAGTGCCGTCGAAGACCAGAAAAAGCAGGAACAGAGCCAGCAATTGACAGGCTTTCGCTGCGGGACGGCCTGGCAGCTTTGATGCAGGGGACAAGCCACTGAGCAGGCGAGTTTCAGAAGTCGCGAGTCGATTGCTGGGATTGGCCGGTGCCGAAGCTGTCGTCCCCAGTTCTTTGGTTGGTGCGGTCGTGGTGTGGAAAGTCTGTGGCCCCACCAGATCAGGTACGTATCGCAGCTGCGTGGGCGAATCTTTTCCCAGGTGGGCTGTAGTGTTGCCGTGCTCGCCGGTATGTACTTCTTGGGCCTTGGGTTTTTTTTTTCTTTCCCTTCCTCTTTCTGTCCTGCTTGATTTATCTGTACCCCGGTCCGGAATGATACCTAGGTATTGTAGAGGCGCGGTGCGATCGATTGTGTACTCAGTATTGTTGTTCATCTTTGGGCAACAACCGTGCTGTGCAGGAGAAGACTGCCCGACTAGGTGAAGAGACGCGTCGGCATTGCCCCGTTCCGCCTGCATTGCATTTCCATGACACCCTTTTCGTGCTCTGTTAACAGTGGTATCTGAAGGTTCTGTCCAGATCAGCCATTACCATCCAAGCCCCATACATCAGACGCCGCACATTTGTACGTAGAAGCTTGGTATTCCTTTGTTGCCACCTCACTGGCCACGCCTCGGTGCGTTCACATGCATGCTGCGCAGATTGCACAGCACAGAGTACACTACACTCCGTACAATTTACGGGATCTCAATTTGTAACCCCACGATGCCATGCATGCACCCTTCATTCGGGTTTCTGGTTCCTTAATACCACCACATATGCTCATGTTCAACATGGTTGTCGGCAGTCTGAAGGCCCCGGGCTGCTGTTTTGGAGTCTTGGGCGTGGGCTGAGCCGTTCTGAGGGCTGAGGGGACCTGTGGGTACAGGTACGGGTACAGAGCAGGTCCCAGCTGTGCCTTCTGGGCCTTCCTCACTTTGGCCGCTGTTCGGAACAGCCGTGACATGCCTGGCTTTCCTGGCTCGAGTCGCATCCTTTACGGGGGTCCTAATCCAGTAACCAGCGACCGCAGGGAACTTGACCGGTTCGTTAGTCCAATAGCGAGATCGATTGGGGCTGCTCCACAGGGATGACGAGTCGCCTGTCAACGTCTACGGTAGCGGACTATCTTCCTACCACGTTGCCACATCAGTGGAGTGTTAGAGCTTAACCTTCTCCGTCTCCATGCGTGGATCATCGACAAGCCTTCCTGACATTGTTTTTGCTCAGATCTCGCCAAACTCGCCAGCCGCCAGCGCGCGCCAACGCGATCCAGAAATAACATTTCCAACAAAAAAAAAAGTCACCACAATTTTCCCAGCTCCACTTTCACGGTGGAATACGAGCGTGGAGAATTTATTTTTTCCCTCCTTTCGGCGTCGAGCCAATAACCCGTCTATCCGTATCCCCCACTGCCCGTCCGGCACATGTTTGCACTTGACAGTGGCTGGAGGCATCATCCATCCATTGCCTGATGGATGGCGAAACCCACTCTCAGCCAACCCATCACCCATCGATCCGATTCCACCCCTTCGTCCATCATCCAACTTCTTGGAACCGACGTCTTCGCTGTCTCCCCGGCTGGAGATGAGCATTCGTCCCTTCTTGGCACGGGACACCCCAAGCACCCTTCCTTTCCCCCAAACCCTCTTTTCTCTGTCTCCATTTCCCTTCTCTCCGCCGGCCTAGGCCGTCAAACTAGGCAATCAACGCCGTCCAGGTATGGTCCATGGTTACAGACTGACACCACGACACCACTTCATCTGTCCCTCGGTCTGTCCTTAAACCGGCGTTGTCGTATCTGTTTCGTTTCCGTTGCTTCGCATTCTCGTTAGCACCAAAGCCACCCGCCCACCTCTTCGGCATCCATCTACTTCATCTTCCGCCGCATCTAGCCAACTGGCTCCGGTCTCCCAGCTGTCCTTTCCCCATCCCCGCCCCCTGTCTCCTAGCGGAGCCCTACAAGGACAGGACAGAGACAAACTGTCACAGGAGCTGGCTACACCGCGTGTTCACGGTCCAACTTGCTTCGAGTCTGGTCAGTCTGGACCTGCCCATGGCGGCCCCTGCTTCGAAAGCCCACTCAATTCTGCGTCCATGAAATCCGCCAGTCGTTTCATTTCCCCTTGTTTCCATCATTTCAGCTTTAAGGTCTTCCCGAAGTGACAACAACTGAACTGACCAGCCCTTGATGAGCTGCTCCTCTCCCATAAGCCCGACTAACTCTCCCTAGTTCTCGGCACTTTGTGTCTTCACTTGCCCTTGCGAAAGCCGACCAACCAGCCCCGTCCGCGGTTCACGGCTGCCCAGGAGCCGGCGTTCTCAACGGCGCCAGCCTAGTCCGACGTTGGCTTCATTACGGGCCGCACCAGTGGCGACCAATGACACAATCTCTCCCCTCTGTTCCCTCACCTCATGCCAAGAACGGTTTTTAGCCCGAGGGGCCGAGGGGATCGTCAGAGCCACATCTCAGACCCTCGAGAACGCGGGTACCTGGAAAAAGCAAGCGCTAGGGACTTGGTGGTGTAACATGGTCGTCCGTCGTCTCCCCTCCCAGGCATGAGCCCGCGGACGAGGAACTCTATTCCACATGAGATGAATGGTTGCGCATTCTTCCTTCTTGCTCTTCACCGGTGCACTCTGTGTAGATTTGGTGTCTGCCCTTCTTGCTACTGTTGCGGCACCAGCGCGCCACGTCTCACATGCTTGACAATATACTGTTAGAGGTTGAATCGGATCTACAGCCCGTGGGTGGAAATCCTTGATAATTGATCGCTTCACTCTGCATTGTTAGGTTTGACGCTAGACTCAACACGAGGCGCGGAACGCGAGAATCTCGATGCGTATTGCCGCTCCCGCAAAAAGCCTTCTAAACCCTTTAGCTGCCGTTGCCCTCGTGCCAAGGGCTGATCGAATTCTCTCCCACGCGCTCTTCCGCACTTGGTGTTGTTGGGAGGACGTGGGCTGCATACGTCAATCGACGCCGCCCCCGCCGCAGGGGACCCGAGGGGCCCATTTAGACGGGCCGCCGTCTCGCGCGCCGTCCAGGTCGATCACTGAGACTTTCCGCCCGCCCCTGAGTCAGATTCGTCGAGAGGCATTCTTTACCCCTCTCGCAAGCCAGGTTCGGGAGGGGGCCGGCATCTTGAAGAATGCGGCTCTTGCGGTTCGTGAAATTGAAGGGGCCGTTGATGATTCAGTCATTCTTCACGAGGGGCAAAGTGGCATCATCGGGACATGCAATGCTTCGTGATGTTATCAATTACGGGTTGTGGGCTGGAGCGAGGTCCTCCTCCCAAAGTCTTCAAGGGGATTCGTATCTGATTACGTAGTTGTGTTCTGTCCGCACGACCTTTCAGCTCAGCCTCGTGGGTATCCAAGCCCCATCTCGATGTCAAGCGTCCTTAGCCTCCTGGACCCCTCCATCCTTTACGAGGAGGTGACGTCGACTCCGGTTGCGGAGCCGCTCTTCTTGTCCCGTTGCTCGACCTGCGTCTTCTCGTATGTCTCGCTATCATGGTGGTCCTCGTGAGTGAGATCGAACTTGTACAGCGGCTCGAGGGTGACATCTCGCCGGAAGAGCACCCAGCGCTTGAACCAGTACGGCAGCGCCTTGGTGAGCTGGTACTTCATGAAGACCTTAGTTGGAACCGCAAAGACATAATCGAGCTCCTCCAACGTGCGCTGCTTGGTCTCGGGCAGCCAGAAGAAGATCATGACGAGGGCCACGACATTGAGGCCGGCGTAGAAGCAGAAGGAACCGATGACACCCAGATCGGCCAACATGATGGGGAAGGTGATGGACAGCACGGCCGCCCAGAACAGGCACGTTGCCACGGCCCAAGACATGCCGACTTCACGGTGGGACAGCGGGAAGACTTCGGCCGAGTAGGTGAATGGGACAGGTCCCTCGCCAGGGGAATAGAAGGCTGGGAGACGTCAGAGCTTGTCTCGTATCAAAAGACTCAAAACTGGAAGGCTTACCGGCAAACAGGTAGACGAAGAGCGCCACCATGCCCAGATGAGCACCTCCGGTACCTGGGATGAGGGTGCAGAGACCGGCGGCCAGCAACGTCCACGCCATCTGGGGGAAAGTGAAGAGCAGCAGGGAGCGCCGTCCGAAGGTGTCAATGGTCCAGATGGCCGGCCAGGCGAAGATGAAGTTGACCATGCCGAAACCAAAGGATGCCAGGAGGGCGTTGAACTCGGATGTCCCGGCCTCCTTGAAGATGGTGCTTGAGTAGAAGGCGATGATGTTGATGCCTATGCATTGTCAGCAACGGCCGGGGGTGCTCAAGGTGGTAGTCCCGACTTACCGCACATCTGCTGAGCAATCATGACGGTGAAAGAAGCCAGGGTGGCGCTGTCATAAAGTCAGGATCGCCTCTCCTTTATCACGCAGCCTTCCGTCTCCGGGACACTTACCGTCTGACACGAGGGATGGTGAAGAGCTCCAGGAAGCGCTTGGCGTAGTTGGACCGTCCGATGATCTCGGCCTCGACTTGCAGCTGGGCATGGATGTAGTAGATGTCGCGAGCCGCCTGGATCGGGTGGTTCCGCAGCCGCAACAGGGACTGCATGGCGTTCGGGTATCGGTTCTTCTTGATGTACCAACGAGGGGATTCCGGGCAAATGTATATCAACAGGACCAGGGGTATGGCCGGAATGAAGGCTGATCCGAGCTGGAGGCGCCATGCAATATCACCGGTCTTGGCAACGGCCAGGTTAGCTGCCGTTCCGGCCATGATTCCGAAGGCTGTCCACATCTCTGAACAGGTTGTTAGAATGTAGGACTTGGGAACGGCAATACGAGGCGAAGGAGGCAGCGGCAATGAGGAGGATGATGAAGGGAGCAATAAGGGCAAACTCACGCCACGACATGACAAGAGCACCGCGGATCGGCGCGGGCGAGTTCTCGGCGGCGAAGATAGGCACCGTGCTGGCCTTCGCGCCCATACCGATACCGAGTAGCAGACGGCAGGCGAGCAGCTGCGGCCAGGACTGGGCAAACGCGCTTCCGAGGACGGGCCAGAGACAGAAGTTTGCGGCGAAGAAGATGGCGCCGCGGCGGCCGAGGAAGTTGTTCAGGGGGTCCGAGAGCCAGCATCCGATGAAGGCGCTGCCGATGTACGGGGCCGAGTTGACGAGTCCGACCTTTCCAGCCATTGTCAGCACGATCAGAGAGGTACGGTAGGTTGGGAGTGGTACTCACGAGTAGGGTATCGTGGTGCGAATTGCTCCCGATGCCAAACACGGTGGGGAACGACAGGTTGGCGCCGTTGCTGCCAGTCTGGTCCCAGCCCTGGACGGCGGCGCCGATGGAGCAGGTGATGATGGTGAGATACAAGATCCTGGGGATGCGCCACTTGTGCAGGACCTCGTCGCGGAGGACCTGGATTTCGGTCGGGTCGAGGGCCTCGGCGCCATCAATCTCCTCGTAGCCCGTCGGGTCCTGGGCGACGAGGGCGCCCTTGCGCAGGACGGGGATGTACTCCTGCAGGCCCTTTTCGTGGGCAAAGGCATCGACGTCGCGGAGGAGCTCGGCGCGGGAGATGCCGAGTAGGGGATTTTTGATTCTGTGGGCGGTGTCAGTATGCCAAGTCTGAGGCCTGGGATAGAGGCGGAAGAGGGGAGGACGGACTTTGCGTCGACGTTGGCGTTTAGATCGACTGTTGCTTGGGACCCGCGGCGGGCCTTTTCTATGTTTGATGCCGAGTAGTCGCCCGAGCTGAGACTATCAGTTTGCATGCGAGTCGTGATTGGGAGGCGATGGTACTCACGGCACAGCTCCGACGTGCTTGTCGTCCGCCATGGTCGCGGCGGGTTGGAGACACTCGACAACGTAGTGCTTCAATGCGTGTAAGTGACCTTGGGCAGTGTGACGAATGCCTCACTGGTAACCTCTTTAAGAGTACAGGAACTTAGAGCGCCGTCTATGAACGTCGCGCTTCAAGACTTGCAAATTGGTATCTAACACCGGAATCAGGGCTCGGACGAGAGGAGCATGTGGCATCAGACGGGGATGGCCAGCTTTATTTGTAGATTTCTGCCCACAGATATTTTCCATCCCGCATCCATGCTCTCGGTGCGAGAGCTGGCGCAACCACCTTCCCTCCACAGGACAAGAACGGCAGCTCTAAGTTGACAGCCTCCCTCTCCCCGTCCTTGCTGGCTGGCTGATGCCGGTCGCTTCGTGATCCACAATGGGGCAACCCATGGGGAAAGGTCCAACATTTTACCTGTGGATTCACTGGGGTTCGTCTGGGCAGGGATGGTGGTCGCCATTGTTTGGACAAAGGTCATGTGAGTGTGGAGAATGTGTAAGCGTCTCTCTCTCGCGCGCGGGCGCGGGGGTGATTTACACTTGATGACCGGTTGCATTCTTATGATCGAGGCCATGGTTCGAGAGAACGATGGTATGGCTCGTCTTCTAGATCCTTTGATTCTATTGGGCTTGAACTAAGGAGGATGCGACAAGGCTCCGCCAGCGCGCATCTTGCATTGGGGTTATGGCAACCATCAACCATCACTACAGGCTTGCCACTCAAGGGTTGGGCTTTTGTCGACGTGAAAGCGCGCCCCGAATCCTTGGTAGTGTTTGTCTAGTCCGCAGAGATCGGCGTAGGTGATACCGGTTGTTGTTGGACGGTGTAGCAAACGCGAGAGCGACGAGAAACCCTACCTTGTCCCCTCTGCCGGGTCGACGACGTACCGTGATCAGTCCGTTTATAGTTGGACGGGCTCATAGTCGCGACGGGTTTGTCTGGCCTTTCAGCCTTGGTTTTCAACCCAAATGTCGCCTTTCTCCCCAGACTTTCCCTCTCATCCTCTGCCCGCGAATAAAACGGGCACGTTCCAGCACTCTCGCTGGCACACGGAACGAAAGGCGTCGTGCGGTGCTGTCCGTGTCGCAGGAGGTGAGGACGGGAGTCCCTGGCCGCGAAGGCTGGGGACGTAATCAAAACGGCGGGACCCAGGTCGTACAGATACCGTCGGAAGTATACTTTGTAGAAAACCCCTGTTGAATTGTGAGGAGTTGCCCCTGGCAGGAACTTGCGAAGCCAAGGAGCGGGCAACGGCACGGCAATAGCGTTGGTTGATGAGGAGATACCGACCACTGCCGATCCTTGTATATCTACGGTGTAGTGTCATTTCCTTGGAAGCGGCGTACAGGCCGGGGTGGGAGTGTGTATGCGGGGACCATTCTTAGGTCTGTCATTGGGGGCCGCCGTCACATGTAGTTACTGGCCAGCCGCCATTTCCCTCAGGGCTTTCACCAAACCCAAGACGGGACGATAGATCTCCAAGGAGGAGCTGAAGGGCGAAGTTGATTGGCACCGGTATTGGCGCCGAGCCGTCTGGATTGAGTAGAAGTCTAGACCTTTGACTGTCACGACGCTTATCATGACGGAGTGAAATGTGACGGTTCATGACCCCAGGTATGCGGGGTTTCTGGCGAGAGGGGGAGAGCTCAGAGATGGAGAGGAACTAGCACGCTGGGCCGGGGTTGACCGTATCCTCCTTAGGTATTTCACCGCCTGCATAAAACGACGTCAGCACTCGAGGCGACACGCTTTCCATTGGTCTCGTCGGCAGCCCCTTGCCTGTTGGATATCCACTTGGAAGCCAACTGAAGGCTGCCAGGCTACCAGGCAGACAAGCATTGAACGGCGGCGCAGAACAAAATGGTCAGGCCAAGTCGGCAACGGCTCGTGTGTCGCGCGCCTGTGCGATACCGCCGGGATGCATGGGCGACACGTTCGTTTCCGGAACTGTATATTTACGTTGAGAACTATGTCCAAAGCTTAACACTCGCCAAGTGCAGAGCGCTGAATAGACCTGACGAAAACTTGGGCTCAGGAGTCAGAACTACCATTCGTCAATAGACCCTCATGAATTGTCGTTCCACTAGAGTCGCAAAGCCAAGACACATTGTCAAAAGAGCCGCCCACAATGCCTAGGAATGCCGAGAAAACGCCCAGCCCTCCAAAAAAATGCTTGTGTCGTCGCCGCAAAGCTTGGATGGTCAAGGGTAGCGCATGGCATCGGGCCGATGACCGCTACCCCTCCGCACTACTGCTGCTGACGGCGCCATTGTTTGCCAGCCTTTGGTCGCCTCAAACTTGGTCCCTGTGACTGTTAGAATTAATCGTAGAATGTTACCTCGTGACAAGCATCGTACGCACGGCGGCTACGCAACTGTACCACCGTAGTCTCTGGGTCAACTTCCCGGTCAAGAATAGATGAAGTCTGAGTCGTGTCTCTCTGGGCGGAACAGTTCAGAAATGGTTCGAGCTCTGGGCGGCTGACCAATGAGAACTCATAAAGCTCTCTCCGCCCCAGGCTCTTCATCTCCCCGCAAGGAGACGCCATTCGCCGCACTTCTCCAACAGGTTGCGGAGACGGTCGGCAGCTTCCCCTCTCATTCTTCAGTTCTGGCTTCCCTCCCCCACAGTGGCTCCGCTTGTTGGTGGAGGCGAGGCGGAGCCACCGGCAAGCCTGCTCACTTTGTTAGAGGTGTCTCGGGAATTTATAGATCCTTGAGGGAAGAGGTTTGCTAGTCGTGTATGGCCACGTAGATGGCGAACTGGAATTGAAGCGTATGACAGATACAGTTATTCTTCGACGATGGCTCTTCGATTCCCTGCGGGCTCATGCGTGTTGCCATAAATACTACATCACTATTGGTTCTCTTATCTAACATCAACTTCTTGTTCATCGCCATGTTATTTTCGTACCATGTGTTCGAGACAAATGAATCGGATGCCGGAAATAGCGACAGTACTGCAACATAAGCGAAAGGTATCAAGACGACCGAATAGATGGAAGCAGAAGAGATAGTCGTGAACATGCGTTGTTAGGCAAGGTAATGCTTCTGGTATCAGTCGGTAATTTGTATTGAAATGGGTATCAGCCGCTATGTTGCCCTTCAGCCTACGGATCCTCGCAAGTCTTTCACTTGAGCGAAAGTCTCCCACATTGATACGTCTTAATAGTTATGCTTAAGGACCTTCTTCAACGCCGCTATTTCCTTTTCGTACTTTGTAATCTTTGCCTGGCTTCCTTCGAGCTTGTCGAGCAAATAGGATACGCGAGGTCCGGTTTGAGAGGGCTGCTTCGGTAAACTACCCAACAGTGCCAGTTCGTTTTCGACCTTCTCAATGGTCTTGGTCTCAACCTTGGTCAACTCCTTGAGCGTAGCGAGGTCCAGCTTGGCTCTGAGAACGTGGTCCTCGAGAAGCAGGCCAAAAGCTGCTTGATACATTGGCTTGCCGGGACGAATGGTCTGCGGCCTACCGTTGTACGTCTCGACAGTGATAAGCTCAGCATTTGTCAGGCCTTCCAGTGCCGATTCGCCGTTCGAAGCGCCTGTAGTGGTGGACGAAGCAAAAGTATCGGACAATATCACCTCGTTGTATCGGAGAGCATCATGGGAGGCAAGTGCCTTGATCAAGTACCAAGCTTGCTCCATGGACCACTTTTTGCCCTCGAATGTGTCCTTGCCGTCCAAAAGGTACATCTTGACGATTTCCGTGGCACTCTGGTTGATAATGTCCTCAATGGCCCGCTGGGGGCTTTGACCGCCCTTCAAGCGACGAGCCAGGTACTCGAGATCAGTCAGGCGGCCGCCCAGAATACCAATGGCCGAATCGAGCTCCGACAGGTCCGGTCTCTCACGTATTTCAACAACATTCTCGGCCTTCTCGTTCGCTTCTTTTGAATGCTCTCGGACCTTTTCGAGCTCGTCCTCCTCCAACCGGCTGATTATGAACTTTTTGGCGACGTCAAGAGAGAGGTCGCCGAGAGCAGCTTGACGGAAAACGCGGTCTGGCATGGCCTTTGACAGTGATTTTGAGTATGCCGTGTCATCCGTCAGGAAAATGACGTGGGCGACATTATTCTGGACCATGGCGGCAGCCCACTCAGCAACCTTGTCATAGACAATGCTGGAGCCCTCGTTTTTGTGCAAGAAGTTGTCAATCACCACAACAGCCCGCTTGTCAGGGCGAGCCTCCAAGTAAGCGTCATCCGATAGATCGGCGTCCTTTCCATCCTTGTCGCGGCCAGCGAGAGAAACCTCTTTCAGTGCTTCAGCAGTCGTGTGGAGGATCTTGACAACCTGCGACTCGAGGGTTTCGGAGAATCCAGCCTTGACTCCTGTTGTGCTCTGAACTGCCAGATCGATCATGCTGCTCATGTTGTTGAGGAAGGCGAAAATGGGTTTGTATCCCACTGCGTTGGCCAGGTGTTTGATCGTCCCACTTTCGCCCCTTGCCTCAATGATTGGTTTGCAGTCAATTACCAAAACGTTCTTTCGTCCCTTCAGCGACTGGTCCAGAACAAGCTCCTTCTTTCCGGATCCTCGGGGACCTTGAACGACGATGAAGGTATCTGAGCTTTCGAGGAGCCAAGTCTGAATCTGCTCGATCAGGTCCTTCCGGTGCTGCCACACAGCATTGAAGCCGGCCTTGTCGGCTTTCTTGTGCCCGAAAGAGGAGATGATGTCGGAGGTCTGGCTCTTGATCCATCTATAGAACTTGTTGTTCGTCAGACGGAAGGAATGTTGGATATGCGCTTTGACGAAGAATTCGCGGATCGGATCGAAAATGGCGACGGTAATCGCAGCGAGAAGAGCTGCGACGACAGGGATGACCACTCTGGGGTGGCTGGTGAGCCAGTTCCAAATGTTGTGCGGTTTGACTCTCTGTTCGTACGAGAGTCGAAGTCTCGTGCCCAGTTTGCCACCACCCAGCGCCTCGTCAACAACGAATCCGTGCAGGCAATTTCTTGCCATGATGGCATCGCGTACGAGGGCAAAGTCGACGTATGCGTATTTGGGTAAGATTTTCGAGTCGGATGGTTGAGAGGTGATTTCGGCGATTTTGCCATAACGACGGAACACGCTATATAGTGTTTCTTGTGATAACTCAACGGCCTCACCTCCCGCATCCTTTCCCGTGAACTCGACCTTGACGCGGCTTTTTGGGAACCTATAGAGGTCTTCCAGCCACGGAACGCCCTTGACGAGGCCGGCCTTGACCCCGCGGAAGGGGTTGAACCACGGCCGTAAGGGACGCTTCTCCAACGATTGGGCAAGTGAGTCTAAAGACGAGTCAGTCATGTTCCTTTGTTGACACAAACCTGACTTGATCTCTGATGCCGAATACGCTAGAGCAATGCATGAATGCATCTTCCAGTAGTCGAGAGTTCGATTGACCATCAAGACAGGGTCAGACGCAGGATCTTGGAGCCCTTACTTTCAATGTCCTTGGGCGAAACGTGCGATCCGTGGCTGAACTTAACGAATGCCCCTCCATCCTTGAGTCGCGGTAGGATCTCTGTAACCTTGATCGGAAGGTCCTTTGGAATGGCTCGTTTTACCAGGCTTATCGGATCCGTACCCAAGCCCCCGTTGGAGCTGTCGAAGCGCTTGAGAAGGTCGGTCAGATTGCGGTCTGACGACCATGACCGCCGCAGCAGGTAGGTGAGCTTCAAGGGAAAGAGGTCTGTCAACCACCATTAGCTTTCTTCTGTTAAAAGAGCCGATGCAGACAGCAAGGGCATTGAAGACAACGGAGGCGATGAAGACAATAGGGGAAGCAGCGTGGGTTGACAGAGCAAAGGGTCCGGAGAGAGACGAAGATGTGAGAATCAAGATAGACCCCAGGATGCAAGATCAGGGGCGAGCAAGGGCATCAACCATGTTGGACCTTGAATGAACTTACTGTCGAAGAAAAGGATCGCTTCGCTTTCGGATTTGACAATGTGACCCGACTTCTCGTCTCCGGTCAATGTACTCTCCCAAGCCTTCGTGGCGGCGCGCAGGACGGCTCCCTCGCGCTGAGGTCGCGCAAATGGCCGTATCGGGGCGCATGTCGCGTGTAGCTTGGCCGCAGGCCTGAGGCCGGAGCGAAACATCGCTCTGCTGGGTGACATTGGATGGGTTGCGGTCCGCCCATTCACATGGTGCTCTGAGAAGCGGCGTGGGAATTGAGTTGGAAGAGGGGACGTTGACAGCGACTGGAAAGGAAGGAAGATGAGGTGACTGACCCGAACCCCTTCCCTGCCTTATCTCAACTGCTTAGCTCCTTCCTCGCGAAGCTGTGTTCGCGATGAATGATGTCACGCCTGGGGGCCCCACTGCCAAGCCCGTCGGCGCGCCCCATAACCTTATGTTGAACCATGGTTGTAGTGGGACGGACGAAACCTTATCCGAACCGAAAGAGCCCCACCACCGCGCGCGTAGCTACCGCAAAAATAATGCAACCACTCAATTGGCTGGGCGCGGCGTCTTGGAAGGTCATTGACGGTGGTGATTGCCGGCTTCCCCTCATTCTCGAGCGCTTCTGGTCTGATCAAGGACAACGATACATTGGACCTGTTCAATTCATCTACATTGATATCTTTTTGTTATCGCATCATTCATCAACATGGGTTGGCTCTGGGCTTCGCCGTCTCCTCCCAAGTCTCCCGCTCCGGGACAAGCTTCCCAAGCTCCGGCATCGACCCCGCCACCAGCGACTAAGCCGACTGAACCTGAGATGGATCCCGAGATTGCAAAGTTCATCGCCCTCTTCCAAAACGACTCGGGTAACAAGCCAGAGGAACCCGTGCCGGCGCCGGCGCAATCATCCACAACGCCCTCCAAGTCAACACCATCACCCTCCTCGTCATGGTTCTCCCTCAAATCCTCCCCGAACATGCCATCCCAAACCAACAACCGCACGATCACGCCACCTTCTGACAATCCGGTCGCCGAAGCCACCCTGCCGACCGAGATGTCCTGCCGCCAAGCTTTCGACATGGCCTTCCACTGCCAGTCCGTCGGCGGACAGTGGAACCACATCTACCGATACGGCACGATGCGCTCATGCAGCGAACACTGGGAGGACTTTTGGTTCTGCATGAGGATCAAGGGATACTCGGGCAAGATGAAGGAGGACGTGATCAGAGACCACTACCGCCAGAAGGAGTACGAGAAGTACGGGAACGGGAAGCCGAGCAGCGAGGACGTTTGGCAGGCCAGGACAGCCAAGGTACCGCCGGGCACGGTCTTCACAGAGAAGTTTGAGGAGCCCACAGTGGACGACGAGGAATGGCAGAGGATGGAAATTGAGAGGCGACGGCAGATCAGGGAGGGACTGGGCATTAGTTCGGCGACGGCGTGATTTGTAGCATAAGAACTTTTTAGTAATGTTTGTATACAATTGTCTCTCAGATGTCATGTAAGACAACATGAAGGCACTATTGACCACTTCAAGATGATTAGGGGCAAAGACATGTCACATGCATTACGAGAAGACCAGATATTTTTACTGTTTGTATTGAGACTTCCTAAACCTAGGAGCCAAACTAGAATACACTGACCCATAACCGTGCTTTTCCCATCGTGATTTCATAAATGCAAAGAAAGCAAAAGTCTAGTCGTGAAACCCCGTAACAACCTCTGCATTGTCACACCCATGACTGTGACTCTAAGGAAAGAATTCATCAAGGGTATCAATTTAGTCGACCTCCTCGACAGTAGGGCCGTCGTCATGGGCGCCGGGGGGCCTCCAGCACCAGCACCGGGGAAGCCGCCAGGGGCACCGCCAGCACCAGGGGGGCCGCCAGCGCTGCCGTAGAACTTCATCATGATGGGGTTGGCAACGCCCTCGAGCTCCTTCTGGCGCTCCTCGTACTCCTCGCTGGTAGCCTGCTGGTTCTCGTCGAGCCAGGTGACGATCTGGTCGATCTCGGTCTTGAGCTTCTCCTTGTCGTCGGCGTCAAGCTTCTCATCGACCTTGGAGTCGCTGAGGGTGTTGCGCAGAGAGTAGGCGTACGACTCGAGGCCGTTCTTGGCAGAGACACGGCGAGCCTCGGCCTCATCCTCGTCCTTGAACTTCTCGGCCTCAGCGAGCATGCGCTCGATGTCCTCCTTGGAAAGACGGCCCTTGTCGTTGGTGATGACAATCTTGTTGGACTTGCCGGTGCCCTTCTCGACGGCGGAGACGTTCATGATACCGTTGGCATCAAGGTCGAAGGTAACCTCGATCTGGGGAACACCGCGGGGAGCGGGGGGGATGCCGGTAAGCTCGAACTTGCCGAGGAGGTTGTTGTCCTTGGTGCGCTGACGCTCACCCTCGTAGACCTGGATGAGGACACCAGGCTGGTTGTCAGAGAAGGTGGAGAAGACCTCGGACTTCTTGGTGGGGATGGTGGTGTTGCGGGGGATGAGCTTGGTCATCATGCCACCAGCAGTCTCGATACCGAGGGACAGGGGAGCAACGTCGAGAAGCAGGATCTCGTTGGTGCTCTTGGAGGAGGTGTCACCAGACAAGATGGCGGCCTGGACGGCGGCACCGTAGGCAACAGCCTCATCGGGGTTGATGGACTTGTTGGGCTCCTTGCCGTTGAAGTAGTCGGAGATGAGCTTCTGGATACGGGGGATACGGGTGGAACCTCCGACCAGTACGATCTCGTGGACCTGGGACTTGTCGATCTTGGCGTCAGAGAGGACGCGGTCGACGGGCTGGATGGTGGAGCGGAACAGGTCCTGGCACAGCTCCTCGAAGCGGGCACGGGTGATGGAGGTGTAGAAGTCGATACCCTCGAAGAGCGAGTCGATCTCGATGGAGGTCTGCGCGGAAGAGGACAGGGTGCGCTTGGCACGCTCGCAAGCGGTACGAAGACGGCGCAGGGCGCGGGCGTTGGTGGACAGGTCCTTCTTGTGCTTACGCTTGAACTCGTTGACGAAGTGGTTGACGAGGCGGTTGTCGAAGTCCTCACCACCCAAGTGGGTGTCACCAGCGGTGGACTTGACCTCGAAGATACCCTCCTCAATGGTCAGGAGGGACACATCGAAGGTACCACCACCGAGATCGAAGATGAGAACATTGCGCTCACCCTCGGCCTTCTTGTCCAGACCGTAGGCAATGGCGGCAGCAGTAGGCTCGTTGATAATGCGGAGGACGTTGAGACCGGCAATGAGACCGGCGTCCTTGGTAGCCTGACGCTGGGAGTCGTTGAAGTAGGCGGGAACAGTGACAACTGGTCTTGTTAGTCTGCATACTGTAAAAAGGGGTGCGTATTGTACTAACCGGCGTTGTTGACCTGGCCACCCAGGAAAGACTCGGCAGTCTCGCGCATCTTAGTGAGGACCATGGCGGAGATCTCCTCGGGAGTGAAGGTCTTGGTCTCGCCCTTGAACTCAACCTCGATGTTGGGCTTGCCGTTCTTGTCGACGACCTTGAAGGGAAAGTGCTTCATGTCGGCCTGGACCTCGGAGTCGTTGAACTTGCGGCCGATCAGACGCTTGGCGTCGAAAACAGTGTTGTGGGGGTTCATCGCGACCTGGTTCTTGGCCGCATCTCCGATCAGACGCTCGGTGTCGGTGAACTATCAATATATGTTAGCAAATAAACCCCAAAAAATTATGCGACAGAAATGTTTTGAAATAAAAAGAGAATTTCCACATACCGCGACAAAGCTTGGGGTTGTGCGGTTTCCTTGGTCATTGGCAATGATTTCGATCTTGTCATTGGACTGTGATGATAGTCAGTGATGTTGTCCAACATAATGTTAGATGTCACAGGTGGTTTGGGTGCGCCGGGGTGGAGCGAGCGCTTAGAAAACTTACGTAGTAAGCGACACATCTGCAGGAAAGGGGTTAGCTCAGGTTCTAATCAGGCTCTGACGATATATGATATGATGGTGGTAGGTAGAATGATGATGTTGAGTGTACTGGGAATGGGAACCCGTGGGAACAAGGGGAAACCTCGCGAACGGGAAGTGTGTACTTACGAGTACGTGGTACCCAAGTCGATACCGACGGCCTTGCCTCCAGAAGCCATGATGTCGGATGTGATGTGTGGAAAGTTGGTGATGTTTTTGTGGTGTTGTGAAGGTGGGGTATCTTCAGAGTGCGCGTAACCGGTAGAAGGTGTTTTCCGGTAGAGTTGATGTCAGCGATCTAGAATTCGTTGAAAAAAGAAATGCGCTGGACACTTCTGATTTTTGATGGGTATTATGAAGAGAGAAAGATGATTGCGTGAAGAGTGAGGAATAGGAGACAGAGATGGTTGGTGTTTGACCTGACTTAAAAGGTTGGAGGCAGGAGCGACTCAAAGCCCCGCAAAAATTCGAAATGGTTCTTTCCTCTTCCACCCACCCTCCAATGGTGGGGTACAAGAGCCGCTGCGGCCCAGCTGGGACACTTCCACAAGGCACTGGAAGTCGCCTGAAAATTCCCGGATTGCAATGCAAGGATCAATTCAACACTAAGGCAATTTCAGCCCTCTCCAGGAGGCAAAGTTCCGGTTTTCTCAGCATTAGAGCAAGTCGAGGCCATCTTCAGTGGTCCTCATAGCGAAATCGAAGATTCTGCTGAAGGCGAGGTGCTGACATCATAAGATTCTACGAAATCTATGGAGGGGCAGCTTGTTTGCGCCCCATGTCACTCAGTACCCCTGGCACTAACCCCTCACACGCCTTAAAACTGGTCAGTTCGAGGTATCCTCTACTTTCTCCTCTCTAATCGAGAATCCACACCGCTCCAGAAAAGAGAATTTCGCCTGGTGATATCATTTGGGCTGAGCCACTGCGTGGCCCAGCGTAACCCAGCGTTGGTTCACGAAGCATCTAAATATCCACCATAATCCAACAGCAGTAACAGCAGCTGTTCGCCTGTATGCCTTTCCCTCTCTTTTCATGTATTCAATGAGAATAGGCAAAAGGCACGACCAATCGCCGGGGACAACGCGGATAACAGAGACGACATGCACGACGGGGACAAGGACGACAACGAGAAGTGAGACGGTCGTAGAGGAGGCAGAGCACAGAGACAAAATGTGCATGCAACCAATAGTCACAGCAGGGTATACAATAGAGCTTAAGGCTGACAACAACCGACGTACTTGCACAGAGACGCAAGGGGTCTAATTGCAACTATTCTAGGTCGCTGTGGGCGACATTGCACAATTGCAATTGCGTACCCTTTGTTGCCCTGTCAGCCCAACTAAAGGCAGTGAACGAAAATTTTCCCGTTCTCCTACTCTGCATGTGTTCGCCCAACGACAGCTAGGCAACGAACCCCGCCAGGGCATTGCGCCGGGACATTGGAAGGGAGGGGAAGCGCATCGACCAACGCAACCTGGCAACCTGACAAGCTTACTTACCTAGGTACCTAGACGGCTGCATGGCAGGGGTTGGAGATTGGTGGCGACCCTTGAGTCGCCTTGACCACCAATGAGGGGCCCCATATCTCCGGATCCGGTCGGCTGTGGTTGATCCCCGTGGTGTCGGCGTCGGTAGTGGGTCCATCACGGCTCGGAATCGGCGGTGAATTGACAGCCCGATAAACAGTCAAACAGTATACATTGAGATAGATACTCCGATGGCACAGCAACAAAGCAACAAAGCCTTCTCATTCTTTTTCTATCTTCACAAAAAGCAAACCACGTTCTATTAAGTTGGTCAAGGATAGTGTTCAAAACCATTCAGTTTGGGTACGGAGCGACTATTCACTTCGCTAGATTTTCTATCTCTAAAAGGCAAAGAAAATGTCTTGGCCCTATGAATCTCTGCTAGGCTGTTGTTATTACGTTAGCTTCTGTTATGAGTATCAATACGGAAAGGCGAGGAAGGAAGAAAATCAGTCGAGGAAGGCAAGAAGGACTCGTAATGCTGGAAGGTGCGCTCTGATGGGTAAGGTAGTTGCCTTGTACGGTTACCTGACAGAAGGGTTTCATAACCCTCTTAGGGAGGCCCATAACTGGTAGTGATCAAGAGGAGGAAGGAGCACATCCGCACTCCTAACATAACTTCCCTCTTTACGACATACAACAGATACCCTAGGTGTACTACAAGAAAATCTCTTTTCGGGGAGGGGAAAGTCAGAAACTCTACCTCAAGACAGCATCACCAAAATGTTTGTCACGGTGAGCTGTGACGACCAAGGCCGCTTTGTTGGTCTTGCCCCGTTCGCCCCCATCCCCGACCCCATTGCCGACGCTGTTTTTGACCTGCCTGACGACGAGTTCCTCGCCTTGTCCGAGATGTTCCTGTTCCTGCTTGCTCGCTATGCGGATTGACTGGACTGACTCTGCCAATAGCCGCCGCTTGTAAGGACGTCAAGGAGGCCGAGAAGAAGGCTGAGGAGGAGAAGACCAAGGTCAAGCCCGCCGAGAGTAAGTAGATCCCTGTGTGCATCATTGATGCCTTGACTTTGTCATGTGGCGGATTCGGATGTGCGTGACACCAGGCTGACAGTGAGCTCGCAGACAAAGTGATTCCATTGAAACGATGGCCTGGGTGAGTGATCTGTGTGTGGTGCGGTTGAGGAATTAGTGCTGATCGAAATAGTCTCCCTCCTGGGGTCGACCAGGAGGACTGGTCGGTCTGGGCCGACAAGGAGGTCGGTGCCGAGGGCATCATGGTAAGTGCCTTTGTTTTCTTGTGTTGTTGATTTCGTCGTGTTTGAAGACTTCTTCCTATACTAATCGCGTATGTGTCCAGCGACGCCTCAAGCTCGAGCACCACCGCGCTTCTGAGCGCGCCGCCCCCTAGGCGGCGGCTGCGAAGGAGTGCGCACGCCGAACATGCAATGCCTCCCAACCTCCGGCGGACCAGCCGCACCTGCCGTAGTCGCTGCGACAGGAGGTTCTTCATAACATCCGGGCCTTTACCAACAGGAAGAAGCGCGCCGCCAAGAAGGCCGCCGCTGCCGCTGCCGCTGCCGAGGAGGAGAACAAGGAGGAGAACGAGGACGACGATGAGGATAAGGATGAGGACGATGATGAGAACGAGGAGAAGCTGACAATCGAGCATCAATGAGCTCACGTCCGAAGTGTTTTTACATATTCTATTCTACAAGTGAGAATGATTCTTGTATACCGGATCATCATGTGTCGGGCCTCGCACCTGGTATTTCTCACCTAGGTAGGAGCGTTGAGCCATCGTGGTCCAACGAACAATCATCACTCATATACAGCCCACTAGAACGCCTCTAGGCCGGCCGGTCTTCCAAACCATGTCCCCAACTCATCACCATCTTTGTCGTTATCCCCCGACACGAAGAAGTCCGTCATGCGTGCCGTATCAGCGTCATCCTCGACTGGCCAGTCTACCTTGAGACACCCCTTGCCCTCGAGCATGTCCTTGGCTGTGCCCCAACTGAACCGACACTCGGGACCCCATCCAAAGACGGGATGCATGTTGGACTTCATCCACGATACACACCTTCCGTCTGACGGATACCCCGAGCCCCAAGCCATGCCCTCCTCCTCTGCCGACTCAGGGGCTCGTGCCTTGTATAGCACTTCCAGCGCAGCATCGCGAGTGACCTTGGCACAAACGGAGGCGGCTGACACACAGGGGTATAGACTGTCTGCCTTCTTGGCGACGGTGATCTTGGTGGCGGGGAAGAAGCGTTGGAGCTTAGCCTGGTAGGCAGCCGGCTGGCCAACGGTATCGACGTAGATCTCCTGAACGTTGACGCCCTGGGCAAAGACGCCCTTGATCAGCTCGACAGTGGCGTCCATGGCCTGGGCGTTGAGGTTGTAGTTGGCGCCGGGGCGCATCATGCCCGACGAGATGTCGCGGGCGCTGAGTGCTGAGACGGCGAAGCCGCAGGACTCGGCCAGATCTGAGCCGGCGGTGCAGAGGGCGGCCATGAGTTGAGATCGAACGGCCGGCGTGAGCACCTTTGAGTCGTCAAAGTGGTGGGTCTCGCGGAGCAAAGGGTCGGAGAGGGGGATGGGGAGGTAGAAGACGCCGTAGACCATGGGCCCCAGGACGGGGCCGCGGCCGGCTTCATCAACGCCAAGGCAGACCGGGGTCCCAGATGCTGGTGTTTCCGAGGTGGTCTTTGTTGGTGATGAAGAAGGCGGGAGAAGTGTTGGAGGAACTGGAGAGAAGTATGTGTAGGAGTCGCCTGAGAGGAGCGCCTTATCGTTGATGGACGGGGGAATAAAGACATCCGAGACCGGGGTCTCGAGGGCAATGTCCTCGACCGTTTGAGGGTCTTCCATTGTGAGCTGTAGACTGAAGTCGCTTAGAAGAATCTCGATGCGCCCAAAGTTGTTGCTCTCAGGCCAAGGAGTGAGCCGTTGCGCCAAGTTTCTGATGCGTAGTGTCTTGCTCGCCAAAATCCCGAAATAAATAACACGACTGAAGAGTGAGGAAATGAATTATTCGAAAGTCACTTGAGGCGGGAGGTGAGAACATTTGGTGGCAGGTTGTGTCCTCGACGCGTCTAGATCAATGGAGACGCGTCCAGCCGTTAATGCGCCGCCAAGTCCACACGTGCCCCTATCAACCCGGTCTGCAGCGGGCGTCGGCCACTAAAAGTCCCTCGACGCAGGAGCACCTCAGCGCGCGTCGCCATTTCTACCGCCCAAAAAGTTGCGCGCTCAACATCACCACAACCACCTTGTCGGGGTAAACACGACGACCATCCGGTTCACGGCGTCCCTCTTTTTGCACCAGTACACAGTGGGCGTCAACGCCAAGCCGCGATTTTTTTTCTACTTTCAGCAAGGTCTAGATTGAATTCGGGACAGCTACACAGTCGCGATGGCACCACCGCGACAGAGCAATGTCCGGCGTCGCGAGACGTCAACAGGCGACTTCCACGAGCTTGGGGTGAAGGGACGGTATGTCACCACGCGCCCGTCCGAGGGCTATCGCAATCGTCAGCCGCGCCCGAGCTTGAGCTAATACCTCTACAGAAAGACTGGGATCGAATTGCCCGACACCGGCGTACGCGACGAACATGGCATGCAGCCCATCGACGGGCTGTTCTCCTCGCCAGAGAAGGATAATGGGTCTTCCGGCGACGATATGACGCGCGGCGAGCAGGACATGGAGCTGGACTCGGGTGAGTTGTTCTACGGGCCCGCAACATTGTTCGCTTCCTAACCATGCTTGCGTGCCAGAATCCGGCCCCGGACCTGCCTCCATCATGAAGAACCACCCTCGGCTCGTACCCCGAGGAACCTCCCCGCGCAAGACCAACCTTGGATCGCCTGCGATGCGGCACCCCAGCTTCGGCCCTTCATCATCACCCACCCGCCTGTCGCCTCACCGAGGATCACCTCCGCTTTCGCAGTCCAACCGTGGTGGTTCAGTATCCCGCCGACTCGATTACGGTGGTCCTGATAGGAACGGCACCGGACTCAGCGGCAGACGCCCGAACGGGATAAATGGCCGCGCACTCTCGACGGAGGACGAGGAAGACGAGGAGGCCGTGCTGCAGGCCCAGAACGGGTCGCCTCTAGAGAACGGCGACGAAGAGTCAATGCAGATGGTCGGGATGGATGGCGGCGACGAACCCGAACCCGGGTCAGGGATGGAAGCATCAGACCCTCAACAGGATGACGCGGAGGAGTCAGAAGCAGAGGCACCAAAGCAACCTACCAAGCGCAGAGGTCGGCCGCCCAGGGCCAAGGCGCCGGTGGAGGAAGAGGTCGAGGAGGCGCCTGCAGATTCCGGCCACGAATCGGAGGAGCAAGCACCCGTCAAAAGGAGGGGCCGCCCGCCCAAGGGTAAGGCCAAGGCGGACGAACCGGAGGAGCCTGAGCCTGAGGCGGGCGCCCCCAAGCGTAGACGTTCACGGAATTCCAACGCAGATGAGGCCGAGCGGGAAGCAGGTGACGACCACTCCTCCAAAAGGCAACGTACGGAGCCCAAGAAGCCGACGGCTGGGAAGCGCGGACGCCCCAAGGCCGCTCCCCAGGAGAAAGAGGGCGAGTCGTCCAGGACCGCCACAGCCGACTCGAAACCCAAAGCTGGCCCCAAGGGCAAGCCCGGCCGCAAACCGAAAGCTGCCGTTGGCGACGACTCGATCCTTGGCGTCGTGCAAAAGGGACCGCCCATGCCCAAGGCGCGCGGCTTGGTCTCGCAAAAACGACAACAGGACCCCCACGCGATCACCCAAACGAGGTCCGGCCGCCAGTCGTACCGACCACTCGCCTTCTGGAAGAATGAGCACGTTACCTACGATGAGGACGAGGCCTTTGAGGACGGCAAGAAGGGTGGCAGGTTTCTGCTGCCGAGCGTCAAGGAGGTCGTCCGCGTCGAGGAAGAAGAGCGGGAGGCGCGGAAGAACAAAAGGTCAAAGAGCCGCAAACCCGCCGCCAAGGGCGGACGGCGGCAGGCCGACTCCGACGAGGAGGAGGAGCCTCCCGAGCCGTGGGAGCAGGATCCCGGCAGCATCGAGGGCGAGATTGTCGTCTGGCAGCCCGAGCACGAGTTCAACCCGCCTGCCATTAATGAGCAGGTCGAGATTGACGAGGACCGCATCGCTGTGGCGGCGGGCGCTATTCAAACGCGCGATATCCGGGATGCGACGTTCCGCTTTGCCAAGACGCTCAGCCTGCCCTTCTTCGGTTCTGGCGTTGTCGACCTCCCGCCGGGGGCGGAGAAGCGGCCCAAGAACTCGCGCAAGATGCAGATGGTGTTTTTCGTATTCCAGGGCAAAGTCCTGGTCACGGTTCATGAGACCCAGTTCAGGATCGGCGCCGGTGGAATGTGGTTCGTGCCGAGAGGTATATCTTGCTCGTTTTTGCATGAACACAGGAGTGCATCTCGCTGACTATCAAACAGGCAACTACTACAGCATCCATAACGACTATGAGACACCCGCGCGCATCTTCTTCGCCCAGGGATGCGAGGTCAGCAACGGTCTGGCGCAAGGGGTGGGCGGTTCTCAGGACACAACCATTATGGGTTGAGCACTGAAATCCTAATGGAGGCGACGGGCGGCCCATATGGCGGTTCTTTATTTTCCAACTTATCTTTTCCCCGATACAAGTATCGGCAGCGTGTGTCTCGCAAGATATCCATTTCGGCCTTCTCAGGAAGCTCCCTCGTTTCCAAACATACCCCGTAGTAGTTTCTCTTGGATTCGGTCGGCGGCGGCGGTGGTGGTTGTTAATCAGCCTTGAACGGCTCGAAAGGGGTTAGACTTTGCAAGCTGGTGAAAGGTGGGCGCAGAGTCGCCCAGACGTGGCATGTTGCGATATGAGCGAGTTAGGACAGATACGAGGCGTAAGCGGCTTTTTGCATTGGGTGGCATAATCATACCAAAATCAATCAAGACGCGCTTGCGCGGTCCCGTGGCTTGTGTACGGTTCCCGGTTGAACTCGATTTCATGACGCAACGAATATTGGTTACGGTGACTGGAAAGAAGTGTGCTCGGGTTTGGACAGAACCGCTCTCGTTTTCTGATGAGGGGCACGTTGTTCTTGCGGGCCAGTCACGTAGCTCGACTTCCATCAAGATTACCACGTCGCGTAGCATGAGAGCACAGCCCATCAAGTCGCAAATCCAACGAACCTTGATCGAACTTACGAGGTTCGCAGTCCTACGAGCTCGAGTGCGCTACGTATTTGCCACGGATGGGTTTCACAACTCGGGAATCGACCTCGCAGCTCTTGACGGACAGTATTGAGCAACAACCAACACATCACAGTCACAAGCACCAGCATAAGTGTAACGTATAGACATTATATCCTTTCCATCCCTACTCATACCCTCGGTGGGCTCGCTTCTCGGGCGTCTGGACCGCAGCGTTTATTTCAGCTGTCATAACAAAATATCAACACCAACAGGAGTCTAGATGTCATCAATATCGTCCTCAGCGCTCTTCTTCTTGCCCCGGCTGTCGAGCGTGTCCATGCTGATGGAGTCGCTTTCGCGGCCGGGCATGGCCAGCGCCTGCCGCGCCGTGTCCGAGTTCTCGATGAACTCGCGCAGCTTCTGCTTACCGATCTCGACGCCCTGGTTGGCGGCCGCGTTGGCCATCTGGTACATGGGTCCGAGCATGTTGAGCGTGTAGGCGACGTAGGTTCCTCCGGCGAGCAGGATGAGGAAGATGAAGAGGAACGGGTTGCGCAGCACTGTTCACGTTAGCATGGTCCACAGGCGTGTGTCGCAAATGTACTCACCGGCAACGATCTCGTTCCATCCCAGAGCCACCAGCAGGGCATAAAAGTACAGAGGCACCTGGGCAACGCCACCAATGGCGCTGCGCTTGGCCTCGACGTAGACACCGTCGGCCGTCTTCTTGAACCGGATGACGAGGTCTTGGCGCTTGCTCTCGCTGAGAACAGTCATCTCCTCCTCGAGGCTCTTGCCGTCCTCCTCGTCGACACCGCCAATGGGTGTCAAATCCTCCTCGTCGCTCGGCTCAACACCACGTGGTTGGTTGCCGATCCACTCAGGCAGGTCGGGAGGGCCGTAGCTCTCCGCGAGCTTGAACTTTGACAGCAGAGGGATGAGCGTCAGCGTGGACTCCCGCGCCTTGGTGTAGATGCCCTCAATGTCGTCGGTGGGTCTCCATATCCTGGGCACGCCGGCCTCGTCATATCTGAACTTGTCCTCAAAGTTTTCCCTCAGCTTCAACAGAATGTTGCCCTCCATGACCTCCTCCTCAATCTTCTCGCGCAGAGCCACCCAGCTCTTGCGCCTGAGTCGCCAGAGACCGACCTCGACCTCATCCTGGGTGGCCTCGAAGCTCTTGGCTCGTTCGGTGAACCTGCTTTGCGCGTCCTTGACGATATCGACAAAGACGTTCCAGATGCGGTCCCAGAGATCCTTCTCCGCGGGCTTCTCGCCCGTTTCGGGGGCGCCGGAGCCAGCTCTACCGGAGCCGAGCTTGTTGAACTCGAGACCAATCGCGTCGCCCAAACGGGATTTGACCCATCGCTCCACCCTCGTGGCCAACCGGCGCATCTCCTCCTTGCGCAGCTTACCGCTCACGTCGTCCAGCTCTTTCTCAAACAGCCCATACTGCGACTTGAAGTTGGACCAGGCGACGCCAGGAATGGCGAGGCTCTCGGCCTCGCTCTTGAAAGACTCGAGCGTCTTCTTCTTCTCCTTGGTCACGATCTCGGCGAACTCGTAAGCGGCACCAGACTTTTGACCAGCCTTGACGGCGCCAGAGACAGCTTCGCTGAACGAGGCGATGCCGGACTTGTGGGCTGCGGACAGCTGTGCGTTGTAGAGCGTCTTGAGACGGCCGTCAATCTTGGCCTCTAGGTCTTGGCGCTTGCGGGTGTAGACGCCCTTGTGGTATCTGCTGGCCTGCACCTCGAACGCCTTCAGGCACCTCTCGCGAGAGTCACGACCCGTCGTGCCGAGCTCGGCCAGGACGGTAGGCTTGCCGGACCGAGCCGCCTCGGACTGCTTCTCTTCGAGGGGCACGATGGCGTTGTCGAATCCAACCAGGACCTCCCGCGAGATCTCATCGCAACGGAACTGGGCGAGCAACTCCTGTTGTGTCGGCAGATCAAGGTCCTTGTTGTTGACAATCTGATCCCAGATGCCCTCGGCGTAGATTGAGAAACCGTCGGCGGGAATGCGTCGATGGTACTCGGGCAGGAACACACCGCCCTCGAATTCCTGAGAACTAGCCCCACCAGTGCGGTGTCCCGCAGTGAACCTCCTTCCCAGGTTCTGGATCTCGGTGGTGAACTTATCGGCCTGGAGGATCTTGTGGGGGAGTGCGGCGAACGCGAAGTCGAAGTAGTCCTCGATGCGCGAGTTTTCGAGGCCCTGGGGCTTGGAGATGGAGGACCAGATCTTGGTCAGGTCCTGAACGAGGGTGTTACGCAGGTTCGCAAGGGGCGTCGTGCCAAGGTGATCTCGGATGACGAAGAAGAGCAGGGATCTCAGGCTCGACCTAGTGGCGTGTCAGCAGGCGACCAGTCTACCTATTTGCAGACGACTTACTGCTTGTCCTTGAGGAAGAGCTGCAGGTTGACCTCGAAGACGGTCTTGAGCAGGCCCATGTTGGCGCCGTTATACAGGCCGACCTGCGTCTCCCAGAGGTTGACAATCAGGACCTCACTCGTCGCCAGGGCGAAAAGAGCGCTCTTCCTCTCAAAGTCCTGGTCCTCGCCGCGCTCGCGACCGTCGGTACCCTCGACATCCATGACGAGGATGTTCTCGGCCATGCCGGCTTCCTTCTTGTTCTTGGACATCCATATTCCCTTGGTGGTCTGCTGGCGCATCGTCTCGGACATGACGGAGAAGTCGGTCCCAAAGAGGTTGTTCAGCAGCGTCGACTTGCCGGTGGATTGGGAGCCGAAAACGGAGATGAGGTGATAGTTGAACCCCGCCTCGGCGACGCGCACTTTTTGCAAATATGTTGCGACATTGCCACTGTAGAGTAACGGGTTAGCATTCGGTCATCGTCGGTCTAGAGGGGCGGCGGAGTTTGGGGCGTACTTGAAGTCCTTCTGATCGTCAATGACCTGGATGCCGTGCTCGTAGTTCTGAGCATCCGGCTCCTCGCCGACACCAGCAAAGTGGCCGTTCATGGTTGCAGCGACGGATGAAGCAAATAATCTGGAGGGGCGAGAGTAGATTGTACTATTTGCTCATTGTCGTTCTGAAGAGAGAGAGAAAAGGAGGAAAGCCAACAGCGTCTTTCGTCTTCGTCGTCAGGTGTCAGGTGCAATGTAGCAACGGGGGCAAAAGTGCATCGGAGTTGACAGCTGGATGGGAAGTGACCAGATCAACCCTTGTGATCAAATTACCCTGTCATGGGCCGTAATCTTGCTTTCCCACCTGGCCGTGCTGGCTTCGAGCGCAAATGCGCCGGACAAATGGTTGGTCCGTGCGGCTTCTCCCCAACGAGTGGCCAGAATAGGCCTCGTCCAGGGCAACCCCTGGCATGTGAATCCTAGCCGCCCCCTACAAATCCCATGAAATCATCAGACGGGCATGATGACAACGTGGGAGCCCACCGTCGTAGGCGTGATGAGCGGTGACTGTCTACGAGCGCTAGCATGGGATGCGCCATCGCATGCACTCCAGGAAGACAAGCAAGAACATCACCTGAGAGCACTTGTCCCTGAAACTAAGAGCTGTCATTTTATGGCCGCTAGTCAAGATGCTAAGTCCGTGGTTCCCAGCGGCGCGGGCCGGCTTTGATGTGGAATCCCCAGCTCAACTCGATAAACCAGGCTTCCAGACGACCTTTCATGTATAACGTTTGGTGACTTCAACCGTACTTTGAAATCAGCTTCTTCATAATCCCCATCGCGCCGCTGCGGTATCCACCACCAAATATCGCGTAATGGTTGAGGTGGTGATATCTGCGACATGTTAGAGGGGCATTCACAATCACCATGGCAACGCAAAGTGGGCGAGTGGACATACAGCTCATAAAGCGCGACCCGATCCTCCCACTCCTCTTTCGGCTCAGCCTTGGGGACCAGCTTGTTGTACTCGTTCCAGAACGTGCTCCCGAACCCGCCAAACATCTTCATGATGCCCAGCTCGTACTCGGAATGCCCGTACACGGCAGATGAGTCGTACACCACCTCCTCGGCACCACCCTTGCCGCCGATCTGGCCCCGGCTGTGGTTCCCGCTCCAGAGATCCCCGTGGACCACCACCGGCTTCATGCCCTTGACGTGGTTGTCGCTGATCAGCCGCGGGACGACTCTGCTGGCGACCGTTTCCACGGCCTTGGACAGCTCCCCATCGGAGCCATTGTTCTTGATCCCAGCGCGAAGGATGCTGCGCAGCCTGTTCTCGGCGTAGAAGTCGGCCCAGGATTCCTTCCACGAGTTGTCCTGCGGTGTCGAGCCGCAGCACGTCGTCTCCGGGAAGCCGTACATGGGCTTATCAAAGCCCTCCGGGACGGGCGCTGGAGTCGTGTGCATCTTGGCGAGCTTCGCTGCCAGGGACAGACCGGAGCCACCTAGGGCGGATGATCCCAAGTCTAGGAAATCTGTGGCCATGAACCACTTGCCCGGCGAAGCCTGGTATTCTCCATGGGCGTATGACTTTGGGCAAAAGTTCGGGACGGCATTGTGGATGGCGTTGAGCGATTCATGCTCGCCTGCGGCTTGTCAACGCTCGTCCATCTCACACTGGATGAGCCTTGGCTGTTGCTCGAAAAGGCAGTTTCACTTCGGGTCTGACTAACCTCTGAACATGACCTCTGCATCTTTCCCTGAGCCCGTCTTCACGAAGAAGTTAGTGGGCTGGCCATCGACGACGGATGTGAGTTTGAACGATGACGCAAAGCCAGAAGCACCATGCGACGCAATCTTGGTCTGCTCTGGATCTAAATGGAGAGCTTTGATGATTGCTGGATCCACGTTGGGTGCCATTGTGTACGTTTCTCAATCTGGTCGGGGAATTTGAAGCCTGGACATGATTGATGAGAAGCTTAGAGCTCTTGAGCTCAGTCGCATACCAGCAGCTCAACCGTTAGATGAGCCTTGAGTGACGTAGAACCGCAACGGCCTCCACAGGGTGCTGCAGCACACACCACAACCTAAGTGCAGTGACACTCGCGCCCCACTAGGATCCACTCGCTGCCTCTTGTTACCACCGTGTCCCCAGTCCAGGCCGTCTTGAGCTGACTTGTGCGCTACCTCGTCAACTTCCACAACCACTTGGATCGATAGCTCAGTGGTAGAGCGAGAGATTGCAGTTCACCGCAGTTATCTCTAGGCCCCGCGTTCGAACCGCGGTCGGTCCTTGCTTTTTGCCTTTTGTCGTCTTGGGCTCTTTCCTTTTGAAGCCATGTAGCTTGCTTCTGATTTGTACTTCTCGAACAGACGCAAGTGCCTTTTCCTTGTTCGTAAACCCGCTTCAGCCTATTGCGTGCTTTGACCTTGCCATTCCCGGCTATCTGATTCGGTCCCGGTGTGCAGGTGGAGTATCACTGCCGACCGAAGGACGGCGCCGTGATGGGGCCGAGAAAATGATCCGCTCATGCTTCAAGACTTGTGTATTAGGTCGCCTGGTCTACCTGTGTGACTTGCATATACTCTGTACAGTCGTCATGAAATACCATTCAGTTTCCATTCTAGCGCCTGCTTACAACCATGCAAACCATCCCAAATCAACCAAGAACCTGACTCCAGTTCATTCCTTCGTGTGGAACACCAAGTGGCTTCCGCAATGTAGAAACACCAAAAGACCCGCTCTCATCCTCGTCTCGAGGCCTCGTCTCGAGGCGTCGCAGCCCTTCGATTCACAATTCCCTCCAGCCACCCACCAAACCAGAGCCCAAGAAAACGTTGTTTGGCTGATTTCCCGTCCCACCTGACCGGCTCACGAGCGGGAGCCAAACCCCAGCCCGCGTTCCCTGTCAGTACCCCAACATTCCCCGACTTTCCAAGCCCGGACTAAGAGCAAGCACGCCAACCACCTTCTCACCCCTCCAAATCCAGGAGCTGTTCCCCTCCTATCGCTTCCCCAGGATTAGGATTGCACCAACCCAACGGAACAGTTCCTCCACTAGGCCGCCGCCGGCGCGTCCTAAATCGACCAACGACTGCGACCCAAGAACCCTTTATCTGCATCTCAAACCCTAAATCTGGACTGTCGACCGCGCTTGCTCTCCTGCGCCGAGACGACTGTTGGAGAGTCAGCTTCTTGGCATCCGGGGCAGGATTGAGGGGTTTTATCCAACCTGCCCGAAATGAAGGAGCGCCGGCTTTTCGAATGGCAGACATGCGAAGAAAGGAACGGCCCAGACTCTCAAGCGCCAAGAGGCTCCATGGTAACGTGGCTTGGGTCTGGTCAGCCCGCCGCGTCGTGTCGAGGCACCCCCTCCTTTAGACGATTTCCTTTGCTCGAACCAGGCGGTGAATGTTGGTGAGCGAGACTCTGTCCGAGCTGGCCCTGCTTTCTTGGGAATAAACACTGAGGTTCGTGGTCGACGATGTCTCTTCGCGGCGGAGTGGTTGGAGGTCTGATTCCGTTTCTCGTCGTAGGGTCGACGTTCGCGTCTCCTTTCTCAGGGTGTTCTGAGTGAGCGCGAAGCTTGGTGCTGCTGTCACCGGTGCGGTCGTCTTCCAATGCTCGCCGTTGCCGTTCCAACACGCGGAGCAGGGCATTGAGGACTGCGGTTGATGGCCGGCGGCGGAGTGCAGTGGCGTTTCCACCAACTGAGAGGCTTCTGCTCAGAAGACATTGTGGAGGGGAATGAGGTTGTAGTCGTGATGAGAGAAGTCAAGGAAGGGTAAGGGATCAAGACACCAGAGAACTAAATACAGACTCTAGGTATTTGCGGACGGGTATAAGTAGAGATCGACTGGACGGACAAAGATCGAAGGGTGACCCTTTAATGCAGAGTGTAAGGCCCTTGACACAAAGGCAAGAAGTAGACTGAAGATAGGAACAAATCGGGGGGAGGGGACTGCTCGGGAATGGGGGCCAACGAACTTATATACACACGATAACAAGCCCTCCGAGACCATGGCGGCCGAGATGGGTCGAGGAGAACGGCTTGTGGGACCCTGAAGTACCCATGGCATGTGAAGCTGAGTGGCCGGCGGCCTTGCACTTGCAAGGCTCGACGCCGAGATGTGTGCGTCTTGGATTTGGTACGAGATCCTGGCTGGGCGCTGGCCTAGCAGGGCTGGCTGCCGCCGCCGGCGCACGTCCGAACGCGCTCTCACACCCGTCTCACCTCAAGCTGATACTCGGGACTGTGTTGCGACTCAACATGTCATTGAGGAGTCAGTCGAATTCGTAGAAACTAGCAGCCACGAGGAAATGGTGTGGGAAGAGACGAAAAGGAAAAACGGCTGGGTACTTGTTAGTCGCAACCTTTCAGAGTCCCGGTGCCTCCAAATAAGGTATAGACAGGTACGTACTGGTTTAGTCACCTTCGCTAATCGCCTCTCCTCACCCTCATGTTGGCTCGGGTCTCGTTCGGAGAACCTCGCAGTGTTGGAGCCCGCTTTTCTTCGCGTTCCTATGGATATACATTCAACATACGATGTGGATCCGTTGTCATGAAGGAATCAATATTTTCATCGAAGGTTCGGAATCCCCGAGGTTGTACTGGTCGATGCGGCTCGTTTCATGACTTCGTTGTTGCGAGGTTGTAGTTATGGCGGGTGCAATCATCGCAACCATCGTTGTCGTGATGCGGTACGAGGTGATGATCATCCGGCCACTCACATATTGGGACTAAAGACTGGGTAAAATCTTCTAAGGGCACTAATGTCTTGTCGAAGGAGGTGTTGAGAACTCTCGAAGTATCGGTGTGTTCGAGAGTAACGGCTCAGGTCGGGCATAAGTGGCAAGAAATGGCGGTTTCCTCCCACTATCGATGCCTGAGTCCAGACCCCATCGTTGAAGCCTAAACATCCCGAGGAAACCATAGGTAGCGTCATTGACCCTTGCAGATGTGGAAAACGTCGGAATGTGTCCGCCGGAAGGGCTTCCGCTAGCATGCAAGCTAGCAAAATCATGAACGGGAGAAAAGAGAGACGTGGGAGCGCTATTTCTGTTGTCAAGGTATAGGATAGGGATTCGGAACCCTTTCTATGTACAAATGGACGCGGACGGCAACGGCATGTCCTTGAGCCTCACGGTGGAGAACCTCCGTTGTGGACGCCCTTCATCCGAGAATTGCAATAGCCGAAGGGTCTCCATTTTGAGCCGACAGATGCTGTGGGTGGAGGCTCTCGGGTTTGGGTCCTAGGATGCGGAGTGGAATGGCCTGATCAATACATGCGGCGTCGCATCGGAGCGACATTTGATGATACAGGCGCTTTCACAATATCTTCCACGGGGTGCGCTTTTCTCTACTTCTGCCTTCTTCCTGCTCCCTCTTTTCTTACTTTTTTGACGAAGTGCAACTCAGAGGAACAAGTGTTTTTGAGACAAGATGAGAGCCGGCAGGGAAGACCGAGACAAGGGTCATCCTAAAGTCGCAACAAAGAACGTCTACGCAGCACACCTTTCATCTCCATGATCGGTCGCAGCCCCGTTGAATCTGATTCTTATTTCTTGGTATCCTCACACTTAGCAGCCCGACCCTGGGACGATTGCGACAATCAGTGGGTACCTCTTGATCAGCAGCTGCCTGGAGAACATCTCTAAACATGGAGCAGGTCGACTATCTTGATGCTTCTCATGGATCTCAGCTGTCGGTCAGGCCTAGCGGCCCGCATCATGATCGCCTTTGATGGCGGGTCGTCTGAAGTGTTGCTTCATGCCTGGCGCCCTTCAGCTATCCCAGCTCTAATATGGACCATCACCCGCACAGATTCCAGTCGACAGTTGGACGGAAATGACCTTAGACTCAAGCCAAAGCTTTATGGCCGCATGCTTCACTAGTTCGATCCATGATGGATGTTTCCCGGCGTTCTACGTTCTGGCCTGGTCTGTCCATCTGGCACAATCCCGGTTCGCAGAGCATATGCCACGCTCCATCTACGTTACCCAAGAATCCCTTCAGCCGACTGTCTGGTGTCCCCGGAGTCATAGCTGAAGCGCATAATACCGAAGAATACCACTTATTTCAGCTGTCCTGTTACGCCCAGCCGCCCAGCATGAAGGGTGTCAACGAAAGCGCCGCGCCCAACATCACGTTCCGATGCGAAGCGACGCCGAGTCCGATTGCCCGGTTTTCGTCGGGACTTCTGATCCTACTCACCATGTGGGAAAACGCCAAAAGGATGTTTCGAACCGCGTTGTCGAATGTATTGGGTGTCATAAACCAAACACTCGACAAGATCGGCACTTGGTGGCTTTCAAGCAGAGGACTTCGGCTGTATTCTCAACGACTGGGCATGAGCTTGCTCATGATACTCGCAAGTATAATCTTGGTTCAACATTTGAAGACAAGGAGCCCGCATGTATATGTGTTGGTGCACGTATGCCGAGCTTGGTCGGTGTATCAGGGCCAGTAGCTCTGGCTGGTATGGGAGGATCTGATCACGAAGCTGTCTCCTAGGCCCATCATGGATGGCAAGTTGTTCACCACGGCCATCGATCTTCTGGGTAGCATTCTAGCTGCTTGGGCAACGAAGCCAAAACCCGTGCTCCATCGCAGGGTTTTAGACCTGCGGACGTGAATAATTCGACTGGTGAGTTTCTGTCCTGACTTGCAAATATGTGAAACCCGTGAGATCTTGCTAATATGTCACTAGTTAAGAGGTCGCCAAATTTACGTTCCAACATAAGGCGGGGTCTCCGAGGCGTTTCGTGTCCTCTTGTGAAAGAATCGTGAGAGCATCATGATAGCCCCAATCCTTGTCTCAGTCGATACATGGCATGGAGGAGTCGGGGACTTGGGCTTGGGGGAGAAAGGACAAAAACCTGTCCGAGGAGATGGACTTGTCAAAGTGTATCTGTGAGTCGGCGCTTTCATGAATTCAAATCGGTCCCTGTACCTCTGGGTCAGATCGCAGCACTTCCCGAGGAGACCGTGGCAATGTCTGAAAGGTGAGGTGAAGAATTGGCGCCACATGATCAGCCTGCAGATGAGCTTCTTGCAGACACGTGGTTGGCAGGTTGGTGTGAATGTCTTGACGAATGCACGGGTTCGGAGCTCGGGCCAATGCAGAGCCGCTTTAGCAAACCGCCTCCGAAAACCCTGGGAGCTAGCCGTACTTCGGCTAACAATTTCCTGCTGCAAGGTGTTGCGCCTCCTCTGCAAAGGAAAATGTCTCGAATAAAATGGCTAATACTCAATTATTTCAGATATATTCACACTCGTATAGACTCACTTTGCAGTAAATGTGATTGCGCTGCATGAAAATCAACTCTAGGCGGAGAAAGCAAGCTCCGGCAATTCCTAAAAGCGGCGGCGCATTTGTGTAGCTCGGCTGAAGCTTTCTTCCGAGCGGGAACCCAACCAGAGCACCGGGAATTCCCGCGGCCCAGAAACCTCTGGTTTTCCCGTTTGAGATTGCTTGGAGATAGCGCTTTCTTGCAAAACCAATTGCATCACAGCACAACCTATAGGACTTTCTTGTCGGTCCTCTTTCCTTTTCCCTTCTACGAAGCGCCCCATCATCCCACCCGTCGGGATCTTCTATTCAGTCATTTGATTGACGGCGCGACTCTTTTTCTTCGAACCTGCGGTCTCGAAGAACCTTACCCCTTCCTCACGACACGAACACATAAACCTCTTCACAATCATGTTCAAGCTCGGACGCAACCGTTTGGCTTCTGCCATCCAAACTTCCTCGAGGGTCGCCGCCTCGCCTGCCAGATTCCCGGGTCTCGCGCAGCAACAAAGAAGAAACCTCAGCATCCACGAGTACCTCTCCGCCGACCTCCTGCGCCAGGTAAACATCCACACCCGTACCCGCGACTGAAATGCCCCACTCTCCTTTTCGTCGGGGCAGCCAAGTTTTCAATAGAGCTTCCCACGCACGCGCGATAGTCGACCACGATAGCTAACGTTTGCGTCTGTTCCTTCAATCTAGTATGGAGTCGGTGTCCCCAAGGGTTCCGTCGCGAAGTCCGCCGCCGAGGCCAAGGCCATCGCAAAGGAGATCGGTGGTGAGGACATGGTCATCAAGGCCCAGGTCCTCGCCGGTGGACGTGGAAAGGGCACGTTCGACAACGGTCTGAAGGGCGGTGTTCGCGTCATCTACTCCCCTACCGAGGCCGAGATGTTCGCCGAGCAGATGATTGGCCACAAGCTTATCACCAAGCAGACCGGCGCTGGCGGCAAGCTCTGCAACTCGGTCTACATCTGCGAGCGCAAGTTCGCCCGCCGCGAGTTCTACCTCGCCATCCTCATGGACCGCGCCTCCCAGGCCCCGTTATCGTGTCCTCCTCCCAGGGTGGCATGGACATCGAGACCGTCGCCAAGGAGAACCCTGAGGCTATCATCACCACCAACATCGACATCAACAAGGGCGTCACCGACGAGATCGCTCGCGACATCGCCGTCAAGCTTGGCTTCAGCGAGCAGTGCATCGAGGATGCCAAGGACACCATCCAGAAGCTCTACAAGATCTTCCTCGAGAAGGACGCCACCCAGATCGAGATCAACCCCCTTTCCGAGACCTCGGACCACAAGGTCCTCTGCATGGACGCCAAGTTCGGCTTCGACGACAACGCCGACTACCGCCAGAAGGACATCTTCGCCCTCCGCGACACCACCCAGGAGGATGCCGACGAGGTCCGCGCCGCCGAGTCCGGCCTGAACTTCATCAAGCTTGACGGTGACATTGGCTGCCTCGTCAACGGTGCCGGTCTGGCCATGGCCACCATGGACATCATTAAGCTCAACAAGGGCACGCCCGCCAACTTCCTCGACGTCGGTGGTGGTGCCACTCCCGCCGCCATCAAGGAGGCCTTTGAGCTCATCACGAGCGACCCCAAGGTTTCCGCCATCTTCGTCAACATCTTCGGTGGTATCGTCCGCTGCGACCTCATCGCCCAGGGTCTCATCAACACCTCCAAGGAGCTCAACCTCAAGATCCCCATCATCGCCCGTCTGCAGGGCACCAACGTCGAGGCCGCCCACGAGATCATCAACAACTCCAGCATGAAGATCTTCTCCATTGACGACCTCCAGACCGCCGCCGAGAAGGCCGTGCAGCTGTCCAAGGTTGTGAAGATGGGTAAGTCTCGGCCTCTATTCTCTCGCTAATTCACTGAAGCAACGCTAACTGAAACTCTCAGCCCGCGATATTGACGTCGGCGTCGAGTTCTCCCTGGGTATCTAAAACTCTAGCGTTGTGTTTTAGACTGGCCTCGCCCTGTACATTAATTAACATAGCCCTAGGTTGAAGGAGCTAGCACTGGGAGCCCGAATATCAGACTTTGTGTTCAAATGCCATCCTCAAACTCTCCCAACCATTCTTTTCATTTTTTGTGACGTCCAAGTGTTGCTCAGTTTTGTCCAGTCCCTGTCAGTACATGTCACATGAACGATTCGCTAATCAAGATCCCGGCCCCACGTCACCGAGCATGCAGACATGCGTGGGTATGCAACCACATGATGCCCACTCGCATCTGCTCGCGTCCTGCATACGCGAAAGTCTCCATGAGACCACATTGCGGCCAGGCGGTCAAGCGGTCTAGATGACTAAGCCCTGATCCGCTTACAAGGATCGATAGCTCAGTGGTAGAGCGAGAGATTGCAGCTTCCGCAGCAACCTATCTCTAGGCCCCGCGTTCGAACCGCGGTCGGTCCTTGGTTCCTCTTTGAGGATTGCTTTTTGCCGTTATCCCACACAATATGGTCATTTCCATAGCTGTGACGGCGTCTTGACGTCTCAACCAGGATGTTGTTGTGCTGATTTGGTGAGAGCGTCGGGTTGGTTGCGCGATTTACTCCGCCCAACTCCCCTTGAGGCGGTTTGATGGTGGAATCAAGGCGAGAGCTGCGAAAGTTTCTTTTGCCATTAATTCTGATTGTTTCGCTACGGTAGATGTGCCACGGTTTATTCCTTGTTGCTAAAACTCCCGGTCCAGAGCTTCTCAGACTCTTGCTTGCCTGAATCAAACTCCTAAAGAACGGTTGTTCCCAACAGTTGTGGCAACGTAGGCCGACAACTCTAGCCTTACAAACCCTTCTATGCCTTGCAGGGTAGTTTGAGTTGTCGAGAACCGTATGGGTTCGGGTCATGCTTCTGAAACTGCGAAAATTGGCCGTCGTGTTGCATTAAGACGGCTGGTGACATCGGAGAACACACGGGTGAGCAGCCAACAGCCCGAAGTATATATCCAGGCCTGCAAAGAGAATGGAGTGGTTCAAGATCCATCAAAAGGTAAGGGCTGCCTGCAATGGTGACATCTATCGACCGATGACCACAATCTCCAGAACCCCCTGAGTTCGCGAGATCTTGAGTAGCTCCTCCCCAGACCCGTTAGAGCTCATCCCGGAGCCGAAGCTTACGCTTCTGACTGTTGGCTGCAAGCACGTACATGAACACTGCCGAGCAGGCTTGACCTTCCTGTCTGCCTGATTGCCTTTGTGGAAGGAGGATGCTGGAGCGGGTGGTGTTGGACCTGGGTGGTTCGGTGATGTCCTGATGGATCTTGTACCAAGTAATGAATCGTTGCCTTTTGATGCTGTCGGTGATAACTGTGAACCTGGATTACGTTCCGATGCGGCATATTGTCAGCTTGCCAGAGGATGATTTACAATAGTAACGCGACGCCTTCTGTGCCGATGCCATAACATCTTCCCACCTTGCATCACCACATCGTCCATATGTTGCCAATTCCAAGAAGATAACAAAACTATGCGGGGAGCTATTGGTTCTTGAAGTGCCCAGAAACCAACAGCCCAATTTCTGTCCCGAAAATGGTCAGCCTGAGTTAACACCTTGTCGATGCGGCATGTGTCGATCCACAGATACTCGTATCCTCAGTCGCCTGCGATCCTGCATGCCTCGTTGCTTTTCGCGAAGCCCGTCCGCTGCCCCATGGCGGGACCTAGGATACCGTGGAAGCATACTCCCACGAACCCTTAAGTGTAAGATAATACTGCGTAGGGCGGCGTTGTTTCAGTTTTGAGAAGTCACATCTTCGTCAAGTTGGAAAACGATATTCTGGTATGTATGGTTAACAATTCCGATTCCGTGAGTCCCTGGTGATGCAGAGCGGCGTCGTTTCCCCAAGTTCATTTTGTCGATGGCGAGGCTTTGATCTAGACCATGCAGTTGACTTCACATGCACCAATGAGATGCCGGCCTTCGGCAAGTGAGTTGCAATTCAGCGGCTCTGGAAATTCTGCTTGGCCTGCGCTTACGGACGGGAGCTCAGAATTGTATTGCTAGGTTATCCTCACCCGGAACTATCAGGTTCCCGACTTGATTGAATATCATAAGGGGAGATTATGGCAAAGTTACTCGAGCCCATGGTGCCACAGTACTTGGGCCTCACAAAATGGTATCGGACAGCTTCCGCTGCATCCTCTCCCCAGCTTCCTCCTCCGCCTCCTCCTCCTTCCTCCTTTGGATCGCCGCCTTGCGGTTCTCGTGATACGACGGGTCGCGCGTGACGCCCTCGCGGCGCCACTTGCTGGGCGGCTTCATCCCCAGCTCGGCGTACCGCGACCACACGTTGACGCCGCGCCGGAACCAGCGCTCCTGCCGCTCCTCCTCCTCCTCGGGCGACGCCTGCCACTTGCTCTTGAGGATGCGCCGGACCGCCTCGGGCGACAACTCGAACTTGTCGGCCAACGTCCGTAGCGTGTACTCCTCGGGGAACTGCGCGTGCAGCGCCTTGATGCCCGCGATGGCGTCCGGCGAGAGTCGCTTGCGCGGTTTCCAGCCGTCGGGGAACTTCTTCTTCAGGGCCTCCTTTTGGATCTGCCAGCCTTCTCTTTTCGGCTTCGCGCCGCCTTCGGGGTCGTCCTCGCCAGCGACGCCGTCCCTTTCCCTCCTGTCTTTTGTGGCATGTTTTCTTTCCAAGGGCCACTTCCTTTCTTTGATAGACCCTTGCCAATCGCCTTGTCTGTTGTAGGTTGTAGAGGTTGCGAATGTCGACTTCTGACCGAGTCGCAAAGCTTGGGGGTTCTTGAGGTGCTGCGGGAGTCTCGTTGCAACAGCGGCCTCGGGGACGAGCGTTTGCGACACACTCTGTAGGAAAAGCCTCAGGGGGCTTAATCGACATGAGCAGAGCATTCTTGCTTTGTGGGTTTCGCAAAATTAGATGGAGGTGGGAGACGTCGAGAGTCGGGGTTCGGGATGCGAAGTTGGCGAAGGGGGCGTTTGGGAAAAAAGTCGAGCTCGAGTCTAATTAATTCAGTCGCGCGCCTCTGGACGACGGGACGGGGCGCGCAAAACAGTGGGACTGCCGCAGGGGGCGGCCGGGGGGAATGGCGCCGCAGCGCCGGGTGCCACCGGTGCTGACTGCAGGGGGCCGTTGAGCAACTGGTTAGCTCTGAACGGAAAGTGCTTGCAGCTAGCAAAGTCAATTACGCTTCAATTCCAACTTCACTCTGTACAACAGCCGACGTGCACTCTGGCGATTCATCATCATCACCTGCGACTAGTTGCTGGCAGGCTCACCTTTTCTCACTCTGTCTCTTGGAGACTTTCTCTAATCAGACTCGATACGTCCTCCGTTCATACAACCCGTTCCGCCCCTCCATTTCGGATGGGAGGAGAGGAGGCTATGCACGTGCAAACATCATGGCATCATCCATGTTCTCGGCAGCCTCTAGGCCTCGGACACCGGTCGTCTCACTGTGCAGGGATTTCGCAACCCATATTATCTACCCTTTCTTAGCAACCTTAACCTTATCATCTTACCTCCATTTCCATAGCTAGGCCGTCTGGTTGTTACTCTGATCCACTGATTCGCCAGCCGGCCTTGTGTCAACCCCTCACTCGAATAAGGTCACCACTTCGCTCTGCTCGTAGTTCGAGTCTGCAACTTGTGAAGACCTCGGGAAATGCTGGTCACTTAGACCTAAACACTTCTATATCTATGCCCGATGGCTTATAAATTAGAAGGGAACCGAGTTGGTTCGACATTGTCAGTTTTCAGACCGAAAATTCCTTAGGCCTTGGTGAAGTCATTCCGCCCTTAGCTTCGGTTTGCCCCTGTTTACTGTGGCGGATTAACCACCCAACCTGAAGTGTGTCCCAGCTCCCCCTCTTAACCTTAACCGTAGCCGCATTCTTGTGGCTCTTTGCACTCCAGTCTTTGATAAACTGCCCTTGTTACATTCCAAACCACTCATTACCCCAGAAGTACAGGTCAACAATGGCCGGCATCCTTTGGTATAGAGGCGAGGAGTGGCGATCAGTATGGGACTACTGGTTCAAGTGGACCGATGAACACTTCACGGGCGACGACCTCCGTCCGATGATTTACACCTACGACGAATTGGGAGCAAAAGCACTGGACCGGCTGGATGAGATATCACCGCCGACAAAGCCACAACCCCCAGCGAGAAGGTCGACGCTCCCCCGGACCCGAAGCCTCATCGGGACCTCTACACTCTCCTTAGAGATAATGCGGATTCGGATGAGATCCTGGGGGAGCTATGGACTGAGGTCAACACAATCCCCGACTGGGTAGACTGGGCCCAGATCGAGCGCGGGCAACAGGTCTTCCTCCGCTACGCCGGACCCGCGATCTTTGCCGTAAACGCCCACTCATCCTCCCTCACACGATAATCTCACTAACACTCCGCAGCTCACATTCCAATCCCTGGTTGGCGGCATGGGCGGCCGCCGTGTCGTCGAAACCCTCTCCCGCACCGGCGGCTTTGGCGTCAAAGTCACACGCCGCCGCCTCCTCGAGACCTTTCAGCACATCCTCCAAGTGACCCGCGACCTCGCCTCCGTGCAGCCCGGCGGCGACGGCTTCGCCTCCTCTCTGAGGGTCCGTCTCCTCCACGCCACCGTCCGCCGCCGCATCCTGGCGCTCGTCGCCGAGCGGCCCTCCTACTACGATGTCCAGGCTTGGGGGTGCCCGTCAATGACCTCGACTCCATCGGCACCATCTCCACCTTCTCGGCGACGCTCCTCTGGATCGGCCTCCCCCGGCAGGGGATCTTCCTCACCGACGCCGAGAAGGCAGACTACCTCGCGCTCTGGCGGTGGGTCGCCTTCATCATGGGCACGCCGACCGAGGCCTTCGCGTCCGTGACCAAGGCGCGGGCCATGATGGAGTCCCTCCTGGCCTCCGAGATCGAGCCCTCCGACACCTCGCGCGTGCTCGCCAACAACGTCCTCTCCGGGCTGTGCAACCAGCCGCCCTCGCACGTGTCGCGCGAGTTCCTCGCGGCCGAGACGTACTGGCTCAACGGGCCCAAGCTCGCGCGCGCGCTGGCGGTCGAGAGGCCGCCGTTCTACTACTCCCTGCTCATCGTCGGGCAGTGCATCTTCTTCATGGTCATGTGCTACCCCCGCCGTATGTTCCCGAACTGGGACAAGTCCGGAACGAGGTATGATGCTCCACGCCCCGGATTTCCTTGTTTCGACAGTCCCCAAGCTGACGGACCCTGAAAGACTCTCAAAAAGGCTCTCTTCAACCTGACTGTCCACAAGCCCGAACTCGGCGCCCTCGGGAAAGAGACAAACTTCGAATTCCAGTACATCCCGACCCTCGACGTCATGTCCACCGAGGCCGCCGCCCGGTCCCACCACCTCGAACCGTCGGCGCAGGGTTCCACCCTCGGCACGAACACCAGCCGCCGCGCGCGCGTCACCGAACGCCGAAGCCTCGTTGTGCTCCTGGTCGCCGTCGCCGTGGCGGGGCTGCTCGCCTGGCTAGGCATCCGGAGCGCCTCGGCGCTGTTTGGGAGGGTTGCCGGGATGGTTTCACTGGACCTGTGAGATGATGGGCAAAGCAGTTATAGAGAGAGAGAGAGAGAGAGAGAGAGAGAGAGAGAGAGAGAGAGAGACCACGTCATACCAAGTGAAACGAGGAAAACCTGCTGGGCTGGGTTGTGTAGTGTGGGCTACGGGCTGATCCCGATCGGCTTTGATCCGGAATCCATCCCCTCTCCCCCCCAGACTCGTTCTCGCGGCGCCGATCACTGTATCGGAAGATCAAACAGTCTGGGCTCGACGTTTTTTGTGGGCTGCGCCGGAACGACTCTGCTGCAGCATGAACGACTTTGCCGCAGGTTCTTGGTGTCAAAAAGGCATAACAATATCCATACACTGAAACACATATGACCGGTCCACGCAGCGTTTTGTGATAATAATCATCTTTGTTTGTTTCGCTGCCTGTGGGCTGCTCGCGAAAGGGGAATCTAGTATACATAACATTGTGCGCTTAACTGCAGCACAGTAATAAACTTTTTATCCTGGCTCGGTGGCCATCAGAAACGACAGTGCAGAGTGTCGATCTCATCCAAACAATAATCGTCCCCTTGTCCTGTCCAGTATACGTGCCATTATCTTTGCTCAAAACGCCGTCGCAAAACCCATGTGAAGATGCTAGATGCGTGCCAGAAGCCCATGTCACCATGTTCCATATCATATCCCAACGCCCAAACGAGATAGCTGTTGAAAGAAAAAAAAAAGACACCCGAATGTCCTATGCGTGGTGCATCAGCTCGACAGGCGGGCGAGAGGTGTGCGCCATGATGGGTTTTTGGTTGTCAATGGGGCTGAACTCCATGGGCTCGTCCGTCATGTCCTCGAGGCAGATGGCCGGGAGGTCAGGGCTGGCGCCGTTGGCGTCAGGCTGGTAGAGCAGGGTAGAGCTCCTGCTGCGAGTTTGCCGGGAGCCATCAACGGGGCTGATGGGCGTCTCGATGCCCGTCGGGCGGTGGTGGAGCTTAGCCAAGGCCTCGGCGAGATCCTCAGCGTGGACCATCTTGTTAGGAGCGTCCTCGAGCTTCATCTCCCAGCCGTGAGGAGGCGAGGGAGGGGGCGAGATGAAGAAGAGCTTGCCGGCGTCGGGAAGGGCAAGGTGGCGGTCGGTGACCTCGACGGGCGTAGGCTGGCCGAAGTAGACGCGGACGCGCTCGCCCATGACGGCTTCACCGTCCCAGACACGGCGCACGGCGATGGCGTCGTCCTCTGAGAAGAAGGAGACGACGATGCGGCGGAAAGACTTGAGCGGTGCCCATGAGTGGATGGGAGCCGTCTTGAGGACGAGGTCCCGGATGGTCTGGAGGTTGTCGGGGCGGAAGATGGAGGTATCATTGAGGTTTGTGAAGAGGAGGGTGTTTGTGGGCGGCGTCGGCTGGACCAGAGGCGGCAGAGAGGAGAGGTCGAGAGAAAGCGACTTGGAAGAGCTGGTTGAGCGCCTCGAGAAGATCGGGCGGGTATCTGACTTGGGCGACTCCATTTTGAGTAGTTGGGTACGTGTGTGTGATTTGGTTGTAGTAATGTGGTGGTTGATAGCGGATGCGACAGAAAGCGAGTACCGCAAAGGTGTTTCTTGCTCTTGTGATGTAGTTTCTATGTCGAGGATGTGGTACGCCTGTTCGTCTGCATGTAACAGTTTGCAAGAATGGTTGTAGGTGCGTTTTGTTTTGTTTGGTGCTGGAGTTGGAGCGGAAGATGATGGTGGTGGTTGGCGGGCGGCGGTCTTGGTTATATGTTTGGGCGTGCCAGCGAGGGTGGCTTGGCTGTCGCTACTGGACGACTACTGGGTCGGGTGGAGCGTGAGAGGTGTGTGTGTGTGTGTGTGTGTGTGTGGGATGGCTGAGTAGTGGGAGGGAGTGGAGGGGTGTGCGGGCAGGGTGCAAGGTAGACTCGAGGAGGACCACAATTACGGTGGCCGAGGGCGTAGACTTGCTCCCCCGTGGAGGAGTGTCTGGTCTGTGTGATGAAACGGGAAGGCCACACGGACTCACGGGCCCGTTTGAAGTTTCGCCGCCTTGGAGCCGTCACAGTGGAGCCTGCACGTAGGTTGGGAGGCTGGAGACTTGAGCGATACGCCTGCCGTTCCTTATCCGTTCTCCTACGTACCTAGCAGTCACGCAGTGAGAGTACACCTTGTGTGGAAGGTTCACCGTTGAGTCGAGGTAAGGCGCGTGGGTTCTGCCAAGGTGCATTGGCGCAGGTGAGGGCCCGTCGGGATCAGACGAGAAACGATATGGCGGTAACCCTACACAGTACGCAGGCTCTAGTTTACCTTTCTCTGGCACCGAGATTGCTTGCATCTCCGCGCAGAAGACGAGGTACACAGAGGAATGTGTGTACCTACACTACGGCGGTGGAAACCACTCAACAAGGATGGGCGGGAAGGAAGCACAGAGCGCAGAGAGCACATGGCACCGGCCATCCAGCAGCCAGCAGGAAAAGTCAGGAACCAACACTGCTGACCCGATTGGGGCTGTGCAAAAGCGAAGGAAAAAAAATTAAAATCTGTTATGAGGGATCTTTTTTTCCCCTTCCTTTTTCGCCCACTTCAGTAGGCTTGGCGTCCCATTGCCAGATACATCTCAAGCAGTGCCTGCCGGGTCGTCGTCCGTATGTACTACACTACTGACCCTACCTATATCGCCCTCTGCCGTGCCAGGGCGCTGACGCTGCGGTTGCACTCGCGGTCCACGCGGGCGAGTGGCTCATGGAGATGTTCGACTACGGACTAGACTCCCAATGTCTTGGAGGCTTGGGCGAATCGACAGGCCGCTGGTTCGCTCGCCCCGCAGGAAATTGAATTGTCGAGAATGCCATTCGCCACCTCAGCCATTATCTACACGCAGTTTCCGCGCCCATTCCCTTGCCCATTCCCTTGCCTTAACGGATGAGCTAAGCTTGCAAAGGCAACGCTAGACGCGGTACGTACCGTTGCAGCGCTCTGAACAGAGCGGTGTCGTTTACCTCCGCCTCAATCTCTAATTTCCACCGTGACGACTTTACGGTACGTCGCGAGGGCGGTGCTGCCGTCTCATCCCCCAGTAAACCCCGACTGCCCGAGAGTCAAGAGTCGTCTTCGTTGTCGCCGTCGGCTTAATCCTCACACCTCTTCGCCTCATGCAGGCCTCCCCTCCCATGTAGTGTACACTACCAAAACCGCCCGCCCAGTCATCACGGTGGTTCCCCCACACGCCCACTGGGCTCCGTTTCTCTCGTCAATGACGGCAGAGCGCCCTGGACGCAAACAAATCGACTTGACAGCTGGGAAACAGCGCCTCGACCCGCTATTAATTGGCCGCAGCGACGGCACTATGGTCGCATCGCCATCTCTCGACCCTGTCAAGCCGTATCCGTCTACCTCGCCTGGCCTGGTGACCTCACCTTTTGGATCCCTCTCGCTTCCCGTACGTTCCTGAACACGCGAGACACAACGCAACGAAACAGAGGCACATGGCCTGGCACGGCAATGCTGCTGCCGTTGTCAGCCACTGGACACGCCCTCCCGTCTTGAGTCTTGCGATGCCCCCCGTACATCCCTCCATATGCGACCAACAGTCTACAGAGACACCATGCAGCTCTAATCAACCGGGTGCCCAGTGTGGACTCGGGCATGCTCCGAACATCAACGTTACCTACAGATTCAGCCAGGCATAGACTTTACTGATTTGCCAAAACCCTCAACTCGACAACAGAACTCCCCGCTCTTGCGCTATCGCGACCAAGGCTAAAGTCTTTCAGGGATCCTGAGTTGATTCTCCACAGCGGCAAGTTCCTGGCTGGTTCAGTAGTCTAGAGGGATTGGGGCTGTGCAACAGTTGTTATGTTCACACGACAGCTTTCCTCTGCTATTGTTTGGCTACTTGATCACTGTATCTATGACACTTGGGGTTTGCGGTTTGCTGTCAGGCTTGAGGCTACGCCCCCTTGAACCACCTGGAAAGCTACCCTCGCCGGGCCTCGCTCTTCTCTCCGATGATTTCGGACATCGTCAGGCCACGATCGGCCGTGGTCGACTGAGGCTTGTTTTGTTCGTCTTGGCTTACGAGCCTCTGAAGCCCCAACATCAGTCATCCGGTGCTGGGGCTTGGCAGTAGAGGGGACTTCTCTCACGATGCAAAGCCCCTTTCGACAGCGGCAGTGTCAGTTGCGCCAAGTCGATAACCGGCCACGGTCTTGCAACTTTATGCCATAAACTGCCGTTCGGTTGAAAGAGGGACGAGGCCATTTGCCGCCCCGTGCGAGGAGCATCGCGGAAATTGGTCCAAAATGCCTCGCACGTTGTTGAAGTTGCTGCGTAGACTCAGCCCGCCTGCTACGAGTCAACCTACGGATTTTGTCTTCGCTCAGCCAGCTCGGGGCAAATTGCACTGAGCCTCAGCCCCTTCCGCCCGCCGTCGGACAGAAGACAGCTCTTGTCTGATACATAGCCTTCAGCCACCATGGTATCCGCAGAGCATGGCTTGCAGGAGAAAGATGAAATTTGAAATTTGGAGCCAACGTTCCTCTCGAACCGGTCGCAGCAGTTGCCATTGTGTCTGCCGCTACTCGTCAATGTTTCGTCTCAATTTCCGGCACGAAGCAAAAACCCTTCCCGGGTGCTACGTACACGGTTTTCCGGTACCGGCAACCGTCAGCAAGTTACCATCTTGCGATCTGGAAACGAGGCTGTGCAGAATACCAAGACCTCCGACCTGCCAGATTGATGTTTCGCGCTGCAATCGGCTTCCCCAGACGCCGTTCTAGGCCAAGACCTGCATTCCTGCGCTCCGCTAGCAGTGCTGCCGCCCCTCAATCGCCAATGTCCTTCTGACTAGGCGCGAATCTGCACCGGGAGCCAGTTGCCCAGTTGGGTAAGTTGCACGTCTGACGAACAGTCTCGTCCTCCAACCCGCATGCACGACAATCAGCGACGGTCCACTCGCGTGCCCTCCCTCGCACTCATCAGAGCACTTTTGCAATCGATTGGCAACTTGTCGTTCCTTCGGTTGTGGAGTTCAGATCGCGTTGCCCCATCACTTAAAGATTCTGGGTCTCGGGGGCACGGTGCGCTTCGAACCGTATCCCACCGTTATTCTACGACTTCGAGACCGTCCGTTACATAGCAATCTTCCGAGCTCAATGTGCCACCGTGCCTGGTACTTCACCTTATCTCATGACATTGCGGGGGTTTCCTTACCTGATTGACTCAATTGCCGAGTCGGGCCTGAAAGCATGGCAAGCTCATCTTATCCGTTTGGACACGTTGATTGCAAGGAACCTGCTTGAGGGCGGGAAATCAGCGTTAATTTGCGACAATCACGACTTAGTCTGATGCAGTCAACGATGAGAGCTCGCCAAAGGGAGCGTGGCTGTGTTCAACCCTATCTCTCCAACATCGAGTCTCAAACTCTCCATGGACCGAGCAGCAGGCTGAAGTTGGCCCCATCTTTGAGAAAGAAAGGACATGAAACCGACCTGCACAACCGTCCCAACAACTTGGGACGACGGGTTGAGGTTCTGCCCTTCCCACTCGCAGACTAATGCGCATGTCCCCGACGGCGGGGCATTGTAGGTTTTGCGCATGATACAACTGATCTGCAACCGCAGCGTCACTGCTTCAGATTCTTCCGACGGTTGGCTCTCGCCATGGGGGCATGAGTTCACCGTTCGAGAACCCTCGGCAGAAACAAGCCCGCCCTCCGGTGTAGGTACTTGTTGCTCGGGCATTGGCGCTGGGCGGGCGCTTTGTTGGTGTCCAACTGCTTCCAACCGTTGTTATGGCTCTTTTCGCCCGATGTTGGTGCACATCACGGCTGTGCTTCATGAGGCACTCCCGGAGAACGAAACACAACCGTCAAATCAAAACGCTGCAGGACGGAATCAAAGGAACCCCGAGTCCCCGTAATTGCCCTGAACCTCTGGCCCAAGGCTGAGCCCGCATAGTAAGGCTCTGAGCTCGGTCGCCATAGGGCGTTATAGTACAAGTCGTTCTATGATACATGGCGTGGCAGCTCCTCGACATACTCCTCCTCTCTTTGCTCACGCAGGGCGCAAGCAAAGTATGCTCGTCGGCTTGGCAGCACACTTTCTCACGACATACCCCGAGGGAGGCGTGCGACTTACGCCGGTCTGCTAATGATGTCGTGCGAGTGGGCTCACTCTATCCGGAGCCGTCCCCGTCTGATGAAGAGCGATAAAAGTATTGGCAGCACAGCCCCCTTACCCCTCAGCTACCGACGTTAAGCAAAGTGTCATCTCTACCGGACTTCGACACCTAGCTTTTCTACCAATTTCCTAGTTACTTCGCTATGTAATTCATTGGTCTCCTCGTTGGTCAGGGTCCGCTCTAGGCTTCGGTAGTTGATCCGATAGCACATGCTGCGCCTCCCCGTCTTGGGGTGCGTGAACTCGTCCACCAGCCGGACGTCCTCGGCCCTCTCGCCGGCGATGTCGCGCACCAGCTCCATGAAGTCGTTCTCGTGGAAGTCCTGCGTGTTGGCCTTGGTGTTCCCCCCGGCCGCGGACGTGCTCCGGAGCCAGAAGGATATGTCCTTGGGGCAGGCCGGGTGCTTGGAGAAGGGCACGAAGCGCTTCATCGAGTCCAGCTGGTCAGACACGCCCTTGAATTGGCTCAAGAACCTTTCATCTTGTGACCAGAACAGACGGATGTCGGGGATCTGGAAGAGGAGCATGGCGATGCGCTCGAGACCGATACCAAAGGCCCAACCCAGTTGTTGCGGCACTCCCGCGTTGATGCAGATGTCCTGCTTCACCACGCCGCAGCCCAACACCTCGAGCCAGTCCCCAGCGTAGTAGACCTCGAGCTCCCACGAGGGGCTGGTGAACGGGAAGTATGCTTCCACCCAGCGGACTCTCAGGGGCTCGTCCTTGTAGTCGGGATCCGCCTTCGCAGCGGCAGCCTTCGCTCTCGTGAAGATTTCAACAACCATGTTCTCGAGAGACCGCTTCAGGTGAGCGCCGATGGCCTCGGCCTCGGCGGGCGTGTGGTGGCCCTCCTGCAGGGGGTTACGCTCCGCATCGAAGGCGGGATGGGGATCCTCGACCTTGACATTGTGCTTCGGCAACCTGTTGACGTCCTCCCAAACGGCGGCGGCGATGTCGCCGTTGGGCACCTTGGTCCGATCCCACATACGGGCGCCCTCCATCTGGTGGAAGACGGGGTAGTGACTCCTATCGATGGCATCGCGCCTGTAAACGTCGGCGCTGATGAGGTATCCCTCGCTCAGGTTTTTCTTGAACGTCTGCGCCTGGTGCGCGCTGGTGTGTGTTCTGAGGAGCGTGTCCTTGTTGAAGTAGTAGGTATCGGACTTTGCGCGGCCGGGGTGGTCGGCGGGGAAGCCTAGCGAGTCGAAGTTTTGGTGCGTAGAAACGACAGGGTCAAAGGTGTTGTGGTACTTGTATGTCGGCGCTGGGAACTGCGACTCGATGATCTGGCGGGTGATGTACACGGGGTGATCCTTTTGGAGGTGGAGCTTGCGCGACGCCGCGTCGAGGACGGTCTTTGGGACGTTGAACCAGGTGTCGGTCGGGATGGTCTGGCCGTTGACCTCGACGGTCTTGTTGCTCTGGGTCGGGGAATCTACAATGCACTGTTTAGATAGGGGCTGCGGGCCGGGTTCGGTACGGTCTGACCTGAGGAGTAGGCGCGCCGGCTACTCATCGACAACGACGCGAGCTTCTGCCATTGTCGAGGGGGGCAGCTCCGGGGCAGATGGCGCCACGGAAGCAGCTTCGTTGCAACTGCCTGCCGGCCAGCCTCGGGACGAGCATCGCTGTGCGGTTGTATGGTTAATCTGCGCCTTTGTCCGGATACAAAGGCCCTTGTGCTATGTTCTCATCACAGGCGCCAAGCTTCTCTGTTGGGATCGCGACGGGGTTCGAAAGCTGCGGCGGAAAGAAAGGGAGCTCCAAATAGAGCGGAACTGTGCAGCCGTCAATCACAAGAAATCTGACAAAAAAGCTACCTACGGGGCGCACGGGCCCCACCAGGCGTTCGACTTTCCACTTGACGGGACGGCCATCCACGGCGCCAGGCCCTGCCGACCCGGCGCAGGGTCCGGATACGCTTCTAGCGCATGGCACCCCTGTGGGTTACAGGACCATGACGCAGCAAAAGACCGAAGCAGCAGGTTCTCTGTTGGGTGTGTCACTCAGCCAAATTTTGGGCCGAACAGAAGCGCCCATCCAGCCGAATCGGTGCCAGAAAAGGAAAAAAAAACGATAAGAAAAAGTTCGCGATACACCGAGCCGAATCTTGGTACCACTCGGCTTCTTCGTCCTACCACCCTTCGTGCCAAAGCCAAAGCCAAAAAAAAAAAGGCCTTCCACCACACCCCCGAAGTCGGCTTTATACTTTCGACGTCACCACACAGGAGGAAAAAGTGACGTTTAGCACGCCGCGGCACCCATCACACAATTGCCGACGCAGGGCAACCTTGGATATCGATTCTCCCATTAAACCCGAGGACTGCCACTTGGTTGCGACGCAGGTTACAATTTGCGCCGCAGCGGGATGAGCGTAGCAGAGGAGATTTTATAGCTGCTGCAACGATGCAGTCCGCCGCCGCCGCCAACATGATTGCTAGCAAACCGGCCGACGATACGCCGTCAGTCCCGTCGCCGTCGTCGCCGTTGAAGATGGGGCAGATTGAGGAGCAGGAGAAGCCGCAACCGCAGCTGAAGCAGACGGCGACAGCGGCGTCAACGACCAAGAAGACGACGGAGCCGTCATTAAGATACCCCTTTTGGTTCGGAGGCAGCGCCAGTAGTATGGCCGCCTGCGTGACCCATCCCCTAGATTTGGGTAAGTAATTGTTCTCTCCTGTCGCTGCCTCATGCCTGTTTTCTGCATGCTACGCAGGGCAAAAAACCCTGCGATGTCGCGATGTCGGAGCTGGAGAGCTAACAATGTCTCACAGTAAAGGTATGCGCTGCCCCCAAAGAGACCACCACGAACTCCCGGCCCCCGCGATCGCGAGCCGGCCCTCACGAGGCTGTGATGGGCCCTTAGCAATGCAAGAATACTTACACGGTGCCTCTAGGTCCGCCTGCAGGTCCGCCGCCCGGACGCGCCGAAGAACATGAGCGGCACCTTTGCCCACATCATCCGCAACCACGGCGTGACCGGCCTTTACAACGGCCTCTCGGCCTCCCTGCTCCGGCAGATGACGTACTCGACCGTCCGCTTCGGCGCCTACGAGGAGATGAAGATCCGCGCGACCCGCGCCAACGACGGCAAGGCGCCGTCCTTCCCCGTCCTCGTCGCCATGGCCTCGGCCTCGGGCTTCGTCGGCGGCATCTCGGGAAACGCCGCCGACGTGCTCAACGTGCGCATGCAGCAGGACGCCGCCCTCCCCGCCGCTGAGCGCCGCAACTACAGCCACGCGCTCGAGGGCATGCTGCGCATGGCGCGCGAGGAGGGCATTATGAGCTGGTTCCGCGGCGTGCTGCCTAACAGCATGCGCGCCGCCGCCATGACGGCCTCGCAGCTGGCGTCGTACGATACCTTCAAGGGCATGCTCATCCGCCACACCCCCATGGGCGACAACCTCACGACGCACTTCACCGCATCCTTCCTCGCGGGCGTCATGGCCGCGACCGTGACGAGCCCCATCGACGTGATCAAGACGCGCGTCATGTCGGCGAGCACCCAGGAGGGCCTGGCGCACACGCTGACCAAGATCTACAAGGCCGAGGGCCTGGGCTGGATGTTCAAGGGCTGGGTGCCTAGCTTCCTCCGCCTTGGACCGTACGTCTCTCCTTTTCCGTCCCCTCACGCATGCGTGCTCTCTCTCATATCCCCCCAACATGCACGACGGAAACGCTAACTCCACCACGCAGTCAAACCATCTGTACGTTTGTCTTCCTAGAAATGCACCGCAAGATCTATAGAAAGGTCGCCGACATCGGCGGCAGCGAGGAGGCGTCCATCAAGGGGTGAGGGACAGAGAGTAAACTCACATAGAGCCTGTTGTATAGAATGTGCCGTTTTATAGACCGGTGTTGCGTCGTCGTGCGCAGCATCAGCATCATCTTGGGCATGCTTGGGAGGCGTTGGACAGAGGCAATCTGCTGCATTTGGCATTACAGAGGAGTCCCGGAGGGTTCATACAGTACACACCGAATAGAAAGCTTTGAAGTGTTTCTTTTCTTTGCATAAGACGTCATATATGATTTGGGTGGTTTTGTATTAAAAGGTTTCTGGGGTTGTCGGCCAGCATACCACGCTGCTTGTCGCCTCCCGTCTTCTTCGCCAGCCCCTGACTGGTCTTCGGCTCTTCCCCCCCTCGTTTTCTTCCCGGACGTCATGGCTCTTACGGGCATCTGTGAGCCCGTCTCGACTCAGACCTGAACGACGCCAGGAATCCTTGGTCAAGAATGAGAAAGACCCCTCTCCGTTGCCTCATGTTTAGTTGCGTGCCTAGTCCGGTTCTTATTCGATACAGCAAACCCAAGATACTTCTTGCCGGATTGACGTGACCAGCTGTTGCTCAAGCTGGCATTTTCGCAAAAACTCTCAAACTCCATTTGCCGCCCCATTCTTTAAGTGGTTTCGTACATAAACGCCATTTTCTGCTTTGGTTTCGTCGTCCTCTCTCAGTTCCAGCCAGACTGCCCGGATGCGCCATAGGGTGTAGTAGTGGCGTACGGCGTCGTCGCATTGCCTCCCCACGAGCTCTGGCCACCGCCGTTGAAGGGAGTGGTGTAGCCCTGGTCTTGCCAGGGGTTGCCACCATCCATATCCAAGTTGGGACTGCGAGGACCGTCGAAGTCGCCCATGCCGTCATCGTCCGCCTCGCCGGTGAGAATGTGGAGCATTAGGGCCAGCTTCTCCTGGAGGATCTTGATTCCCTCCTGGATAATCTGATCGGGCTCAAGACTGCCCACACCCTCAACCTCGAAGTAGAACTTGCCAGGTACCGCATCGTAGTCGAACGGCTCCCCTTCCTGAGGGGGGTCCTCCATCTTCGCGTACTTGCTCTCGGGCCTGCATCCGGAATCAGTCATTGCGCGCATCACCGTGCCGTCCTGGGATCGCTTACCACTCAGCCTTAGCATCCTCCTCGAACCACATGTCCAGATGGTGCAGCTTGTTGTGGGGGTCGTATTCGAAGCCAACGGCAGATGTTGGCATCCACTTTGCGTGCTCCTTGGCGATTCCCTTCTTCGCGATACATGAGATCTTCAGCTCCTGTCCCTTGCGCAGCTTGCAGATCAGAGAGCCCTGTCCTTCCGGGTCGAGGATGACCGGGTTTCCCACGGTGCCGTTTTGTCTGAAACTGTCGACGATAAGGTCGCTAGCGTAGACCTTCATGGTCTCGTCCGACGAGCAACGCGCATGCAGGGTGAGTTTCACGCTGCAGTTGTCGCAGTATTGCTCGCAGTCGCAGTCTCGCGTGTAAAGTAGGCTGTTGACGTCCTTGGATTGGAGAGGAATCAGACCCAGGCGGTGGGCGATGAACTCGTCGGCAAGGACGGACGTATTGGCCTCGATCTCGACCAGGTCGATGGCGATCACGGGGACCTCGGCCTGGATAACACGACGCAGGGAGTTGGCGAAGGAGAGGTCGCAGTTGGAGAGGTCGAAGTTGACGTGGATGTTGTCGGCCTAAGCGGGCGCCGAGCTGTCAGTTGTCAAAGCCACCAGCTGGAGGAGTTGAGGAAAGAAGTACCCCCGAGATCTTGATCGACGGTCCTCCGGACTCGCCATCCAGCAGCATCGGCTCGTAGTCCATCGCGCCGCCTTTCTCCTTTCAAAGCCGGGACTCGGTCGAGGTTTCCTGAAAGCAATCGAGTTTCTGCGGCAAGCAAGTTTCGTTTGTTGTTTGTTGTGTGCAAAGCAAAGACGCCGTTAATATCGCGATTACCGAGGGTGCAGGTGGGTTGAACGGGGAGGAGTTGGTGGCCGCTGCACGGTGGTGGAGGGGAGAGGCTGAATGGATATTTTTGCGACCAGAGGCAAAGGAAACGCACGTCGCGGGTGCCACTCACTGCGAATTACCAATTGGAAGGTGCAGCAGCCGTGCCTGGCGGCGTCTGGCAGGCAGGCGTCCGTTGGCCTTGTCTTGACACTAGTGCTATCGATAAAGCTCTTGCCGGTCCCTTGATTCATCCGCCCCGGGATGGAGCTCTCTAGAATCTTTTGATTGGGCGCGAAGTTTCCCGCAGGCACGGGGGCTCAAGGGACGGCAATTCGTCACTTGGGGCCATTCCGATAAAATTTCATTCTCTTAAAAGCTGTCCCCGTACACGCGACCAGACCCTCTATCGCCTCCCCGATCTCAACCACGCTTCGACTCCCTCAAGCCTCTCGCCCCAACCACAAACAACCCGCCACAATGTTCAGACAGGCTATCGCTACCTCTTCCCGCGCTGTGCGCTCCGGCCTGCGTACCCAGGCCCCCAAGTCTGTTTTCCAAAACCAGTTCCAGAGCTCCCCTGCCTTCAGGATACGAGCTGCGCAGCCCGCCGTTGCGAGATGGTACAGCGACGCCAAGGAGACCGCCGAGGCCCCCAAGGAGGGTGAGAAGCCCGCTGATGATGCCGAGTCTGCTCTGAAGAAGCAGCTGGAGGCTAAGGAGAAGGAGGCTGCCGACTGGAAGGTTCGTTCGCACCATGTCCACCGACGTCGGCCATCGAATTTTGTGATCCAGTTCTAACATGCTTCCCTTTAGGACAAGTGCCTGCGCACCATCGCCGACTTCCGCAACCTCCAGGACCGCACACAGCGCGAGGTCAAGCAGGCGCGCGACTTTGCCCTGCAGAAGTTCTCCAAGGACCTCATCGACAGCATCGACAACCTCGACCGCGCTCTCTCCATGGTGCCCCAGGAGAAGATCAACGCCCCCGAGAAGACGGGCGACCTCCAGGACCTTGCCAACCTGTATGAGGGTCTTAAGATGACCGATGACATCCTCATGTCGACGCTCAAGAAGCACGGCATCGAGCGCTTCGACCCTGAGGGCGAGAAGTTCAACCCCAACGAGCACGACGCTACCTTCATGGCGCCCCAGCCCGAGAAGGAGGACAACACCGTCTTCCACGTCCAGCAGAAGGGCTTCAAGCTCAACGGCCGCGTTCTGCGCGCTGCCAAGGTCGGTGTCGTCAAGAATGCTTAAACCATTCTTCATGACTATCTCGACTACAAAATTGACCTCTCAAGATAGAGGTCTTGTTCCAAAACTACGGGGGCTGGTTGGCCGGCGCCGGAGGCGTCAGCAGCTTATAGAGCCCCCCTTGTACCATTATGTTCTACGATATTTTGTCGATTCCCGGAACAGCGAACTGGGCGTTCCGGTCGGTGTATAATGCTCCTCTCATGATGTGACAATAGCATGGCGGAAAAAAATCTAAGGGGGCCGCAAATGGGAAGGCCTTTTTGCTGGAAGAAAAGAAGAAACGCATAGAATCAGGATACGTTTGTGTACATAGACCCCGAGAAGGGCTTTCGGGGTCTGATGATTCTTCTCAAAGCTCTGATACAATTTAATCACCGCCTAGGAGATCTACATCTCCCTGTGTCTTATCACACAAATATTATTGACCGTATGCGTTGTATTGGTCTACTGTGTCGATGATCTTCACGCGTCCTCCCATCTATACAGCTACTTCCCAACCGCTTTTCGCAGCCCTTATCCCGTTCCAACATACTTCAGTAACTTCCACAAAGGGTGTCGTACTCAAACAGTGGGCCAGCATCCGCCCACATCATTATAAAAAGCAGACTGCAAAATGAAGAGCACGACAGAATCGACTCGTCAATAACTGCCAAAGTCCTCTAACCTGCGAAATGGGGTTAGTCAACGGTCCCACTCATTATTGCCGGCGACAGCTTGGCAGTACCTAATAGTCGACTCATCTACCAAAGCAAATCTTATGCAGAAGAGGTTGGTTTCTCGACATTGGACGCCGTTAACTCGAAACAGGTAGGAACCTCGAAGCCAACTGTAGGGGACTAGAACTTCAGCTTAGCCAAGCATCCAGCGTAAGGGGCTTGTATCGTTCCATACCTTTCTCGCATGGGGCATGGAAGTCTCAAGGAACAGTTCCTCTTTGTTGCTTGTCCTCTCAAGCAGAAACAAGCAACATCCAACAAGGCCATTGAGCGCTGTCCTGGTTGGGTCTTCAACTAGGGTCTCTGCCCGTATTCAGTTCAGATCACTTCCTCTCGACGATTAGCAACCAGGCAGTCAGAATAACCTCACGGGCGGTTGTGAAGCCCATCGGCGCAGCTGTCTTCTCACATGTAGCAGATTGTAGCATCGAGACAGCAAGTAACCGCCTCAGAAGCAGTCAGCAAGCTCCATAGCAGCCATCTTGTCCCGGAAGTGCTGCGAGACGGCCCTCCGCACCTCGTCAGGGCTGGCCATGTCGGCCCTGGCGCACTCTTCCTTTATTTGGCACTGCAAGATGGCCAGCTCCGTCTTCATGTTGTGGTTCTGTGCCTGCGCGCACTTGAGCGCGTCAAATTTGCTTTGGATCTCGTACCGCAGCTCATGCAAGTGCGCCGACACTTGGCGCAGAACACGCTTATGCTTCCGCTGACGCATCGCGAGCTCATCGGCCGCCTTCTTCTGCAGCAGGTGGTCGACCGTCAGGCGGATCTCGCGCAGCTCGATCTTGGCGCGCTCGATGGCGAGACGCATGCTGTCGTTCTCGCGGGTCAGCTCCGTGTCCTGCGCCTTCCAGCGCGTCACCGTCTGCCAGCGCTGCGAGATGATGAGCTGCGCGTTCTGCGGGGCGACGCCGGCGACGCGGCGCGAGCCGGGGGCGTGCAGAGCCTCGAGGACCTCCGCGTCGGTGTAGGCATGGTTGCGCTCGCTCGAGGTTGTGGACGGGACAGAGCGATCGGTGGCCGTCTCGAGGGGCGCGACGGGGTCGTTGACCTCGCGGAATTGGATCTTGCGGAAGCGACGTGCGGCGATGGGGTCCATGCGGTCAAAAAGGCCAAACCACCAGTTGCGCATCTTGTGCTTCAAAGTAACGCCTATCTGAGGTTAGTGACTTGAACTTCAGGGGCAATGAAGGAATGGCTCACCGCGAGGGTTATATATGATTGAGGGTTCCGACTCAACAGAATAGCAGGGTGTGATCCAGCCACCGTCGTTGACGTCTCTCTGAAGCTCAAAGGAGACGGCGAGACGGTCGACTGTAATCCGCTTCCAGCTATCGTCCAAGGGTGTCGAGGGGCGCATACGTTGAGTCTGGGTGATGATCAGCGTCAACCTCTAGAAATAGGGCCCCAGATGAGACTTACATCATGAGCCATGTAGACCTGATTCGCGTTCGGGTCTTGCTTAGCGCAACCTTCGGCTAAGAGGCGGAAAGTGCAAGGGGAGATACGCCCAGACGCGGGATCACCCTCGTCATCCGAGACGTCGTACTCCTTCGCTGAAAGGGGGTGAGCATCGGTCCCAACCACAGGTCAACTCAGGCTTACCGAAATCGCGGTTCGGGTCAAAGGGCTGCTTGTAAGGGGATTCGGGAACCTCAGCACGGGGAGGCAGGTAATCCTCAAACTGAAAGCCCTCGAATCTCGGTGAGATGTGAAGGAACCTTGGGCGGGGGACTTCATAGGTTGACTTCCTCTCCATCTCGGCCGGAGCGTACTCCTTCGCAGCCATGTTGACTTCTTTGAGCATCCTAGGCGAAGTCAGTACTAAGCAGAAGACAATGTGTCTCGATAAAACTCACTTGGCGTAGTTATCCATCTCCTGCCTCTCATCGACACTAAGGCCCGGGACCGTTGTATTTCCTTTAGCTGGAGAAGGGTGTTCTTTGGCAGCCCTGGAAACACTCTGGTTAGAGCATGCTGAATCGGGGCTATGAGTTGAAGAGAGAACTCACGTCTGAGGCTGGCTGGTTTCTAGGCCGCTAAGATTGATAGACTTCTCCTTGCCCTCTGGCGACGAGGAAACCGGCTGTTCTGCAGAGTAGCCGCCCGAACCAGTGGCTGCATCATCATTATGATGAGCCCGTATACCAGTTTCGTACGCCTTCATCTCCATCCAATACCGCAGAGGATCATTGGTACGCATAAGGGAACCGCGCATTGCGCTGTACGCTATCATCATCGAGTCTGACATCTTCCACGTCTTCGTGTACGGGTGACCGGCCGAGCAGCCAGGGAGTCTGGGACTGGGCTCGTTGGGACCGTAGTCGACTAGGTTGCTCTGGAGAATGGACCAGTCCTTGGTCTTCGGGAAGCCGTTGGTCTTGGTACTGTCCTCTGGAGTCGCCGGTACTGGAGAATAGTTAGTCGTAATCTTCGTCTCTGGGTATTCTAGTAGTCGAGATCCATCTGACACATGCAGGTACAGTATAAGCCCGCAGAGCAGGGATGCCATGACGGCGACAGCAGCATCAGTCAAACCACCCAGGTTCACTATCTAATTGCTTAGGGTTGTTGAGAGCAGAGGAGAAGCGAACAGTTGGTACCTTCTTGAAATGAACGCGAGTACGACTCCGAATCGGCCGTGTCATATTCGGTGTAGAACCCATTGTAGTCGAAATGAACCACTGTCTCCGGGGCTATCCTCTAATTAGAATTATATCTTGCAAGACTAGGACTATATCGACACATACTTGAAGCACGGCTGAGTTTCTGCAAGTTGTTGTCCTGCTCCCAATTACCGTATAGAACCGTGTCCATGGTGTCGTTCGTGGTGGCCCTGTGTTGGAATCCATGAGGTCCAACATTGGAGACCATCTGCTCATACTCTGTTATATGATGGTTTTTTGTCTTTTGATCATCAGTAAAGTGATCATCGTCTTGGTTTGAGGTGTCATCGCTGTTTGGAGACTTCGAGGATTCCTGCGAGACCTCCTCGATCATCGAGAGACGATGAGGGCTGTGGGCTTGAATGTCGCCATTAAAGTTCTGGTTGACTATTGATCAATTAGAAACTGACAGCGATGTTTTGTTAAGCCTCGACTGGGGCGTTGATGAAATCTGAAATCTTACTTGACTTTGCCATCGAGTGCTAGGTGGCCCGCTCACATCGCCAGGCTATGAGGGATAGCGTCGAGAAGCTCTTGAGAATAGCGTCTCCTTTTAAATCCTTCGACAAAAATATAGTCTTTGATACGAGTCCCAGGAAGAAACGCAAAACTGTAAGTGTCGAGAAGTAAAAAGAAGCTTCGGGATGATGGGTTGCGTCAAAAGGGAAGGTGAAGTTCAGCCGAAAATCCTCGAGTCTCCAGAAATGTTTGTTTCCCAACGACTCCGTCCCAAGACAGCGATGTGAACGAGGGAACCAAGTGAAGAGAGGGAGACACAAGAAAGGAACATCAGGGAATGTGTGTAACGTAGAAGAGATCGTGAGATCTATAAGAAGCACTCCGGCAGGGGGCTTCTTTTACATTTTCAAGCCTTAGCCATTGATTGGAGCTTGTCCTTTGGGACGCCTTTGCTCTTGCCTTTATTTGGAACATCGAAACAAACGATGTCGTTGCCAACTATGAAGCCAAATGCCTTCGAGCGATCAGGCTGTGAGTGATGTGGATGTGGATGGGAATGAGACGGTGGACTGCACAAGGTAAAAATCGGGGCTAGTGAGGCACAGCATTGGAAAGGCAGGTACAAATTAACAAGCCGGTGCCAAACGCCTCGATAAGTTTTGTGCCGCACAGAGACAAATTAATGAGGAACTATAGGTATTTTGGGTGCTTTGAAGTCCGAGTATACTGGTTATGAGAGGTGGGATGTGAACTGAGATTGGAAAACCATGCTTCGCGCGAACACAACAGGATGGAGGGGAGCTGCCAAATATGCGCAAGAAAGCCCTGTCAAGTCATAATCTAGGAGGAACACCAGTCAGAAAACATAGGTAATCTGCTTTCAGCGGGCTCCCATCACCTCATCGACATTACGGGAACTGGGGCTGTCTTCACGGCTCAGTTCAACACTTAAGCATATACTACAGTTTTTCACCACCCATGATATGGGCTTGCGTACAAACGTATACACTACCTAAGGAATGAGAATGAGGCATTTCACATTAGGCCTCGTGTCCTCCATCATCTCCATCCTAGCCGCGGTGTATTGTTGCACTGTATGTAATTATCACTGTAACACAGTCAATACCAACACGAGTGACTGTCATAGCTCATGTCAACCACCATATTACTTCTTGCCCTTTCCCTTGGCGGCCGTTGTCTTTGCACTGGACTTGCCCTTCTTCGGCTTGACATCTGCATCGTCCTCCTCATCGTCTGCCTTGGCTTTCTTGGTAGCCCGCTTGGCCTTGGGCTTCGGCTGCTTGATGTATTTGTCTCCCTTCAAGTCGAGCTGGTCGTCCTCGACTGGCTCAGCAGGCTCAACGACATCAGCATCATCCTCTTCCTCAATGGCTTCCTCAAGGTCGGGGGCCTGCTTCGCGGCCTTCTTTGGTTCCATGACGTTGCTGGCCTTCATGAAGGGAATAGGATGAGACATGGCGTTATAACTGGCATTCCATTAGCATTCGATAGAGGGTAACAGGAAAGATTTACTCACGTTCGCGTGAACGCCGCCTTTGTCTTTGACTCAATGTCGGCTCGGCCTTCAGCTTGCGGACCGACACCAAGCTCCTGGATCGCATCGAAGTCGTCTCGCGTCAGATAGTAGCTATCCATCAGCGCAATGATATCGTCGACGGAGTCCTTGCCTTCAACAGACAAGCGGCGAACCGTCTGGTCCCAGAGGACTGGCAAGTATTGTTGGCGGATCTCGTTAGCATCGCCTGAAGACTTGAGTCGCATGTGAGAATGCAGCTCACGGACGTATCGACCAAGCTTGCCAGTCTTGCTGTTATTGCCGAGCCAAGAAGTGAAGTTGGAACCCATGAGCTGACCGGCCACAAAACTTGAAGGTCGGACTGTACTGAAGACTGCATGAGTAGGCATCAGACTCCATTGCTGTTGAGGCCCGTGAATCATACGATCGACCAGGTCGCCATCGCTGATGCTCTCCGCTGCCTGATCCACCAGTTCGAGGTATTTGAGGTTTTCTTCCCGCTTGTTGTAACCTCTGTTGCTGAGTGCCATAGGCTTCGTCCTGAGGTAGTTCTCCTGAATCATGAGGTAGCTGAACTCGTGGTCATTGAAATAGAGCTCAATCTTTTCGTTCAGGGTGGTCTTGCTTGCTGGAGCGAACAATCCGCCCGCAAGCATCTTTTGGCAAATGTCCCATGGCTTGAGAATAACATGCTTCTCCCAGGCTTTCGTCATCGCCTTGCCTTTGTCGAAACTCATCGCGGCCTGGTCAAGCTTGGCGGAAGAGAGCATGTTGATGATTTGGCGGATATCCTTGTTGCTGCCTTCGATCAGAGCATCGATAACGGGCGCAGGGAGCTTCATCCCTTCGCGGTGGCAAATGGTCATTATACGGGACCGAACCTGCTCTACCGTTGGCCGTCGGAAGGGGACATCCATAGCCACAAAGTCGAAAGGCTTCATCTTTGGCAATTTACGCTCGTTGCAGATGAGAATGAGGGGTATCTCAGTCTTCTTGCAAAACTTTGCCAGAGCACCAACACCGCCACGATCTCCTGCTGACATTCCATCAACTTCGTCCATGATCAGGACGATGTTCTTCTTTTCTCCATTGACCTCTTTGCCATCTCCCGCAAAAAAGCCGAGAAGCGATGTGTTGTTCATGATGTCACTCACACCGTTCTCGACAAGTTTCTTGCTGCGGGTGTCACTGGCGTTGCTCTCAATGACATCGAATCCTGCGAGTTTGGCAGCCAAGTGAGCAGCAGTCGTCTTGCCGATGCCTGGAGGTCCCGAGATGATGATAGCACGCGTACCACCCATGCCGTCCGCACCGCGCCTCTGGAAATCGTACTTTCTTGCCTTTTGCCAGTTGTTGAGCCAAGCCTGAATTTTCTCAACCTGCGCCTTGTTGCCGCAAATGTGGTTTAGTTGGGTTGGCGCATACTTGGAGGTCCAGAGCTGCACTGGAGTTGTGGTAGGAGTCGGCACCGCAGCGATTCCGCGCGCAGAAGCAGCTTCCTTGGCCGCCTTCTCTGCCGCAGCCTTTCTAGCCTTTTCTTCTCGCTCCATTTCCAGGGCCTGTTTCTTGATAGCCTCTTCGTCCTTCTTCTTTTTCTCTCTAGCCTTCTCGGCACCTTTGCCGCCACCACCGTAGGCGGGCAGTCGTCTGACGAGTTCAAAAAGGCCCTCCTCGTTGATGGTCTTGATGTTCATGTCTCTAATCTTCTTGAGCTTGCTGGGGCCCGCATCATCTCCGAGAACAACATAGCTGGTCTTGCTACTCGGTGCTCCAGTGACTTTGCCACCGTACTTTTTGACCAGCGCCTGGCCCTCTTCACGACCGAGAGTTTGAAGGACACCAGTGAAGACAAAGGTCAGGCCCGAGAGACACTCCTCTTCGCCCTCGGGCAATTCAGCAGCGCCTGCATTTGGAGGCACTGCATTGCTATTTCCGCCAGAACCAGCGTTCTTCCTCCAGTCAAACTTCGCATCCGGGTCCTTGGCTGGGGGTGTAGGGGGGCGAACGGTAGGGATGTCGTCCAGGATCGACTGGTACGCGGCATCTTCAGGTTCGTCGGCTTTCTTAGCTCTGGGTGCACGCGGCTTGGCTGGGGCCTTCTTCTTCGGTGGCTGGTCCTCCTCAGACTCTTCTTCGTCCTCTTCGGGTGTTTTGCGCCTTTTCGTGCCTGCTGTCGCTCTGGTGCTCTTAGTTGGAGTCGCAGTTGCAGCGCTCCGAGAAGCCACACGCTTCGGCTTCGGTAGCAGTTCGTCCTCGCTTTCGTCCTCAGCGTAGTCGTCATTCTTGCGCTTGTTCCGGCCTTTCACATCGGCAGCGAATATGTCGTCATCTTCCTCATCATCGTCGTCTTTGTAGGCATCGGCATCGTCATCCGACTCGGGTTTAACGTACGTTGTGGCGCCTCGCTTCTTTGTCGCTGCGCTCCTGTTCTGGGGGGGTTCTGTTGGTTTCGCAGTGGTCTTCTTGTTGCGAGGGCTGGTCCGAGTCTCAACCTCAGTTTTGACTTTTGTCGTTTGGTCTGCCTTTGTCGCGGGCGCGGGTTTGGAGGCCTTGGCAGATTTGGACGTGGAAAAGTAGTCGCTAGCAGTGGTCTCGGTGCCATTGACAGCCTCGCTTCTGCGACCGCTGTTAGTTACACCACATCAGGGCCCGATGGTTGATTTGCGTACTTGGTCTTTTTCTTATCAGCAGCCTTTGCTGCTGGCTTCCTGCTAGGTGGTCAACTAAGTGTTTAATGGCGACTCTTCGAGTGCCAACTCACGGTGCAGGAGCAGGCTCATTGTCGTCGTCGCTGTCCTCGACGACTTTCCTGTTTCTTCGACCTTTCGGAGGTTCCTCAACCTTCTTCGCTGGAGGCTTGGGCGGTGCGCCTCCCTTTGGCCCAAAAAAGGACCGAATGTCAGGCATTGTGTTTTTTAAAGCGACAATTTCGTCGCCAGAAGGTCTCAGAAGATCTCTGTAGGCTTATATCGGCCGTTGCGCTGCTGTTGCCTGGAAATTGGAGGTTGATGAAAGAATAAGGCCGAACAGTTTGTCGTGCCTGGCGCCCGGGATGCGTGCACGCAATGGACTGCCAGTTGCTACGCGAAAGTGACGCGAGGTCTGTGACCCCAGGCAGGCGTTCAATTTAGCCAAGGTAGATATGTGTGGCGCAGCACCTGGAGAAAGCTCCAGCCTCAGTAAAATAAGCGCCCAATTTCTCAGGCCACATCAGCCACACCCATGTCGTCGTGAAGCTAGGGACATTTTTTTGGAGATCCCATCATCAACGACGTTCAACGGCAAGTCGCAAACATGAGGCCCAACGCTCCTACGGCGCTGCTCAGCGCCTTTCAAGGCCTCAGAGTGTCTGCGATACCATCGTTCAGTCCTATGGGCGCTGCGATTCGACCCCAATTCACCAAGCCGCTGGTCGCATCCCAGACCCTTCGCGATGTCCGCCCATTCTCCTCGACGCCCGCGAGGCAAGGCAACTGGCTCGAACCCTCAATCGACCGAACGAAGAAGATGATGAAGGGACGGCCCCGTGTGGCAACTGGAGGTTCAACCAAAGGCACAACTGTCATCTGGGGCGATTATGGTCTTCGGATGAAGGACCACCACCGCAGAATCAGCGCCAAGCAGCTCAAGAACGCGGAGGACACGATCAAGATGAGGTTGCGTGGTCAAAAATACCGATTGTACAAGAGGGTGTGCTGCAATGTCGGTGTCTACGTGTCGGGCAATGAGGTGAGGCAAAATCAAGGCAGTCCGCGGCGTTGTACAGATGCTAACGTCGAGCCAGATGCGTATGGGTAAGGGAAAGGGTTCTTTCGACCATTGGGCGGCACGTGTGGCTGTCAACCAGATCGTTTTCGAGATCAGGGGAATGCTTCACGAGGCAGTTGCTAAGGATGCCTTTCGCCTGGCAGGCAACAAGTTGCCTGGTAAGTCGATGTGTAGATGTGAGATATGCAACCCTGACTGACTCTGTATTAGGCCAGTGGGAGTTCGTGCACAAGGGAGAAGCGCCTGTCGTCGGTATTACCAAGCTTGACGGTGTCACGCTGGAGGACTTGAAGAGACCAAGGAAGCAGATTGCGCCCAAGGACTTACTGGCTGAGGCCACAAGCAAGCCTACTAGCGCATCATCTACCACCCCACCATCTGCTAAGCCATGAAGGTGATGACAGCTGGGCTGTAATATATATCACTTCCATGACGAGGTAGTAAGGAGTACTCTCGACACTATGGAGTGGCTGTACTATAGATGACCATGTTGGTTGATCGAAGTGGTTAGGAGCTGTACAAACAATTAAAGAATCCATCTGCACCAGACCTGAAAACAGTCGCATTATTTGAGACATTCATCATAGAAAGCTTTTCATCAATTGGGCGTAGAGAGCCATGCGGATTTTGTCTTCTTGGCTTGCATCGCAGTAGATGAACGGGGTCAGCTCCAGAATGTGGCGTGCATCAATACGAGCACGGGCCATGGCGCGCAAGCCACACATCTAGAATTTCCCACTTAACGCGACAACGCGTCTTCCGCAGACTGGAGCGCATCACCAAAAAGTCCCACGTCTCCAGCCAACTTCAGTCTCAGCGCCATCAACACCGAAACAATCACAATGGCGCTTATTGTCGACAAACACAGGCCAAAGTCACTAGAGGCTCTGACATACCACCAGGAGCTGTCTGAAAGACTTCGTTCCCTTGTAGGTCACCCGTTATCGACCCCACTGTAGCGTCACTGACATTTCACAGGCCCAGAGCGGAGATTTCCCCCATCTGCTGGTGTACGGCCCGTCTGGCGCTGGCAAGAAGACACGCATTGTCGCTACCCTGAAGGAGCTGTACGGACCCGGCGTAGAAAAGATCAAGATTGACGCGCGTGTCTTCCAGACTTCAAGCAACCGGAAGCTTGAGTTCAACATAGTCGCGTCGAACTACCACCTCGAGATCACACCGTCTGACGTCGGAAACTATGACAGAGTTGTCGTCCAGGACCTGCTGAAAGAGGTGGCACAAACACAACAGGTTGACCAGTCAGCGAAGCAGAAATTCAAGGTCGTAGTCATCAATGAGGCCGACCACCTGACAAGAGATGCCCAGGCGGCGCTGCGTCGGACGATGGAGAAGTACTCTCCCAACCTGCGACTGATCCTCCTCGCCAATTCGACTGCAAACATTATTGCACCCATTCGATCGAGAACGCTCCTTGTCAGAGTGGCTGCACCGACCCATGAGCAGATCTGCGATGTCCTGGCAGTGTCGGCGAAGAAAGAGAACTGGCCCTTGGTCAAGGGTCTGCACATGAGGATAGCCCAGGAGAGCGGCAGGAATCTGCGACGAGCTCTGCTCATGTATGAGGCTGTCCACGCACAAAAGTACGATAGGCTCTCTGCCCCATGCCAATCCGAAGCTGACAGAACAACAGCGAAAAAGTTACGGATACCACGCCGATTCCCCCACCAGACTGGGAGGCTCTGATCAGCCAGATCGCGAGGGAGATCATCGATGAGCACACCCCAGCTCGGATTCTCCAAGTGCGGGCGAAGCTGTACGACCTTTTGACGCATTGCATACCGCCGACGACGATTCTCAAGACCCTCACCTTCAAGCTCATCCCGTTGATCGACGACGCTCTGAAGGCCGAGGTGATTAAGTGGTCGGCATTTTACGAGCACCGAATCAGGATGGGCACGAAGGTCATTTTCCACTTGGAGGCATTCGTGGCCAAGTTCATGAGAATCATGGAAATGTACTTGATGAGCATGGATTTGTGAGCGAGGGTACAACCCGGAGGCGTTAGGGGTTTGGGCGGCATGTGTCGGGCGTAATAATTATTATATCGAATCGGACCAGTGCCAGAATGCAAACAATCTGCTTTGCGGCTCCCAACCAACTGGAGTTTTGCTCTCTCGCCGTGAGTCCGATTGGAGGAAAGCCTCAATTAAATCCCATAATCTCGAAAAGAACGTTAGAACACTGTAAAGTGGGCGCGACTTGTGGCCGATCGGCAAGGCGTTGCTGCAAAGTCCAGACCCTTCGCGGAATATGCGACGAGGGTATCAAAGTTGCCTGTGTCTGATAGCGACGTTGTGCGTTTTCTGCCTCATGCAGGTAGGGTAGCAGTGCAGCGTAAAGAGAAGTACAAGGGGGCAGGATACGATTGCATGGCCATGGCGTAGCGGCAAGGACGGCTCCTCCTTTTTCACACTCAACAATCCGTCATCCAAGAGCCCCAACAAACTGGAAAATTCCCACATGTCTACGGGGGCCAAGATCCATCCGCCGCACGAGGCTCGGAAACCACGGGCGGGTTTTCCCAAATGGCCCATTCGAGAGGACTCCGATTCTCCAAGACAATCCCGACTCCACGTTTGCATACCCAGCGGGTTGTTCTCCACAAGAGACGGAAAGTCGAGGAGAAAGATCCTTCGTCCAGGTTTCCACAGGGGACCGGCCACCAGACCAGACTTCCATCTGATACGGCGGCGGCGGCGACAGCGGGAGGCGTTCCAAGCCTACCAAGCCTTCCCGCGGATGTCGGGTATGCCAAGGCCGTACTTCCCTTCGTCCATCCTACGAGATGGTGGCATGTGGACTGACCCGGATGGACAGGGAAGTTAGGATAAGTTACTCACAAGGGCTGACATGGAACCACGGGTGCAGGAGAGGGACAAGCAAGGGACCCGGCCTTCTGGAATGGCAGCAGGCAGCAAGACTAAAACAGCGCAGCACGAGCACGGGCGCGGAAATCCGGGTACCCACGGGGTAAAAGTGCGGGAGGTGTCCATGTCTGGGGAGTTCAAGGATGAATGAAGGTTTTGAGGGGAAAACGTGGAGGCGTGGCTCAACCGTGGGACATCTAGCCAAACTGGCTGCGCGATGCCGGCTGTACGATGCCAAATCAGTGGTACATGGTACGAAGCGTTCTTCTCTCAGTCCCAGTCCGGTGCAAGCCAGAACCGAACCGTTCGGCCTTGGTGAAAGGAATGACGGGCTTTAGATAGCGCAACTTCTCCAGAGAATGGCATGGCGGCGTTTCCTCGTCGAAAGAGGCACGCCTTCAGACATCAGGTCCATGCAGTACAGAAGGCACCTTAGCGCGCCAACCTTGCCCGAGGTGAGATGAATCCACTTACATAGTACATGCCTCTTCCTCCTTCCACCTACGCGAGGAGGGGGCTGAACTTCCGTTCGACCCCTCCAACCACACACACTCATCACCTATCTCTGCACCACCCATGCCGTAGTGCTTCTCCGCGTGCATGGCCTCGGTGGAGGGTGTGCGCCCCTATTATTCGGCCTACATTCCCATCAAAACACAGCAACACAACCTCCAACGCTTCTCACAGGGCGCTCAAGCGGACAGCTGTCTCATCCTGACGTGCAGCAGTCTCGAAAGCGGCCTCGCCAAACTCGATACGGTTCATCCAAGTGAGTGCTGCTACCTATTGGGCACTGTATGTACTGCGACTTTCTATGTAGGTTATTCTGTGGACCACCGCCGACGTCGGAGATGCCGCATTACACGTAGGATTGCAGTCATCAACAGTCATCACAGTGGGTTCTCGAGGCCGTTGTTCCTATTCTGACCCCTATCAACAGGCTCAATTCAGAGAAGCCCACACTCTGCAAGGAGGGAACATAATTTGCAAGTTGCGACTGCAGATGTGGATTTTAACCCCAGCACCAGCGAGACTCTGTTGAACCCCGACCCGTTGCCCGACCCCGAAACGGCCATGATCAACGGCGGGGCCTGCCCTTCCTCGTTCTGCGAGGGACCCTGCTTTCTACTTCGCGGACGAAGCAGTCATCTCGTGAGATGCGCCAACGCGAAGAAGCTGATATCTTGCTGATGCAGAACCAGCATCAACACTCACCACTAATTGTCCCTGAAGCAACTCGAAGGTCGTGGAAGCCAAGCCAGAGTCCACTGTCATCACGATGTCATTGTTGGGGTTGCGGCCAATCACGGAAGTCGGAATGTCACGGCATTCATAGGTAGCGCGTTGCGATCAGCAACCATCGGCCTGGGCTGGCACATAACTCACTGGGCGACAGCCGCACGGCGTCTAGGATAGCGGCGCGATGCGGTCAGCCCAGAAGGCTTTCGAGGCGCAAGCTCGACGCCGCTGGGGTAGAGTGCGGGGAACTCTGGGCAGGTGAGGGGCAATTACTCTGTCCCTCGCCGGCACAGCACTAGACGGACTTGACAACGGCGTCAAGGACTGGTCTGTTCATCGTGACAAATTCCCAAGACTTCCATCTGCCCTTGATCTGGTCCGGTTTCCCAAGGCTAAGTTAGGTCACGAAGCTCTGACGCCAGACGCCACTTATACCATTGGCATGGCCATATTTCGCTGGCGCCTCCTCGGGGATACCGGTTCGCAACACGATATGACAGGCCACAATAGAAGAAGAGTAACAGAATTGTCGACCGCATGATTTCGTGAGATAGCAAATTGAGAGCCCCGCCTAAGAACCAGCTCCGCTACCTCCACTTTAGCCAAATGGCCAGCACCTCGATATAACAATACGGGCTTTCAGTGGTAAGTTCAGGTCAGCTTACGACCATTTGCAGCAAACGACACCAGCCATGCCTCGCAACAAAAAGATTGACATGCGATGCCCCCATTTATGGACAGGCTCCCCGGCGCCGGTGGTGTGAAAGCGTAAGTGCCGTCGCCTGGACGCATCCACACAAAGCTCTTGATATGCTCTTGGACGTCGTCACAGTCGTCTCAAGAACAGGCGACGATCGATCACGGGAAGAACAACTGGTCGCTCCATTTGCTCGGCCGGTCGACGGGACAAGTCGCCCTCGCACTGCCGGTAACAGTAGACGGTTCATCGCTTGCAAACGAAGTGACAAAACACCCACCCCCCGGTCCGGCTCAGAGGTTATTACGGTTGCTAGTCTGCTGGTCAACCAGGGCGGACCCCAAATTTCCTGATGCAGCTCGACTCTGGCTCGTCAAGGTCCAGTTATTTCTTTTTGTCATTGCACTACTCAGGCGACTAGCGCGCAGCCATTTCCCCTCCCCCAGAGCAAAGGTCTCAAGACCAACCGACGGGCCCAGGAGTACCCAGGCGCGGACGGCAGGCGGGCGTGTTGGACATAGGTAAGGTAAGGTACATCGGTGGCTTCGTCTAGTCTTTTGACTGGACGATGCAGCAAGGTGGTGTTGGGTTAGGCTGGATGCGAGTGGTTGCAGGGAACAGGAGGGTTCGCAGGTGGTTCGGGGCAAAGGAAAAACGCATCAAACCCCGGCCAAGCGGTAACGGTACAGCGGTACCAGCAAGACGCGATTGGGACTGCGGAGCTCTGGCAAGGCATTCGCCAATGAGCATGGGCGGATGGGCTGAAGGAGGTTCCCTTTCCGCCATGCCTCGTCCCTTTGCTCCATAGCATCATCGGCCTGTGCTGCACCGTGGTCCATACCGCGCGGATGGAGCTCCTTGCCAGGGCTAGAATCACAGGAACTAGGCTCTCGCACTGCACTCCCGAGGGGTGTGGCCCAGCGCAGCGAGGACTGATGGAATTGTAGGTAGTGTGGTGAGGTGGCTTTTGTGCAAGAGTCACCACCCCTCTGGCCTTTCTTTCGCACAGAAGGACATCCCATCCAAAGTCAGGTACTCCGTACTCGGGGCGTGAGAGAAGCACCGTAGTGGCTGGCTCTTGTTGGACGTTGCTAGCAAAGAAGCTCGTCCAGCTGCTCTCGACGCGGTGCACCCCATCCCGAACAGCGCTTCCGGCTCGAGTCCACGTCCCAGTCCCGTCCAAGTCCCCATTCGCCCATTAAAGGCAATCCCGTACCCCGTCCAACTCGCGGTTCGGCCAACTGGAGAGTTGGTCTTCTTAATTACTACTCGCTTCCTCCTCTTCCTCACTTCCTTCACATCCTCTTCTTCTTCTTCTCTCTTCCACAATCAGCAACCACTTGTCTCCTACAACTCCATCTACGAATACCAACACAAACCCACGAGACCCAAGTCCAAGGTGCCCCCCATTGGAGTCGACTCTTGCTGCCGCTACCCGCTTTGCAGCAACGCTATCAAGGTCACCACGCGACTTTGAAACCCTCGTCCTCGAGAGTTGTGGAGAGTTGCGCCAGTTCTCCTCGAGCTTTGCGCGCCATCTGCCATCATAGCTGCACCACCAGGGCCGCTTCTCTTACGACAAGGACCAGAAAGACAGACCACGTCGAACGATTCTTCGTCTTAGCAGCGCCAGCGTCTCGCGAGCTGCCTCAGCAGGCCTGCACAAAGTACCCCGCATCCTTCATAAACGCACACAGCACGCACAACACCCCGCTACCATGACCGAAGCTGCAGAGCCACAAAAGGCCCCTGTGGTCGCCGAGGCCCACCTCGTTGATACCTTCCGTAAGCCCGAGAGAACCCCAATTTCCCTGTCTTGGTTTTCGGACGTCCTTCGCGCCAGAGAGCACCGAGTGGTAGCTCTGGCGCAAAGCCGGCCTCGGTCCATTCTCTTTTTTTGCCTTATTGTTGGGGACCATCATGGCTAACCTACCCCCAACAGATCCCCCCCAGAAGATGCTTGACAGTAAGTGCGCCGCCGCGTTGCAGACCCAGAACTGGACCCAGACGCAGCCCACCCAAATCCCGTCCCGTGGCCTGTCGGCGGCCAAAAGTCGCGTGAGGGGCACTGGAGATGGTCGTGGATGTGGTTGCAAGGGGACGTAGAATAGAGGGGCACCCAGCGTAATTGGGAGCTAGCGAGCTCGTCCCATTGGACATTGGCTAACAATTCCGTGTCTCTTCCCGCAGAGCACCCCAGCAAGCCCCACTTGAGCAGTGAGTCCTTTCCCCCCTTACCCCAAATACAACCATTGTCATTGGCTGACTGGAGCTCCCCTCTTGCTGCAGGTCTCGAGGAGTACCAGAAGCTATACAAGCAATCCATCACCGACCCCAAGGCCTTCTGGGGCACGCAGGCACGCGAGCTCCTGTCGTGGTTCAACGATTTCCAGACCGTCTACTCCGGCTCCCTGGAGGGCGGTGATAGTGCCTGGTTTGTCGAGGGCCAGCTCAATGCCAGTTACAACTGTGTCGACCGTCATGCCTTCAAGGACCCCAACCGCGTCGCCATCATCTACGAGGCCGACGAGCCCGGCGATGGCCGCAATGTCACCTACGGTGAGCTCTTGCGCGAGGTCTCGCGCACCGCCTGGGTCCTGAAGCAGATGGGTGTGCGCAAGGGTGACACCGTCGCCATCTACCTGCCCATGATTCCCGAGGCCATCATCGCCCTGCTCGCTTGCGTCCGTATCGGCGCCGTCCACTCGGTCGTCTTCGCCGGGTTCTCCGCCGATTCCCTCCGCGACCGCGTCATTGACGGCAACTCCAAGGTCGTCATCACCACGGATGAGGGCAAGCGCGGCGGCAAGTTGATTGGTACCAAGAAGATTGTCGACGATGCCCTGAAGCAGTGCCCCGACGTCTCCCACGTCCTGGTCTACAAGCGCACCGGCGCCGATGTGCCCATGACCAAGGGCCGTGATTGGTGGTGGCACGAGGAGGTCGAGAAGTGGCCTTCCTACTTCCCCCCCGAGCGCGTTAACTCCGAAGACCCCCTTTTCCTTCTCTACACTTCCGGTTCTACCGGCAAGCCCAAGGGTGTTATGCATACCACTGCAGGCTACCTGGTCGGTGCCGCTGCCACCGGCAAGTACGTGTTTGATATCCACGAGGGCGACCGCTACTTCTGCGGTGGTGACGTTGGCTGGATTACCGGTCACACCTACGTTGTCTACGCCCCTCTGCTGCTCGGTGTGACGACCGTTATCTTCGAGGGCACACCCGCCTACCCCAACTTCTCGAGGTACTGGGACATCATCGCGAACCACAAGGTCACCCAGTTCTACGTTGCCCCCACCGCTCTTCGTTTGTTGAAGCGTGCCGGCGACCAGCATGTCAAGGGCGACATGAAGCACCTTAGAGTACTCGGCTCCGTCGGCGAGCCCATTGCCGCCGAGGTCTGGAAGTGGTACTTTGAGGTTGTTGGCAAGGAGGAGGCCCACATTGTGGACGTAAGTGCAATTGCAGTTCGGTGACATTGTTACACAGGGCTAACGCCACCATAGACATACTGGCAGACCGAGACCGGCTCCAACGTCATCACTCCCCTAGCTGGTGTCACGCCCACCAAGCCCGGAAGTGCCTCGTTGCCCTTCTTCGGCATTGAGCCCGCCATTATCGACCCCGTTTCCGGCGAAGAGATTCACGGCAACGACGTCGAGGGCGTCTTGGCCTTCAAGCAGGCCTGGCCCAGCATGGCGCGCACTGTCTGGGGCGCTCACAAGCGTTACATGGACACTTACCTGAACGTCTACAAGGGCTACTACGTAAGCATCAGAACCCGTCACACAAGCAAAAGCTATCCACTGACAGTCTCGCAGTTCACCGGTGACGGTGCGGGCCGTGACCACGAGGGCTTCTACTGGATCCGTGGCCGCGTCGACGACGTCGTCAACGTCTCCGGCCACCGTCTCTCAACGGCCGAGATCGAGGCTGCGCTCATCGAGCACCACTCCATTGCCGAGGCCGCCGTCGTCGGTGTCGCCGACGAGCTTACCGGCCAGGCCGTCAACGCATTTGTCGCCCTCAAGGACGGCAACGAGGCCTCGGACGCGCTCCGCAAGGAGTTCATCATGCAGGTGCGCAAGAGCATCGGCCCCTTTGCGGCGCCCAAGGCCGTCCACATCGTACCGGACCTGCCCAAGACCCGCTCCGGCAAGATCATGCGCAGAATTCTGCGCAAGATTCTGGCCGGTGAGGAGGACCAGCTTGGTGACGTGACGACTGTAAGTTGCCATCTACCTTCTCAGTCCAAAGAAGTGTGTGTGCTAACCGGATGACAGCTTTCGGATCCTTCCATTGTCGACAAGATTATCACCATCGTTCACGAGGAGAAGAGGAAGAAGTAAATGCATGCTAATGAGAGGGGGGAGCAGTTGGAGATGTGATGTGATACCACAGGACAGAGGATGGACATGACAGGTACGACCGATCGGTGAAAGTACCGGCTTGGAACCCATGAATGGTTTGGGTTTGTTTTTTCTTGCCATATAGCGACACTTTTTGAAGAATGAGTCCAATAAAAAAAACATGGATAACCTATCCTTGCCTCCTTCCGAAGGTGACATTCAAGACTTGTCTTTGGCAATAGGCTGGCTTGAGAGCAGATGACGACGCAGACCATCAACCACCGGATCGGCCCGAACTCGAGCAAAAGAAAAGTCGGGAGAGACTCCGCCTCGTCGTTGGCTTTTCGGGGTCTCGTCTTTCCTGCCACCTGTCTTGGGGGGAAGTCTCATACGCGGAAGGGAGATGGAGCACAGCCGTCGCATCCCGGGTAATCGGCCATGGGCCCGGAGCCCCGGGGCGTGTCTTGCACGGCACGCCTGCACCTCGCTGACACTCGGATCCCTCCCATGCTCGACGTACGACCGAGACTCGGGAGCCCCCCTCCGGAGACCCAACGCTTCCGTTGCGGCTAGTTGGTGAACTGACCGCGGCCACTGTTGGTCACGGGCCGAGGATGGTTCAATTTTGTTTCCCTTCTCTGCACTACATTGCTCTGCCTCGCTTCGTTTTGCCTTTACCTCGCCTTGCCCATGCGTCTTGTTCTGCCGCCTTCTGCGCCATGGGCCGGGAGGCGCGCTAGCGGGGTTCCGCCGAGATTGTCCGCCGGCGTGATGTCTGGGGCACGGTCGATGGGATTTCAGCCATGAAGGCGCGCTAGGCCGGGCCGTGGGTTTCGAGGGCACGCCGGATGATGTCGTCGCGCTCAAAGGCCCCTGTGCCCTGGCGCAGCTGGCTCAAGTGCGGTTTGGGGAGTCGCTGCGCGGCGCGGCGACGTATACCTCACGGGGAGCGCAATGTATGGCGGGGGCTTTGCTCTGCACGCTCGGGTCGGCTGCTGGCGAGCATGGATGTGACTATCGAAGAGACGCGGGTATGGTCAGGTGGTGGCGTGGGCTCGTACGTGCCGTCGCTTGCGTTCCACGCAAGCGCGGCTCGCGTAAACCGTGTATACGTTTAGTCGCCCGGTTGCGCGGCAATTCACATATATCACGACTACATATTTCTCTCGTCTGTCTGCACGCACGGGTCTGTTTCTGGGAAACACGGCAGCGACCTTCGGGCGACGAATACGTAGGTTCGTTTGACGATCTGAATCTGTGAGGAGTGTAGGCGTTACGCTTGCATTTCACTCGGGTGTGGTTTGATATGGACGGGCAGAGAGCAGCAGCTGCGCAGCCTCGCCAGTGGTTCGACTCACAGATGTATCTCGGCCCGTCTGCGTCTACAGCCGCGGGCGAGGAAAGGAAGGGATAGACCCAACGCAAAAGGGTCTTCGCCGAAGCGTGTTGTTGGGAGAGCACTTGCACTTTGGGCTTGCTATTGAACTGAGGCTCGCATGTGGGCAGGCATGTTCGAGAACGGGAGAGCTTTCACGCCGGAGAAGCCTCGGTGTGCCCAAGCAGCCTCACGACGTGCCGTCGGGGCTGGAGTCCACCTTGCTGACCTCGCGGACGGAAGCAGACGCGGTTTGTATGCTGTTCATGAATCACGACCTGCAGGAACCTGTTCCCGCTGATGTTCTGGGTCGGTTTCTTCTACATAGTCTCTTAGCCAACCACATGTCTTCCCGGTGACAAATTGGTCCTGGCCCATCATTTGCAATCTTTTTGTTGGTCTGCTTTCTGCTTGCTAGGAGCATAGCCTCACTCGAGATGGTGGTGTTGACCGTAGCTTAGAAAGCAGAGCCCCCCCCTTCTATCGTCGTCGTCGTCATCGCGCTTCCAAGACGGGGGAGGCGTCGGGGCGTGTGAGGGACCGTTCATATGGGTCCGCGGATGGCTGAGCCATGGTTGGGCTTGGCATGTCATCAAGACTTTTTGCTAGAACAAGACTGAAAGTCCATTATGTCCGAGAGGCAAGAGGCGGGCGTATCAGTCACTAAGTGGGACTGTGGTTCTAGTATAGACAGTTTCTCGTTTCTGTTCTCTCCAAGCACGTGGCTGACGGCGCTAAAGCGTTGGTGTATCGGTGAACTCTACACTTACGCACTGATGAGAGGATCGAATCTGCGTGTGTGTGGCAAGACTGGGAGAGACCGCCGGCTTGTAACGCTGCTTTCTGAGATGGTGCGCAAGCCAAAGAGGCTAGAGGGAGTCGTGTTGTTGGTGTCGGGTTGTTAGAGCTCCTTGGCCGAGAGTTGAGACGGATGATCGAGATGGTGTGCGCACGGAAAGAGTCTGACGCCCATTCCTTGTGAGCTGACAGTTGGACTGCTTTCCCAAGGAGAGCTCGTCGTATCAAACAATCCATCTGCATGTTAACGTAGCTATGGTCCACTTGAAACCCGGCATCTACGCCCAACCGCCCTGTTCTAGCACGAGTCGCCGGCCTAATCACCATGTCACCGGCCGTCGTGTAATCGTCGGACGGTGCGCCAGGTCGAGGTCCTTCCCTTTCGTGAGCACTTGCTCTACAGGGAAGTGGGAGACGACATTCAGATGAACATGATCCCAGTAAACTGGGTGGTGGAGAAGAGAGGTCATATTCAAGCAAGCCTCCCCTCGGCAGGCGTCCCCACGGCCAAGGAGAGGGGAGGACGGCCCAGAAACTTGGCATTCAAGATTTGCGGCAAACGCAGTGCCGTGAGCGTTCGGAAGCAGTTTGATACCCAACGCGTGGCTTGGGGAGGAAGACTGGGGGGAGAGGGTGAGAGCAGACCCGGGAGGCCTCTCTGATACCGCTTCTTCATCAAGGCTCTCGAGGTAAGTTTGTCGATTATTCAGCGATGCAGAGGATCCCGCTAGTATGTTTGGTGGTTGGTCGTGGTGTGACATGCAAAGCCACCCAAAGGATGGGGTTGGACGCGCAATCCCGTGGACCAAATGCTTTGTTGATTTGCGCAGGTTCGATGTGTGCAGTCCACATTTGCATGTTTGTTTGTACTATGTAGGTACGGCTGCCGGACTGACGGTATCGGACGTAGAACGGCTCTTAACCCCGGTTCAGAGGGCTGTGAAAGGCAGGGAAGATTGAAGTTGGTCCCCTCTGGAAATCCAGAAAAATCCAGACCGTCTGATGTTTCTTGACTCGAGATAGAGGGGGCGATTGGTTCGGTCGATGCCGGGCAACTTTGAGTTTTCCTGACCCATCCACCCTCGTCCCTTGTACGCGGGAAGTCTGTCGTGTCTGATGCTTCGGCCGGTCCATTTGGGAGTCGGGTCATTGAGCTGAGAGACTTCGAGTTGAGATGAGCGTCAGTCCGTGTCTTGACGGGATTGTCTCAAATGCGGCGCAGCACGTAAACGGCGAAATCGCACAGTGATGAGCAGACTAGTGTGCTCATCATCAACAGAACCGTTTGAAGAGGTACGACGAGTCTCGAAAAGAGAGACCGGTGACATCGGAGAACAGATTGAGTTTAGCGGCCGCGACCTTGCAAGTCGCCCGTCAGACAACCTTAAGCCAAGCATGCTCAGCCCCTCCGAGGTTTGCCCCCCAGTTTTCTAGCTAACGGAGGGAGACGTAAGCTCACAATAAGCTTACCCTTGGAGAAGAAGCAAGACAGACACAAGACCATTCCATTCGTAGGGTATCCGTACCGACACACGCAAACTGACAGGAGGAGGAAGAAAAAGCCAAGATATGGTTGGCGTAGGTACTTCGGTACAGTCGAGGATCCACAGGTCTGTTGCCCAGAAACCGGGTCGTTTGGTGCAGTTTACATGGTGTTTAATCGATCGTTGCTGCATGAGCGTGTGTCGATGATTGTTGGCTCGGGTCCAAAGGGATCTCGACGTTTTCAGATCTATACAAAAGAGAGGGCAAACCCCTTCAGATTCCCGAGACTCCAGTCTACCTCTTACAGCATTCTCGACGAAACCACTTGGGAGCCCTGAGTAAAGTTTGGCTCATTGGCCGAGAAAGCACACACACCCTTTTGCCTCTTTGCGAACCGTCAATACCCTGCCCAGCGTGCCACTGGGTCCTTGAAACACCAAAGCCGGAAAGGAGGCGCCTGTCCAGACACAGGAGCAGAAGCCGCGACTAGGCCAAGTGTTTGGGGCTAGGAGGAAAAGGTACACAGCCTGTCGATATCGGCCGTCGCTAAGAATAGTTTACGTTTTGGGGGATTGGGATTGGATGCTGAGGGAATGTCAACCCAGTCTGCAAGTCGCTGACATGCTGCTTAGAACAGGACAGGACACCCTCAGGCCTTCTCAACCTCCCCGCTCCGTTGCCCCTCTGGGCATCCCTTCGCATTCGTGGTTCTCGACTGCAACGGCTCCCCCTTCCTGTCGTCGCTGCAGCCCAGACCGGGACAGTGTCAGAGTACTTTTGAGGAAGATCTTGGTTTTCCTTTCCCGATCGCTAGGGTCCCCCCTCGCGCGGAAGTGCACTGAAAAGATCTGGATTGATCTGGTGTGCGTTCTCATACGGTACGTTGGAGCGAGTTTATTTTCCTGCAACACTGAACCATTGCTTGCATATGTCGGTCAGCGCCATGAGATGAACTATCGTGTGAACATGACCCGTCATAGCCAGCCGGTGCCGGCGGGTGCGTCGGAGCTTCAGTGGTTACTGGCTAGTGTGCTGCGTACGCACCACAGCAAGCGGCTGGCCGGGTTACGGGCGGCGGGCTCCTCGGCACTTCTCTTTCGTCTATTTCTTTTGCCCGTGTCTACCAGACCAAGAGAAGCGTCACGAGAGTGCGAGCGAGCGGACACAGAGCCCGGCGTAGCGCCCGCGCAGCATTAGTGTTGGTCAACTGGTGACCCGGGGACAGGCGATGGGGGGGGGGGGGGGTCGACCGGGTCGCAGAATTCGAATGGCTTGTCAACAACTATACTAACAGTGAAACAGGGACGCAAAAGCCGAACCCTCCAGAGTCCAAATCTCACCCCATTTCGGGACAGTCGTTTACTTTACGATAGAGATCCTTACCGAGCCACTGAACAGGTGGGCCACTTTCGCAGGTCTGCCAGGCTTTTCTGCGGGTAGTTGCTGTGCAGGGTACCTGTCAGCACCTGATTAAGGTACCGGGGCCGTGTCCCAGCCCCCATAAGGATACTTCGCCATTGGTGTTGCCACTGCCGCGTCGCCGAGTAGCAGTAGGCCAAGAGCTACCAAGCTCGCCCAGCCCGCCTTTGGAATCCACAGCAACTTGAGCGCTCCAATACAGTTGGCCCACGCCCCCGTACCAAGAGATCGTGTTGCGCAATCCACCGTTCATCCGCGCGCACTCACTTCGCTGCCAGGAGACACGCCTAACCCCTAACGTCGTCCACACTCCCACTCGCACTCACTGCCACTGCCACTGGCGGCTCCAACTCCCGGACTTTCCACCTTCTTTCCCGTCCACCACCGCCACTTCTCCATTCGTTCGTTCTTGTTATTACTACTTTCCCCTTGTTAACTGCCCTTTCTTTCGTCATCTGTTGTTTATTCGCGTTTTGGGAAGAAAAGAGCTCCCCGGCTCCAAGATATCGAGGGTTTCTGGCTGGTTCACGACGACCACACGCAAATCCCCCCCTATTCGCAGCGCTTACGCAACACCACAAGTGAGAGGCCTCCTCGAGCCTCACCCCGTTTGCGGGGACCTCACCACACATCATGGTTTCCTTTCGGACCATAGCCGCTGCCTTTGCCGGCCTTGCTGCGTTTTCGCAGGAAACACTAGGTAACATGCCCACGGGATAGAGAGGAGAGAGTCTGGGATTAACGCATTGCAGCACACTCTACGCAGCGGAACCCGTTGAAGTACGTGACCGTCCTCGAAGATGCCGTCTTCCACTCCCCTTCGCAACATTGCCACGCCCTGTCGCACTTCGACCTCACTTTCGCCCTGCACGACAAGCAGCAGGAAATCCGTCTAGCGCTGGAACCGAACCACGACATCCTCCACAACACCCTGCAAGTGAACTACATGGGCAGCGACGGCAAGATCCACACCACAGAGACGGTCGATCGGTCGGAACACCGCGTGTTCCGAGGAAAGGCGTTTGTACGGCCCGAGGGGCGACCCGACGATTGGAGCCACGCCGGGTGGGCTCGAATCACGGTACACCGAGACGGCGCCAACCCCATTTTCGAGGGCGCTTTTCGGATTTACGACGACCACCACCGCATCCAGACCGGAGCCAACTACCATGCGCGCAAGCACCGCGAAGACCCCGACGCTCCGAGCAGGCAGAACCCCGATGAGTACATGGTCGTGTGGAGGGATTCGGACGTCATCGAACACTGGACCGACAGGGAGGACTTGAAGAAGAAGCGGGAGGTTTTCGGCCGGTCTTCGTGCAACTCGGACAGCTTGGACTTCAACAGCGACTACAAGCTCTTTGACGCACGGGATCCCGATCCTCTGCAGTCCGTGTCATCCAACTCTCTCTTCGGACGTTCCATCTTTGGGAGGCAGACGGTTGACGGCAGCACCGGCAACAACGGCGCTGGCGTCAACCTCGTGTCCACCATCGGACAAACCGCCGGCTGCCCGACGACGCGCAAGATTGCGCTGCTGGGTGTCGCCACCGACTGCACCTACACGGCCGCTTTCAACTCGACCCAGGCTGTCAGGCAGAACATTATCGATGTGATCAACTCCGCGTCCGAGGTGTACGAGAGCACCTTCAACATCTCGCTCGGAATCCAGAACCTGACCATCAGCGACGCCAACTGTCCCGGCCAGGCCAGTTCGACTGCACCCTGGAACGTTGCCTGCAGCAACAGCGTTACGATTACGGATCGCCTGAACCTGTTTTCCGCATGGCGTGGCAAGTCCGACGACACCAACGCCTTCTGGACGCTCATGAGCACCTGCGGTACCGACTCCGCCGTCGGCCTCGCGTGGTTGGGACAAGCCTGTATCGATGGAGCCCAGACCTCGGGCAGCGGCAGCAACAACGAGACCGTTGCCTCGGCAAATGTCGTGATCCAGACGCCGAGCGAGTGGCAGGTCGTCGCTCATGAGGTCGGCCATACATTTGGCGCCGTGCATGACTGCATGGACACAACCTGCAGCAACGGTGATTCCGACATGCAAAAATGCTGCCCTCTGAGCTCCGGTACCTGCGACGCCGGCGGCGCCTACATTATGAACCCTTCGACTGGCAGCGGCATCCGCTCTTTCTCGCCCTGCAGTATTGGCAACATCTGCTCTGGCCTCCAGCGTGGCTCGGTCAAGTCGACTTGCCTGGCGAACAACCGCGACGTAAACACCATCACCGGAAGTCAATGTGGTAACGGCATCGTTGAGGCCGGTGAGGAGTGCGATTGCGGCGGCACTAGTGGCTGCGGTAGCAACAGGTGCTGCAACCCTACGACGTGCAAGTTCACCACAGGTTCCAGCTGTGACCCGGCCAACGAGGACTGCTGCAACGGGCAATGCCAATTTGCCTCCAACGGCACCGTTTGCCGTCAGAGCACCGGCTCCTGCGATCCCGAGGAGACTTGCAGTGGTTCGTCGTCGACCTGCCCCAGTGACGTGCACAAGGACGACGGTGACGCGTGTGGTAACTCGGGCGAGGGCCTTACGTGTGCCTCCGGCCAGTGCACTTCTCGCGACCAGCAGTGCCTGACCGCCTGGGGATCCCGCACCAACTCGAGCTCGGTGTCTTCTTGCAACAGCGGCAGCTCGGACTGCATGATCTCCTGCAACGTGCCTAGTATCAGCAATGCCGCCTGTGTCACGATGAATCAAAACTTCCTCGACGGAACGTCATGCACGGGAGGCGGCAAGTGCTCCAACGGCCAGTGTAAGGGCTCCAATGCCGGTAGCGAAATATGGGACTGGATTCAGAACAACAAGGGTATCTTCATACCCGTTGTCATTGTTGTCGGCCTCCTGGTCCTCATAGTCTTGTTCAGTTGCATTTGCGGAGCGTGCCGGAGGAGCAGGAGCCGGACCCGGGCCAAGCGTCTACAGGCGGTTCCAGTGCCGCCAATGTCGAACGGCAACGGCGGGTGGAATGGCTACGGGGGTGCTTGGAGCAACCCCAACATCCCTCCACCGCCGCCGGCCGCGACCCGTCCTGGTGGCCCTCCGTCCTACCCGGGCAGCTACCAAGACGGGTACCAGAATGGCGGTTGGGGAATGAACAGGACTCAGAGCGCCAGGTACGCCTAAGGGGTGACCTGGACGGTTCAAGAGGAGGAACAGGGACAACGGTGCCTTGGATAGACCGGAATATTGCATTACTCGGCGTTGGTGGTGTTCTTTTTATCATGTTTCTGGCTCTCAAAAGCCCCCACCCGGGCTGGGACGGTTGGACAGTCCAACAATTGCATATCTGCACATTTTGCACGACGCTGGCCTCAATTTGGACAGCCGTCATCTATCTTGCGTGTAATTATCATGACGACTACAGTCAAATACCCTGCGGATACCTACCTACCTCTAGAGACGGTAAACAGGAACATAGCTTAGGTCAGCTGGCTGATCCGGTGCGGACGCCAGTGAGATCATCACTCACAATTCCTTTCATATATCGATATCATCCCTCGTTTAATTCATGTACTCCTGTGGAGTGGCTTGACCTGATGAAGCTCGTAATTGCTGTTGACACATGCGACCCCTCGATTTCGTTTCTCATTGTTCCTGACCGAAAAGAATAACCTTGACAGCGACCGCCGTCCTGAAGAGCAAACCAGTACCAAAGTCATCTGGACTGTCGTCGTCGACACGTCCCATTCCCAAACTCGATGCCGAGTACAAGTCCCAAAACTCCTATCCGTGTTGATTCGTTACCCCGAACCCGTCTTCCCGCAAACCGTACATCAAACGCCCCTGATACGGGAGATCTCAACCCGAAAGACCTGGATCGGGTCACGCGTCAGTGACGACCCATGCGCTCGCCGCCGGCGCTCCTCCGGCGCGGGTCCCGCCGCGAGGAGGGCGCGGCCTTGCGGGGGTCGGCCGGCTGGATGACCGGCTCCTCGTCGAAGCCGCAGAGCATGCGGGTGAAGTAGAGGCGGGTGCCGGGGATGCTCTGCGTCGCTGTCAGCAAAGGCTCGTGGACGACCAGGGACGCCCGCCCGTGCATGGTGTCGTGAGGACGGACAACAAAAGGGAATGGTGGTGATGATGGGAGGGGGGAAACTCACGTCTCCGCGACTACACGCGTACATGGCCAACCTCTCCGGGTCCTCGAGAACAGACACGGCCCAGAGCTTCTGCCGCCTGACCTCGTGCGAGTCGCCGTCGCCAACACCTCCCGCCGCCGCGCCTCCTGCCATGGCACCCCCGTGGGAGTGCCCGTGGCCGTGTGCCGGACCGAGGTGTCCCAGGCGGCCGACGCCGCCGCGCGACGGCGAGTCCACGCTGTCGAACTCGAGGTCCGAGTCCGACGGGCTGTCGCGCGGGGAGTACGGGTCCTTGCCGCGGGCCTGGCGGTCGCGCATGGCGGGCGTGAAGGACGGCGGGGCCGACGAGCCCGCCGCGCCGGGCCGCGGGGCGGTCGAGGAGGACGAGGAGTGTTGCGGGGAGGGGAAGTAGGGCCGCTGGGGGGTGTAGTAGGGAGCCGACATTTCGGGAAGCGCGCGCGGGGCGTGAGAGGCGGCGAGAGAGGTTTGGTGGTTCGAAGATGAGGCCGGAGGGGGTGCCTGTGAGATTGAGACGAAGGCGCGCCTTGTGGGGTGGGGTGAGGTGAGGTTATGATGAGAGCGGTGACGCGCGAAACAGCCGCTGCTTGCGCGATTCGTTTCCTTCACGCCGGAGCTCTCGAGACTTTCGCAAGACGAGACTGTGGGAATCCCTGATCCTTCTCCTTCTGCTCGCGCGGGCTCCTGTACGACGTCTCGAGTCGCGGAACAATACCGTTGACCTGGCCTCCCCTGGTGTCGGCCGCGTCGAGGTTTGGTGACAATGGGATTATCGGAATGCGCACGGGTGAAAAGGGTGCTGTCGGGGGGTCGGCGGGTTCGGTTTGACGTGGGGTGGTGGTGCAGACGACACGAGGGGCGGGGCGGGGTTTCGCGCGGTTGGAGGGGAGGAGCCGTGTGTGGCCCCCCTTCCATTTAGTGTCCTCGGATCCGATTCGACGGTTTGCCAGCGCTTTGTGTGCGTGATACCCGGCGGTGTCTTGGGCTCGCGTTTCCCGACCAACGAACCCCGCCCACCTTTTGGTCTCTTTGATAGATACTACACAAGCGTTCGGAAAGGCTGGCGAGATACCATGGGTTTGTGTATTGTGTCCTGTAGGCACGCTAAGATCGATCGCTTTTCGGTTCCAGATTACTCCGAACCTCCCTGGGAGCCGTATCAAACGCCACCACCGCGGTCCCAGGCTGATGACTCTTAAAACAAACTGGTCTTCCGCCAGCCTAACCGCCCCTCTCGGGTGCCCGAAATGCCCTCCGAGGCGCAGCCAGGAACGGCGGCAACCTCTCTTCCTCTCACCCCGTTACACACTACTCATCTGTCCTATGACTTGAAGGCCACTTCTGTTGCCAAACTAGATACGACCAAGACGGAGCTCATAGACCATTCCTTCCCTTGCCTGCTTACGCCTCTCCATAATGTATGAACTTTGAACTGGGCAAAGTGAGAAAGACAAAGGCGAAACCCAAGTGACATCTGTACATGTCATCAGACTCTAAAGGTGATTCGCACAAACTACTTAGACACCGGAGCATCCTTTGTTGCACCCCTGGCCAAAGGCAAGTTCACTCATCGAAAAAGCAACGAACAGTCGTCAAGTCGTAACCCGCTTTCTTCATATCGGTTGGTATATACAGGCATATTGTACAACGCGCTGACCCTGCGAGTGCCAAGTAATGTATCCCTCCCCTCTCCCGCTCCCGGACACGAAACCCATCGAGTAAATAAAAAAAAGCATTCGACCGAAAAGAGGAAGACAACCGAATCATCTACCACAGCGGACTCTAAACCAACGCTGACTCCAGTGCTTCTTTCCAGAGGCTACGTTGTGTGAGATGACGACGATATGCGTATGCAAGATGGCAGCCGGCTTCTCCCCGAACCCCACCAGCGAGGATTGCATGGTATCCCCTGTAAACAACACCGCCGCGACGCCGGAAACTGCAGATAACTTTGATTGATAAATGTGCGACACGGGCTGTCCTATGCGAATGGCCTCGTGTGGCGGACATGAAGGCGCCTGCCTCGACCTCGAGGATTCCAGTCTTGTATCAGTAGACCGGCGATATCTAATATCTAACACCCCATTTGGAATGCTTCGAGCGATATGAATGAGTGCAAAGAGCACTCTATGCCGGATTCTGCTTATCGGCGGAAGTTGATGACAGCCAGCTGCGTCGGGTTAGGACTGGTTCACGATGGAGCGTCTGAAGATGACTTACTCTGCTGTTGGCTCCATATGCGAGTCTTTGTCCGTCCGCGTCCCAGCACAAACAATGTTCGTCCTCCTCCTCCGGCTCCGAGCTGGCCTTGGGGCTAAGCCAGCCAGGGTGTGGTGCTCTGCTCCAACTGGCCCTAGGCATCGTATGCTCTCCGACCTTCCAGATGAGAATACGGCCGGCTGTGGCTCCAGCAATGAAGGCGCCGTCAGGGGTGAACGCGATGGAGACGATGGGAGATTCCATCGTCAAGATGGACTTGGCTTTTCCTGGCTCAGGGTCCTTGGCGTTAGATATGATGATGGCACAATCATCGCCTCCGGATGCGATTAAACGCTCGTCTTCCGGAACATTCGAGTCCTCGGGAAGAGGTTGCCACTGCACAGCTGTGATAGCCCCAGAATGGGCCGTTATCGACAGCCGTTGACCGTTCTCATCCCAAAGCTAAATGAAAGGTTGAGTCAGCCGAACTCTCGCAGCACAGGCGTCTCAGAATACATACGTCCAGGATACCCTTGTCGCTCGCGGTGGCGGCAAGCTTTGAGCGCCAGTCATAGACAACCTGGGTGAAGGTGTCGTCTTCACGGCTCTCGAGCTTCTTGTTCGGCACAATTGACGTCTCGGTGCACTGCAATGACAGCATCACGTCGCCGCCGGTCAAGAGGAATTCGGTTTCGCTGGTCCATGCGGCATCCAGCGGCCAGTTGAGCAAGTCGTGGTTCGGCAGGAAATATGACAGCGTGTTGGAGGTGAGGGAGTGGTAGACGGTGACGAGCGCGCCGCCGTTTCCGTTGCCATTGCTGTTGTCGGGTGCAATGGCCAGAAGCGCTGCATCACTCGGGCTCCAACGGAGCTTGATGACAGGAGGGTCCGAAACGTCGAACTTATCAATATGCGAACCGTCCTTTGCCCAGATGTGAACCGATGCCTTGTCGCCATGCTCAGTGGCGATAGCAATGGCCGTCCCACCCCAGTTCCAGGCGAGCTGGCCTACCGTGGCTGTCTTGGGTGTCTCGTCGTCGATGAGACTGTGAAACGGGCGGTGGACTCCGTGCACGTGACCGTCGGGCTCGGGAGCTGGGGCAGGCGTCATTGTGCTTGAACGTGAGACGGTCCAAATGCGGGCTAGCGCATCGGTTCCAGCAGCCGCCAAGATGGATGGGTCCTTGGGGTTCCACTCGCAGCGCAACAAGATGGGTGCGTTTTCGCCGTTGGCTGGCGAGGGCGAGGCTCCGGGGCCGCTTGCACTTGCAGCAGCATTCACAATCGCCGTCGTCGGGGCGCCGCCGTCCTGAACGCTGTTGGTGTCACCGGCGTTGCTGTTGGTAGTGGTGGTGGTGCTGTCATCGGGCATTAACCGCAAAAAGGTGGTTTCGGGAGCGAGTTCCTCGACTTTGTCGACCTGCGTGCCCTGCTCGGGACCATCTGTTCTCGGAGTGGGCGTCGGAGCTTGTTCGCCCTCAAGGGGCGACGGATAGGCGTGGTTGTTGTCGCCATGGCTGTCTAGCTCCATGGGGTCCGTGGCTGCATCCGCCCCGTTTGTGCTTTCGTACCCATTGCTGAGCCTGGGCCGCTTGCTGGGTGAGCCGCCATTCACCATGTGCTGTTGTGACCGGCTGTCAAATTGGCGTTTCCGAGTGTTTTCGACCTCCATCTCTGTGTCGTCCACCTCGCCATCGGCGTCCTCGTCCTCCTCGACCTTCTGAGGCGGTTGAGCGATCAATGGCCCAAACAACCCCACCTGCAGTGCTTCGGCCGCAGCCGCTGCATCTGGAGGCACCTGCACGCGCAAAGGGAAAAAGTGTCAGTTTGCCAACGTTCGCACGCTTCCACACACACACACTCTCTCTCTCTCACCCACCCACACGTCACAGACTCGGGCTGCATCGGCTGCTCACGACGCGGAGGGGGGAGGAAGAGGAAAAGCAGCCATGGCCGGGGAGTGGATCAACGTACCAATTTCTTCGCATGCTCTCTCTCGAGGGCATGGTAGCAGAGGCCCTTGTTGATGACGGACACCAATGCATGACTCTTGACGTGATTTGCGAAATCAAAATGGCGATGAGGCTGCTGAATGTGCCATTCCTTCTGGAACTTGGCTGCGGTTTCTCGGTAGTCTGCAATCGTCAGTGAGAAAAAAAAGCCATGGCCCACCACCAGCTGTCGCTGGCTGTACCCAGACGGTCATCACGTACTGCCTTCCAAGAGATACCTGTGGACCGAGTCGACGTTAGCAATGCCGAGAGACGGAAAGGAGAGGCCGTCCCTCTCGAGAGTCTCAATCCACGAGAAGGACGAAGCCGCAGGGCGTGAGGTGAGTGAGGCGCGCGATTGTGTGTGTGATGGTGCGCCGGGTGCGGGTGAGACGCGAAAAAGGGTGAACTCACCTCCAGACGAGGAAGTTGACTCTGTCCGAGTCGAGGTACTCCTTGGTGACCATGCCGATGCCGCGAAGTGCCGCTGTGGGCGGCGTGATTGAGATCAGTTCGTTACGGGGGACTCTATCGTGGACTCAACGATCAGTCGTTGGCGGGCGCGTTTTCCGGGGGCGTCGTCGAGGGCGAGGGTGAAGCGGTTTTGCAGTCGTCGATTCGAGATGAGAGGAAAGATTGAAGATTGAGGAAGCCCGCAAGAGTGGATGAAATGGAAGGATGGGCGAATCTGAATCTGGCGGTACGTAGGCAAGGTACCTTGTTTAGGCGAGACCAGGCGTGAGGCGTGGCGCTAGCGCCAGCAGCCCAGTTGGATTCAATGGCGGACACTGACTGGGCTAGCGACTGAGGTAGGGGACTACCAATGACTGGGCCGGGGGGGGGAGGGGAGCAAGAAGAGAGACAGCACTGCGACTGGGACATGACGGGATTGGCACACACGCCTTTTCTCGCTCTTTGCGTGTCCTCCCTCTCTCTCCCCTCCGCATTGCACTCTGTGCCGAACTTGTGGTGTGCAGCACATGGTGGATTGAAGTAAGTGGGATGGCCATGGCACTGGCACTGGCATTGGCACTGGCATTTGCAGCAGCCAAACCACCGCCCACAAGTCCGTACCGCCATTGAGCACTTCTTGTCCTTCTCCATCTGCGTCTCCACGTGAGGTACCTTTCCGTTCGGCCTTCCGCAGCCTCCATCCCCATCTCCTTCGGTGCGGCGATACGGTGATGCAGTTGCAACGCGCACACATGCACACCTCGCACTCTTCTCTCACCCTCT